TAATCGTAAGTAGTCTAGTAGCAGCTTGAATCGTAACACGGTCAATGAGAAGATCAAAAGGAAAGAGAATCGCATGTGTGGACGCGACTGAGGACCAGATCTGCATCAACAGCGTCGACTGTCGGAAGTCTGTGTCGACGGAAGGCACCAAGAGCTGTCACATGCAAAGTGCTGCCACAGCTAGCCAGATGGTGACTCTAGTAGATTATTGTTGGAGTCACGTCAAATGTTGTAGCATCTGCAATTTGATACACGCCATGGGCTGAACCCATGGCGTGTATCAAATTGCAGATGCTACAACATTTGACGTGACTCCAACAATAATCTACTAGAGTCACCATCTGGCTAGCTGTGGCGGCACGGCTTCTGCATGGACCCTCTGCAGATGGAGCAGACTGTCAACATCGACAGATACCAGCGCTTAAAGACGGTGTGACATTTGTTTTCTTGAAGCATCAATTGATCCTGTCTCTATAAATAGTTCGTAAATTGCGTGCAGAACATTACAACAGATCGGATGTATCCGACTGTCGTGTCGTGTCACTCCACGTGGTACAGATGGTACATGAACACGAATAAGACCAAATTTTGAATGTTGCGGCGCCTTTTTGCGGCGACACAATGAAACGTCATCATTCTGTCGGTGGATGTCAAACAGGACTTGGTCGTGCATGCATCGTTCACGGACAATGTCGTCCACGCCTGTGGACTGTCGTGTCGTGTCGCCCGACCCATCGTCTGTAGACGGTCCGTGCATGCATCGTTCACGGACAATGTCGTCCACGCCTGTGGACTGTCGTGTCGTGTCGCCCGACCCATCGTCTGTAGACGGTCCGTGCATGCATCGTTCACGGACGATGTCGTCCACGCCTGTGGACTGTCGTGTCGTGTCGCCCGACCCATCGTCTGTAGACGATCCGTGCATGCATCGTTCACGGACGATGTCGTCCACGCCTGTGGACTGTCGTGTCGTGTCGCCCGACCCATCGTCTGTAGACGATCCGTGCATGCATCGTTCACGGACGATGTCGTCCACGCCTGTGGACTGTCGTGTCGTGTCGCCCGACCCTGCATCGTTTGTAGATGATGCGTGCATCCATCATCGTTCACGGACGGTGCTGATCGTGCGACCAATGTGTCGCGTCGGCGCGCATCGTCCAGAGACGATATTTCTGCTGCTTCTTCTGCGATATTGTAGCTGTACTGCATCGATTGACAACGATACAGTCTACCCTCATTGAATCTGCTACTTAGTTGCATGTCTGACTATCCCAGGGGTACAAATCACAGTTTCCTTGCCTCCATTGACGGTTAGTCTGACGCTAATCCTATCCTTACCACCCTTTCAGAACAGCATATAATCGCTGGATTTAGCAGGATGACGTCAGTACGATCTGGAACGGTCTACACCGGGGCCGGTGCGCTCCAGATAAGAAGTCCATCACGGACATCAAGGTATTTGCAAGATGCGATGTGTCACTACGCCCAATCCGGGTTGTTTTGGTACTGTACAGGTAAACGTGACTAAACATAACCAAAGGGATCTGACGAGGCATATAAGCCGAAAGGTCCGCCGTAGAGGACCCCCTCAGCGGCCTTATCCTTTTGGCTCTACCCCCCACTCGTCACAAAACGCGGCTTCGCCGCGTTCGTTTTTGTGTCAATCACCTAACCCTGCCCCTACATGGCGGATGGGTCACATGCACAGGTATCATGTGTGACTTCTGGATTTAGATAGATGATGTCACTGTGTTCTGGAGTGGTTCCAGCCGGGATCCGGCTCGCTCCAGAAAAGAAGTCCATCACGGACATTGCAGCATTTGCAAGATGGGATGTGTCACCCTGCCCAAATTGGGCCTGTTGTGGTACTGTACAGGTAAACATGACTAAACAATACCAAAGGGACCTGAAGAGGCTATAAGCTGACAGGGTCAGTGCTTAGGATTCCTCATCCCCTCTTGTCCCTTGCCTTAAACCACCATCTTCACAAACCATCACTTCACAGTGTTGTTCTGTGTGTGAAGAAGCCATCTAAGGTCTGTTCATTCCTCTCACTAGTCCTTCTCTGCCACTGGCTCAATTACCCTTCCAAAAATCTGTTATCTCAGCACTCCCAACTTCCAATCACCACTATCCACAATTCCAAGTCCTCTCAGCTATGTCGCTGGCTCACATGGTTCAACTTGCTCATGCCACTTTGCCAATTGTGAGTATAGTTTATTCTTGTCTGTGGCTTGTTGCACTCAACTCTTGTAGGGAGTGTTCCTACAGAGATTCATGTCTCATGATGGAACTACACTCCTGTTGCCTCTCACTCATGGCATCCATGGAATCATCCCAGCTCTCACAAATATGGCCATTCAGTGGCATGCTATTGAGACTGTGATCCTGTGGCAGTTGGATACCTCCTATGCAAACTTGGATAGGTTTTACCAGCTACTCTCACGTTGCAGTCATATCAAAAGCTTTAACCTCTGGGTTTGTGATATGGCTGCAGCTGATGGAGTCATGACTGAGCTGTCTGAGCCTTGGACTGAACAAGAAGATCAGTTCCCTTGGCCACAGCTACAAAGTGCCACCTTTTGTTGGTATGGAGCTAGAGAGGAGTTCCTAGAGGCTTTTGCCAGCTGGTGCATGTGCCTAGACACATACCAGTCTCCTACCTACATAGGTGTGAGGGAACTTAACAATCCTCAATTCATGGTGAGCTGTTCATTGTGTCTGTATAGTGCTCAGTATGTTGACTATATTCTTTGGAACAGCTGTCTGAAATGGATGGGATCTTAGAGGCATTGGATCATATCAGGGTGCCTACAAGAGTGCTCTTGATTGACCAAGACATCCCACACCCTGTTGTGGTTAATTCTAGAAGGATCAGGGGAGCTGTGACCCATATGGCCATTATAATCCACAACCAGATACTGGCTTTGGACCACAATACTCTTGTGCTCAAAATATGTGTACCATGGTCTTGGCTGATTACCACTCTTATTTTGGAATCATTGACTAGTCTCTGTAACTAGTAATAGAGGGCTTTGCTTATACCGTTGTTTCCCTATGACTGGCTGACTGGCTGTTACTGTAATATGGCCATCATCTCTTTTCAAATGTATTGAAGTGTGCATGTGTAATCAAATGAATCTGACTATTATGCTCCTTTTTGATGATCCATCTGAATTTGATGCATACAGGCCATGCTACTGCTAGGATGGCTATGTACAATGCCAATCTCATTCATCCATTACTAATCTACTGTGAATCCTTACTTACACCGTGATTGTCCACCAAACCTCACCAGACTCATTTACTTACACATTGTAGGGACAGATGAACTGCTGTTTATATGCTGTTAAATTGCATTGACTGACTCAATCATGTGCTACCACTAGGTATACTACTACTGATCTGTACTCAAGCCATTGCTAGTCACTGCTGGAACTACTCCTAATCATTTCTGAGGCTGGTATTCATCCTTTGCTTTTAATCCACTAACACTATATTCTAAGCTGTTGTTTGCTCCTACATAGGGTGCATCAGCAACAGATGGCCAGAACACTGACTGTCTTATTGGATTTTTTGGCATAGTGGCTGGTCAACCCTAGTATTGGCATATTCTGTATTGTCGCGACAGTATAAAATATGTTGACACTCACTGTACCATCTTCATTATCACTCTCACTCTCACTCACTCCATTCTGAGTGCCTCTTCCTTCTCTTTAGCCTGCTTGCTGTGTTTCTCAGTCTAAGTGAGAAAAAAAAATCATTAAGTACTTTTCATGGTGTCGACGACAGTATGAAAAGTACACCTATAATGTCAACCTGAGGTTGGTCAATGATCCATCTGTGGCAAGCACAGGCAAAGCATCAGCCCACAGTTTCTGTATTGTCAATGACATTACAAAATGATGCCTTTATTACTGGTGCTTAGGTTGGCTTAATGTGCAAGTCAATGAACTGGTCAGTGGCATGGTGTGAGCTACCATAAAGGCAATGCACTAGATTGGACATATCACCATCAAGTCAAGGAAATCCGACCTGAGTGCATCACATTCATGTAGGTATAAGTAGACAACAACATCTGATATGAACACAATAAGCAACAACAGTATCAATAGTTGTATAAGTAGCAAGCAGAAAGGAGTTAGCGGGCACATCAGCAAATGAATGTGTGGGTGTACAAGACAACAGCAGCATGAACTCCTACTCAAAGAGCTGGATACAGGCATGGACTACACAACATACAATACAACACAAAACAAAACCCTCGCGCCTGCAAGCCTCACCGTGTACGAAGAATGAAGAGTCCGTACAGTGTCTTGTGTAGTATGCAACAGGGCGGCGACGGCGGCATGAAGGGCATTACGACGGGCGATGTTAGCATATCCAGGGTCCGAGAATGTCCATCCAAGAGGAGAGCACGAGCGGGACGGTCTAGCCGAGAACGTCAGGAAGCGGAGAGGGAGCGTGTATGAGCGTGAATGACCGCCTGCAAGGGTAATGATATGTTAGCACACGTCGAAGAGGGAGAGAAACGATAAGAGACGAACGGCTGGGCGCATGAATAACGTAGTAGCATTGGCTACATACCGAACTCACCTTTAATGAATCGCATTAGCAGATTACAGCGGCGACGAGTACGAGGGCAGACACAAGCCCATTGAATAGTCTATCGTAGTCAGTCGTCAGCTGCATGCCGGACTGCACTCACTCGTTTGCGAGGTGTACATCCTCCGTCGTCCAGCCTCTGGCACCCCGCCGCCTAATGTGATTCGCCGCGTCCTCATCTCTGGACGATCAGAGTCCAAACTCGTTTGTCGGTCGGGGACCCGGGCTGGCGCATGTAGTCCGCGACTTGGGTACACAGATCGCCTCGCAATCGGTAGCGATACCGGTGTCCCTGCACCACCAGCTAGTCACTCAGTCAGAGCGAGTCGTTGGTCGCGTGCATCCACTACTCGTCTTCGCAGTACACCCCTCCGGCGTCCGGCCTCTGACACCACCGCGTCCTCGGCTCCGGACGATCTAGTATGCAATTTCAGTAATTAAGTAGCATGGTACGCCGCGTCTAGTCTTCTGCTAGCCAGGCTCGGTCAGAACATGAGCGGAGGGCGTCCGTCCATCGCATGTGCCCTTGCGCCCGGCAGCGACCCACGCCGCGAAATGGCGATCGTGAACGATGTTTGCGAAGCCTCGTGAGAGGGCCGATATGAACTGGTACGTGACGAGGCATGTCGGAAAGACGCAGTCGAGCGGTCACATGGGCCCGTCTCACGCCGAGCCTCAAGCAGGGCATGGTCTTGCAGGCGATCGCGAGTTATCCTCGCCCAAGTCTCGCGACACGCACACCATCTCTCTTAAAGCCGCTGCGCTCGCTCCACTCACCCAGTGACCCTATACGATTCTACTACGCCCTCACAATGGCCGAGAAGCTCGACGCCCACATCATCCACAGACAGCGGCTCTGGCCCCAGAGACGCCGCCAACGGTGGGCCCAAAGCCATCATCAAGAACGTCGATATGAGCGAAGACATGCAGCAGGAGTCGGTCGACATCGCGTCCGCCGCCCTCGAAAAGTACAATATCGAGAAGGACATCGCTGCCCAGATCAAGAAAGAGTTCGACCGCCGCCATGGACCTACCTGGCACGTTGTCGTCGGCAAGAACTTTGGCAGCTACGTGACCCATGGTACGCTCTTCTCTCCCGCACTCGCCAGTCGTGTCGACCGCGTCAGGACGAGTTCACGCGCTGTTCCCCGCACTTCACCCGCACGATCGTCGCTGACGCGTGCCTCGTAGAAACCAAGCACTTCATCTACTTCTACATCGGCACCCTCGCCATCCTCATCTGGAAGTCATAAATCGCCATCTCACTCATTGAAGCGATGATCGTCATGCTCATGCGCGACAGCCGCCTGGCTTATCGTATTGGGGCTGGGAAGGATGGGCGAGGGGCGGGAGGATAGGATTGAAGGGTCACCGCGGTGTGCAGACATCAAATTGCATCTCACAGACGGACTGGGTCCTCATCTGGCACTTGGCTGTAACGTTCTGTTGTTTTCTTGCTCTAGTTTATCGCAATTCGCTCTCAATGGTGTTCATTGCCTCTCGTGCACCCTCTGAGCGGCTCTGCGGTCTCATAGCCTCCCCATCCTTGCATAGGCTCACTTCTGAGCGCGTTTGGGAGGCTCTCGCGCGATCCAGAGCACTTTACGCAAGGTCACGGCAATGTGGATACGGCGCAGTCATCGTGATGTATGTTCATGCTTCCAAACTTCCGTAACGACAGGGATAGATTGTTACAACTAGTGGTACATGATACAAATCTATGTCTAACGAACCTACATGAGTCTACACGTATGTATTACCGGGGATACAATACACCGTCGTCGCATCATCATCAATCGTTCAGTCGTGACCCCAGTTCGCTCACGAGCTCCTCTCTACAATCTGGATGATCACTCGCCCCACGCACCTCTCGGTCTCCTTCTCATAATGCCACGTTGAGTTCGCTCGTGTCCTTGCTGGTGGGCGTGCCCCAAAACTCCACCACGCGCTTCCGACCGGCGCGCTGCTCGCGATCGCGTTAGGTCCGTCTTCACGAACCGTGGAGCGGCTTGCCTTCATGAGCCGCGCCTCGAGGGTCTTCTGCTTGCGGGAGAGCTCGAGCGGAGGTGAGCGGCGAACCAGCGCTGTAGGAAACGGGCACACGGAACTTGAATTGCTCGCCCGTGCGCGCGAGCATCCTGGCACGATGGGGATCTTGCCACTCGCATCGAGCCGCATCATGTCCGTGCTGCGAGGACTCGACGGAGAAGGTCCCAGTGGGAGAATTGCCTGAAGAAACAACACACGCGTCAGCCGCACGATCCCAAGGAGAGAAATGAACGCACCGATAGACCCACTTGCCGCACTCTGCGTGTCGTCGCCGAGCGCATGCACGTAGTGCACCTCGTGTTGAGTCGTCTGCACTTTGTCGTTGACAGGAGCCCTCTTCTCCATGCCTGCAGCACCTCGGATGATCTTAGCCATCTGGCTCGCCACACGCTTCGTCTTCGCACCTCCGCAGCCGCACCGAGCACAGGCGAGTCCAGGTCGACGGCGACGGAAGCTTAGGCACGGGGACACGACTCGCACTCGTGAAGGGCACCAAGCGCGGGCGATTCATGTCCGGAGTCTTCTGACCGTCAGCGGAGGCAGCCGAATAACCTGAACGCACACTCGTCGCACGCGCGGCGGTATGCACGACAGCTTCGACCTCGTGTGTGCGGATGGAGCCATTGCTTGTGGAAGATGACCGAATCGACGGAGCTGCGCTTGCATTATCGCGAGTTGAGTAGTTGACTTCGTCGCCTTAGGCTTGGGAGGAGCGAAGTCCGCACGGCGCTCGGGATAGACCGTCCACCAGTCGAGCTCGACGGCGACCCCGCGATGCTCGAATCCCGCTCGGTGCATAGTGGCTCAGGTTCATGTCCTCGAACGGTATCGGCGCCGGGTGACTCGCCACAGGCTGCAGCGTCGCAGGGAGGATGTCGCGTTCGGCGGCATCGTGAAGGGCAAACCGTCGATGTTGACCGGTACACCCATCCTCGCACTCACTCGGTGATCCGTCGTGGCCACGAGCGTCGGCTTGCCGATGACGAGCCTCCGCGGACGCTTGCCAAGGGATCGCTTGTACTTGTCGCTGACGATGCGCGCCGTCGAACGGATCTTGCCCATGAACTCGCCTTGCGCATGACACCAGGACTCTGCGGGAGGCGCGGGCTAGCCAAGGAACTGAGCAGCGACCGTGGGTGAGAGAGAACGCGCTGGAGAGCAACACCAAACCCAGAGGGACCAGCAGGAGACGGTGAGTCAAGTCCATCCTTCTCAGGTCGACGTGCTGGGCCTCGATGTCGCGCTGCGGTCCTTCTGTGACCTTACCGTCGACCTCGATGCCGATGCCGTACCAGCGCATCTCCTCTGCCGTATACGCCTTGGTGCCTTCCGTACCAGTGAGCGCCGTGTCCTGTACGTGCGCGCATCGGCGGAACGCTGCAAGTGCGAACGCGAAGCCGATGAAGGTACTGACGACGCCAAAGCCATCTTGAGGCCGAGCAGCAGCTTTGCTTCGCCGCCTCACTGAGGCCGCCCGTCGTCTGGTGGTTGTAGTCCGCGTTGAGAGCGAGATCGGTAGGGAGGCGTGAGACGTCGAGTGCGTGACGTGTGAGTAGGCCGTGAAGGTCACCGAGATGTGTGCGTACTCTGCGCGGCGTCAGAGGAATGTTACCAGTGAGAGACGCATGTGAGGAGTCAAAGGAGAGGTAGCCCGCCGCAGAGTAGGATCAAAAGCCGCAGAGATGTTCACGTCGCCTTGAGTAGGTGCCCCGAGCTCAGTGCTGTTGGAGAAAACTGCGCAAGTTGAAGTCAAGCGAGTGATCCGGCAATACGAGGATAGGCTGCAGGGTCGCCGTCGTGAAGAATGAAGGGACAACAGCCAGGCTAACGTTCGCGCTGATGGATTGGTTCACGTTCGCAGTGATGGTCACGGGCACCGTCGGGTTCTCGAGGTCGTTGTCGCCGTCGGAGTCATCTGGGGCTTGTCCGCTCAGAGTCCGTGTCGTCGGGTCATAGTGCAGCCAAGCCTTGTACGCCGAGGTATCGATATCGAGGCTAGAGATGTCCGAGGGCTGTATCGGTTGACCGTCGAGCAAGACGCCAGAGAAGTCATCCGGCGAAGTGAGACTGAAGTTGAACGGGGCATTGGCGGTGATGTTGATCGTCGGGAGCGAAGACGTCGACATAGACACCTCGTGAGCAGCTACCACGATGTCGAAGGTGACAGAGCCTGCGGAGTAGCCCTCTTGGTCAGAAGCGTGCAGAGCCAGAGAGACAGACGTCGGCTGAGCAGATTCTGCCATCTTCGGAGTGACACCATTGAACGTGAGGCCTTTGGGTTGAACTCGAGCCATCCGGGGAGCGGCGAGCCGTCAGTACGGAGAGCGTCGTAGAACAAGTCGCCACCAGCGTTAGTGAAGGTGTCATAGAGGAAGCCAATGCTGAAAGACCAAGACGGGGGATGCGCAGACCGGCCTATTCGTGGATTGAGGGCAGAGTTGTCCGAGAGGAGGAAGACGGAGGACAGAGACGGGTTGGTCGCGTAGAACTGCTGCTCGACGGGGATGTGCAGCTGTGGGGCTACGTACGACGTCACGCACAGGTCAAAGGACGAGCTGGCCGATCGTCGTTGCCTGGGTCTGTGGCAATGATGTGGATGCCGGGCGTGCCTTCATCCGTGGACGAGGGGGTGCCCTGCAGCGTGAGCGTCGCGTTGTCGAACGAGAGCCAGGCAGGGAGCGTCGACGAGCTGTACGCCAGAGACGCGTTACGGTCCGACACAAATGTGTCCCTAGAGAAAGACCAGCTGTAGGGCTCGTTGATGCGGGCGATGAGAGGGAGCTGGTCCTGCACAGGATATTGAACGGACACGGAGGAGGCGGAGGCGAAAGCAGCGAGGGACAAAAGAGTGACGAGCATAGTGATGGGAGGGGCGACCCACAGTCGGCCAGCGACGCGCATGGGCGAAGACGATGGGGACTAGGACGGGCTCGCTGGCCGGTGCGACGACGACGCGGTGGAAGACGACGAGCAGAGACTCAAGAGTCGAACATCGCTCAGGCGCCGCACGTGGCTGTGCTGACTAAGCTGCGTATTGTGCCCGTCGTCGATCAATGCGCTAGAGACAGTCTCCTCATCCTCCTCCCCGTCCTCCTTATCACCCCCATGTCCACCGCAAGAGCGTCCGCGGTCTCATCGCGCCGCGCAACCAATCAGTCAACCTCGTCCACGAATTCCAACGGCTCAAGCCGCAGTGAGCGCGGCGACCGCTCTGAACGAACTCGCACAGGTCCGGTAAGTACGTCCCTTGTCCTCTGAGCAACCTGCGCCGCGTCATGTGGCAATAATCCTTCTCGTGGAGCATCAAGCCTTCGCAGCATCTTTGGCCTGTGCTACGTAGAAGGAAGGAGGGTGGGCAACGCAGTGGTAGTAGAAGACGAGACGTTCGTTCTCGTTCAGCCCTTCAGCGAAATCCGTTCCTACCAACTATCGAGGACCACCTTCTGGCGGGTCGGCCCGTTGTGTCCTACTGAAGGGAGCATGGACGTGTCTTGTCATTGGACCCGGGCGTACAGAGGTGGTCTCCGCAGACTACTATCTCCGTTCCATTATCCACAAGATAGGCTTCCCGAGCTACGTACTTGCGTCCGGGTAACATCTCGATCGGAGCTGTACCGCCTGGTGCCCATTCGCTATTTCTCGATGCTGACTTCTTGGCACGATTTCCAGCCGGCAGTAGAGAGTGCAGTTACCCGCCTTCTGGTCTCCATCAAGCAACTCCTCGAATCCCTCACCAAGTGGAGCGCCAGCGAAGTGGATGAGAGCTTCATCAGCGATGTCTACGTCCGCCTGGGGAACGACTTCAATGGCGCGGTAGCAGCCTTCGCCATGTATAGAATTGAAATGACGTGAGTCACGACCTCTGACCCTCTGCCTTTGCTTACATTGTCAATAAGCGAGCTCATGGGGGTACCTGAAGCCCTGCGCGCGGTCCTTGAGACTTGTCTGTCAGAAGAGGCGACGAAGGAGACACTGGACCAGTATCTTCCGAAGGTGCGCGGCATCATCACCGACCTGCTCCAAGGCCTGCGGCAAAAGCAGTCCATGTATCGGCGAATCGTTTCGGACAGCCGGCATCGCTCGTCCGGGACGGATGGGGGAAGCGACAGAGATAGCAGGGCGTCGCGATCAGATCGGTCGTCGAGGAGGCAAGTAGAGCAAGCCGTTGCAAACGGAGAAGGGTCGGAGGGTTCGCGGTCGGGGGACATGCGCAGGAGTACGCCGGCAGCGAAGCGCAAAGATGTCCCTTCTATGCAAGCAGGAGCAGCGAATGAAGAAGTGCCTGCAGCTCGATCATCCACCCCAGTGCAAGCCTCCTCTCGCCCCCAAACACCAGTCCAACCCCGCCCTCAGCTCGCTGCTGTTCAGTCCTACTCTAGCCCTCGTGTGGCGCTCTCAGATGTCAGTGAACCGACCCCGTCGCGTGTACGTTCTGCATCCGCGATTCAATCATCGCAAACAAATGGCTTTCATGACCGCGACGCTACACCGCGACACCACTCACTACATGAAAGCCGTCACTCTGAAGATACCACGCCCATTCCGACACCTCCATTACCCCAACCTCAGGCTCGTCCACCATCGGGCGTGCCCGCGCACGTCAAGCGCTACTCGCTGACCGACCGACCCGTCACTTCACCAACCCCGCCACCTGCCGTCGTTGTTGATGAGCCGACTTCACCACCAATCGAGCAAACTTCGTCGCAGGCGGAGTCGCCCCAGATCAATGGCGATGGCGAACTTCCTTCTTCAGATTCGCAGACCCTCGCTGCCGAGCCTGGCGTCCAGACATCTCTGGCCGCGCTCCGGGACCGCACCACTCTCGAGCGGCGCGCGTCGAAGCGCTTCTCGTCGTACAATTTTGCGAAGATGGTCGGTGGAGGCTCGCTTCGCGAGCGACCATCCGGCTCTGGGAGTAGTACACCGAATCGACGTTCGTTGGCTGTCTCGAGCGCGCTCAGTCCCGGCGACCTAGCGGTACTCACAGAGGCTGAGGAAGACGGAGCTAACTCTGCCACCCCATCCCCCGTTCGACGGACAAGGAGCAAATCACGCCAGCCCCCGAGAAATCCGAGTCCTATCGCAGAGGAGGAGGAGGCGCCCCCTGTGCCAGCACTTCCGCCTAGAGAACCAACACCCCAAGCTCCACTAGACGTGCCATTCGCCTCAGCTGCCGCTGCGTCTCCGGATCCCGAACCCGCAGAGGATCGCCGAAGTTGCTGACGGTGTTCCTTCAGGTGGGACGGGAGGTCAAGAAGGCGACGTTTGAGCCGGGCATGACGCAGTCGAGTCTTAAGCTACTCTTCGTCGACAAGTTCTCGTACAACCCTGGCCAGGATAACTTCCCCGCGATCTATATCCGGGATCCTAGTAGTGGGGTGCAGTATGAGCTTGAGAACATGGACGAGATCAAAGACCGATGCTGTTGTCGCTCAACATCGAGCGTGAGTGGTGTGTACGACTTGTACACGGAATATCACTGATTCCAGTATCATTCAGCGCTGGACCAGATCAAGCAGCACATCGACCTGCAGATGGCTTCGCTCGCGCAAGAGATGAAGGATCTCCGGGCAGCCGTCTCCACGAACAGACGGGCGTCCATGCCACCACCTATGATCATCGCCCAGCCACTCGCTGAGAGCACCCCAGCAACCGCGCGGCCGAGTGATCACCAGTTCCGTAAGGTCGCTCGGCGACTGTCGCGCCTCCTACCCGACGACGTACCATTCTTCGAAGAAGAGTCAACGCCCATGGCACCGCAGATCACAGGCGCGTCGATCCAGCCACAAATGACTGGCGCATCTGTCACGTCCGAGTACACGAACCGTGTCGTCACCGATCTGAAGACGCAGTTCGACGAGGTGCAGAACCTGCGACGCGACCTCGGTATCATGCGGCAGCTGTACACCGAGTTCATGAAGCAGACGAAGGACTCTCTCGGTCAGCTCCGCACGCAGACACAGAACGTCCGCCAGCTTGCATCCAACAAGATCGGTGGCGCACGGCAGTACATCGACGACGGGAAGGCCAAACTCGACACTCGCAGTCAGACCGTGCTCACGAAGATGGAGGAGCTACAAGACACCGTCGAGAATATCAAGGACGACGTTATCAAGCGATCTGTCACGCCCAAGCCATGGGTGCTCAAGAACATCAAGGGCGACATGGAAGCGGTGCCACCGAGCTGCAGAACCTCAAGGAGCACATCAGACCGTGAAGCCGATGTGGAAGAAGACGTGGGAAGAGGAGCTGCAGAACATCGTCGAGGAGCAGCAATTCCTTCAACACCAAGAGGAGTTCCTCAGCGATCTCCTGGAGGACAACAAGGCCGTCATCGAAGTGTGGGGGCATGTCGAGAAGATCATTTCGCTGCGCGGAAATGCCTCGGCGAGAGCCAGTCGTTCGAAGGGCTTCAAGCCGCCACCGATGGACGCAGGCCATACCGGTCTCAGTACAGTCATGCTTGAGATCCGTGGTGCAGCTGCCGATCAGGAGCGACGGCTCAAGGCAATTGCAGCGACAGAGAAGGCGCGGGAGAAGGAGCTGGCCAGCCGGTCTGACGAGTTCCAGAATGAGCTGAGTGGTTTCGTGGATGGCAAGAAGCTCAAGAGGACGGGCGGTGCGGAGGAGGTGGAGAGGGTGCGACAACGAAGGAACGAGCAGACGTTGAAGGCCATGTTCACCGGCGGATCCACGGCATCTGCGAACGATTCCGGTATGAATTCGGTGCCTGCTTCGCCTCTCTCGCCGTGATGAACAGCGATGATACCCCTTCGTCTTCCTTTCCGATTAGTTGTACGCTTTTGCTCGCTTTCCGGTGCTCCAGACACTCATTTCGCTCTTAGTATGCCTCCCACAGCGGAGGAAACGGACTGTCGTCTATTCGATCCCTCAGTTGTATCTATCACTTCATCCATGAATCTGATAATTACGCTCATGCTTTCTTCGGCACCCTCCCTTGTGTGTAGAACTAGGTTAGATAATGATATCTAGTGTGTATCCCTTCGAATGCTCAGACTATTCTGAGGAGTTGGTTTGGCATATCACGGCTTCGCGGACAGCATAAGACAAGAACTCTGCCATGGCGGGTACTACCTCATCTAGACATCGGTGTAAGGCGATGCATTCAACCAAGCAGCGACTACGACGCACGAGCTCCTGGCATATCTACCCTTATTCACAGGTTTCGTTCACCAGCAACGTTACCTCAGACGACACAGTTCTGAGCACTCGGGGAACTGTTCAACATCTCCTTCCGTCTTCCACTTGTTTCGTATGCCTTGATGCCCGGTCTCGTACCCATCGTCTCTCGCCAGGCGGCAAGGCTGGGGTAGTCGGCGAGAAGGTTCGGGTTGAGACGCGCGAGGGCGTATAGGAGGTAGTATAGATGGAACTCGGCGAAGGACGGCTGATGCATGCAAGTTGTTGCCACGTTGGTATGTGAGGCGCACGTCAGAGGTACATATGCGCGATTGATAATAAGCGACGTACGTGCTCGTACACAAGTATCCCTCGAGCTTTCACTTTGTTTCAGTAGATGCTCCATTGCTTCATAACGATCGGCACATATTGCTTAGCAAACGCAGGTAGCAGGGTTGCCTGGGCCGATCGTGTCAGTACTACTCATATATCGATATGGATATATCATCGGCGTACCGCATCGGCACTATACACATTCCGGGAGTATGCAGAATGAAGGTCCTAATGGCATGCGAACGGGCATTCGTATTGTGGTTTCACGACGATTGACTTTGCCTCTCACCTCGCAAGCAGCCTGAAGCATGTCGACTATGGCGTCGTCTTTAAGGTTTCCGCTGCCGCCGTAACCTGAACAGTCATCAGTAAGGCTATGTCAGAACGCTCGGAATGGCGTACCCGTTGCCTTGGCAAGGTAGCGCAAGATGGCGTCTAGCTGGGCCAGATAGAACCCGTTCACCTAAGTAGGCATAGTCAGCAAGGTCTCTATGTCCAACTCTATAGCGTTTTCCATCCTAGTAATGAACCAATCCCGATGTCGTCTGAATCGACGTGAAAATAACGACCCGACATACCTTGAGCCTAGGCATTTGGTTGAACCGATACTCGTCGAGATCCCACTTCTTCGCGTGGAAATGCTCTTCGTCATTCTTCTCGACGTATGCAACCCCTGCGTCCTCGAGCAGCAGGCGGATCGGTTCTCCGCGACCGCATATCGAGAAGTACTGAAGTTCGATGTCGAGGAGTTCGACGATGGGTACCGTGGTCATCGCGACTTGACTCTGTGGAGGAAGTCGAAGTTGTTAGGAACGTTGAGTGCGGTGTTGCGTATATAACGCCAGCTATGTGACTCTGTCACTTATGAACCATGCCAACCGATCGCAGCCGGTGATCGCACGCCAATCATTAGTCTCACAGAGGCAAACCTAAACGCGACTTTGTTGAGTGGGGGGGCGGTCGTGGCCAATCATAGCCTTACGCATACGGACGCGGCTCTGCTGACAGCTGACAGTTCCTCAGGGCAGGCTCTTGGACTCAACATGAGTCAGAATTTCGGCTGGCACTGTTGGTCAGCCAGCGGTCCCGCAGGTTATTACCAGTAAGAGTACGTACAAGGGAGCTGATCAAGTGAAGCCGGAATAAATGGGCCCATCAACGAAGTTGGGTGTTCCATGATAGTAGGCGCGTAGCATGTTTCATTGAACGGCGGTGGACGACACTCACCAATGTGAATGTCAGACAGGCCAGGGTAGCCTCTGAACAACCCTCAACGCGCTGACAGTGTTACACACGAGCGCGTCGCCCAATACGAGAGCCAAGAGCGCGCAGGCTTGTCCGACAGTCATTCACTATAGCGGCCGGTATGCAGACTCGTGCTGCACGCAGCCGTATTGATGACTGGATAGAAACGAACGCCTCAGTCATACAGCCATCTGCAAGTAACCTAGATGAGTAACTGTTGAGCGATTGCTATGTCATGATTCGAATAAGCTTACATATAACGGTGAGGTGACCCGATAGACGACGGCATGCAGGGTTATTGAGGTCTGCCAGTAGCAGGTTGAGGTTGGCCGGCGGCTGGTCAGGATTCCACTGGACAAAGAAATTGCAATAGCCACGTATTTTGAACATCCGGAAAAGGGGCACGCGACGCCCATGCCCGAGCTCGAGATTGGCGATGCGTGCCTTCCGAGGTGACAGGAGGGCGGTGATGGGGGCAGCGTGGTACACGAGGACCTGGCAAAGAATCAACGGGAGACAGCGGCCAAGGGGAACGAGAGAGAGGACAAAGACTGGAGCGAGGACGCGAGGGGTCAGAGCGCTGCAGTGACGAATGTCAAACAAGAGACGACCTGAGACGTCGACGACCGCAAGAGACGATCGCACAGGCGCCCAAACTATGGCCACACAGCCAATCTAAAGTACACTGACCACTGCGCTTCGCTCAGGTCGCGCATTCTCTCTCCTCCCGTGTTTTCTCAATACTACTCACCTGTTTGCGCGTGGTTCTATCTACATAGGATAGCGCGAGATCCCATGTGGCTGTCTACGGTCACCTCACCGACTGCAAGATCGGACTCGGAGGGAACCTCGCGTGAGGCATACGAGCGAGAGCGTCTCGACCGGACAGACCAAAGCTTAGCCGATGCAGGCACTTCGGGTTGTGGGAGTTCTAGCAGCGCGCAGGGCAGCAGGATCTTCGCGGAACGTTACGCGGATGGGCGGAAACGACTCGAATCTGAGAGAGTGGAAGCGTACTAGGCAGGGAGTCACCGAAGCATCCCTCGCCGTTCAACGCTGAACGAATGCGACCCAGTAGGTACGGGCGTCGAGACTGTTCGCCTTGTTATGAAACGGCGAACCGGGGACTGAAGGTGCGACGTCGGAAGAAGACTTAATGAAGTTAATGGCGCAGCTGCTCGGGCACGCGGAATGGTCGGGCGGAATAACGGAACATACGACTCATACGATCGACAGTACGAGTGCTGCGCTAACACGAATACTTCCGAAACAACCTCAAGGAACTTCCGAGACAGCGATATATTGAGGGAGCTAGGAAGAGACGAGCACGCGCTTGGAGGGGCACGCGCACGAGAAGGCGCACTGGCAGTGCCCTCGCAGCTGATCGAGGGTAAGCATATCAAGTATGAAGTCTACAGCATACTACGACACGGAACGGACTACGATTCTACCAAAACCAGAGAATAATGTGATGTGCACCGGCGTCGTACAGTAACCGACTCTTTTGACCATGGCGACTTCACAGTACAAAGAAGGTTGGATATCTGCCCCTTCCCTCAGCTCTTCTCTTTCATACTACTTCGAGCTCATCCTCAAGCACGAGCACTGGTTGGTACGTCCCAGTGCGAAGATGTTTTCACGACGAGGCGCAAACCCTGGTCCTTGTGCTACAGCTCTGCTCCGACACCAAGAGACATCCATGCGCTATTTCACGATCGTTCTGCTCCCTATGAGCATCGCATCGCCGGTATTCGCCCTTCCGGTTTACTGGTGCGTGTTGAGAGTTCTCTGCCTCACCGATCGCAAGGCTAAGAGTTTGATACCATCCAGGAATGGACTGGCCTGCGGCGAGTTGCCTCAAGGCTCAAAGTGCACTCTTCGACATGACCTCGAAGCTCGGTACGATGCTGATGTATACGAGTCCCACACGGTGCCCAAGAGGAGACATCCTGATAACCTCTAGCTCCCGAAATCAAAACCGAAACCGCGCGTGAACTAGGTTAGATAATGATATCTAGTGTGTATCCCTTCGAATGCTCAGACTAGTCTGAGGAGTTTGTTTGGCATATCACGGCTTCCCGGACAGCATAAGACAAGAATCCTACCATGGCGGGTATTACCTCATCTAGACATCGGTGTAAGGCAATGCATTCGACCAGCAGCGACTACGACGCACGAACCCTTGACATCTACCCTTGTCAAGAATGACCTCCTCAGACGACACAGTTCTGACCATTCGGAGAATGGTTCAACATCTCCTTCCGTCTTCCACTTGTTTCGTATGCTTTGATGCCCGGTCTCGCACTCATCGTCTCGCGCCAGGCGGCAAGGCTGGGGTACTCGGCGAGAAGGTTCGGGTTGAGATGCGCGAGGGCGTATAGGAGGTAGTATAGATAGAATTCGGCGAAGGACGGCTGATGCATACAAGTTAGTGCCGACGTTGGTATGTGAAGCGCACGTCAGAGGTACCCATATACGCGATCGAAAATAAGCGACGTACGTGCTCGTATACAAAGTATCCACTGGAGCTTTACTTTGTTTCAGTAGATGCTCCAGTTGCTTCATAACGTTCGGCACATGTTGCTTAGCAAACGTAGGCAGCAGGGTTGCCTAGGCGTGATCGTGTCAGTACTGAGTTCATCTGTCGATATGTATACACCATCCACGTACCGCATCGTCATGATACACATTTCGTGAATATGCCACATGAAGGTCCTACCAGCACGCGAACGGACGTCCAGCATTTGCCGTATCACGACGATTCAAGTGACTTTGTCTCTCACCTCGCAAGCAGCCTGAAGCATGTCGACTATGGCGTCGTCTTCAAGGTTTCCGTTGCCGCCGTAACCTGAACAGCCCTCAGTACAGACTATGTCAGAACGTGTGAATGGCGTACCCCTTGCTTGGCAATGTAGCGCAAGATTGCGTCTAGCTGGGCTAATTAAACCCGTTCACCTATGACCGCGAAGTAGCCATCGTCAGCAAGGTGTCTATGTCCAATTCTTAGTAGCATTTTCCATCCTGGTATAACCCAAGTCCCGATGTCGTCTAATGACCAGAATCAATCACCCGACATACCTTGAGCCTAGGCAGTTGGTTGAACCTATACTCGTCGAGATCCCATTCGCATGAAAGAAAGACTCGGCGTCATTATCTCGACGTATGCAACCCTGCGTCCTCAAACAGCAGGCGAATCGGTTCCCCGCGACCGCAGATCGCGAAGTAATGAAGTTCGACGTCGAGGAGTTCGACGATCGGTACCGTGGTCATCGCGATTTGACCGGTGTGGAGAGATGGGCAGTTGAAGTTGCTGGAACGTAAGCATGGTATGCGCCGTGGTGTTATATAGTGCCGTCACTTATGAGCGCTTAAGCCATACCAACCGTTCGCAGCTGACCAGTCCGACATATTCGGAACGTAATGGGCACGTCAATCATAGCCTCACCTATACGCTCTGCTTGACGCTGACGATTCTGTCGGGCTCTGGACTCACGGTGGGTCAGAGTATTCGCGGCACTGATGGCTCTGTCAGCGATTTGCAGGTTAACATCAGTAAGAGCACGTACAAGGGAGCTGACCAAGTCCGACATAATCGGAACATAATGGGCATCAACGAAATTAGGTGTTGGATGATAGTTAGCACGTAGCATGTTCCACTGAACGGTGATGGACGACGGGCTCACCGATGTGAATGTCAGTTGCTACTCAAAGAGCTCGCGGGGACAGTTACACACTAGCGCGTCGCCCAATGGTGCCGCAGGCTTGTCGGGCAGTCATGCAATATAAATAGCGGCCGGTATGACTCGCGCACACAATCGTATTGATGACTAGATAGAGACGAACACCTTAGTCATATAGCCATCTGCAATTGCGATGGTAAAATTCGAGCATAGCGGTTGGTCGCAGGACAGCACCGTGCCAATGGGTAGTAACGCACAGATCGACACAACTGGGATTATTTGAAGCGGGAAGCTCACTTGTATCGCGCCCATCGGCAACGACACGCAGGGATACAAGTCGTAATGAAGGGTCATAGATCAGTAGCCTTTAATTCGAGGCTCCACCGCACAACATAACGCAACGCTCACATCCGAAAGTAACAGAGACCCGTTGTAAAGGCAGAGACAGAACAGGGGCTCGACGATGCAGAGCGGTTAGTGCAGCAGGACGCACGAAACTCGATGCGAGAATGGCAAGAAGTACATCGACCATATCACCATGGTTGACGACAAGCTTGATGAACCAAAGCTTGGCGAAGGCGGAATCCACAAGGGTGCACGTTTTTGCATGACGAGTCATAGCCAGTTTGAACCCATTTGAGACATTGATAGGGCGAGGCAGCCAGGATGCGGCCAAAATCGATGGTATAGCCACGGTCAGAAATCACATCGCCAAAACAGATAAGTAACGTACCATTGGCAGCATTCCCACAAGATCTTTCTTGGTTCTTGTCGACTCAGACGACAGAACAACTAAGACGCACGGGTTGAGTACTACTGGTATCATGTACCAGCCATCAAATGCGACACACCTCTTCCGAGCCCCTCTGTCGATCCGCCGACACGTAAAGGTCACATCTGAATGCCGACAACAGGATCAGCTCACGATCGTCGCGTATAAGAAGCCGTCAAGCCTGCCCCTTGCCCATAGCTCCTTGCCAACAGCATCTGAAGCAACAGGCCGGCGCGTCTTAAGTGCTGCATCATCCAGTTCAAGATCTGTATTCGCCGCAGGATCAAACACGTACTGATGTGCAGACTATGAAGCATTGATGTGTTGTCCTCGTCTCTTGCGTACGGGCACGGGAGAGCCTTAACATTCAGGCTGCGTCGGAAACGGATATCTGAAAGACAAACTCAGAGTTACCGTAGACGGTGATGCTCAGGGACGTCAAACGACCAACACAGACGAACGGTCGTGCCACCACCAGCGTTCCTATCTTGGCTCAGCTGAGCGAAACAGCGCTTCGAGTTGCTCGACGCACGGCGACTTAATTGAACACTGATAGTCTGCTGCTGCCCGGAGACTGATGTCAATTGTCTGTCGTTGTACCCGGTAGGACTCGTCCTCGTGTTCCGCCCTCGCGATTTACTGGATGGTCTCCATTGCAATGAGTTATCCACAAAAGAACATCATAACTCCGACACCCTAGATCACTATTCGTACAACACTCTGCCACTGGACAATGGTCAGTGAAGTCCACACCATTTCACTCGCACGTACCACATACCGGTCAATAAGCAATAGGCTCATGGCACAAGATGTACGCTCTGCGGTCTTGGCGGAGCTTACTGCTCGCTGACGAAGAGCCCCGCCATGCCCATGCCCGACCCAATACACATGCTCGTGACGAAGATCTTGCCGCCCGTCTGCTTCGCGATGTTCAGACCCGTCACGATCTGCCTCGCCCCAGCTATCGAGACAACCCAACATCAGCCCCACACACGAACAAAATTTCGATAGAGATACGCACTGCAGCCAAGCGGGTGTCCAAGCGCGATCGCGCCGCCCCACACGTTCACCTTGCCGAAGTCGATCCCGAGCTCGCGCACGCAGTACAGCGCCTGGCTCGCAAACGCCTCGTTGATCTCGTAGAAGTCGACGTCGTCCTTGCTGAGCCCCGCCTTGGCAAGCACCTTCGGGATGGCGTAGAGCGGGCCGACGCCCATGATCCGTGGGGGGACGCCGATCGCCGTGGCGCCGACGAACTTGCCGACGATGGGGAGCCCGAGGCGTTGTGCGACGGAGCGACGCGCGAGAATGACCGCTGCTGCGCCGTCCGACACCTGTGAGGCGTTTCCTGGACCAGATTAAGTCTCAGGAACGCGCGCGCGCGCGAGGACACTCACCGGCGTGCGTCGAGCCATCCTTGGAGAACGCAGGCTTCAGCTTGCCGAGGCTCTCCTTCGTGACGCCGTCTCGCACACCGTCATCGTGGTCCACGACGGTCGTGCCCTCCTTCTCCGTCTTGGGGTCGGTCCAGGGCACGGTGAGGGGGGTGATCTCGGGAACGAACCGGCCCTCCTTCTGTGCCTTGGCGGCCTTCTGGAAGGACGCGGCGGCGAAGGCGTCCTGGTCCGCGCGGGGGATGTGGAAGTCACTGGCGACGTTCTCGGACGTGATGCCCATAGGGATGAGGCAGTCCTCAGCCTCTTTGCAGGAGAGGACGGTCTCGGAGAAGCCGTCAGGGTTTGCGCCGGCGTTGAAGCCGAAGGTCATGGACTCAACACCAGCGGCTGTGTGCGCGGGTTAGCAAAGAAAATTGAGCGCGACGCGAGCCGTGCTTTGTCCAGTCGAGGCTTGCGGGGCAGATGTGGTGCAAGTCCACGGTCAGGTACACTGAGTAAGCATACACAGACGAGAGGATGCGACATGATGGCTTTGACGCGTACTTGATCCTCAAAACACGCACACTTTATTCCACCCTCCCCATCCGAGTCGACTGGACCACAGCAAGCTCAGATGAAAGAGATCCACATACCGAGACCTATGTCGATCTGGCCCGAGGTGATCTGCGCCGCGATGGTGTTCGCTGCCGCAAGACCCGACGAACACTGCCTATTCACCGTGCTGATAGGCGTTGTGATTGGGATTCCTGCGTGCAACTCCGCCATGCGCGCCGCACTGGCACCGCTGCCGGGCGGGAGGACATTGCCGACGGTGATGTCCTCGATGAGTTTTGGGTCGAGGCCGACCTTGGTATACGCGGCGCGGAGGATGCCAGAGAGAATCTCCTCTGGCCGCGTGTCCTTAAAGCCGCCCTTCTTCGCCTGTGTGGTAGGTGAGTGGGTGTACGGGGAAGCGATGCGTGCAGAGGGAGGCGTACCTTTGTGATGGCTGAGCGGACGGCAGAGACGATGACGACGTCGTCAGGGTTCTTTGCGAGGACTTTGCTCTTGCCTGAGCCCGACGCGTTCGAGATGGAGTGTGCAGCAGACATGGCGGGGAGGAGAGGGAGAGAGAGGGCGGGAGACTCGTCTTGACCGTCGTCTTGAATAGGATGGCTGTCGGGCGAGCTTAATCCCATGCCCGTGTCTGTCGGGCCCGATTTCACGTGTTATTCGCCCCCGCTTTCCCCGCACTCCCCATCTCATGCTCGCAACTGAAGTTATGTAGTAACAGGTGTAGTAACACAAGACCACCGACGGCAAGCCGCGGAGTACGCAGGCCGCTGATAAGTGCCTGCAGACCAGACATCACGCGGCCCAAGGCGAGGGCATGATGAAGACGGCCCCGATTCTGCTCATGTTGTGCAAACGAACGCCGCTGCACGCGGGTGTCATCGACCGAATACTTCCTCGAAGACCTCAATTGAAATGCAAGCAGAGAGGTTCCAGAGTACTGAGTGAGCGGGCCTTCTCAGTCAAGACAGTTTCATGTGCACGTCAGCAAATCTACGTACCATCATGTGTCGCAATGCTTCACCGACGCACGCACGTCGACGTCCATCGTCAAAATCAACGCCATCTACAAGCGGGCAGCGAGAATAAGCGATGAGAGACCGATAGGATAGCGAGTACAATAGTGGTACAGTATTTCATTCGGCACATGTACGATATCGAGGGAAATCGCGCGGAGCCAGTCAACGATTCATATCGTATGGCCTCCGCAGCTGTCTTACGCCCTCGACACTTACCCAACTGAGGTTGTCACTTTAAACTTGTCATCCTCGTCGTTTCCATTGGTACCCATGGAGTCACTGAGTGAGAAGAGGAAAGTGAAGTGAGAAACACGCCTGCACACGCGGAAGGACTCGCTCACATTGCACTGCCCGAGCAATGTCCCAATGCCTCAGGGAGAGGTCGACTATAGTACGGTCACACCACGGCTTGAGCAAAGCGCGGAACGTGGCGACGAGCCCTTGACCATCGGCATACACGTCGCCTTGCTCACAGAATGCAATTCCGGGTCGTTTCGGACTACCATCGTCATCTTGACGTCTTTCGATTCTCGGTCATCCTTGCCCAGAACTCGTAGTCATCCCGCGGCGAGCTACATTGTTCGACTGCGCCAAGTCCATGACCTGGGGGGTCGTTCACGGCGCGGGCGACAAGCTCGTCGCGCATCTGGAGGTTGCGGGTCGAACGCCGAGTGTCTAGCGGCGAGACGAGAGCAGCAACAGGCAGAAGGCGGACAGGGCGAAGTTGACAAGCAGTGGACGAGGGCGGTCTGTAAGTGAGCTAGGCAAAATATACATAAATATCAACGGTGGCGGCGAGCAACGGTTCGGAGGACGGCGTCGAGGACGGAGACGAGGAGGACGCGCGCTCAGATCTGGGCCCGGTAGACCTCCCTCCGCTCCTGCGGGCTCCCTTCGACCTGCTCGACCTGTCCCTGCTGCGCCTGCGCCTGGGCTTGGCCGTCGACGCTCTCATGCACCAGGCCCGACGCGGGACTCCCGCCGGCCGGCATCAACGACCGAATACAGGTGCTCGCGTTCCCCTGATTGTCCTGCACCTGCACCTGGCCCAGCTGGAACGGCGCGATTGACCCGTGATTCGCGTAGTGCGGCGGGAACGCCTGCACGCCACCGTAGTGGTGCTCGTGCGCGTGCGCAGCGGCCATAGGCGAGAGGCGGCCCGAGCCGGACGGGCGCGAGCGCGCGGAGGGTTTGAGGGTGACGGGCCGCGGGCGAGATTGGGTGCGCTCGAAGAGGCCGCACTTGTTGCAGAGCTGCAGAGCGGTTCAGCAAGATACAGGTCGAACGACGAAAGACGGGACACGCACCACCTTTCCCGGCGTGAGGCTCGAGCGCCGCCAGGTGCTCGTGTCCGTGGTGTGGCAGTTGTAGCACTTCCTCCTCACGCGGTCGGAGAGCTTCATCGCGGCGTCGCTGGTGTAGTTGGGCCGCCAGTAGCCGGGGTACACAGGATGTGTGTGTGTGTGGGGGGGGGGGGGCGGACGGTGCGCATGGGGCCGGTGCTGCCGTGCGCGTAGGGCGAGGGCGCGTCCTCTAGGCGGTCGTTGGCGGTAGGTTCGTGATCGTCGTGCGAGCAGAGCTATTGGCACGAGCTGAACTTCGAGTCGAATCTGAATCGGCTCCTGCTTGCGACCCAATCTGCTCTTCCGGTGGCCTTTCTTTCGATCCGGCAGGATTTGCCGCATTTCTTTGCGCAAGGGCGGCACTTTCCGCCAGAATCGTGGTGTCGTTATTGAAGAGCAACATACCAACTGCGGACACTATCAATACAATCCAACACTATCCAAGTTGGCACACTCACGACCATTACTGGTGAGCTCAATTTCTGGCCAGACAGTCTCAAGGAAGGTGGGTATGTCGTCTGGGATGGGGTATTCACTCGGTCCATTGTTCTGTCACGGAAGAGGTCAGCTGAATCCGTGGGTACGGCAATGTATGTCGCACACCTTGCAGATTTCTAGGATATCGCTGTCGCTCGCGATAGCTTCGGTTGCGTCTGAGTTCTGCCGAGCTGGTCTGAGGACGTTCGATAGGCAGGTATTCTAAGGAAACAAACCTGTAATATATAGTCGAATACATGGTCAACTGGATCGTACCACTGCGCGGCCTTCGTCAGAGAGTGAATCACGGGCATGCCTCGGATGCATACCTTTCTCTTCAACGGAGCCTCTTCATCCTCGTCATCCTCGTCATCATTGACAGAGGACGCATCGTGCGGTTCCGCCGCAGCTTCTATCTTCGCAGGCAGAACTAGCCTCCTCTTCATCTTGAAATAGTGCAAGAAGATACAATGCGTCGTCTTGACCCATCCTCTGACGAACAGGATCTCGTTGAGCCGCTTCTCCATACCGAGGACCTCTGTAGCGTAATACACCCAGCTATCGATGTTCTTCTTCATATACGCCTTCATCCGACGTGCCTGGTGAAGCTCCGCGCGCGCTGCAGACGATCCTACAACAACGCATGCTCCTTGGTTTCTACGCATTCGAACTCGAAGCCCACTTTCGCGCCATGTCTGTGGCGGCGTGAGATTTACGATGATCTAGAATATGACAACGAGAACGACATACACGGCGGTCTCCGCCATCTCTCCGACTCTCTTGACGGTCCTGCTGAGCAGGGGACCTGCGCTGATGGCATTATTCGTGCGCTTGGGTTGCATGTCGATCGTGAACCCGTCAGGGGCACGATGAGGCTTGTTGTTCAGGAGATCTTCCTTGTCACGGAGTGCATTGAATAGACGACAGAAACTCCCCTTATCCAAGTAACCGACGTCCCCAGCTCTATCTCTATGTCGTCTTCCGTCGCCTTGGGTTGCCATAGTGGGTAGCCATTGCCGCATTTGAGATTGAAGAGCTCCTTCGCGTACACCTCTGACGCGGCCATCAGTCGAGACTGTCAAATGTTAGATCGCGGTGTGCAACGGAGCACCACCCACTGCAGAATAGGCGGGCAGTAGTACGCAAGGAGATGATGATGATTTACAGCGTTGACCACGAGTCTTATACACTCGAGGAATAACCGCACCTGTGTGCACGGGGCTGTGGTTGCGGCCTGTGCGACAACTTCTTCTACTTACAAATATGCAGTCACTGTAGTAGGGCTGCGCCAGGGTTCCGCCCGGCTCAATAGCTGTGCGCTGTGGACCGATCGGATCCAGATTCAGACTTCATGTAATACTTGGGCAAACGGAAGCGGATAGCATACTCAGTTCGGGGTATATTGACGTCCACAATATTCACACACCATCTGCAGAGCACATCGCTGCCTCCCTCCATACTGCGGCGCGGCGAACATGCCATCCCAGGGTCTTGAACGTTTGGATATCCGACACGCGCCGATTTTGAAGACCTCGTCGCAAATTGAACGCTGAGCCTAGCCCAGTCCCAAACGATCTCTGTGCATCGTGCATTTCAACGAAGACATGCAGAAATTCCCAAGATATACAGCTGTGAGTAGAAGATGCTGTATCCATCGTGCTGGTCGCCGGCAGGAGGTAGTAGCGCGAGGCGCACAGAGTTAGTAGCTGCTCATGGAACTCTGCAAGGCGGGTTGAAGGCGGGTACGACCAAGGGGCCGACGCTGTCGCAAGCGCTGAAACGAACTAGTGCAGAATAATTTAGAAATCCAGACATAGGAGGAAGCAAAATGTGTGTTGGTTCAGCGCAATTCGAATCCATGTGAGGCTGCACAACGAGGAAGCATGGTACACTGACCTGCACCATCGAACATCTAAATCCTTGAATTTGCTAGAGATGTACGTGTACATACAGGTGTGTACCTCCAGCACGGGCCGCAAACAACGTAGACATAAATCCATCGTCACGATCTTGGGATGGAGGCCGTCGCTCTCCCTCGCCAAACTTTCAGAACGCCGCCTTGGAAGAGAAGAGCGTCCCAAATATACACGAGGTGAAACTTTCGATGAAGAGAAATCCGCCCGCCTCCCGACCTTATACCGCCGACGCAGTTCCCACGCACGGGCCCGACGCACATAAAGTCGCGCTGGCAGAGGGCGCTAAATTCTTCACAGTCACCTCGACCAGGAGCTGGCGTCGTCGTCGTCGGTGAGGACGTCTTCGCTCCGGTCTGCTCTGTAGACTCGCGGTCGAGCATATCGACCCTCGGGGCCTGACGCTGGGCATACCGTCTGCTTCCTGATCCCACTGGTAGGCGGTTAATCAGCTTTTGGCACATCTCGTCCTTTGTCCGCCGCTCCTCGATGTGTTTCGTATCATGTGTTTGTTCGCGCCCTCTTATGCGTAGTGACGCTTGATTGTCCATTCCTCGGTCTGCAATGAGTGCTCTATCACGACGTGTGTTTCGTCTCGGTACATCTGAGGAGGGATATCGTGATGCTACTGAGGCAGGGGACGAGGTACGCACGCCTACCCGCTGTCTTCGGCTCAACGAATCCTAATTTGCATTCCGAACAGGTGTCCTTGGAATGCATTCCAAAGTGCACTCCATCAGCTACTGACGCGATTCCATACAACGATCCAGCGATGATCCAGACGTGAGATCATCTCACACGACGACATTCGTGCGGAGCCAGCTCACCCCTGACTCAGACCCACGCTTCTCGGAGGGTTCTTCAGTGTCCTCCGTCTCGGGCGCGGACTGAAACTCAAGGTTCAAAGAGTTGGCAGTCCGCGAAGCGCGGTGAGATTATGATGGTGCGTGCTCCGAGCTCCGAACGAACTTCCCTGGCCGTCTGCGACCTGAAGCTGACAACCCTGTCAGCTAACAAGAATGCGTTCACATCGCTGCCGGAAGTCGGTCCGTATGTGTTGTCTTTTGAGTTCGCGGTCTAAGTGATCAGGTTCCCAGGGGCGCACCGGTCGAGGGACCTGGGTAGCTGCAAGGGCACGCTGGCGCGCAGCGCCAGCGTGCCGGTGGTACGCACCCCCCGTGGGAATACGCCTCGGGACGACCGGGCGACTGGGATTAGACGCTGCGCTGCAGACACTGGCTGAATGGACATCGCACAGTGCACGCCAGACGGAAACTATTTGTTTATCAAAGAACGAGTGACTATGCGCCCATAATAGCTCTAAATGTGTTTAAGGCGTGTAGATCAATCTAGCACCGAAATTCAAAGGTACTAACAGTGATCACCGCTGTATTCAGTATGTTCAATGTTGGTCTTGACATACAGATCCGGAGACAGTCAGCGAAGATACAATTACTCTGCTGCATGTACCACGCTGAGACTCTTGATACGACTGATCATTACGAAACGACCACCACACTCGACAGTGCACGACGACTACAAGATGCCAGTGCGGGACACTATCGATATTTATGCACGTCCATCCTCGATCGCCTGTTATGGCTCGCCGGTTCGTCCCGAGGCGGTTCCACGAGGGGGTGCGTACCCGGGCACGCTGGCGCTGCGCGCCAGCGTGCCCTGGGTAGCTGTACATGTAAGTACGCCAGCTGTGCTCAGTGTCTAGTCAACGCCTCCTAAGGGACCAATGGGGCTGCGCAGGGGCGGGACCTCAAACTGTGTGTTACCTTACCTCAACCTTACCTCGTACTTTCCACTTCAGACGTCCGTGTAACGTGTATCATCAGATGCTCCCCATCTCTGCATCGCGATCCGGGCGTATCAATCTGATGCCAACCCAATCCGCATTTCATAGACGGCCATGACAACGCATTCGGTGCCAGCCTCCTTTGGGCGTCCTCGGGCCCTCGTGCTGTGTGCGATCCCGCGTTAGCCGTTGAGGCGTTGACAACTTGACAAGTTGATGGGTTGACGCGAACAGGAACAGTCACCAGTGCACCCGTCGACACGATGAGCGAACAACAATGGCAAGACTGTCATTGAAGGATGATTCAGAGGAGCTTGTTGGATCAAGACCGCAGTGCGTGGTGCTATTCCCATCGCTGCTCCTGCCAATATCAGTGCTGCCCCTTCATTCCTCCGGGACGAATCACAGACGGCACCGCACCGCACCCCAGTCCGTCCTGAGAGGGAGCTGAAAGAGTAACAACCTTCCCTCCGTGCAAGTCAGTTCAGTCTGACTGATGATCCGAGGTATGGTATTGCCTATGTCAGTCGACATCCTCGCGCTGAATCTACCGATGTTCACAGTTGTCAACAAGCACATAGGCTCTTCGCCATCCAGGCACCCTTCGTCCGCCACCACGCAGACGTCGCTCCAGCTCAGCGGATCGCGTTCATTTACCGCGGAGCGCGGGCCTTCCCTCCGAAACAAGGCAAGAAGAGCCCATCCGGGCGGACGACGGTCGTAAGACCTGACATTCCAGTGTTCCCCGAACGGTGATGGATGTGTTGGAGTGATCATATCGGCGGAAGGACGTTGCAGGGATCAATGAAATTCGACGGGCACGCCCGACGGAGTGGTGAGTGGTGTGTTGAGGCGGTGCGGCCTGGGAGGAGTCGGGGTAGCTCATCATGGTCCTGGGTAGGTATGGTCCTCAGGATAGCGAGGAGGCATGGCCCCCGGCGTCGTGTGTGGGCTGCGCACAGGCAGAAACGGCGCGTCGCGATGGACGGGGTTCGTTCATAACGTCGAAGGCTGTAGTCCGACGGGCTACTATCAACGACCGCACTCCGAAGTCGAAGTGAGCCTTGACACAACACGACATCCGGCGCTCCATCATCTGATCTAGCACCCGTTTGTGTGCATGCGCTTCGTCCTACCAGGTTCGCTCGAGCCAGACAGGAAGGTGCGCCTCCGCTTCCATCGTCGTCAAAGCTCTGCTGTATTGAACCCCACCCGGCAGTGCGCCCGAACCGCCGGCTCCATCAAGTTGGACCACCATCTGTCCGCAGGCAGAGGTCGAAGGCCTGCACCGCTGATGTGCTGGGCCGTCTCCTTCGCGGGAAGGGTTCACTGTCAGTCGAGCCTTGTCGACATCTGATGCTGTCGTCCGATCTGGGCTTCTGAATTGCGCCTGCGGGCGGGCGGGCGGTTCACTCGAGCGGGTCTCCCGAGGGGTTGATGGGTGCATCGGACACCGTAGAACCCCCTGGGATCATCGTCGTGTGCAGCCCGACGTAACCGCGGCTCAGCGCGCAGGGGGTCCAGCGGGGGAGAACCGTGCGGACTGTGTCGGGGCTGGAAGGTCCGAGGAGGGGCACTGCGACGCCTGTCACGCCGCGTACGACGTTGCGCACGCGCCGAGGGGCTGCAGTCCATGGTGTGCCCGCTGGTGCGTGGACTGCACGCTGTCTTGCTTGCTTTCGCTGAAAGAAAGTCTGTGCTTTGTCACGCCGCGTTGTGGCACATCAGTGCCTTCCCAGCAGGGCATGTCGACAGACGGGAGCATTGTTCCCGAGGACGGTGTCGGAGTGCGTCCGCTCGGCGGCGCATGCAATGATCGAGCCCGGAAGTGCTACGGAGGGCTCGGTGGAGAGGAAGTGCGGGCGGCACGATGTGTGCGCTACTCCCAGCCAGCCTCGACGCCCGTTGACAACAAGCTGCGCAATCCATGGTGCGTAGGTTCAGCGAGGAGGCTTTGTTCACGTTCAGCATTGACCGGTCGTTTGCCAGAGCCTCGGGTCGCACCCGCAACCGCTCCTGCAGTCTCGTCCATGACTCACGATCAAAACACGTCCCGGCCCTCTCCTCTGGCATAATCACCATGAAGGCTGGTCCACCGGAACAGCAAGAACATCCCAGCCCTAACCCTAAGCAGCTTGCCTTCGCCACGGATGGGCCCGCCTGCTGCATCAGAACGTAGCGAACTCATAGGTGCGGTGCTTCTTACACCTCGGGTCGGCTGCGACAGCTTGTCCCGAGTTTACGTAGGAAACGGTTCCTCACCGGCCCTCAACAGGGCGGAACTCGTTGGGCGCACAACCGACCGCAAGTCCAGGCCCATCCGGGCGCGAAGCAGCCAGCCCGCAGTTGCGCCGTTCGAACGGCCACGGGCTCGAATGCCGCATCCAACGCGGCTCACTTCCGTCGGTGGTTCGCGCGGAGATTGGCGAAGGAACGGACGGGGCGACAGAGAATCTCTTTTTTTCGCAGCAGAAATGTTGGTACAAGGACCGAGTTGATCTTCTCCCAGTCTGAATCGCCATGGGGACCGTCCGCATCAATTCTCGAACCACACGTCAGGACGCACGTCCTGAAGAAAATGACGACAGGGATGCGTCGAGCGTTGACACGCGTGTCGTCCGCTGCGTGGGTGCATGACGGCGGGCACGCTTCGCAGCGGTCAGTTTTCGCGAACCAGCCACGCGGGCGCGTCGCAGCCGACCGTGCGCACCCAAGCACGTGCTGGCCACGGTGGGCCAGGCTGCGAAGCCCGCCCGCCGTCGCCATCAGCCGCAGCCACTTCGGAGAAAGCCCGTGCACGTCCATATGCGTCTGTGTGCTCGTTCGCATTACGCCGCCCCTTCCGCATCCGCCAAGTCGTCCGACGCCGCGAACGCGACGTTCTGGAACACGCGCTCATGCCACTGGTGCGGACAGCCGCGGCGTGCGGACGTCAGACAAGCTCTGGCACGGTGGCAGCCTCGACGCCGTGCCGGGGGGCAGCACCACCGCCTCCCAAATATAGGACCGCCCATCACGCGCGCGAAGCAGCGTCAGCGGCCACCCTCTCGCCCTTCCCACTCGCTGCGCGCGGGCTTCGACTAGGCACGCCCGCCCAGCACGGATCCCTTCTACGCCCGCTTCCATCCCCGCTGCCAGTGGAGGCTGCCTCGTGCGCCGCGGTGAGTCGCCGCTCGTGCAATCTTGACGCGCCCCGGTGAGAGAGCCCGCGTGGTCCTCCGCAGCGCGTGACGGCCAGGACCCAACGTCGGCGCGAGGGCGGACACGCAGGCACGCCGCCGGCCTCCCACAGGCGAACTTACGATGCATTCACGTCATGGAGGACTCATCACGGCTTCAACTTCCCAGGCTGTCTGTCCCTGCCAGCCCCCCGGGCTCGATCCGAGCTTCGTGACCCGTCCGTGTGCGCGCCAGAGGCCAGTGTTCCGTGGGCCCGAGTCCAGACCGCGCGCGCGGTGGGCGGCTCGCCCGGTTGCCTCACCCACGCGGGAGAAGGAGGCGTCGAGGCGCTGGATCAGCTGTGCGCGTGCGCGTCTGATCGCGGGCCTCCCGTCGAACACAACAACAACAACAACGGTGAGACGTCTTCGAGTGGTCGGATGCGGGGCGCCGAGGACAGCCGTGTGCGACGTCTGTCTCGTCATGCCATGCGTTCGGGAGCCCGAGTTCCCTGCGCTATTGTGCGGGACTGATGGGAAGGACGCGGAGGACGAACGCGGCCGATACGCAGAAGAGGCACAATACAGTGCCAGAAACGCGCAGACGTGTGTGATCCCCGGCGGGCCACTGCTGTTCGCACTGCGGCGCCCGAGGCGGACGGGCCGCGAGCTCGGATAGGCTTCATGTAAACGGATGCGGCAGGCCACAGCCTGACGCGCACAGACAGGCCCTGGGGAAGACGGAGCACGCGTTCAGGTTGCGCGGCCAATCCGGTGGCGGAAGGGGGCTGGAAGGGGCAAACGCGGACATGGAAGGGCGCATCAGTCAGACGCGACTCAAGTGCTGCTCGCTCAGCCGCGTCAGCTCGGAATAGACCTCGAGTCGCCCTGCTGACTGCGCACGGTGAGGAGCAGAGACGCGTGCTCCAGGACACTCTTCTCTCCTTCGCGTCTTCGCGCGCACGTGCGGCCTCTCCTGTGGTTGGAGGTTCCAACACGGATACGTGTTTCCAGAACGGCCACCCACTTTCCACAAGTCGCCCACCGACTACGTGCGGGCCGCATCGAGCAAATTCAGCGAGCGCACAGCGACGTTCTAGTTCGCGTCAGGATCCGCTATCAGCGTGTTCGCTGGTCCACGTCGCGTTGATAGGGCCTGCTTACAACAGCAAACGCGGTCCTCGCCGCGGCGCGCGTGGGATGCCGCACCCACAACGGGGCATCCAGGCCCACCGCGCCGTCCACCGCGCGCCGTGCCAGTGGAAGGTTCATATGCAGGCTGGGACGCTGGACGCTGGGAGCGCACCTGACGCGCACGTCCTGGGCTGATGCGGCCCCCGGGCCCGCGCGCTGATTCGCTGCGAAGCGTCCGCGGCCGGGGAGGACACCCTCTTCTGGGCTCACGCACGCACGCTGGGCTGCCTTCCGAGTCGCAGGTCCACGCGCACGGCGACGCTCGAAACGCGGCCTCTCGGGCGAGCTCGCCGTGCGCCGTGCGCCGTACGCCGTGATCTATGTGCTTGCCTGTACCGTCGTCATCCCGTGCGCTTGGACTGCAGACTGAGTGGGTTCCGGACACTGCGCACGTGGTCAGACAGTCAACCCGCATACACGTCGTTACTCGTAACAGGTAACGGAACTTACTCCCACATGCAACGACCTGGACTCGGAGGCCGAGCGACACCGTTACGGTCGTCCTTGGGTCCTGCCCGCTGGCGGGGCGCCCTCTGATGGGCACAGTTGGATATCCGGGTCCGGGCGAGTCGGGCTCGATGGCGGCGAGGATGCGCGCGCTTCGAGGAGGTGAGCAGGCGCGTCAGGACGATCGCAAGTGTCTTTGCTGTATTACGAAGAGGAGAGGACACGTGAAGCGCCGGCGCCGGGCGAGTGTGTCGCATCAGACAATAGCGTCGTCGCTGCGCGTGAGCGCGTCTCTGCGACTGCGTCTGCCTGAAGGGGTCTCGAAGTTTGTGGTCGGGCTCGATGCGTGCAAGTTCAACGGGCCCCGGGAGAACTAGCACTGGCAGGACGTACCCAATACACCGTGCGTTTCCACCATGCCGCCATGCCACTGCAGCTGGGCTGCTAGGCACGACTCGACATGGCCAACACGCCTTCCAATCCACCAGCCCCATTCCGAGTCGCCGTCCACCTTCTTCCGCCCACCCGAAGGCTTCGCGAGTCCACCAGGACCACACCCTGCCCACCGGAAATGAAAGAGGCGCTGCGCGGCACGACCCTCCCAATTTGAGATCAGATCGCGCACGCACTGAGCGAGCCCTTCTTGTCAACCACTGCAGACACGCGCTGGAGAAGCCAGCCGCCGCGGTGTTCGCTGGTATGTCGTACGCATGTCAGAGACGAGGGCCCGGACCACAGCCACAGCATCAGCCACGGCCCACAGCCACCTTTCCTTCCAGATAATTCCAAGATAATCCCATCACTCGCATGCGCCCCATCAACGTTACGTTCGACGCTCGGCCACCAGAAGCGGCCACTTCACCGGAAGGATGGTGGTCCACATCACTGGCATTGACAGAATCTGGATCTCAGCTCGCCTAGCAGCTCGGTCACCGGTGCGTGTAGCGGACCACACAAGGACGCCCATATTCGCTCGGACGCCGAGTGGTGCACTGATAAGCCTGCCAGCGGGCGGTGCTGCAGAGTTCAGCTTGTGTACGACTTACGTCCTAGTGCGCGTACTACCTGATGGGTCGGGTCGCACTGAACCGAATCCATTGTGTATACCATCATTCCACAGTGGCGGTGCGGTGCCGGGCCAAACGGTCGTATTCGAGTTCGCTTTTTGTTTCTCCTTTTGTTCCAGCCTTTTGTCGCCGTCGCGATCCCTGAATGGTACCGTAATGACCTGTACATCGCCACCGCTTATTGTCATCCACGATCATCCTGATTCATGACGGCGCCCACCCGGAGTCTCACAAAAACAACTCAGCGAACGCCGTCACTGCACTCCCAACACGATCGACCCAGTACTAGCGAGATCCAGTCTTATCGATTGAAGGATCTGACAACTTTTGAATTGAATAATTGCGTGCGTGCGCGACGACAGAGTGTATGCAGATAGCAAGCAGAACGATCGTAGACAGAGACATAAGCATAGACAGAGAGACGAGAGACGAAAACAGAGCGAGGCACGAAGACGCCGCCGAGCGCGGCCGGCCTGCTGAACCGGAGCTGTAACGAGGCTGGATTTGAAGGGGTAACAGAGAATAACGAGGACGGACGGACAGCGGGCGTGCACCGATTAAGCTTGAAGATCGTTCGAACAGCGTGGAAGGGCATTCAAGGATAACGTAGCTAGAAACACAAGAGGCGGGTACCGGTACGGGGACTGCGGGGATGCGATGGGGGCGAGGAAGTGAGGGGACGATGCGAGCGCGAGCGCGAAAAAAATAACGACAAGAGATAACTTGAGAGGCTACACGGTATTCGACGAGACGAGTGCGGGCTTCCGACAATAATTACACGCGAACGCCCGCCGTCGCGGCGGGGAAGGCAGGCAAGCAGGGCGCGGGCTCAGCCCGCAGACGACGCGGGCCACAAGAAAAGGCAACGGGCAGCGTAAGGAAGGAGGAGAAGGAAAAAAAATACAAGCGGCGGATCAGCGTCTCTGTCTTCTCCAAAAGCTAAAAGCAGAATTTTGACCGTCCTCCACATCTCTCCCTCCGACGACCGGTGGGCAGGCAGAGAGGCGGCGGGGAAGGCAACGGCGGCGAGCATAAACATTTTCTTCGAGTCTAACGGCGAGACGAGAGCAGCAGCAGGCGGGAGGCGGACGGGGCGGGGCAGACAAGCAGTGGACGAGGGCGGTCCGCGAGTTGGCCGAACAAATTACACATAAATAGCCACGGCGGCGGCGAGCAACGGCTCGGAGGACGGCGTCGACGTCGGAGACGACGAGGACTCACGCTCAGGCCTGCGCCCGGTAGACCTCCCTCCGCTCCCGCGGGCTCCCCTCGACCTGCTCGACCTGCGTCTGCTGCGCCTGGCCGTCGACGCCCTCATGCACCGACACCGACGCGGGGCTCCCGCCGGCGGGCGTGTTCAGCAACGACCGGATCTCGGGCAGGGTGCTCGCGTTCCCCTGGCCGTCCTGCACCTGCACCTGCGCCTGACCCTGCTGGTCCTGCGCGTAGTACTGCTGCTGCTGCGGCTGGCCGCCCTCGCGCTGGCTCATGAGCGGCGCGATGGACGCGTGGTTCGCGTGGTGCGGCGGGAACGCCTGCACGCCGCCGTGGTGGTGGTGGTGGGCGTGCGCGGCGGCCATGGGCGGGAGGCGGCCCGCGGAGCCGGGCGGGGGCGAGCGCGTCGAGGACTTGAAGGACGCGGTGACGAGCGGGCCGCGCTTGTGCGGGAACTGGTCTGGCCGCGGGCGGGAGTGCGTGCGCTCGAAGAGGCCGCACTTGTTGCAGAGCTGCAGGGCGGTTTAGCATAAAGGAGAGGTCGAGCGATGGAAGAAGAGACACGCACCACCTTGCCCGGCGTGAGGCTCGAGCGCCGCCAGGTGCTCGTGTCCGTGGTGTGGCAGTTGTAGCACTTCCTCCTCACGCGGTCGGAGAGCTTCGTCGCGGCGTCGTTTGTGTAGATGATGTAGTTCGGCTGGCCGGGGTACGCGGGCTGGGCGTGGGCACCGTACGTGGGGCGGACGGTGCGCATGAGGCCGGTGCCGCCGTGCGCGTAGGGCGAGGGCGCATCCTGAGGTGCGTAGCGCGCGCTCGGCGCGCCCTGCGGGGCGTACGTATAACCGCCCTGGGGAGGGACGCCCGCTGCGGAGGCCTGCTGGGGTGGGGGTGGGGGTAGTAGGACGCGTTGGCGGACTGGGGGAGCTGGTGCGCGGGGACGGAGGGGTCAGAGCTGTGCTCTCGGGATGGGGCGTAGGAGTAGGGGTGCGAGGGGAAGGGGTGGTGGTGGTACGGGTGGGTACTCACCGGGGGAGAGGGCGAGATGGAGGAGCTGGCGAGGCTGGAGGTGGACATGGCGGGGGAGTGGTGGAGGGTGGCGATCGGGGGCGGGGTGGGCTGCGAGTGCATGCGCGGGTAGTGGCCGTCGTCCGGGTGGTGGCTGCGGGGGCGTGAGTCAGGGTCAGCGGGATGCGCGAGGAAAGGGACGCACGCGGAGTGTCGGTCAGCTTCGACGCGATGGGGCATGAGCCGGTAGTGGTGGTAGTCGGGGTGGGGCGGGGGGTAGGTGTACACGGGGTGGAACGCGTACGGGTGTGGGTGCTGGCGTGCACGACGCGATCGGGGACGTGATCAATGATGGGAGGGCTAGGTGGGCTGAGGACGCGACTTACCCAGTGATGATCGGGATAGGGCGGGGCGGATTGGGGCGGAGCAGGGTCTGCGTTGATGCGCTTGGGCTGCTCGGGCGAGTGCGCGTCTGCGTCGAGCGGCGGCTGGGGGGCGTCGCCCTGCTGTGTGCTGGCGGCGTGCGGTGGGTCGGTGGCGGCCTGGGCTGGCTGGTGGGACGGGGTGGGCGGTGGTGGTGGTGATGATTGGCGGAGAGGAGGAGCGGGAGGAGGATGGGGAGTGTGCGGCGGAGGGGTGATGGCTTTATAGTTGGCGGGCATGGCTGGGGCTGTCCGGGCAGCTGTGCGGGAAGACGATGGGAGATGGCGTCCTGGATTGGATCACGAAGCGCACGGGCGCCCGCCGCACAAGATTCCCTGCCAACTGCGAGCACGAGAGTTTATTCTCGCCGTCTGCCACGCTCGCCACTCGTCTCTCCCATCACCTGTTTCCAGTCTCCGCCCCAATCCGTTCCATCCCCGCGACCTTCCCACGCATCCGGCCGGCCCGCCGTCATCTCCTCCCCCATCTCAGCCACTGCTGCCTCCCTCCCCGCCAGCCCGCTGCCAGTCCGCCATCGCTCGCGCCCTGCTCGCTCCCGTGCACGCTCCCCGCCACGCCGCCGTACCCGCCCGCCATCGCCCGCGCGGCGCGCGGCTGGCCTGGGCGCACTGAATGGGCCCCATGACTGGGGAGCCGTCGACGCCGGGCGGGCTCACACCTTATCACAGCGACCCTGAACGCGCGTGATGGCGAGATTCCGTCCGGCGGTATCTGAGATATCCATTATTGCCCCCGCCCGTCGCCCCCGCCCCTGCGAGCCGTCTGCGCTGCCGCTGTCGACCCACGGTGCGATTCGATGCGATGCGATCCAGCGATGCGTGATGGGGGCATCGACTGCATCAGCCCATCTTCAGCTCCAATCTGCCACCGGCGACCTACGCTGTGTCCTGGCTGCTGTTGTGTTCCCCCTCCCCTCCGCATCTGCTTCCTCGAAGGTTGCCCGCATCTCCCCGGCGCCACCCGTCCACCAGTCACGCACCGAGCTGTCGTCACGCGCTGCCAGTCCCTGCCCGCTGCATGCGCCTCGCAGCGAGTCTCATCCGCGTCTCCAGCACAAGCATGGAAGCCTCCCTGCGCGCCCGGAGCTCGCCTCCCCCTCCACCCGCTGATAACTGGGAATATCCCCCGTGAGCGCACGGATACAGCCTAATCCCTGATCGATGGGTGCACAGAGATTCCGATTCAATACGCGCCCCGAGAGTCGAGATGATGCCCAGATCCATCCATCCACTCCGTCACAGCACTACTTTCTCACGTTCATCATTACGCTATGTCTATCTCCGGATACGCTGCGGCGCCGATGCCAGTGCCACTCTACATGTAAGTATACGCCGTAGCATTCAATGGCCCGTACCGTAACTGTCGTCGGACAGCACCAGCCCGCGCCCGCACCTCAAACAAGCTCGCCCAATCGCGCATCTTGCGCGCACGCGCACGCGACGCCCGGCACACCCCGGCGTCCCAGACCCACCAGCCCACCTTCCTTCATTTCGCGCGAATGAATGAATGAGCCCAGGGCACACGTCCGCTCGTCCACAGCCCACCCGCAGCCACCGAAGCTCGCGATTCAGCCACCTGCCCACCTCGGTACGCGCAGTGCCTCCGTACGAGGCTTATCTGCACTTCATTTCCACCCAGGGTTCGCGCGCAGGACACGGAAGACGTGTCGTGCTTATCAGCCAGCACGCGCGCGCAGAGTGACGGGGCCCAGGCGTCTGCGCGCACGCCGCCCGCGGCTCTCGTGCGGAAGCGTGCTAGGCTACTTGCGCGGCGGGCCATGTGGGTGCGGACGGGGAGCGTCAGCGTCGCGCTGTTGAGCTGGGCGGGATCATGATCGAAGACGGCCAGTGACCCGCGAGCGTTGGGTCCGAACCTTACAGTAGAGGGCCCGCAGGCAGCCTCGTCCATGCATGTCCCCGCGTCGTCCCCGAGTCCTGCGCCCCGCGTGCATGTGGCTCGCGCGTCGTCCTGCTATTGTCGCAGCCACCATCCCGAGGCCTGCATGCGACCCTGCGCGCGCTGTTACGCGAGAAACAAAAAGTCTTGTCCATGCTACGGAGGACACCCACGTCCGTCCACACTCGCGTGCGCTCCCTGCGCCAGGGACCACCTCGACAGAAAAATCAAAACACCCGAGACGCGGGTCCGCTGATGCTGCAGCCGATCCTCGCGGCAGAGCTGTGGACCACTCGCGTTGGGCGCGCGGGTGGGGTGTGGGTTCGTTCGTTTGGACGGCCGAGTGACCATCAGTGACTGGGGCGACCAACGATAGGACACGGGACGACGGCGATGCGTGGTCCGGGCCACGGTGCACCGGCGGGTGGTATCAGTTGCGTGGTCCCAGATCCCGCTGGCACGATAGACCCTGGCGTGGTACGGTAGGCAGGCTGGTAATACGATGCGTCCTCGCGCGCCCGTTTGCGGTGTGCGGTGCGCTGCGGTCCCCCGATTGCGATGCTCCGAGGCAGAAGGATCCGAGTCCGCCGATGTCATCTTGTATGTGTACATGCAAAGTTTGGGTGCGTGCGGACGGTGATGCTGATGCAGCGATGGCAGTGATGGTGATGGCCCGCATCTGCATACGTATGGTTTACGCGTGGCGCGACGGGGACCTGGATACGGTACGTACTGCCTGTGTCCACGGATACACGGTGCTCGCTCCCCAAAACGATAACAGAGTCCCACCTCGACTCTGCGATCGGGGGCAGGACGCGAAGGTGGTGGGTGCGGGCGGCTAGCTGTACTCGGGTGGAGGCTCGACCTCGGAGGCTGTACGCATGTACCGCCCATCCCCGTCCTTGTCCCTGCTCTCTCGCAGGCTGTCCAATCTATACACGTCGACGAGGCGGGGAAGGCTGTGATGCCTGCCTGGGAGGTGATGCATGATTCGGACTGGACGCGGATTGGGCGTATCAGGCGCTCGGCGTGCGCCACGAAGCCGTCGACACTACCGAACGCCAGCCACGGGGAGGCGTCACCGTGGCGCGTGCCACGCTCGCTGCTCGACATTGAATGGTGCGCTCTGCACGTCGGACGGCGGACGTCGGCGCGTGCATACGACGGCTTCCGCGTCGGTGCATGCCATGTCGTCCGTCCTGCTCGCTGGCACACGCTGACGCATTTGTGGTTGTCCTCGGTGTTCGTCGCCCCGTTGCTTGAACCTGCGAGTAGGGAGATCACTGGCCCGGCGGAAGCTCGACTGGGCCTTGAAGAGACGTCAGCGCGCCGCTGCCATGGCACGCCCGCGACGAGCCAATGTCATGCTCGCTCCCTTTCCTCTCCGAGCAGGACGTCGACCCGCGCGCGGAGTCGAATCGCGGAACTTGAAGCTTGAAGCTGACGGTTGTTCGCGGATAGGCTTGGGCTTCGCGGAACGAGGGAGCGCGTCACGCCACACCCGCACCGTGACGGACGCCGTGCCTGCCAGTGCGCCGTGACCATGGCGGTCGAAGGAGTAGTGCGTCTGCTACCGCGTCCGGCAGTTCTCTGTCCGTTCGCGGGTGGTCGCCGTTGGTTCCATCCCTACGGACCTGAGACGACCGACCTGCGCCATCATCAGCCTAGGCATCACCTCAGCTGCTTTCGACGGATGGACGTCTGGGCCGCGAACCGCGGCCCTCGAACCAATTATCACAGAACCACGAAGGAATTCCGAATTGCGCACTGACAGTGGTCGATGCATTGGCACCGCGGGAACGACCGGCCAGCAGCCGCTGCTCACCGCCCTCAGCCTCCGAGGATCACTTCATCATTGTGACGCGCACCCCGGCCGCCCACGCGTCGCCGCCTCTTGCGGTAGACTGGCTGCCTTCGCAGGCGAGCTTCGCATCGAGAATGGCGGTGGCGCCGGGGGGAAGGAAGGCCTATAATTAACGGATCTGGACTCGTGCCGGAACGTGGCGGCGTGGGCGCGGGATCAGAGGCCTGCCAGGCCGCGTATAGAGTTCCGTCGCGCGTGGGCGAGCTCGTCGTGATTGCGTGCGCCCATCTGTTCGCTGCGCCTCCCATCCGCCAGATACGCTTGTCTCCGGGTGGTCTCGTGGCGCGTTGACGACTGCTCCCAGTCGAGCCAACAGGCGGTGCGCAGGCGGGGTGTCCCAGATCTGCTCGCGCGGGGAGGCGAACGGCGCGATCTTCTCCGAATACAAGGATGATTCCAGCCGCGGACAGTTTGATAGCAGACCATCGCACAGATCACACGTACGTCGCACATCCTCGACCACCGCAGCGCGCGGCCACCGATCTGCGCGCTGCCAGTGCCAAATCCCTCCGCCGAAGGGCCCCGCCGCCCGCGTGCTGAGCTGATATCTCCCACTCGCCTTCCACAACGGGTCCTCGAGCCCACCGTGGTGGTAAGCGAGTGAACCGTTAGGCGTGGCTGATATTCTGACGTGCTTTCATTGTCCCCAGCTCCTCATCATGACATCCCGGCACAGATGAACAACGCCTCCGGGACAGCTCGTCCCCAGGGCGCGGTACCCGAGAGGTGCATCATCATCATCATTCGCGAAAGCGAAGCCTCCGTCACGACGACGCTTCGAAACCTGTTGAACAACACGAGCTGAGGAAGCGGGGAAGGGCTGCGCGGGCTTCGGCGTGCGATGATAATCGACAGACGACGTCGCTCCTCGCCCTCGACCTCAGGCGCGCTCGCGTGCTGTTGCGCGGCGGGCCCCACTCCTCTTTGTTGTTCGAGTTCGTTCAGGTCTTCCGGGGTCTAGATGGGCGCTGCGAAGATCGTTCATGTTATGCAACGGCGAGTGGCGGCTGGTCGTTGCGAACTCGACTGCCGATGGGTGCTTGCGTATAGGCCCCGCCGAATCCATTGTGGGACGCACGCGGAGGCATGGCCGCGTTGTACGCTAGACGGCGAATTGTGGTTCAGTGTTTCAGGATGCCTGTGTGTCGGCGGCGCTCCTCGGTGCATGGCCAGGAGGGACTAGGGTCCAAGCGAAGTCGCATTAGTGTCCAGTAATTATCCAGAGCCGGAGGTGGGAGGTTCAGCTGTAGCTATGCGGTGCTCGGCCCCTCGTATTGTGTATCGTCCCCGCTCGCTCGCAGCGCTCAGCGTCAGTCCGTCGCATGCACGGCGTTGCTCCCAGTGTGGTGCGCGCGCGTGCGGCATCGCGGTGAGGTACCATACGTCGGAAGAACAAGGGTTCGCACTGCGCTGACGCATGGCAGGATCAACGCTACAATGGACTGGCATGAACGCGCACTGGGATCATGATGACGGCTGCGCTCTCCAGATATTCTGAACTCTCTGCATTCCCCAACGGCGAGATGCAGTGGCCTGGAGCTGTATGCGTCCCTTCGTCCGTCCCCGGCCATCCTTCTCCGGCGTGCGATCACCCACGCTCTGTTACGGTCCCATGCCTCGAGGGGAAGAAGGAGCCGTCACCATTCACTGGGCTCCACGGTCGATGCTGTCCGCGACCGCAACTGCGATGCGATACGATGGTGCGGTCTTGCGCCCAAGATTGCCTCAGCGAGCATCCGTGCCTGAGGCCGCGATCTGGAGTTCTGCTGCGGGTGTAATCATCTGGTGGTGCTCGCGAGCAGTCGGCCTGTTCATCTGTCCATCCGCGCACTGGTCGACATTCGATGCGATCCCGACACCTGGATTGTCCGTTGGCCTTCCGCTTGGCGGATCCTTTCCCAATCCTGAGTGAACTCAGTACTGTGCGTCGAACACTCTGATTACGAAGGGATCAGAGCCTGATATACCGCACATGCGCAGCGTTCGACCTTCAAGCTGTCGGCGGTGGGATACGCCGCGAAAATCAGTCGTTCAGCTCCGCAGTTGATCGGCGACTTGGACGCGCTGACCTCGTACAGTTCGTACTTCAGGTCAGAATATTAGCCTTCCCGTCTGACGATACAGACCGGGGTATGGACGCGAGTGGTGTCGGGTGTGGTTCAAGAGTTCTACTTGGTATACTGACTTGCATGAGATTCATGCCCAGGAACGCGAGCGTATCAGAGGCGCAGAACCTGTACTTATTTTCGGTTGGTCCATAGTTCAGAGTTGACCATTCGAAACGTATACACACCTCACGCTATCCCGCTTTCAGACCGAGTCGCATGAGATCCGGCGTCGCTAGAATCGCATCGGCGAATTGGACCGCAGGTCTGAAACCAACTTCGCGTTATTTTGGGTTCCACCTCGAGGCGTGTACATACCTCTCGCTCTATTGAGACCAGCTCAGCTCAGCCAGGGACGTGCTTCGTGGCGCTGTTCGTTCAGTTTCATGAATCTATCCCATCACGATGTGCTTTACTGGTACTCACCGCTTTCGAGACCAAGACGTCCAGTGGTTGGGTGCTAGCTCGTCTGTTACTTCGAATTGCGCAACATGCACTGCGGCTCGCGGAAGAGCGTGATACATTTTGCGATACCGAATACTGCTCCTAAGGCCTCACTGCCCTGTCCGGCTGCAGATGGTGAGGTACATGTGAAGAACAGATACGGAAGGCTTGGTTGTATGGATGTTTGGCAGTGGGCGTGACCGGGAAGCTTGGCCCCCGCATGCTGCGATCCATGAAGTGGAGGAATTAACTCGAGGCCAGTTCGTGCGCGGCGCGGAGAAGTTCTGGCGTCCGCGAATGTTTAGCACGTTTGGCACGGCGAGGTTGAACTACAATGGGCGACCAAATCTTCCGTGCGGGCGGTCTTTAGGTCGATTGCGATGCACGATGTGCGACGTTCGGGTCATGGCTATCGGTATCCCCTGAACACGGATATTACGCCGCTTGGGGAGGGACGGTATCCAGCCCACAAATTGCGTTGTATTGGCGCCCTACCAGTGATGCTGAATGCGAAAGAGAGTCCATCCCCCACGAGGTCATCAAACAATCGAAGTGCTGATTTAGCATCCAAAATCCTGTTCTATCGAGATCCCGCGTAGGTTTGCAGAGCACTCTATGTGTTGACATGCCACGAATCCTGATCAGTAACGCGTACGCATCGGGTGCTCATCGTGCGACTCACTTATCACGCCTGCTCCCGTTCATAGGGAAAGGTAGACCGGTACCAGGCGTTCCCGACGGACGCGGATACAACGAGGCATACTTCGAGACCGCAGAGCGACGGTACCGTGTTACTTTTGTTCGTCGGCTATCTTGCTCACATCTCGTGTGCTCGGTCTGTCTTCCATCATCAGTGGCGTCTGATATCGCGATAGTTGAACTTCGCCCATTGAATCCTTGTTGTCTTTGTATATTGGCTGTGAACACGACGCGCCGGTCTCCCTCGCAGAAGCTTGGGAACGCACCGGTCCGATCTTGACTGAGATACGCATTGAAGCCCACGGAGCTCGACCCCAGCCCTGGAGGCTCCTACTTCCTCCCCCTTCCTGTCAGGCTGACTGAGTGCGCGGCGATGATTCAAATTTCAGTCAGGCGTCGGAATCAGAGCGCGATTCCTCCCCTGTGCCGGCCTTCTGCGTATTGCGGTGCGAAGCACAGTGCATTGCTTCGGACGTCCGTCCGCACTGAGGCCGATTACGGCGCTGGTGCTGGGATTCAAAGCACTGTGATGAATGAGTACGTACAAAGTTCGGAGCCAATTGGCTATCACCATCATTGGCATTGAATACGCCCTTGTTGGCGTCAGATTTTGCGAGGCGATGAGATCCGTAAGCCATAACATTGCCTAGCATGTGCGATGGTGCAGTGTACCATCAGCCAGATGAGTGATGTGGTGAACCCATGCACCGTTTAAACCGGCGCCAATCTCGGCGCTGCCACCGAGCGCCTAATCTCTCTTCATGGCAGAACCACACACACCCCGTATACGCTCGAAGGCCTCTGCGTCTCTCCCACTCGTCCGCTCTCCGTACTTTGATCATGGTTCTGCATACGAATGGGCTAGGGAAACTTTGTCTGCACACGAAGACCTGCTGTCCGACTGCGAATCGGAGGAAGACACGGGCGAGTCTGATTTGAGGGTGTCTCGTCACTTCTCGCGGAGAACTTCAGCCTCGAGGATGTGCTCTGCAGCACGAGCTGCCTGTAGAGACAGAGAACCGGTGCCGTGCACCTCGGAGAGCTCCGCTGAATCCGAGGGTCGGACGGCATTAGAAACGCACCGTTCGCTGCTTCGGAATGCAGCGTATAGCAGTTTCTACGACGCATTTATGCGTTCATTCAACCGTTTGTATAGGGCCAAGCCGATCTTGATACAAGGTGCGCTCCCTGGATGGTCGTGCCTAGCACCATGTCGGCAGGCTGTACTCACACGCCGAACAGAGCATGTGGCCGATGATCCCTGGAAGGTGCTCGTCGCGGTTACGCTCCTGAACAAGACGGCCGGGGTACACGGCGTGCCTGTGTTCTTCGCACTCGTGGAGGAATGGCCGACAGCCCGCGCCCTCGCGTATGGTCAGCAGTCCTGCCGTCCGAGGGAAGCCCCGCTCACGGTGTATATATAGCCTGTCCGCGCGCGGTGGAAGAGCGCATCAGGCACCTTGGCTTAGGCAGGTCTCGCACGGCGCGTCTGATAAAGCTGTCACAGGCCTATCTGGAAGACCCGCCGCGCCCCGGGGCTCTGCGGCCATCCAGGTGCTACATGCATGTCCGGGTGCAGTCCACAGGCAGCGAGGATACCGTGCCGGGCATCATCCGACAACGCTACCCACCGACGTGTGCATCGCATCTTCCGGGAAGCGGGCCATATGCTTTGGACTCGTATCGCATCTTCTGCAGTGGTACAGACGAGTGGAGGGACGTGCGGCCCGCTGATAAGGAGCTCGCGAAGTACCTGGTATGTCACATTGCTTGAGTAGCGTACATGTACTGAGGTACATGGCCGTAGCAATGGAAGTGGGCTGTTGCGGAGTTCCGTCGGTGGGACCCCTTCCACGGACCGGGAGAGTCGATTGATCTAGCATATATACAATCCCTTTCGTCATATCTTCAGGCCACAACAATGCACCTTGACTCGGAAATTGGCCTACAGTGGTCCAGAGTGCAGCTACCTACTGCTGCCCGGAATGCGTTTGGACGCCCACGTCAGTGGGTTGAGAAACCATTCAAGATCAGGAGCGGGACTCAGCTCCGATGATGGTTAGCAACAGTAGTTTCCTTACGTCTTGAATGACCGCATAGGTTTAAATGAACTTTTCTGCGTGTCATTTGCCCCTACCACCTCATAACTGCGGATTAATGCTTCAGCTGCACGTTCAGAACGTCGATTCGTTGGCCAAGTTGATTGCGTCCGACGTTGAGCTAAAATATCTGGATTGGTACAATGCGCAGTTATATATCGCAATGGAGAACATAAATACTACAAGACAGCTCATGCTGACCCGGAGGCTGACGCGCTGACGGCCTGGAGCTTGAACTGGCAGTAGCTGGCAGTGCCGTCGGTCTGAAGGTCAATAATCGGCCAAGTGACAGGAATGGAAACTGTTTGCAGCTATTTGTGCATGTGGGCGTCGTCCCAATTGTTCAACTTTGACCGATCACCCATGGCGACCTCTTCACTCACCTCCATGCTGGCTGGGCTGATCTCACCCCGAGTTAATCTTATCGTTATATGCGGATCTCTTAGGCTGTTGTACTATCATATCATACTGGGCTCTGTTCATCTTGGATATCTAACTGCTGACATATGGGCAACAAACGACATGCGGCGCCGAAGGTAGTCGAGGGGCGGTACGCGCCGGATGTGAGTCGCCCTTCACCTTAGCCGTGCTTGCGTGACGTTCAACCGAACAGTTCGGCGACGAACTACAGGTACATGCCGCACACGCGTCGCAGCTGCAAGCCCGCTTGCTGGCGACCCTTGACAAAATAGACGCGCTCCGGGCGACACATATCCACGAGCTCGGTGCGGAGAAACGCGCCGTCGACGTTCTATCACACAAGCTGGATCGGTACAGGAGATACGTGAAGGAGGCACGCGCGGAGTGGGACGACACGCGTGAGGCGTTGTCGATCGTAATCGAGAAAGGTGGGTCGTCGATCGTCTCAGATGGGATACGGGGGCAGGCGCGTTGTTGCATTTACGTTTTACTTATTCTGTACTCCCTCGCTTCGTAGTCGAACTTGCCAATGATTACTCATTATGGCCTCACAGCCAGCTGTGCATGACATACCCTCTCGGTCCGTCGATCAAGGTACCCTTCCCATGAAGCCCCTAATGACCATCCCGCTCGACCAGAACCACTGAGCTGTCCGAAGGCGTCGTCCTCCAACGTACAGCTCAACAAAGATTCTGCCCATCCGTACGCGAAGGCGATCATCACTTCGCTGAGAGAAGAGCTCGAGCAGGAGCGAACCGCCCACGCAGACACCCGAGCGCGCGCGGAGGCTGAGATCTTGTCGCTGAACGCGCGGCTCGCCCAGCGCGACGCTGAGCTGGAGGCACGCATTCTCCAGGGGTCTGCATCTCAGCTGCCTCTGCGTGCTTCCAAGCAATCGCCGCCTGCGCCTGAGCAGCACCGATCGAGTCATCGGGATTGGGAGAACGCACCATTGTCATTTTCACAGGAGGAGGCCATTCAGATCATGGAGCTTACGGCCGCGCGTAACCGGGAATTGGAAGCGGAAGTGCATCATCTGCTTGAACGGGTAAGCTGCGCGTAAACATGTGGCTTAAGCTTCAACGCTGACGGTATGTTTAACCCCCAACCCTTCCTGCGCATTCAGCGCGATCAAGCGCAGCAGCCGAACGCCCCACTTTCCGCCCCCGGGCGCACTGCTGAAACCGAGAAGGAGCAGCTGGGTATACCAGATGCTTTACCAGAGTACAGGCGCGAGGATCTAAGCAGCGTCCCCATGCAGCCCGGCGCGCAACTGCAAGTACATCCCCCAGTATCGCATGCCACGCTCTTGCCGCCTGACAGGCCTGCACTCGGACCGACGAGACTCCACTCTCAAGGCTCCACGGCGGAATCCGATACACTCGTCCCCAGATCAACGGCGATCCAACAGCTGCAGCAATTGGTCGGGATCTTTGCGGCGCAGCTCGACGGGTTCGCTTCCGAACGGGACGCGCTGAAAGGCGTGCTGGCAGCTCAGGGTCAGGGTCAGGTTCGTCGTGAAGCGCTGAGTTACGGCATTTTCACTGATCACTCTTCCCGGTCGTTCTCAGACTCAGAACGCGCGCCCAAATTCACTGGCGGAAGACGTCGGTCGCTCGGATGGACCAGAGGGCGATGATGGCACCGGCGGTGAGCTCGTCTGCAGCCCACGTACCTTTTGAGTAGGCTGATCAATGACATGCAGGCTGCAAAGATCTGTGGAACGCCTGACCCATGAACTCAGCGGGGCCCGCACATCGAGTCAAGCGCGCGAAGCCCAGCTTCAGAAGGAGATCGCGGGCTGAGGGCGGAGGTATCAAGCCTGAGGATGGTGTCGAGGGAGTCGACCGATGTGCTGGTGGATCCCGACGAGACTGCTCGAGTCGATACGCCCAGGACGGGGAAGATTGGCGGTCCGGGTACTCAGTCCCCTCAGAAGCCCTCCGACGTCTTAGACGACGGTGCGATGAGTGTTCTATGGAGCTTGCAACGCCGCTGCAGCCCACCATCGTATCCGTGCGCGAAGACATATCCGATTTGGGAGGCGCACCACCGAACCTTCTTCCTCCTCTCCTCGTGCCGCTCCCACCCTCACCCGATAGCCCAGACCCTCCCGCATCCCCTCAGCCTGAACGACCTGAACCACTATTGCCCTCCATAGATCTCTCACCACCCTTTCGAGATCCTCCGCTTTGGTGGCCGCATCCGCGCTCGCCGCACGACTTTGTGGGGGATCCATACCCAAGCACAGACGCCGCCCGGAGATTGGAGGTCATCGAGTGCGAACTCGCTCTGGCGCGACAGGAGCTCGAGGCCAAAAATGAGGAGCTAGGCGAGTTGCGTGACGTCGTCGAGCAGCTGCGCGAGCTGGTGTACTCTGGGAGTCTGACGACGGTCAAGACAGGGCAGCAGAGGGGAGGCTGGATGAGGCTTAGTCTGACACTCCTGCAACTATGGTTAGTTGATGTACTTTCCTCGGATGGTTGGGCCTCTGTCATATGCGTATGGCTATATTGTGCCGTTTTCTCTTCCATCGCGGGATTTACATTCCCTCCCTAGCCTCAAGTTCTTGCAAACTGCTTTACCTGTTCAACGTGCAGCGTCCATACAAACGAGTCTGATGCGCTGATAACTTATGCAGGATGCTTGAACGTGCGCCCGATCGAATTGCCTCCAGATGTTCGTGAGTCCAGCAATTACCAGCCTCTTTTGCACTGGGCACTCGAATCTAATTTGCTTCGCCAAATCTGGACGGCCGACGCGTACATATACATCGAGGAATCTAAATCCACTGGATGAGGCACTCGGGGAAAAGGCCAGCGGCCTGTCAATGCGGATGGGCGGGTTGACCAACAATTCGACGTGCGGATTGTGCGAGTGCGCCGATTTCTCCTTCAATGTTCCGAACGACGTTGGAACGAGGCGCAATGGTGGGAGGAAGGGCATGCGTCGCCCGCGAGACATGTGGAAGGCATATGCGACCTGAGGCCTGGGGAAGGGCGCTTGTCCATAGCAGGTTTACCGATCTCACGCCACTCACGCTCCTCGCCAGGAGTTATGTCCTCCCAGGCTAACCGTGACATCGCTCGTGCGGCCGATCTGCCAGTGAGCACACATGCGTCCATGTCGTCTCGCTTCCCGACACTCTCCTCTGTGTTATCTCTCCAAGCCCGCCGTCGGGCAAGCTGGCCTCTCCGTCTTATGCCCACCCAATGTTGCTCTCGAGTCTGCCGCACCCTCTATACTAGTGAGGGACATACATGCCAGTGCTGACGGCCAATCAAGCTGGCTATTCTGCAGGCGAGTGCCAAGTGTCCTACTTTCGACCGGTCTCTTGATAACTCCTTCTGTCTAGCCGCCGCCCTCACGATGTTGACTTGGGATCTCTTGGTCAACCTTGACGACGAAGTCAGTGGCTGAGCCAAATACCAATTCTCACTAACGTCTCCTCCGCGCCGGCCTAGATCGAGTATGTCTGGAGGTGAGAGACCGGCCATCGTGGATACGTTCGTACTTACCCCAAACGTCTCATTTCGTGTGAAGGTGGCCCAAGGGCTGGTTGAAGGGCATGTACTGCTTCATCCGGTACCTGCCCTTGATTGGGGAGACGTCAGTCTTCACCACTGCACTTCGCCTTGTTCGTGCTGACATCGACACATAATAGAACATTCTTCTCCCTGATACAACGGTTTCAGCGACGTGAGATGCTCGCGTCTTCCACCTGCTTGAGTATCGACGTGGCAGAGTACTTCGTGCTCCAAGCCGTCGCCGCGGCCGTTGCAATCATCTCTATTCTCAGAGGTCCGTCGAATGTTGGAGAGTGTGGAGTCCAGTTCTGATCGAAAGCGCGTTCTGCAGTGTACGTCCTCTACGATCGAAGCAAGTGGCTGCTCCTCTTTCTCGCACCGATCTTCGTAGCATGTGCGGGGATCTCAGTCACGGGCATTGCCAAGTACCGAACCGCGTACACGTTTACCGGATCGTGTCTCACCACCTACGAACCTGACTTCGTGCTCATTGGCTGGTGCGGAAGAACCCTCGCCGAATCGACTCTGGGATTTGACTTTGCTGTATTGATAGGATGCTCCCGGTCACTTTTGAGTTGATCTTGTTCTTACTCGTGTTCTACAAGTTCCTCCAGAACATCCGTTCGGCATCACATCTGGCCGGTCAGCCTGTCTTACTTGTCTTCCTCCGCGACGGCATCGCGGCGTTCCTCGCGATCTTCAGTGAGCCCCGATTTCGTTCGCACCTTGTTTGCACCCCTCACATCAGATAGCGGTGACTTGTGTTACTGTGGCCTCGTCGGTCGCTTTCGTCGAGCTGTCCAGCGGCTTCTTCTAGTGGGTGACCCTCGCTTACGCGCACCACCGCACGCGCTTACTCACCACCTCGTTCCACAGCTGGAACATGACCGTGTACTCGATCGCAGTAAGCACCCAGCCCCAGCCTTCCGTCGAGGCCCCCGGCTGACATTCTCGTACAGGGCTCGCACGTCCTGCTGAACCTGCGCGAAGTCGTCACACGAACGGGGTATCCCTCCACGATGGCGTCGAGCACAGAGTCGAACTCGATAGAGTTCAAATGTTCTCAGGTCTCCAGGGGGAGCGCAACTCGAGTGAGTGGACGGTGGGCGGGGAGGTCACGGAGGCGTTCGAATTGATGGAGATGGGGGACCGGCAGGCGTCGGGGAGCGGACAGACGCTGGATGTTAGCTGACGACCATGTACTGCCATAGAGGATATACGATGTACGATGGTGAGGGCACGGTATGCACAGGGCCGCGGATCCTCAGAGTTGAGTCTGCGGTGATGGTCGTCCGCCCTGGCATGTCGTCGCTCTGTTGGCCGACATTGCGGTTGTCATCCCGGTGGCGAATGAGCCTTGTCTGTGGCCACGCTGCGATCCTGCTAATCCGGCATCGAGTACATATATTGTCATGGCTAGCGCAGTGTCGGAATACGGTGTCCGACAGTACGTCTACTTGCACCTCCCGTAGACTCGAATAGACGGTACAGTACTACTTGCTACGCCGGGATCGGAGTACTAGACAGGTCGTACCTCGAAAGATGCCGTTCGACATCGGGTTTGACGGATAGTGATGCTTCCGCACGAACTGGACGGCCCACCACATCAGCTGTGCCAGTGGCCAGCACGTCCTCCGCCCGCGGACAGATGGATGGTCCGTCTTGACCTTTGATGCTGGCCGCTGAACAATACACTGGCAGAAGCACCATCGGTCTGATACGGAAGTGCTTGAACTGGGACAGAATCTGAGTTTGACTTGAAGTGGGCCTAAGAAGATTCATACACGACGATGGATTCAGGTTACGGACGGCAAACCAAGTGATGAGAGCGCCGCACGTCGTCTTATGTTAGGCTCGGTAGGTGCGCGGCGCGTTCGCTGATAGTTCGTCGGAAGATCTGTAATCCGACGAAGGTGTCGTTTCTGCATGAGTGCAGTCTACACACGATGGAGAATTCGCCCACCTGGCAGCCGGAGGTCCTCAGTGAGTTTCCCAACTCCGCGCAGAACGCACGGATTCAGCTGGTCGCTCCATCGAGCGTGCTGATCTCTGCAACATCCCGCCGCAGAGATGATCAATTTCAGCGAACTTCAATAAGTACATCTATCACTGTTCGGACTCCGGAGTGGAGTCTACGGACTCTCGGATCCCACCTGACAAAGTGGCCCCTCTTGCCTCGGAGTGAAGTACTCCGCGCTCAGTGATAAATGAGCGCGACCCGTAGGACTGGAGCGACCGCAATATCGGGTACGATATAAGGTGCCTGGATGATGAATAGCGGGAATGTTGACAACGCGTCAACGTCAACATGAGCATGTTGAGCTAGCGGATGTGCGTACCACCATACCTCGGGTCATCAATTGAAACGAGCCGACTTGGCCGGTAGATGTCCGTTGCAAGTCCGCTGCTCTTCTCTTCTCAGGACAAACTGGAGTACGGTACGATGGGAAGCAACACTGGTACTGGCAGGAAGAGGGATGGGGACAGCTTTGCCGAGGGACCACGCACTGCGGTCTTGATCCAACGAGCTCTTCTGAATCATCCTTGTGAGTCTTGCCACTGTTCTTCGCACGTCATTTAGTCCCTGTTCACGTCAGCCCGTCAACCCGTCAGCGCCTCAAAGTTACGTCCAACGGTTAACGCGGGATCGCACACAGCCCGAGAGCCCGAGAATGCCCAAAAGAAGCTGGCACCGATTACGCTGTATTGGCCGACAATGCGCGCGGATTGGGTTGGAAACAGATTGATACGCCCGGATCGCGATGTAGAGATGAGGAGCATCATGCACTAAACACCGACGCCTGAAGTTGAGAGTGAAAGGTAACGCAACTTACGATTTGTAGTCCTGTCCTTGCACAGCCCTATTGATCATTTAGCGGGCGTCCACTGGACACTAGGCACAGTCGTTGTGCCTGCTGCTACACAGACCCTATGAAAGTGACGGCCATGGGAACTCCCATCGCTCCGACTGCATTGAACCGAAATGCAAGCCTCAGATCGTAAATGGCCAGCGCAGTTTGTTCGGAGCTCGGAGCACGCACCACCATAATCTCGCCGCGCTCCGCGGACTGCCAACTCTTTGAACCTTGAGTTTCAGTCCGCGCCCGAGACGGAGGACACTGAAGAACCCTCCGAGAAGCGTGGGTCTGAGTCAGGGGTGAGCTGGCTCCGCACGAATGTCGTCGTGTGAGATGATTCTCACGTCTGGATCGTTGTTGCATCATTGTATGGAATCGCGTCAGTAGCTCGATGGAGTACACATTGGGATGCATTCCAAGGACACCTGTTCGGAATACGAGGTTAGGACTCGTTGAGCCGAAGACAACGGGTAGGCGTGCGTACCTCGTCCCCTGCCCCAGTAGCATCATAAGATCCCTCCTCAGGTGTACCAAGACCAAACACACGTCGTGATAGAGCACTCATTGCACACCAAAGAATGGTCGATCAAGCTGTCACCATGCATTAAAGGGCGCGAATAAACACACGGTACGAAACACATCGAGTAGCGGCGGACAAAGGACGAGATGTGCCAAAAGCTGATTAACCGCCTACCAGTGGGACAAGGAAGCAGACGGTATGCCCAGCGTCAGGCCCCGAGGGTCGATATGCTCGACCGCGAGTCTACAGAGCAGATCAGAGCGAAGACGTCCTCACCGACGACGACGACGCCGGCTCCTGGTCGAGGTGACTGTGAAGAATTTAGCGCCCTCTGCAAGCGCGACTTTTGCCTGCGCCGGGCCCGTGCGTGGGAACCGCGCCGAGGCGGCAGTATAAAGTCGGGAGGCGCGCGGATTTCTCTTTATCGAAAGTTTCACCTCGTGTATATTTGGGACGCTCTTCTCTTCCAAGGCGGCGTTCTGAAAGTTTGGCGAGGGAGAGCGACGGCCTCCATCCTATGATCGTGACGATGGATTTATGTCTACGTTGTTTGCGGCCCGTAATGGAGGTACACACCTGTATGTACGCGTACATCTCTAACAAATTCAATGATTTCGTCGTTTCCTTTGCAGAGCACAATGACGGGTGATCCCCAATGGGTGTAGGCCAGTGTCACATCACCCGCACTTGCTTCGTAGTCGTGTCGCCTGAGCTGCCTGACATGGCTATTGCAACGCGTTTCGCCTCCTTTGTCTGGAGTTCCCATGCATGCTAATAGTAATGCTGCGTAGGTCTCCAATCGAGACTGGCCGCCTCGAACCACAGCGTGCGCAGCAAGTCATGACTCGTTATGATACGACCTAGTCGGAAGTCATCTGGGTGCGGCGTATGTCAAACAGAATACAGTGCGACCATGCGGGCAGTGACTAATCTCCACATCGCGTTGGGCTTTAGCAGCGGCGACATACAGGGCCGCCGAGGATATGGACGAATCATCCTACTTCGCTGTTCCTTCGGCTCAAGCATCCCCGACCGAGGGCAAGCCCAAGGCGGACTCAACCACAAATATCCTTCGGCGGAGAAGCAGCGAGCTCCTGCTCTGGGAGCTCGTAGATGGGTTGAACGGTTCCTCACTGTGAACCAAGGGCGGTACCACCGGCAGGGGCGCCAGCGGTCCTGCCAGTGGTGGAGGGTATCCCTCCGGAAGCCATCCTCTCCTCTCAAAGGAAGTCGTCAAGTCTTTTGTTACGTTTCAGGCGACCCGCCCGACTCGGACGGACTCCAAGGAGTTTGGGAGACAATATGCGATTGTCATGCCCGCGGAGTCGAGCCCGTCTGTGCAATGGCACTCGGCTCGCAACCTCTCGTTGCGAGCTGCTCGAGATCGAGCTGCGCCCGGGATGAGAGCACTGGCGTGGCGGCCCCGTCAAAGTCGGGCGCACGTACTATCCTTCCCGATGCCGGCAGGTGGGTCTGGCAACGTGGCTTGTGGGGATGACCACGAGTACTAGGCGAGGATGATCGAGGACGAGCTTGACTGAGTGCGGTGAATCTGATGTATTTAGTACCTGCGAAGCGCGTACCCAAGTTGTATCAACGTATCATAGTTGTTGTCTTGCATATTGAAGGTGTCCGAAAATTGACTGTCAGTGTCTGCCCGCGCATGTTGTTGGTTATGTCGAACTTGCGATGGATGCAATCTCCAATTTGAGCGAGAACTAACTGCAGGGATAGGCGTCTAATCAATGTCGCGTCGGCCCGCCACAGCGGCATGAATCGAAGAGCGCGTGGCGTTTCAGTGAGCGATTCAGCGAACGTACTCTCCTTGCTTCCGTACATCGACGAGCACTGTCACCATCGTACTTATGCAGCTGGGCATGACACACTCCTCGTTCTTCAAGCTGGGTCGATAGAATGTTACATTATCGATAGGGACACGTTTCGGCGGTTCCGGATTTCATTGGTGCAGTACTAGTACGTAGCTTGGCCGATCGGGTGCTCAGGGTTGGAAGGTCACTGCGAGGTATTGTCCCTATCCACGTCTTATTCTTGATGACAACTGACTTCATCATTTGCAGTGTGTTGCATGGTTATGAGGGCCCTTCCCCCCACCGCTCGGTCTGTGCTAGGGATGGACCTCGCCATCATAGTGAGCGCCGTTAAGCACCTTGAACACGTTGCCAGTACCTGTGTCGAGGACTTCAGGACATTGAGACAAGTGCGCGGGCTTCTATATGGTCCGCTGTCATCTGATGTCAGATAACAGAGGCGCGCGCACCTGAGCGATGTCCTTGCAGGATCATCCCCGACTTCACAGATGGACCCCTTCTCCACCGCCGCTGCTGGGCTGGACGTTCTCGGTCTCGTCATCAAGACACTCCAAGAACTCTTCCTCTATGTCAAATCTGTCAAGAATGCCCCGAGTGCCGTGCAGAAGCTCCAGGAGGAGTTGGTCACCACGCAGGGAACGTTCAAGTTTGCAGAGCACACGTTCACTTCTCTGCAGCGGCAGCGGCTCTCTGAACACGCCTTGGGCGTGCTAACGCGTTTCGTCGCGTCCGATGGTCCCCTGAAGCAGAGCTTGAAGGAGCTGGAGGCTTTGGACACTCGGCTATCCAACGCCTTGAATGCGAAAGGGAGGTTGCGAAGATGGTTCAAGCGTTTGAAGTGGCCCTTGAGTGAGCGGGAGACAGACGATATCAACAAGCTCTTGGCAAAGACTACCACGGAACTCAACACTACATTACAACTGGTCCTAGCGTCCGTATCTCAGACGCCATTCAGCGGGCATGTCTAATGTCTGTTCATCACTAGCGAGCAGGTTTCGCACATCCATGTTCACACGCAAGAGACGCGACATACTGTCCGTGACATCAGGGAGGAGCAAAGACGAGTGGAGGTGCAGGCTCTGCGGCGTGGAGAGGGTGAGCCCGTTCTGCGTTCAAGTTGTACGCACATGTTCTCTGATGAAGTTGTGAGTCAGAGCATACATATGAGTCTCTGCTGGCGTGGCTGTCTCCGATGGACTCAGAGGAGAAATATCGGCGATCGCTCAACCTCCGTGTGAAAGGAAGCGGTCAGTGGGTGTTGAGACATGCGACGTTCAAGTCATGGTATAATTCCGTCAGCTCGATTCTATGGATTAACGGCAATCGTGCGTCGGTTGCAAATACGATTCTACTTGACCCCAAGGTACTGACCTCCACTCTGCAGCCGGAAGTGGGAAGACAATACTCGTGTAGGTCTGCAATTCACGCTCAGTCTCTCTCGACTCATGACATCCGTGCAGCTCGTCAGTCATCAAAGGAATCCTCAAGTTCGAGGAGCCAGACGAAGCATTGGCCTTCCACTTCTGTGACTTCAGCGATGCTGTGACCACCGATCCTGTCGAGGTATTACGCGCTCTTCTCGCACAGCTTATCCAATCTGGAGGCGTCGGTCGTCTTTCTAAAATCCCCGAACTCGTGGCACAAATGAAAGAGAGAAAGCTACCTCCTGCCAGTGTCCACGACCTAGATTTGCTACTCAAAGCTACTGCGGATGGCCGCAAGATCATCATCGTCCTGGACGCGTTAGATGAATGCCCGAACCCTTCCAAGAAAACATTGCTGGACTGCTTATCCCGGCTCGTACTCCATGAGACAGCACACATTCGCCTTCTTCTAAGCAGTCGTAAGCACGAGGACATAGCCAACGCCCTTCGCGGGTGTTTGTCCATCTGCCTGGAAGACATTCAAGAGTCTCGCCATCATCTTCGCGACATGGAATTATATATCGACGATGCTCTGCGTACGAGAGATCGCTTATCGGACCTACCCCTCCATGAAAAGGTGCGAGTAAAGGATAGCCTGTTAAATGGGGCGGATGGAATGTGAGTCCATACGGTACTGCGCTGTTCAACACGACTCTCATATTAGAAACGGACAGGTTTCGCTGGATCGATTGTCAATTCGACATGCTGTGCCGGCGTGGCTGGACGGTCGGAGGGATTGCGCAGGTACTGTCTTCGCTACCACATGGCTTGGAGTCGACGTACGAGCGGATCTTCAGCGAGGTCGAGCGCAACGGAGAAGACGCCTTGATGGTTGTTAACCGGGCGTTGATGTGGCTCATCACAACATTGCGCCCATTGACGGAAAACGAAATCCTCGAGGCGTTGATGATAGAGAAGGGGAGGCCTACGTTGAACCAGAGTCAGCGACTATGGCGGCCAGACGACCTCCTCTATCTGTGCAGCAGTCTGGTATACGTCGAACCGACTACGGGATGCATCAAACTGTCGCATTACTCCGTCCGAGTCAGTACTCAGTTTATTCTGCGTCGACTTCTTGCTGATACTATTTCAGGAATTTATCCTATACAGTTCGCGCGCTCGGAGATTCTTGCACATGCACAACTCGGACCTCTCAGCTGTTCGGTCAGAGACATCAAAGCTGATGCTCACCTACCTCATGATCAACGACTTCAAGGATGCGCCAATAAATGTTGAGCATCAAGCGACAGCCTCGATAGTAGGCGGACACACTCTGGAAAAGAAACGGGACCAGGAAAGCATATTGGAAGAGCACCCGTTCGCCCTGTACGCGGCCCCGTGGTGGTCCGACCATCTGAGTAGGATAGACAGACTTGACGATGAATTGCTTCGGCTGGCCGTAGCGTTCGTGGCAAAACCATCGTATCGTCGCAAGCCCCATAATTGGCTCAGGCACCATTACAAGGAGTTGAAGGCACTCTTCTCCTATGGTCTGGACGTCGCCCGTCGCATTACTGATCAGAATGCCGCGCTCTTGAACGAAGACATCACGCTCAACGGCACACCACTGATCAACGCCATATCGCGCTCTGACAAGGACATGGTTGTCCGTCTGCTTGAGGCCGGTGCGGATCCCGACCGTATCTCCAGCTCGCCGTTCGCCCAAGGAGGAGCGTATCTTCCCACTACTCCCCTGTGGTTCGCCCTTCGAACGGAGGACAGCGATCTCGTCCAGCTGCTATTGAACCACAATGCCACCGTTCACTGGATTGGAAGCCCGGAATTCGACGCGGTACTCCTTCGGGAGGTTGCTAACCATGAGGCTGAGGAGAGGAAGCGGAGGTCCATGCAAGGCCTTCCCGTCCATGTACAGTCCGACTCTACACATCGTGAACACGAATCACACCCGCGGATCGGCGGCAACACAGACTTGACGATTCGCGCGACTCCAGGCGGTGCGGTGGTGCCCTACGTCGCGCGCCCAGACGCACTGTTCGTGGAAACGATGCGACTCGTGATGGACGCGGCACACGACGAGAATGGCGAAGACGTTCTCGGACTGACCGCTCTCCAGGTTGCGTGCATGCTGCGCAGCACGGACATGGTCGTGTGTCTCCTGCAGCATGGCGCCGACGTCGGTGAACTGTGCGAGCCGTGGCTCGCCCACTCGGACCTTCAATGGGCTGCATCCCAGTGGTGGTGTCCTGAGCATCTACGTCATGGGGCGCAGAAGCTCAGTGGTATGGGTATCGCGCTCGCGGCCAACGGAGTTTCCCCATTCGACGGGATCAGTAATTCAACGCCCGAAACCACCTCTGTGGCGAGCGAAGCTAGCTCGGAGGATGAAGAACCTCGCTACATTTTCAACGACCCCCTATATGCTTCCGCCGTGGCCTTGTCCGACTCGCTGAATATGACGATGAACTGGTACTTACTAGACGAATGCGAATCGGAGCCCTATCCAGAATCCTTCCGGCTGACCCCTCTGCAAATCGCATGCAAGTTACGCGACGGGCCTATGGCGAGGCGCCTGCTTGCGGAGGGCGCTGGGATTAGGGAAGCCCGCGAGCCTTGGTTATCCGAAGCCGATGCGGACTGGGTCCGGGAGCAACATTGGTGGAAGACACGCAGCGCCTCGAAGCGCAGCAACAATGACAGTTCTGCCAACAACGGCGATTACATTCCTCGAGACGAGAGAGACGTCATCGACACGGTTGTGTTGTTGGAGAAGGGCTGGCACTTACCTGCAGAAGTCGTTCGATACGTTCTGGATCTAGCGGAATACTGGCTGCGGACGTCCGTCACCCGCTCAGACTGTGTCTTGGTAGAGCGCAGCGCTGCTGAACAGCCTTACCTCACACTGAAACTACCAACGCAAGCAGCAAGGATTCGGCGACCGCTGCGTAGGGTAGTGTTCGAGATGAGTGTCTATCTCGAAGGTTCGTCGTCTCGCCTCTGGGTAACACGCGCGCAGATACTGATGGACGCCGTTTCGTCTGTAGGCGGGGCGCTGGTCGACTGCAAGGGCTCCCACTTTAGAATGTTGTTCAAGGCAGGAGGAGGCGGATGGCCTTACGCTGTGAATGCGAGTCGGAGGCCTGTCTTCATACGCGGGCTCAAACCTGGCAGCAATGTTCACGTTACAGTTTGGGATCTGCATGATGAGTCAGCTAGAATGAAGCGAGTCAGGCGATGGATGCGGGAGTTCTTCCCTGGATCTGAGTTATCACTATTTACGAGGGCACAGAAGAACCATTCGTGGGGTGTCGACTCCGCGCGTATCACTGTATATACAGCGTGGATGTAGCCTCACAGCCGATTGTCAAACAATGGGTATAATCTCCAAGTGAAGTAAAACTCAGCTACCACTTTTAAGTCGAACGCCACTATCGGGATGCGGACGGAGTCGCCCTGTCGACACCGCCATGCCGCTCGGAGCTTAGCAGGAAGAGTGGAATGCAGGTGAGATGCTATGATATCGCTGCTATTAAAAAAAATGCCGGTGATCATGTATGCGCTAGCTTTCTGACTTTGTCGAGACCTCACCAATGACTCTTACCCCGACTGTCCACCATGCCGTATCACAACGGGCTCGGCATCATGCCTTGAGGGTCAACTTATTTGAAGGTTATAAGCACGGTATGTGACGTAGATACTAGCGCAGCAATCAGCTCAAGTACCTCAGACAGGGGAACGGCTTTGCTTATATCGATGGGACTCGGAGGTGTGACCGCACACACTCACCAACGCAGACGTTCCAGGGAACGCGTCGCTGTCGGGACTCGATACGACCACCACTGACGGCCGCTCATTTTCGCACCAAGAACTCGGAGGCGATCATGACTGCGCATACATTGCTGACTCCATGAGCGCGGACGGACGAGGATAGGATGGACATCAGACGCTGCATCGAATCTTCAGCAAAGCAATCGCTACTGACCGCAGTAGTTGTCCACATCCGGTCCCTCGGCCAGCGTGGTTACCGACTTCAACGCCGGCGCCGCTTGGCTCGCCTTGAGATGTGCAGGTCCACCCGGACTGGTCGATACGTACTTAAGTTACAGCCAGAGACTAAGTCTTCCGCGGCCCGGACCGCGGGTCCAGCACTGTCAAGGTCCAGCGGAATAGCGCGTATATGTTTCCAATGCATCCGGCGACTCGAGTCAGAGATGCAAAGCGTGAGTCGGGTATACGTGGCGTTTGAGTACTTGAGTACTTGAGTAAGTTCTTTGAGCAGAGACTGACACGCACTCTTATTAGCACAGTGATGAAGTTGCCGAATCGGGGTGGAAGCGGTCCGAACCTGACGCGATCGCGTGACCGCGTTATGGCGCTCTCAGGCTCATCCGTGAGCGCCGGCGGCCAGCGAGCGACGAGCGTCATGACACTCTGTCTGACCTCGACCTGTATAGTAGCTGTACTATGCTCAGTCTCACCGAGACATGACAAAGACGATACATACGTCTTCAAGCACGTACCCGTTGCATGTGGTATTTGCATGCATGCTGTCACTTCTCGCTCAGTAGCTGACAGCACTGGTTCGATCGCGTCCACACTTCGAGTCCTTACTTTCCCAATTTCTCATCATTGGGAATACAAGCAAAACACCTGTCAACCGTGTCCAGTCCTCAACCGCAGCCATGTCGTGATGGTTCAAGTTGCATCAATACAAGGTTTTGCTTGATCAAGCCTATAAGCAGGCTGTCGCGAGCACAATGCTGCCCCATCCTCTTCCGCACGCCCACACCGTACGTCCATTTTGTCCAGCCTTCGATTTCGAGCGAGCATCTCTTTCGCTTACACTGACTGAGAAAGCATAGGCACTATCGCTCCCTGCGTTATCGAATTGTCGCGGGAAGCTGCTCTTGTCGGTTCGTCAAAGGCAGCCGCTACGTTCGTCGATCCGTCGCTCAGCCGCAGAGCAACACTGGCCGGTCTTTTGTCCAGCTTTCTCCCACGGGCACGCTCATTCACTTGCGCACCCACACGATTGACAAAGGCGACTCTCCAGCCTGAACGGGCGAAGATGACAGAGACAACGCTGCTACCATGGCTCCATTCCGTGCTAGCGCCTATGCCGTCGTCTCAGTCCTTGGGGCCAGTGCCATCGTTCCGGCCCCTGCCGTGCTCTCTTTCTGATCGCACCCCCCTCGAAGTCTTCCCCATCATCATTGATTGCTACAGCTTCAAAGACGCGAAACAGTTGCTCACCGCGGCATTGGTCAGCAGGGTATGGTATCCCCGTGCCATGTCCAAACTGTACTCCACCGTCGAGATCGGATCGCGCAGACGCTATGACCTGCTGGTGGCCCAAATACGCGCATCGTCCGGCCTAAAGGGACGGCTCAAAGGCACACACACTGATGGTCAGCTCAAACTGCTCGATATTCTACAGGGATATCCCGCTTCTTCATTTCGTGCTTCTGCTTGGCACTGGTGCGTTCCCTGCGCTGCGTGTGCTCACGATTATCGGCCAGGTGCATACCGTGATGCCCCCCCCCCCCCCCAACTTCTATCCTGCTCTCCGTCAATTCAGGTTCCTCACGTCCCTGCGATTATTTTCTGCTTCGATGTACAACATTACCCAGCTGCAACGGATTATCCGCGCATTCCCACACCTAGAACAGCTGGCGTTACTCGACGTGCCAGTATCAGTCTCGTCCTCATTACCTCCCAAGAGAACCCCCGTTCAAATCGAGACAGACGTCCGGCTCAAACAACTCGCTGTTGGCCTATATGATAGTCCACCTGACCTCCAATGCTTAACCTCCATTGTCGACTGGCTTGTATCTTCAGCGATCTGTACCTCTCTTGGTAGTATGGAGATCCGGGTCCTCCGGTCAGATGCCAACGAGGGCACCCAACTTCAAGCTCAAATAGATCAGCAGGTCAATCGGCTCCTCAAAACATGTGGATCGTCTCTCACTGTCTTTCACGCAGATGGTAATGCGCGATATCAACCTCTCCTCAGTTATCTGTAGAGCCTGACGTTCATGGTTTTGCAGGTCGCCTGTATCATTACAACTCCAAGCACAACACGGCCTTGCGTCACCTCATACAAACGGCAGCCATCGAGTGTATCGATATGATACCATCGACAGAGGCCGCGGGAATTTGGCTGGCAGCGGCAAACAAGATCTATGCCGTTCTGTCCACGGTCCGAAGCTGCCAGCTCGAGCACATCGTAGTCTGTTTCGACATCGGTGTTGATGGTCCATCTGGTGCCAGTTGGCAGGCGAAGGAGGCAATCGAATCCTGCCAGAAGCTCGACTTGCGCGCTCTACACGATGTCATGGTCCGGCCGTGCTTCGACATGTTGAAGAATGTCGATATCGAGGCCTACATTGACGGTTGTCACAACGGCCAGGATGGGTGGCTGGCAGAGGAACTCCCCTGGACGCTCGTTCCCGTCATTCGACAGTTGTTCAGGCCGTGGTGGGACCGCCGTATCGTCAAGTTCTCTTACCGGTGGAAAGTTGTTGACTTGAGGTCCGACTATTACTCTAAAGATATGTTCACCCCATCTATTTCACTGGGAGGTGCGAGCACATATGTTGCTGCCGAATCCAGTAGCACTTACATTGTGGCCATGTGCAGAATCTTCCCGGGCCGCAAATGACCTTTAATGGTAAAGACGTGGCAGGCGCGCCATGATATTCGACGCCATCTAGCGACTCGTTACAAGCGTGCATTCGAGTCGATCACACGCACTCCACGTCCACGTTCACCGAAACCGGTGCGTTGCTCCGCGCCCATTGTTGAAAGTCTTCCCGTCCGCGTCCCGTTTGTCTCGCTTGTATGTTGTGTTCTGCAGGGTTAGTATCGAGATGGTCTTTGTCGAGATCTCGCTCCACGGACCCTTTATTCAATCCGAACCCCTCTCCTGGATGCCTTACTCGTCAACGTCGTCGTATCGCCCATCGCCCATTAAAATGCTGGCCGTATGTACCAGTACATCGTATCAGGTCTCGTTGATTGTATCTTGGTTGTGTATCGTTCCGAGTTACTGTGAACAATGCACGGATTCAATGCTCCTGACAATTCGTGCAAGAGGCACAACCCAGACACGCACCGCTTCGGACTACAAATTCAGAGTGAAACAATCGTCTGACAACGAGTTTAGAGATCCACAGCGGTCGGCGCATAACTTGGTGTACAAGCATTAGTACCTGCGGGTTAGGTTCATGTGCGTTGAACGCGCACGATGTTTGGCGAGACAGGCGAGAACACATAGATGTCCGCGCTGGCAGAGCGCGGTCGTCTGCAGACGTGCTATTCACCATCATGTCGAGTACCATCCTGTCGCGAACGAACGCAGCGTGAAGCACGCAGATCCTCCTGCTTACCGGTACGCTCGTGTTCGCACACGTGAGCTGTGCTCGACTCGGAGACCGAGCGCCATCGCGTCTTCCACTACCGTGCCAACCGGCATGCGTAGACATGTTCATGAGTATTACTTCATGGACGTCTGAAGGCGAGGAGCAGGTTGGCTGCGGGCTACGGGGTTCCGACGTCAACGTTATTATTAGCAAGAGAAGGACAGTCTTACTACTCGGCGCACTGTATACGGGAATTCGACCTTGCAATTGTGACCTACCGTCGGGGCACGGAAAGCTATTTCGGGGGTTGACTCACAGTCCGCGCGGATTGTCGTGTATAATGGGTGGATGAAACCTCGATTAGATGTCCGTCTGGAAGCTAAACTCCTCCCGGCGAAGGGAAGATGATCGAGCTCAGCCACTGGATCGTGATCGTATTGCAAGAACATTGACAGTACACACTTTTGTTCCGGCACTGTCTTCCGTCGCCGGAATAGCTCAGCTGGGAGAGCAGCAGACTGAAGGTTATTGGATTCTGAAGGTCGGGCGTTCGATCCGCCCTTCTGGCATGTAATGTTTTTTTTTCCGGGACCTGCAAGCGGCTACGAATCTCATGAGCAAAATACGGAGCATAAAATCAAATGTCGAACCATATATTCCGATTGAACGGTCAATGTGAATCTGTACGCCAACTGTTCGTAATGCAATAGACATGCGCCCAAAAAATGAGGCCGCGTACGGGCCGCGCGACCTGCAAACATGATCCTGTCATTGCCGGCTAATCAGTACAGCCAGAAACTTCAGGGCGAAAATGGGCACTCACCGTCGACGCTGCTGTTCCAAACTGGTCGTACCCTTGCGTGTACACAACATGATCATATGGCTGAGATGTTTCGCGAGGCCAATGTTGCTTGTTCGATGTAGCACTGAACCCTTCCTCGTACTATCGATGTTTGATCGTCAAGCGCGGCTCGTACTCGTCCAGGGCCGCAAAATCGGCCTCCAACGAAACAAAATGACCGACGCAGGGGTCGAACCTGCAGTCTAGCGGTCTACGGATAATCATCGAATCACATTCAAATTTTTGATCGTGAGAGTTGAGCTAACCTGAACATCCAGCGCCGAGCAACCTTTGGGCGAAGCGCCCGAGTCACTCCCTGTAATAATCATATTGTGCCATGGTAGAGCCCAAACGGATTAAATTCATGTCGCAATGATTGGTCTGCAGTATGAGGCTCAACAATTTGCTTCAGGGTCATGCAAGGCCCCACAGAACCTTGCACCTCACGCAGAAATCGGCCAAAAAAGCTAACCTCAGCCTGAGAACCTCGATCACTTTAAACAGCGAAAAATACAGTCATAAAATCTGGTGTCTCACTCGCTGGTTTGTGCTATCATACAGAATTCTACCTTTGTTTGCTGAGAGCGCGAGTCTTGCAGCTGTGAAGCTCCGGGCCCCGAGGGCGCCCGGAGTGAATCCCGGCCACGGCACGCGGAGATGTTGGACGCTGGAGATCGCAGTGCGATCTGCCGGGGCACTTCGTCACCCAGACTGAGTGGGTGCTATTCCCGGCACAGAGTGAAGATAAAGGATCCCCGTAGGCCCGCAGACGAAAGCAGCCAGCCCCCTTCATACGCGACTCTATCCCTGAACTCGAGTCCGACTCAGAGTTGATTTTAATCGTCGTGCGTGACAATAAATGTCTGAACCACTGTGCATAGACTGCATCAGCGGTAAGATACCGATCGTCGACTAGTGCGAGGGCTCACGTCATTGATCTTCATCCGGGCTCATTCCAGGTGTCCGCCACGAGGGTGTCCCCGAAGGTGACGATCCATATTTGCTCGCAAGGGTAGATACCGAGGTCCTGAATGATCACCCAGGAAAAATCGAGCAGATCGGTGGAGTTGAATCCTATGTCGCTACGCCCACCGGCGAGTACGCGAAAGAGAAGGTCGTCCTCTTCCTCCCAGATGTCTTCGGTCTCGCGCTCATCAACAACAGAGTACGTCATGTTCTCTCTTGTTCCGTAACCTTCCATTCAACAGCAACGTATCTACGAACCCAGCTCCTCGTTGATGACATTGCGCGAAATGGCTTTTGGTGCGTCATGCCGGATTACTTCGAAGGAGATTCGATTCCGGAGGACGCTATGAACCCCGAAAACCGCGACAAGTTCGACCGCGTCGGTTGGTTCTCGCGCCACGGCGACAATGCCTGGAAGCCAATCGTCGATAAGGTCGTCGCTGCTCTGAAGGAACAAGGTGTTACGCGCTTCGGGACGACTGGCTACTGCTACGGTGCTCCCGCGGCGTTCTACCTCGCGTGGAGCAACACGAGCCATGTCACAGTCGTGTCGCACCCGAGTCGGCTTCAAGTACCTGGCGATCTCGAGGTAAGTGGCGAGCAAAGGTCATACGAGTCATTTCCTCACTTTGCGATATCCTGCAGAAATACCGTGCAGAGTCGAAGGCCCCTCTGCTAATCAACGGTTGCGAGGTAGACTCTCAATTCCCGCCCGAGTCTCAAAAGATCGCAGATGAAGTCTTTGGCGATGGAAAGTTTGTGCCGGGCTACGAACGGACATACTGGGATGGATGCACCCATGGCTTCGCCGTTCGTGGTGACATGGTGTGCATTATGCTTCATTTGAATGGGTCGACAGGATTGACAGTGGCATCGTACAGAGTAACCCGAAGGTGAAGGCGGGAAAAGAAGGATCCTTTGAGGCGACGATCAAATTTTACAAGAAACATCTCTGAGTCTGGCGCATTGCAGAAACGGTCTCGGTGCGACGGGGACTCCGAGTCTGAGTCGTCGCTCGCGGACGTGGACGATCAGCGTGATTGAATGTCATGATACAAATGTATTGTATGTATAGCACGACAATATCTAGGCCGGCAAGCCGCATCGTATTTTGATGCTTCGAACCTACACGACTTGGTTTCAAGATTTGGTGTGTAAGATGGTCGGATGACTGCCCATGAGCGCTTTACGAGTAAGTTCTTCAGCCACTGTGGCGTTGGGTAGTGTGAGATCTGGATCTTGCGGCGCTGACCTGAGCGTCTGTCTCGTCCTTGGCAACCTCCCTCAACAAGTCCCTCAACATATCATACGCTAGTCCTTTGCTGGTAGCCAACGCAAAGCCAACGCCATGTAAATTCGGTGTCTCACTCGCTGGTTTGTTTGCTGAGAGCGCGGGTTCTGAAGCTCTCCTGAGGAGCGAGTCCCGGCGGCCACGGCACGTGAAGATGTCGGGACTGCCGAGGCACTTCATCACTCAGATTGAGTGGGTGCTATTTCCGGCACACTGAATAAAGGACCCCAGCAGGCCCACAGACGAAAGCAGTCCGCCCCCTACAGACGCGACTCGATCCCTGCACTCGATCCCGAGTTGACTGTAGTCGTCCTGCGTGACAACTAATGTCTGAACCAGTGTGCAAAGACTGCATCAGCGGTAAGCCATCTGTCGTCGACCAGGGCACGAATTGACTCACGTCATTGACCTTCATTCGGGCTCATTCCAGGTGTCCACCACGAGGGTGTCCCAGAAGGTAACGATCCATATATGCTCGCAAGAGTAGATACCGAGGCCCTGAATGATCACACAGGGAAAACTGAGCAGATCGGTGGAGTCGAGTGTTATGTTGCTACGCCCACTAGCGAGTATGCGAAAGAGAAGGTCGTCCTCTTCCTCCCGGACGTGTTCGGCGTCGCGCTCGTCAACAACAGAGTACGTCATGTTCTCTCTTGTTTCATAACCTTCCATCCAACGTATCTATGAACCCAGCTCCTCGTTGATGACATTGCGCGAAATGGCTTTTGGTGCGTCATGCCGGATTACTTCGAAGGAGATTCGATTCCGGAGGACGCTATGAACCCCGAAAACCGCGACAAGTTCGACCGCGTCGGCTGGTTCTCGCGCCACGGCGACAATGTCTGGAAGCCAATCGTCGACAAGGTCGTCGCTGCTCTGAAGGAACAGGGCGTTACGCGCTTCGGGACGACTGGCTACTGCTACGGTGCTCCCTCTGCGTTCTACCTCGCATACAGCAACACGAGCCAAGTCACAGTCGTGTCGCACCCTGGCCGGCTTCAGGTACCTGGTGATCTCGAGGTGAGCGGCGAACAAAGGTCATACGAGAGACATTTCTTCACTTCGCGAGGACGCTCTGCAGAAATACCGTGCGGAGTCGAAGGCCCCTCTCCTAATCAACAGTTGCGAAGTAGACAGCTGGTTCCCGCCCGAGTCTCAGAAGATCGCAGATGAGGTCTTCGGCGATGGAAAATTCGCGCCTGGCTATGAAAGGACATACTGGGATGGATGTACCCATGGCTTCGCTGTTCGCGGTGACATGGTGAGCATCATGCTTCGATGCACCGGGTCGACATGATTGACAGCGGCGTCGCACAGAGCAACCCGAAGGTGAAGGCGGGAAAAGAAGGAGCCTTTGAGGCGATGATCAAGTTGTACAAGAAGCATCTCTGAGTCTCATGTGCTGAAAGAACGGTCTCGGTGCGGCGGGGTCGTCGTTCACGGACGTAGACGACAGTCTGAATGAATCCAAATGTATAGTATACATAGCACGCGAATTTCTGCAGGCAGGCAAACCACGTCATGGAATGACACTTCGAACCTGTACGACTTGGGTTTTCATTACATAACTTACTGGTTGTCGGATAGCTGCGCGTGAGCGCTTGAGCGATCATGACTATGGGCGCTTCCTGAGCACTTCGGGGCCGTGTCTTCCTCTCATACTTACTGCACGCACTTCTCCGAGCATACCCCCTTATTATTGCGCTCGCTGCACATCTTGTGCGGACCAGCCATTTATTCACATCGTCGTCACTCTCAGGTTGTATATCTCGTAAACCAAGAGAGCACCAGTACAGTCACTATGCATCATACAGCGTGGACATCGGATCGCATCCCGCCTTCAAGACCGAAGCAGTCCTCACAGGCGCAAGGCAAGGGAAAACAGAAGGCACAAGAAACCCCAAAGAGCAAGGAGGTGCGCAGGCTCGAGGAGCTGAGGGATGGACTGCGGTACACGACTGGCCGCGAGCGAGATCCCAAGGGTGGGTGTTTCTGTCAGGGTACGTCCTACATTTCATGTCGGTAATTCATACACCTCAGATGAAGTGGAACAGCTCGTATGCATACGCTGTCTCCGCATACACCAGTGTGCCGTAACTGCGGCCTCATACTGTGCGAGCTGCAGCAGCCTCGCTACGCGTGTCCCCACTGTGTCTCCCCGCTCATCAGTCCCGAGGCCCGCGCCGCACTCGAGGCGCGCCTAGAGACACAGATCACAGATACGCTGGCCAAGGAGGAGGAGGAGAGGCAACGCGCCATCGAACAAGCCCGCGCGGCCGCAGGAGCCTTCCCCACACTCGCCACCGGTGCGTCTGGGCTACCGTCGTCGGCCTCCGACGCCCTCGCATCGCACCCCGCAAATCAAACGCACAAGGTGCTGTCGCTCAACTCGAAGACTAAGAAGGTCACCGTGGCGTCGTATCATGCGTCCCCGGTCATCTCGCGGTCTGCATCGCGCGAGAGCAGCTTGAAGGACGAGGCGCAGCCCGAATCTAAGCGCGTTCCGCCTCCGCCGTCGGAGGTCCCGCATGCGAAAGAGAACCGCGATCCACATCGACCGTGGGCGAATCTCAGAGGAGGGTCCGTGACATATGTTCCACCGCCAAAAGCGACCGCGGGCGGTTCGGCGGGTGGTCAACGGAGAAAGAAAGGAAAGGGCGGTAGGGATACGGAGAAAGGGAAGGAAACCGAAACTTGATTGTTCTAGATGTGCTTCCACAGCCTTCGTGTAAAATCCGTGTGGGTTCTTGTTTATATGCTGTGTTCATGAGACGCTTTATCGATGTGTACAGCAGATTCGGAAAACCTTGTCCGACGCGCCCCCGCGCGTGAGAAAATTCAAATAAATCAAGAAAATCACGAAAATGCGGAAAAGTCTAGGAATCGCGATACACGTACCGTAGCCACTGCAGAACACCGTGTACACCCTGTTACAGGTTCGGGGCGCATGCGGCATGTCTGTCGAAGGCAAGTCGAGGGTATTTTTGAAGGTTGTGCAATGGTCGACGTGGCGGGCGCTAAAGCCGACTCCCCAGGGAGCATCCACTGCAAAATGCAGCTGTGGGTGTCATCGGGTGCTCGATTTGCATGCGTACGGAGTACAGCTGTACTGATGTAGTTCTCAATGTAACAGAGGCAGTAGCTTGTGGGACAATGATAACCAGGAGGACTCGCCGCCTGGCGCTCAGCCTCAGTTACTAACGGTACAGTGCCTGGCAATTTTCAACTTCAAGTCGAAGTTGGGCCCGACATCGGCATGGGCACAGTATCGGATTGTAAGTAGGCACCGTATGGATATCGGAGCGATATTCGAAGAAGCCGAGACCTTATTCAGCCCTGTCTCAGTCAGTGACGAAATTCCTGTAGCCTTGAAGCTTCATGGCCAGCCGGAAATGCAAACTTGAAGTCGCGGCCTCGGGACTTCTGGTGAAATAACACAGACTCTCCCTTATTGAAGAGAACAAGACTTGAAGATATAACCTGAGTAGGCCATCTCAGGGCGGCACTGGCAATGCGAGCACTTCGGAGGCAAGTCTTTGACCTGGCTGCCCGTCAAATGCACGAATGTCTTCCTCTCAGGTTGTGTCTATCTAGTAACCATGTCTCCCTGTCATCACGCATACTCTCCGGGTCATATCGAGTACCCACAGCGGTGTTCTGCAGTGGATGCTCCCTGGGGAGTCAACTTTAGCGCCCGCCATGTCGACGCATCGCACAACCTTCGAAATCACCCTCAACTTGCCTTCGATAGACATGCCGCATACGCCGCGAACCTGTAACAAGGCGTACACGGTGTTCTATAATGGCTACGGTGCGTGTATCGCGATTCCTAGACTTTTCCGCATTTTCGTCATTTTCTTGATTTATTTGAATTTTCGCACGCGCGGGGACGCGTCGGACAAGGTTTTCCGAATCTGCTGTATTGCACGAGCCCTCAGATCTTGCCATTGTAAAGACTATTCAGGCAGTGGCGAGTACCCCGCGTTCACGGACGACATTGTATCGTGAACAGAATTGCATGCGGTACTGCCTCAATGATGGCTCGGTAGGACAGCTTCGTGGCGGAAACGCGTACTTTAGGTCAACATTGAACGCTGAGCGCTGAGCGCTGAACTCCCATGTTATCATCTAATATTCCAAGGTCGTACGCGGACTGATTCTGCGGAGACTGAGCAAATCATATTCGCAACATAATAACGAGCAAGTACGCATGACAAACGACAGCATGTAACATATAGCATGAGCATAGCATCTGAACTGAACAATGAGCACCTCCCGCCATCCTGGAGTAGATACGAATGCTTAACGTGTCAAACTCAACTCATTCAACGATACCTTCATTCATCATATGGATCAGAAACTGCTTCCACGGAATCTCCAGCTCATCCACGTCGCTTTGATCGAGCGAAAACGCGACCGACATGACGTTCATGAGCTCCATGTCAGGATCCCGAAGGCTCAAGACAACAAGCGCGGCACTACTGGGCCCTCGATGCCTCGTAGCCTCCTCTCTGCAGCTCCGAAGCCTGAGGCGCATCTCGTCGAGCTTCTCTTCTGGAAAGAAGGAGAACGTCTCGAGCTGTGCACCCATGCAGTAGAAGCGGGTCTCTGGCCGTGCGCGGGCAGCATTTGGCCTGGTTCGCAAGTCGATGACGAGCACGTCTTCGCGCTCCTTCGAGGTAGCAACAGGATCTAAAGAGGAGGGTGGGAGGTAGTCGTGGCGAACGGCGTGGAAGGCAGCTTCGGAGATGGTAGCGCGGTGTTTGCGTGTGAAGTCGCGGAGAGCATCGAGACGTTCGAGGTCACCGGGCCGCGCCTCGAGCGTGGCCGTCGTCTCTTGGTTCAGCTTGCATATTTTCTTATGGACAGGCCAGGCAGCTTTCTGACACTGCCGACTCTGGATGCCAGGGATTTGAGTCATCTTATAGTGCACACCATACGACCCGATGAAGAGAAGCATCACGCACACAGTACCTGTCAGTCTTGCATCCGCCGCATTTCCTCATCATCACTCCGTCCTCCTCGCGTTTCGTACAGTACTGACATTGTCGGGCCCGTCGACTGATTGTTTCGTTTGGATTTGAGTAGTCGTGCCTCCGCCTCGCATTGGGAGCAGGAGGAATCTGCCCTGCAGTAGACTGGCTGGGCACAAGACTCATGGAAACGCTAAGGGCAGGGAGTGAGCGCTCGAGGTAGGGTTGAGAACAAGGAAAGATGTGACGCCACTGACGCAGCGGGAGAACGAACTGATCGAGTCGGACTGACGACTCAATTGAAAGAGCGCGTCCTCCCGACGCCCGCCGAGTCCGCAACAGAGACTCGGACTACTGACTCGGACGCCCGTAGCACGCAGGTCGACGAGTCGTCCGACGATGAACGCGCTACAACTCGAGCAAGTATATTACAGGCACAATTACATCATACAGCGAACTATGTACCATCGATGATTCATGTCACAAGTCAAATTTGAAGCACATTCATGTGCTTGACAACAGCCCAATCCTTCTCCAATACTCAACCCAACGTCTCACATCTCCTCGTCTAGTTGCCTTAATTCAGGATCCGCTAATGTTGACGATGTAGCGACGGCATGCTTTGATTCCAGTGCGGGGAAGCCCATTGCCAAAGCACCGGTCGCATTACGCAATGACTCGAACCATGAAAGGAGTCGGAGAGCGGGCAGCGTGCGCAGAGCTTGACCTCGGAGTCCCGTGGGGGAGTTGGCGTCAGCATCAGTATGTCCTGCCTGCCGCAGGTCGCTATCCATTGGTCGTATGAAACAAGCGGCACGAGAGCTGCCGCGAGATCGCAGACGCGATTGTCCTCCAAGGTATGGGTCGGGGGTGAACAGATGGACGATGCCCGAATCGGACACCTCCTAAAGTCGCTAACTGCAGCTGCGACAACGTCGAGCTGGATCCAATCTACCGCCTGCGACGTGTTTCCGATCAACTAACATCGTTTCCAAAGCCATGGCAAACGCACCCTGTGATCGTCCGGGAAACACCTGACCTTCTCCGCGCTTTGCACGAGTACTGGGAACCACTCTGTGGCATTCCAGGCACCATCTACACCTCCAGAGATCTGGCCCACGCGGACGATGACCGTCGTTAAGGGCGTTCGTTCACTCGCATGGTGCAAGACATCTTCCGAGACCCACTTGGACTCGCCATAGCCGGTACCCAGAGCAACTTCAGGTGCGATCCTCGTTTCGGTATGCACCTCGCCGTTGGGAATGTCTGTCTCATGTCTGTGAATGACATCAAGGAGATGGTTTTTGGCTGTACGTACTGGAAAATACACCAATGCTGCTGACAAATATCAGTCGCGGCGGGTCAGTGAAAGGAGAAGACAAGGCGAAGTCGATAAGACTGCGCAATCCCTTCACATTGTTCTCGAACGATGCTAGGGCAAGATTGAAGTCCACGCGCCATGCTATGAGTCAAGTTGAACATTACATTTAGAGTCACAGTAGTGTCCGACAACTCACCGTTGTGGATGATGTGCGTGACGGAATCTCTCATCTTTTGAAAGAAACGCCACTGAGTCAAGTGACCAATGCAGGACGCGAACGTTGGACTCACCTCGTTATAGATACTGCGCTCGATCCCGAACCGCGGGGCGATGAGATCCCCCTCGAGAAGAACCACCTTACCCTCGTCAAGGTCTACGTCGATCCTTCGCTCGGCCAATGCTATTTTCTGCCGTTACAAAAGGCTCTCCCCGTTCTTTGCTGTCCTGTTCAGGGCGTACACTTTCGAAACCCCACTATCCGCCGCCAATCTTACGAGCAGAGCGCAGCCCAGACTGCCAGTCGTGCCCGTCACGAGTATGACATCCCCACCCGAACTGGACGCGACGATTCTCCTGAATGGGATGGGAGCTCTTTGGTGTATTTGTCGACCATCGCGCGCATTGCGCTCACGTGTACGTCTGCGGACAAGTGAGCTTCTGTCCCGCGACGAGGTTTGAGATGTAGACAGCGAGACGAGAGACTGAAGGATGATCGTAGACAAAGTTCCTGATGCCACGCGTGTCCAGGTGCGCAGAATCCTTGATGGCGCGGAGGAGCGAGTTCTTGATCCAGGTAGCTTGCAGACTGCAAGGCATATAGGTCATTCGTCCGTTCAAATCTCGACATGTGTGCTTGTTCATACCTGTCACAGCCATGTTCGAAGAGGTCGTCGTCGTCCTTCACGGGTCGCACAAGGACCTTTCCCACAACTGCACGTACGAAATCCGTGACAGTCTTAAAGTCCCACTGTTCAGGCGGTGGGATGCTTGACTGGGTCGTCTCTTCAACCACGCGATATAAGTTCTCGATCTCCTCCTCGTGATCGTTGATCACGGCTTGGCGACGCGCTGTGCCCTTCGCGGTGTACGTGAACGGCTTCGACGGGTGCGCCACAATGATCATCTGAGCACAACCTCGACGCATGAGTACGTGTGCAGCATAGACTGCGTGCCGAGGCGTACCTCCTTGAAGAGCCGTGAGTGCTGGGGAGCAAAGGCGTTCATCTTCTCCACGGTCGGCCTGCCGGTACCTGTTACAAAGCCTCCCTGGATGAGCGGTATAATTGACTTACCAGATCAAGTTACGGTACTCCGCAAGCTTGTCTTGGTCGGAGGGGTCGAACATGAATTCAGGCTTCGGATCGACAATAACTCCAGCTTGGAAGTGGCCACGGCCGAACATGACGCATGATTGGACGTGCGGGTCCTGATTAAGCATGCTCTCTGCGGAAGACGGGCGTAAGTCAGAGTCGCGGAATTCGCACTAGAGTCTATCTACCGAGGGGTCCGGGATTCGTCTAATGAGGCGGTGAGATGTTAGCTTCAAATTTGGAAGATGTATATCATGTGTAGTTTCACCTTCTCCCCCGTGTTATGCATGATTTGATCGTCGCTTCGTCCATATACCTTCCAAAGCCCGGGTTTCGTTGGATGCTCGACAAGTAGGTCCGAAGTGTTGTAAGCATCACGACCGTCAACCTTTGTATTGATGATACCGAGCGAGCAGAAGCCGTTCGCCTGAAAGTATAACCATCAGTTCACGTGTGCATTGCAGTACCAGGAAATGATGTATTGACCAGCACGATGAGCTCATACGTATTGTCGCCAAACGGCTCCAACTTGACATCGAGGAAGGGTGCAATTCGGAAGTAGTCCCAGTCATATCCCACCTCAGCTGAGTAAGGAAGTCGTGAGTCCATCCTCATATCACACCAGTCTGCTATTCGACGGACCTGGAATGATGGGTGTAATAAGCTGACTTTCTGTGCTGAATGTGAACATTAAGCGAATGAATGTCAGACAATCAACAGAGAGCCCACTCACGTTCCATAGAGAACGAATAAAGACACGCCTTGCGACGTCAGGTAATCGCCGACTTGTTTGTTCAAAGCACCTCCCCCGAAAATCTGAGCCGCTCTTCAGCTTCAGCTCACGGCGTGAATAAAGGCGATCAAGGATAACGTACAGCACCGTCTCGGCTAGCCAGCCATTCTACACACTCTGGTCTACGCGACCAAGCCTATGGATACTCCTTGAAGCTGTGAATTCGTCAGATCGACGGAGACGTACCTCTATAATCGACGGAACGGAGAATATTATATCACTTTCAGTCGCCTTCGCTGCCAGAAAATGTGTGTCAGGATTCGGAACGGGCGCTGGCGATCTCGGCTCGAACGCGCTCAAAACAATACCGCAAGACGCCTACGTCGAAGTCAGTGCACCATATAAGGAAATCGCCACAGCAGAAGGATCGACTCACGACCCAGGACATCATAGCAAGCGCCGTAGAATGGAACATAGGTACAACGTGCATCGAAAACACCTTGTCTGCGAGGTCGCGTTCCCCAAAATAGGGGACGATGCTGGCGCCGAGGAGGCGCCGATGCGGGAAGGATATTGGTTTCGGGAACGCCGTCGATCCTGCTCTTAGATCAGACAAGGTAGCGGACGGCATGGAGAAAACTCACCAGATGAATGCATGATCAGCGCTGGCGTATCGGATCCATGAGGCACATACGGGACGTCGTCGACCTCCGCAAGCGCAGCGAAGAGGTCCCCGAAGACGAACATGGGCGACACACGCGGAAGTGGGACGCTCGGCTTCTGACTCAGAGTTTCAAGCGCGCTCTGCATTAGGTCCGTTATTCCCTGTTCGCTGCTCGCGAGAACATGCTGCACGTTCGCCTTGCTGATGAGGTGTGCAACGGCAGTAGCAGAGTTGCGAGGTGAGATGGGGAAAGCGACGTAGCCAGCGCGGATGATGCTCATGATGGTAATCATGTACGGGATACTGTCTGCACAACTGCATGAGTAGTGACACGGGAGAAATTCTCGACGTGGGCGCACCTGATGATGACAATATGCCAACTACAGGATGTCCCTGCATGTCAGGCCTCCAACCCATACATGTCCTTATCTTCTGGGCACCGACATGCATGGCTCTAACAGTTTCGGACCAATACAGAGTCTGTACAGTACCGTCGTCCTTGGAATAGACGAACACGCGCTGTTGCGGACTATGCTCTGCGTGCCATTCATACAACTCAGGCAGCGTGAGAGAGCCATCCATCGGAGGCCGCTTGAAGGTAGAGCTCGACAGACCCTGGGTCTGAGCAAAAGGAGGGTACAGCGTTCGGCCAGACATCTTGCAGTTCTACGGGGAATGCGAGGTTACTTTTGTGAATCGCACACAGGAGGTTAACACACCGTAGGAGGAGGGAATGGGTTTGATCGAAGGTGTACGAAGCCTGTATATAAGATATTACGAGTCTCAGTTCTCCACCAAGATTGATTTCACGTCGGTTCTCTACGGGTGGCTGAGGACGAACATGAAACCTATTGTGCACGCGGGCCGATGGTCTCGGGAATGTATCAGTAGCATCGGACAGATTCGAAGGAACCATGTGCATAGGGAAGTGTCCTCCGACGTTCGAGGTTGTATTATGGATAGGAACTCTGCGGACGTGCTCTATTGCCAAGGGCCAAGTCAGGCTGATGTTCGTTGCAAATGACGCAGTATGCATCCCAAGCCCATCGACGAACGGGTTGGTCAGGCTATCCGGACTTAAACAGCGCACCGCTTTGTACAAGTCTGTTCCTCGATTGCTACCCGTGTTGAAGCGGTAACCTTCTAGAATCGAAGGCTCGTCAGCGCCACAAGTACTTCCGATACTGTGCATACTGTAACTTACTAAGCCTCCTCGGGACTGGTTTGGTCAGGGGTACGGGCAGACCGCCGCCCGAGGCGCTTGTGGTGGGTTGCCCCGGGCTGCTGTTACTAGGCGGTCACGGCCTGTAACAAAGTGCTCCCTGTAACCCAACTGTAACCCGTGTAAATTTCAGTGTCAGTTCTATAGATTTAGATTTTTGATCGTCCGAGAAGTAAAAGAAATACAGACGTAATACTCCAGCTAATTCCATATTGCTAGACCCCTCGCCGGAAAGGGCGTACAGGCGGGTTCGTCGGCCTTGGTATTCTTTCTGTCTCACCATCGTCATTTTACCATAACGGGCAGTGTCGGGGGCGAACCAGACCGCGTTCCGAAGCCGAGGTCGACCGGCAGAGCGTGCGGATCACCTGCGAACAAGGCCAGACGAAGGCCCGACGCCCTCCGCCTGTGCACACATTTTCGGAAGGGGGTCTAGCAATATGGAATTAGCTGTCATATACCAATGCTTACCTCGAGTACTAATCCCTAGAACAATATACTGTATGACGACGAGCGTCGAGCTAGCACATGCACAAAACAAGGCTCGCCAAATGTTCGAGCATGTGTGATATCCAGAGATGCTCTATCTCCATTGGGTCAAGACATCGAAGTGACGAGGGGTCGCCGTGCATGAAGCAGCATCAAGCTCCCTGTCATCTCACCGACAGTTCCGCGAATCCTCCGCGCGAAGTGGAGGCACCTCGGTGTAAGACGTAGCATTATCTGCACCTTCCAATACGTCAAACTTCGGAACAGCATGGTTGAATTTGACTGACCATACGATACTGCTTCACGCGGAAGCGCCAGTTCCTAAAGAAGATCAGGTTTGGGAACGGTAGATAGGTCAGAGTTTCCCCATATGACATGGGCCGCACTTGCAGTCGGAAGTCTCACCGGGAATCGTCATCTAAGCGTCCGTGGCAAGACGATAAAGATTGCAATGTAATGAGCACCTGTGCCAACTCCAATACAGCATATATGTTACAAACAACAGAGACGGTTGACTGCGCCCGTCGTTAGCGGAGACCATGGCATATAGAATGCGTACAATCACCATGCTACTCTCCGAACACCTCAAACGCGTCTTGCGCTATTGCACCGTCGGCGAGGCCATTCACAGCGGACGCATCCTGCAATGTGTCGTCTATCTCGCCTTCCGCGTCGGCCTCACCTCGGTTCAGAAGGTACATGGGGTCCATGACTTCCGCCAGGGCCTCTTCGCGCTCCGTCTCCTCTTCTTGACTCATTGGACAATGTGTAATCTTGATGATATCCCACTTATCGTGATACGCCTCGTACGCCTGTAAACCGTCAGTAGTCAGCGTGGACCCACGCAGCTGATACGGTGCACGCACGTTCTGGCGCTTCTTCTTGAGCAGCATCTTGCGCTCGATGTTCTTGTAGTAGGCGCCCTTCGTGCGGGCCTTCTGCGGCTTCTGGTCCTCGTCTTCCGGCGCTTCGCCATCGTCGCCATCGTCAATGACGAGCAGGAACTCGTTCGGAACTTCTTGCTCCACTTTCACCACTTCGTAATCGCGGACGAAGTGGAACGGAATAGGCTATATGAGATGGAACACACGAGAGGTCCGGCATGAGAATGGAGCATGAGGCGAGGAGCTTCGGACGAACCTCGTCCTCCTCAGGCGCGTCAGGTGAACGTGCCAACCGTTCTTGCTTGAATTGGAGGGCAGTCTCGTCGTCCTTCGTAAGGTAGTACGCCAAGAAGTGGTCGCCGTCTGACTCCATGGGCCGTAAGATGGCACAGTCAAGTCTTGGGTCGTCGACCTATAGTTGATGGGCCATCAGCTGGGAGCAACGAACAAGAGAAGCGCTGCATACCTCAGGTGGTCGCTCTCCCGGCCGCTCTGAGAACCGGAAGAGGTCGTATGCATTCGCCCAAATCTCGGCGTCGGGGAATACCTCGTATGAGTCTATTGCCGTAACGTCGGGTTTATTGGGATGTTTGAGCGCGCTTAGGTCAAAGGTATCCGTGGCCATGAACGACGCTTCGATGTCGTTAATCTGCGCAGACCGGGATATGTCTACCGGGACGTCCATGTTCTGCTTCCTGGATCCGTACAAGGTTTAGTACGCTGCTAAAACCAAGAGGCCGCTACGCACGCTTCTTGTGACGGCGTTGGACGCGACGAAGCTTCGCGGGTAAGGTATTCTGTCCGCCGGAGCCATGTTACGTGTGGCATCGAGGACGGTGTTGACGCGGATGCGATAGTGGATGCTCCGGCGCCGTTAGGGAGATAGGGCCCCGAGGACGTGGGGTCGGCGAGCAGAAAGAGGTCCTTTTGGTCTGGTTTTGGTGCCATTTCCTCCGAAGGGTTCAAGTCTATGCACCAATCCTCTAGACCCATTCTGCGAACCCTGACAGATGGGATGCTCACCGGAAGGATCCGCATTCTCGTCCCAAAGGCAGTCCCATCGTGACAAGTCAAGTGGCATGCCAAGGTCTCCATCCACGATCATAGGTAACGGCGCGTCGGCCGCTATGTCGTCGAGAAACTCTGGGCGCGCGTAGCGTGAAGAGCTGGTGGAGATATCCAGAAGTTTTGGAGGACATGGTGGCGCTGGTAATGGGTTCGAGTACCGTACTCGAATGAGCAGATCGAGCTTGCTAAGGCGGCCTGTCAGTAAGACTTCGGTCGCGAGTGGTAGTGAACACGCACCTCTTCTTAAAGCTCATTCTGTACTGACACGTATATCAGAGTCGTTTTGTGTCAAGTCCAGCCGCAGAAGGTAACCTCAAAATCAGGCGTAAGGAAGAAGCGGGAGGGTGCAGTATGTGGCCCTGTAGCCCGGCTTCCGTCTGCTCGGGTTGAAGCAAAGCTGAAGACACCTTGAAGTGGCTGAAGGCGTCCAACAGGAGCCGGTCCTCAGCCGGACCGCAGTCGAACCGCAACCGAACGCGAATCCTCCAGGGCACGTGGCCCTACCACCCATTGTAACTTATCAGATAAGATCATTGACAGTATCGAGCGCCTAGACTGCGTTCCACAGGGTTCGCCGGCCGCAGTCTCGCTCGCCACAGCTTGTTCTCAACCACCATGTCAGATACAACACCCGCCACCGATACCACGACGCCCACCGCCACGTCGGACGCGCCCGAAGTTGCCGCGGCCGTTCCCATCCCTGAGACGCCAGCACCGAGTAAGCGGCACCCTCGCCATCGCACGGTCTGACAGGTAATCTCATCCAGTCTCGCGCGCTGCGGTCTAGGTGCGGACGCCGGTGCCGCGACGAAGGACGAGAGACGGGCGACAGCGAAGGGGACGAACCCCAGAACCCACTGACGCGAAAGTTCACCGACGCGGAATGGGCGGCCGTGAAAGAACTCAGGGTGCGTGTCCGTGTTCTCGACCGCGCCCCAAATACACTGCGCCTAGGCGACGACTCCAAACTCTGGTGCTGACTGCCGGCGGTTGGTTGTTATTGCAGGCACAGCTTCCGGAGATCTTCACGGAGGCGTATACGTCGAAGGAGGACAAGCAGGCTCCGATTACCCTTTGGGGTGTGCAGATCGACCCCGCAAACCCGAAGGACGCCCGAGTGAGTGTCGTTCTCGTCAAGTTCCTCCGCGCCAGGTAACAACAGGCTTCCCTATGCCTGGTGTCAGCATGCTGACACGAGTTCCCTTTCCCTGCGTAGGGACCTCAAGGTTACAGAGGCGCGTAAGATGCTCACTGACACGCTCAAGTGGCGGGAGGAGTTCAAGCTCGCGGAGGTCTTGACGGAAGAGTTCCCCGAGGACGTGTTCGGAAAGCTGGGCAAGATTTATGGCAAGACCAAGGAGGGTCACCCCATTGTGTGCGTCCGTCGCCAGGCTGGTGGCTCATTCACAGGCATCCTGATCCTCGCTGGTGATGGCCAGGTATAACATCTACGGAGGAGCCGACGTGAACGCCGTCTTCGGCGACGTCGACCGGTTCCTTCGGTGCGCCCCCCACACCCCCTGCCCAGGCACCCGTTGCTGACTTGCCGGTATACTTAGCTGGCGTGTCGCCTTCATGGAGAAGAGCATCGAGACGCTCGACTTCGAGAACCTCGATGCGATGGTGCAGATCCACGGTGTGTACTGAACGTTCAGCCTCACCGCAGCCTCATCCCCCTTTGCTGAGTGTGATCGTCTGGCATGGGCAGACTACGAGGGCGTCAGCATGATGTCGCGTACGCCGGGCCAGAAGGCTGCAGCCTGCAGGCCTCCGCGCTCTTCTCAAACTACTACCCCGAGCTCCTGGTGCGTCCCTCCTTCCCTCCCACGGAAATTTCCGTTCACGGAGATACGCGCGGCCCACCCTCACCCACAGTCACGCAAGTTCTTCGTAAACGTACCGACGTTCATGGCGTGGGTCTTCTGGCTGTTCAAGTCGTTTGTCTCCGCGAAGACGATGGCAAGTTCAGCATGGTTGGGACGGGCCCGAAGACGATCGGCGCGGAGCTCCTCCCTCTCATCGATGCGCAGGAGCTGCCGAAGCGGTATGGCGGTGAGGCGGCTGGCTGGGATTAGAGCCTCTGCGACGCGTGGTGCTTCGAATTTAGTATGAATGGTGGATGTACTGTAGCTTGATTTAGGCCGGTTATTTTTGGCATACCCCTCTTAGTCTCAATGGAAACGTAGACATACCCTCGGGAAAGGGTCAACGCCTCTAAGGCCGAACCGAGTTCATAAACTCCGAACGCGTTCGATAGTATGCGCATATCATTGCATGGACATATGCTACGCGCCAACCGAGACAGACAAAAACGATATAGACGGAATAAATACTACAGAAACAATACACCTATGGATACACGCGAGACAATGTCTATGAACGCTCTCCACGGAGCCGCCGCGCGAGCGCGAGGTCCTTGGGCTGAATAGTGACGCGCTTTGCATGAATCGCAGCGAGGTTGGTGTCCTCAAAGAGGGAGACGAGGTACGCCTCTGATGCTTCTGAAGCGCCATTACGGCGGAGGACTGGAAGCGGAGATCAGTCTGACATGGAACGTCAGCACACGCACATGGATGAAGGAGGAAGGAACGTACCTTGAAGTCCTGAGCATCTCACGGACGAGCCGCTGGAAGGGCAGCTTGCGGATGAGGAGCTCGGTCGACTTCTGGTACCGCCGGATTTCACGGAGGGCGACCGTTCCCGGCCGGAAGCGATGAGGCTTCTTCACACCACCGGTTGCGCTCTGCAGAGTCTAGCTCAGTCCAAACTCGCTGATTAAGGAAGAAGACTCACTGCTTGCGCGGTCTTGCGCGCTGCGGACTTGGCAGCGAGCTGCTTACGAGGGGCCTTGCCTAAGCGCAGTGAGCCGAAGTCCAAGAACGTTGAAGTGAAGTTGAGACTTACCACCAGTGGACTTGCGGGCGGTCTGCTTGGTACGAGCCATTGCTGATTGTGTGTGAGAGTGTTGTTGAAGTGCGGTGAGAGTTGGGGCGAGTGCGTTGGGCAAGCGGGAGTGAGGGGACAGTGGCTGGGGCGGGCGCTCCTTATATACAGGCGCGCCTGCCACAAACGCGAACGCGCTTGTCACGTGCGCCAAACGCGTTGAATGCGATTCAACAAACTTGGCACGTGAGCGTGATCCGCGTCTGTATATAAGCAGCGTCCGAGCGACGTCTGTGCCCCCACTCATCTAAACTCACACTCCGTCTCCGCCGCCGTCTCGTCGCAAGGCCTCTCTAAACTTCAACGAACTTTGTTCTCTTACCAACCAACTCCAACAAATTACATGTCTGGCCGTGGAAAGGGTGGCAAGGTTAGTGGCTGAAGTGTCTTGCCTTCGGAGGTGCGAAGAACTTCGGCTAATGAACGCGTTCGTGCTCGATAGGGCCTCGGAAAGGGTGGTGCGAAGCGTCACCGCAAGATTCTCCGTGATAACATCCAAGGTGGGCGAGCCTCGTCTTCTTTCGCCTTGGTGGACCTAACAATCCGGGTTAGGTATACGAAGCCCGCTATCCGTCGTCTCGCGCGTCGAGGCGGTGTGAAGCGTATCTCCGGTCTCATCTACGAGGAGACACGAGGAGTGCTCAAGATCTTCCTGGAGAACGTGAGTCGTGCTTTGTCTCGCTACGGTCATGCAGGTGCTGATGGGCCGGTGCGTCAGGTCATCCGGGACTCTGTGACGTACACTGAGCACGCGAAGCGGAAGACGGTGACGGCACTCGACGTTGTGTACGCCCTGAAGCGGTCAGGGCGGACGTGTATGGGTTCGGAGCATGAACGTGGAGGTGTTGCGAGGACGCTAGACTCGGTTTATATTCGGTGTATCTCTATCTACTGTACAACAGTATTCGTATTTCCCTACATCTCCCAGCGCAGGCTCTCCCGTTCCGAGACCTCTGGCGTGAGTACGAGAAGGCGAAGTGCACTCCGACGGCTTCGTGGAGGTTGCCATTGTTGGTAAATACGCTTGTTGTTCGCCGTCAACGCGCATTCGGTAGGTGAGTGCAGGCTTGTCACGCTCCGGCTGGTGCGACGGGTGCGGTTGTAGCAGGGTGCGGCCTGGGCAGGTTTGGCCCGATGGGGCGTGACACTCCCGGGTGCGCGGTAGCGTCGACGCGCTCGTCCGGCGGGTCGCTTGAGTCCGCGACCGAGGACTGGCACAGTACTTGGCAGAGGCGCGCGGGCACTGCGCGGGCAGCGGTAACGGAGCGCATCTCGTTCGCCTGGCTGGGAAGCACCCCGCCTCGTCCTCCGTGATTTCTCCGTCCTCGCGGTCCGCCAGCCGTATAAAGTCGCCCTCCCATCGTCCTCTGATCGCCTCACATCCACCCCATCGTCCTCGCAGCCACCAGCTACCCTCTCCTCGTCGCTGCCATCCCCCACCACCCTGCCGCCCCCGCCCCGCTCCTGCATGGACCTCCCCGTCGAGACCCTCTATGCCATCTTCGACCACCTCCAGCCCCGCCCCGGCGAGCTCGCCCAGGTCGCGCGCGTCTGCCAGCGCTTCCGAGTCATCGCGGAGCGCATCCTCTACGCGCACATCTTCATCCAGGAAGGCCTTCCCCGCTCGTCCCCCTTTCCCCACCGCGTCCACCGCTGCTGCGATACACTCCTCGCCCGTCCAGACCTGCACGACGTCGTTCGCCGTCTCACCGTCCGGTGGCAGACGGATCCGAGCGCACGCGACCAGTACGAGCCGTTCGTCCAACCCGTCCTCCTGAGTCTCAACCGCACCCTCCGCTTCCTTACCCAGCTCGAGTCCCTCGACCTTGCTCTCGGCCTCGTCGGTGTGTCGGTCTCCGTCCGTTCTGTCCTCAGTGGCTGCTACTTCCCCGGCCTCCGCCTCTTCGCGCTATATGGCATCGGACCAGGCAGCATCCCCGTTAAGGACTGTCCGGACGCGCTCGTCCTCCAGCACTTCCTTTCCGCAACCCGAACCCTCGAGCACCTTGTCCTCGGCGACCACTACGCCGCGCTCGCTCTCGCGCCGCACGACCTGCCGTTGCTCGCGGCGTTCAAAGGCACTGCGACCGCTGCGGCGTCGATCGTCCCTGGACGGGCGGTCACCCACCTCACGCTCGTCGGGCAGGACCAGTTCCCGCCGCGCCTGCTCGCAGAGCTCGCCTTCGGGCGCGAGCCCATCCGCACCCTTGACCTCTCCGCCGTGTCAGTCACACCGAACACGCTCAAGGCCATCTCCTGCTACCTCTCCGGTGTCGTGGACCTCAAAATCCGCTTCGCGCTGAGACACACCCTGCACCACTCCTTTACGGGCATCGTGAGTGGTTTATTCCTCCTCCGCACCGCGCGGGCATTCCCGCGTGTTGTGCCCCGTCCTTCTCTCTCTCCCCGTGTACACCACAGACCCTGACCCTGCTCTTTGCTCTATGCCCTCTGCACACGCCCGTGCCCCTCCCTCTCCTACTCCAGAGCATCCTCGCCGGGCTGTGCCCCGTGCTCGCCGCCTTCCCCGTGCTGCGCCTGCTCGACCTCTCCGCGACGCCCGCGCTCAACGACGGGCTCGGCTCCTCGCTCGAGGAAGTCAACCTCTGCCAGATGTGGGGCCGCAGCTGCCCGTCCCTCCGCGCGATCGTCTTCCCGTCCAAGACCGAGTGGGCCTCTCGGCCCCGAGCACATCTGGGTGTCCAAGAGCCCCCCGCGGTACACGAGGAGCTAGGATGAGCGGACGTAGGGCGACGCGGGTGCCCACTGGGCTTTCTGTCGTACGCCGCTTCTATCGTGCGTCGCTGTGCTCTGGTGTGCTGACGCGTCGTGTGCGGGACGGCAGGCCCCTCCGTTCCACATTCAGTGCTCTTGAACATTCACAACCGCGTTGCGACGCCCACACGAGCGGCGGTGGTCCGACTTCGACGGGCGCCATCGCAACGTCGGTCTCGGTGCCTGGACGTCCACACGTCCCCGCGCGGCAATCCTGACGCTAGTGCGGCGAACAGCAGTGCATCCGTGCAGCGGTCCGCCGGCACCACCGCGTGATGGAGGTCAGGCCCAGCAATCCGGGCAGGTCGTGTCCTGCCCAGCGTTACCTATCTAGCACACTTCCTCCAGGGCCGTCGGTACTAGTTCGGCTCCTTGTGCCCTGTGCAACTCAATGGGCAACCGGGTCCAATTCAGGGTGCCGGCATAATGAGCCAACGCCAGTCACCGTCACATCTACACTTCCAGAGAGCGGGCGCACGCGCCGAATGATAGGAGGAATAATGCCCTTGCACAACTGACGGAATAAGATATACGGATGCGTAGAAGTACGATACTACAGGTAGTCCAATACATTATTACGCGGGTGAGCGGGCTGCGCCGCACCCGCACCCCTTAACCGTGAACCGTGAACCCTGCGAGTGAGACAAACAGAGGAGACGTGCGTGAATGTGGAAAGGAATGAAAACGGCCAGGACCGGGGGTGGCGACAACAACAACAATGGGCCTTGCGCCCTGCGCGGCGTAGACGATACAGTGGGGGATAAGCGGGTATCAACGGGTGCTTCGATGACAATAAATAAACGGGTGGGAGAAATGTCCCGGGTGCGAGCGGACGCTCTAGGACTCGTTCTCGTCGACGAAGATGTCGGTGTAATGTTCCAGGATGGTTTCGATAGCCTGTGAGAACGCGAGCGCCGCGCGAGGGAAGGGAAGGGAAGAAGGCACTCGTTAGGCTCGCGGACGATCGGCCGATCTGGATCTCGCGCTCTCTCACTCACCTTGTTCTGCAGCGACGCGTCCGCCATGCCGTTCAGCTGCCCGTTCATGCCCGGTACCATTTGTCCGAAGAGTGTGGGGCCGAAGACGATGGCTATGTTTTGCACGGACATTGCGTTCTCCGCTTCGTGCTCGACAATCCTGCGAAAAGCGTTGGTAAACCATGGGACGCGCAGTAGCTTACGGCATACTTATGTAGATGTCCCATGAAGTATTTGAGGGTGGAGTAATTCGCGTCGGGCAGGTCGTTTACGCGTTCGTGCAAGCGTATGTGTCTCAGGCGCTCGTTGTCATTCCCTGCCACCACGCCACATGAAGTAGACTATTAAATACAGACGAATGATGTACTCACGAGCAGCCTCCAGGAAGGCACTATGCAACTGTGTGGTAAGGAGCGGGTCTGGCAGTTCGCGAAGCCACATCTTGAGTACACTCGTGACATTGCTGATGTCGGAGGACCACTCCTCGGCATCGAGGTTCACGGAATCAAGGTCTGCGTGCCATTCCGGGTGCAGTCGCAGATAACGAATGAATGAACAGGTGCATCACGGGGCGAGGCATGGCGAAAATACGGCGTACCTCTGTCTAGCCGCTCCTTCAGCTTAGCGACTTTGGTCATCGTCCCGCCGATGCGGTAGATGCCCTGTGACTGTAGGCCGTACTTCTCGATCGCCTCGCAGCACCTAGCCATGATCGCAGGCACGTCCACGTCGTCCCGTGCCATCTGCTCGGCGAGGTCGACGCCGAACGTAGGCCGGCCTCTATCCGGGATTTGCGTGTTCGAGGCACTGGGCGAGCTCGCCGCGTGAGGAGGTGCGAGCGCCGCGATTGGCGGGAGCTAGAGGGTGTGTGCGGTTAGGGCAATCCACGGGCGACATCTGATTCCTACACGTACGAAGCCCTCTTCCCGCGGGCCGTCCCGGCGCGGGCCTCTGCTGTTGGCGCCACCATGTGCGAAGGCGTAGTTCTGCATGTACGTCTTAAAGTCACTGCGGTTGTCGATGGACTCCAGGGAGGTCTTCAGGCCCGGAAGAGTGGCTAAGAGACAATTTATCAGATAGTGTAGACAGCGGTGTGAAGTTGGCTTACCAGTGTCGTCCACCGGTGTCAGCGTGGTGCCGTCACTGAGTACGATGCTCTCGCAGAGGAACGCATAACGAGACAAATGATATTGTGTTCCGAGATCTATCTCGTCCACGCATTCTTTCAAGGCCTGTATGACCGGTGAGTATGGCTTCAAGGAGTGCGACCGCTGTTCGCACCCGAAGTAACCGCGGATATTGGAAATTGAAGTACTCTTGTCGGATAGCTTGCGTCTCTGTAACAGCTTTCCGATATGCGTCCGACTCTTTTGACATCCGGGCGCGTACGTCCTCCTCCTGTCTTTGAAGCTGCATTGCACCCGTCAGAATCACGCCAGGCTTCAATACCGACAAACGCACATTTCCTGGATTTCGCCCCTTCAGTAGCATGCCGCCCTTGGCCACGGCTTTGCCGATTACTCTTTTGCCGGAGGCTCCACCGGGTGTTCGGCCCTGCAGCTGAGAGTCCTTCATCGACTCGCCCTCCTTTTGCAAGAGCAGTCTCTCCAGTTCCTCCGCCGTGACATCGACGCGGACCTTGCACTTCTCCGTGGCTGTCTCTGACTCCTGCAAGTTCTTCTCGTAGCGATTGGCGAGCTCTTTGGTCTACCCTACTGTAAGGCACGGAGATCCCCACCATGCTGGGACAACTCACTTGTTTCCGGCTGTAATCGACCTCCTTTGCTAGTGTTGATAGCTCTTGACTCATCTCATTGAGTCGCTGAGAGAAGCGCAGCCGATTATCCGCTATTTGTTCGTGGATCTTCAAGGCAGAATGCCATGCAGCAACGAAGGTTCTAAGGGCAGTGAGGGACATAGGACTTGTGGTCTACGAGAGGACATACCCTGCTTTACCATCGCTGGCCGAGTAGGCGTCAGACGTAGCCTTTGCTAGCCTCTGCATACCACGCCCATACTCCTCTTCCAATAGTGCTCTCTTTTTGAAGAAGTTGGCTGCTTCCTGTATATGACGTCAGTGCCGACCAAAGCAGATAGTTAGTGGACTAGATTGGTGTAAAATATCGACGCAAGTTAACGCGCAGCACCCACATCCAGGCTTGTGCGAGCTGCGAGGCGCGACCAAACGTGCGCAAAGCGCAAGAACATCTGGTGCGACCGGCAGCTTGCGCGAGACACGGACGACATGCGGTGCACGGCGCGAATATGGCGTGGAGAAGGGAGAATATGCTGGCGCATGAGCAGGAGTTGTGCGACGTACCCGACATGATACCATGCTCTGCTTTATTCGATCCAGTAGTAACGGTATTCCGCACTGTCAGAGCATATTCCATTTAGCGCAGAACAGTGGTGGGTCGCGTCTGTGCTTACATCAAGATCGCAGAGCGCCCTCAGCACATTCTCGTCGAAACTCGGCTCTACCAGCGTAGCACTGTCCACAGTTACCGAGTCCGGGGCTTCTGCTGGTGGCGTGAGGGCCCTCTCGCGCCATCGCTGGGCTGAGAGTTGTGTCGGTGACTCTGTGCTCGATCGCGGAGGGGACGTGGACTTGGTCGGCGTCGGCGGTACAGTTCCGTTCGCGTCCAGGGATTCGTGGGATCCGACAGGCTGTCCTGGTGTGTATACATGGTTGGAAGAGTGGTGGGTCTCAGAGCCGTCGGCGTGGTCCCAGGAGGCTGGAGAGTAGCGTCCCTCGCTCATTGTTGGCGATGGCGACGACGGACCAGCGCCGGGTGCAGGGGAAGCGGAGAGCTCGGAGTAAACCTGCCACTGCTGTGGCGACCGCCCGCGCCGAATGCCTCGCCTAGCCGGCTTACGTATGTACATTCTGGCGACATACCTTATCGGGATAGGCGATGTCTAATTATAGAGACAAGGGACGCCACCGCTACGCTCCGGCGGTTGAGTGAACACCAATGTAATTAATGTCATAGTAGAAGCTCGTCATAGGTAACATTGATAGTAGTGGATTCGTTGTGTTTGAGCAAAATTCGTGCATGGTCACGGTGACGTATGCGCGAAAGGGCGGTGTACAGCTGTCCATGTGAAAACACGTGTCTCGTAAGGTCTACTCCCACTGCGTCAAGAGTTAGCCCTTGGCAGCTGTTGAAGGTCGTTGCATATGCCGGCGCAAGAGGAAACTGACGACGGAGGAGTGTATGCCCCGAGGAAAGGGTGGTAGAGAATGTGATCCGAGGTATGAGGACGTCTTCTTCATCGATGACACTGACACCTGCAATACCCCGTAGAATGCGGACTGTGACGAGACGGGGGCCGACCGCAATAACAACAACGCGAACGTTCTTGACCAAGCCACGGTCGAGGGAGAAATTGCGCAGCAAGCGGTAGACGGCGTTAACCTTCACGGTCAACGAGTGGGGAGGAAACCCTGCGGGATTCTGGCGGGCGACGTAGTCAAGTATGCTGTCGGGGGAGTCGATGCCGGCGTCGTCTGCCTCCTTCAGAGAGTCGGCCGCAAGGTATGTTCTGGTTGTCTCATCAATCCGGTCGAGAATAATGCTGTTGTACCGGTCAATCTGCCTATTGGTGGGAGCAAGGATCGAACGTTTTAGACAGGCGATGGGATTGGCGAGTACATGCGTCGGGAAGACGAAGTCGATCAGCTGCTGGTCATCGGATACATGTTGCAGGAGGTGCAGAGAGACTTCTGGACCTTCACCGTCACCGATAGCATCGACCATGTGGGCGAGCTCAATGTCGTCGGCATTGCGGATGGGTATGAGCAGGCGATGGATGTCAAGGCGGGCGAAGATAGGCGAAAGTCGTATGGATGCGTCAACGACCTGAGCTCTGCTTCCTTTGCGGACGACCGGACATGTCTGTCGAAAATCTCCCAGGAGTACGATAGGCTTTCCACCGAATGGTGAGTTGTTTGCTGTGACTTGACGCAGAGTGTCTTCGACACACGCCAGCACTGCTTTGTTTGCCATGGGAGCCTCATCCCAGATGATTAACGAAGCCTCTCGCAGAAGCTCGCCTCGTGGTTGATTATAATCGACCTGACATTCAATCAGCTCATTATTATCGTTCACAGGTACCTTTAGTGCGACGTCAGTTAGCACCAATATCAAAGCGGATGGTCGGTGAAAGAAAGCTAAGTACCTTGAAGCATGAATGCGTCGTTCTACCTCCAGGATAAAGCTGAGCAGCATATGCAGCTGTCGCAGTGGGTAAGACAATGCGCCCGTGCCCGCGAAGGTGATCGCAAATTGCATTGACGAGGTACGTTTTCCCTCGGCCAGCTTTACCATCAATAAAGATGGCAAGTGGAGTCAAATTCATCGCGGCTTGTACAACGTGGTCGAAGATGAGCCTCTGACCATCGTTCATGGACGCCAACGCGTGAGATGCTTGCCGACGCAGAGCTGCTTCTTGTGAACTCCACCGTTCGATCTCATGTTGCAGCTCGGGCATGCGGCTCGTCGGCTCAGGTAGACCAAACTCGCTTAAAGTCTTGCCGTACTCGCTGAGGTAGTGCCCTAGGTCCTGCAGAGCGTCGTTCAACCCGAGTGCATTGGCGTTGTTATGTCGCAGGGTGAAGTCGAAGGACATGTGTTCCGCAAACATTTCCCAGAGAGCGAGAGGTGTGTCGATGCAATCATTGACCAATAGATGCACAAATAGAATGCGCAGCTGACGAGGCGTTCGGAGGTCGTGTACGGCTTCGAGAAAGCACAACTCTGCTTCCTTCTTGTCTGCGAAGAGCCCGAGAGCGATGGCTGCGTCCTGGAACGATGGCATGAGAACGTCGTCGACAGTGCGTAGTTCATCGTATGACATTGCTGATCGATGCTGAAGGAGTGCCCGGATGTAGAACCTCTCGCCTTCGTTAGGTCTGGCAGAGTGGATGCGGGCAATATGCGTCTTCTGTGCGCTGCGAAGGATGACGTGCATTGGAGGGGTATGCGAGGCCGTATGGCTTTCAACATAGTAGTTCTCGCGATGTACGTGCGTGTTGCTGTACTTCGCCAATCGGAATAAGGTGAAGTACTCGGTATACGTCAATTGTCCGAAGCTCCTAACGTCACCATTGCTGAGCGTGAAGCTGCCACGCGGACGTGCGAAATAGTGGTCAAGAAAGGACATGGTATCTGAGCCGTCGCTCTTGTGAGTCGCATAGCGTCGATGTGTGGGCGAGCCGGCCAGATGAACCGGCAGTGCGGAGACAGCAGGGTCCTTCCGAGTGATGTGAAAGCCGAGGATGCGCCACGTCGCCTCGCCAGCAGAAAGGTAACGCCCATTCCAATAGTCCTCGATCTCGTCGACAGGTGGTTGATCATGTTCGGTCAAAACACTGTACTTTGCATGATCAGGACCTTCAACGACAACAGGTCAGCACAATGGGGTCTAGGAGTGTGTTGCAGTGAGTAATACCTTTATGGATGTATTTGAAGAGATACTGAAAGATATGTGATGTGCTCGCAGCCTCGAAGTTGAGGTGACACTGGAATTTGCGGAGGAGAGGAAGGCAGTGGGGTACGACCATCCGGTCAGCATCTTTGCGTCGACGATAGTGAACGCGGCCCTGGGGATCGACCGTTGTCTGCTGTTGCACAGCTTGTGGGTAACCAAAACGGCAAAAGCGCTGACCATCTTGGGCGAGCCGCTGACAATACTTCGCGATGGGCTGTGATTCTGCCGGATGGCGGTGCTGCATGAATTTCTGGACGAGGTGGGCATCACCAGTGTCTGCTGGTATCTCTGCTGAAATGACGCTGTCGATGTATTGCGGATCGGAGCAGTCGGCAGCATACTTGATGAGGATATGAGCATGAGGTACGCCTCGTTTCTGGAACTCAACGACACGGATTAGGTATACGACGGGGCCGGCATTAGGGAACATATGCCGCAGTTCCTTCTCCAAGATGGCGAGCTTTCGTTTGAACACGCGGCAAACGACAACGGGGATGTCCGCAAACGTCTGACCGGGACGAAGCTGTTCCGTGATCTCGGGCCATTCAGTGTTGCATGTCATTGTCACGAAGAACGTCGGTGCACCAAAGCGAGCAGCGATGGCGAGCGAGTCCGCTACCTGCTCGGATGCCCAACGGCGCGAGCCAAGAAAGGACGCGGGAAGGTAGATGTTCTCTGTCTGCTCCACGTTGTCGGTACCCATGAGCTCCGCGTCATTCTGAAGGATGCGCCGCTGATTTTGGCGGATGTAATTCAGCCGACTCTCGAGGTTCCGACTGAACATGTCGACGACGTATTCGTTTGTCAGGCGGCCGAAGATGCGGAATCGCTCTTCGCGAAGAAGGCGAGCACGGTAGAACCAAATCTGGGTAGACGCGTTATCGGCGTCAGGTGCGCTTCCGTTGTTGCTTGATTGTATCGCACCACTGAGCTGCGTATCTTCAGGCGATCCAGTGACGCCCCAGCCTAGCGTGGCATGGGGGAAGAACAGTGGGTATGCAAGAGGTTCCCATAGTTTGCTTGTCGTGGAGACACGTTGGTTTGCGGAGTTGTCAGCACGGGATATGATCATGGTGCGTGCACGAACATCAGATTGGATGGTGTTTTCGTAGGACATGATGGCTGCAATCTCGTTCGTCGTAGCTGCCTCGTTGAGCACGAGATGGGCAGTGGGACAGCTCGCTCGGTCAAGTGACCCGAGTATGCGCAACTGTTGAACAAAAGGGTTGTGGCGCAGAAGCGCGAGGCGTACGATGTCGATCCATGCCGGTGGAAGGGTGGACGCGATATCTTGGTGTGGTGAACGATTGCGCATGAAGCCATCGTATAATAGCCAGCGCACACCAGAACTGTCGTGTGTAGGACGAATGCGATGGTAGATTTTGCCCTGGATCGCCATGAAGCCTGGTGGGCCATTTGTGGAGGGAAATTGAGCAGTGGTCTCGAGGGATGCGAATGAGAAGATGAGATTCAGAGACCGTGAAGCCGCTGAGATGTGAGGATGGGTGAGGAGAGGCGTGAACTCAAGTGGCAGAGGTGGCAGTGGCGAGACGTCGCTAAAATATTTTCCTCCTGGTCCACAACAAAAACCGGCGTCTTCACCTGTAAGCAGAGCAATCTTGCACGTCGGGCAGCAATGCTCGGAGCGGCCGCGACGGGCTCCCCAATGGAGGCGTGGTGACGAGATGGGACCTATAGCCCAAAGGTCTGGTGAGCCCAGAGCCGCGGACATCGGTTCTGACGGTGGGCTTTCACAAAAACATAAGTTCCGCATGCACCCTTGTCTGATTAACCGTTGAATGCTTACGTAGCAAGCGATGTGCAGGCAATGGATGAGTGCATTCAACTTCGAAGGATACGCGCACATGAGAGTGCAATGGAGAAGATAGATGATTAGACTGGCCGGGGAATGGTTGACTAGTACGTGTGCGATGTACAGCTTGGCACATGGCGTCGTATGAAGTCGGAGAGAGAATAGAAGAGGGTTACACATAGAGGCAGTAGTATAACAGGTTAGTACGATGCACAGCATGAGCCTGAGGCGACTACCAACAGGGGCATGTAACTGTAATGGAGTCTATCATCTGGCATGCTGAACATGCATAGTAATATGGGTAGGGCCACGATGCTGAATCTCGTGCGTGATGTAACCGCAGTGAATGACGGTTGCAAGCGGCAGTGCGTGCGCGGGCAGCTCTGTACGCGGAGTTTGCGTTTCGCGGGTACGCGGACGTGCAATGTGTAATTTGCGCAGAGCGGCGAATACTGAACAATGACGTGTGGTGGGTAATGTTAGTGTACTGAAGTGCTACATTCGCCAGAGCGGGAATGAAACGTACAGCCTACAGCAGCATTGCGGAGGATGCACATTGCAGAGTTGTTGTTGCAATGGTGCGCAGAGAGCGACTGTGAGTCAAAGATCTGTACACATTGACGAATAATAAGATATTTTATATGTCGGGCAGGCATTCTGTGCGCTCCGGCAAAGGGGATAAAGTACAGATGTGGACAATGCTCGAGATCAACGCCGAGATGAATATAAGAAAGCGGAAGTCTCATGTGGACTTGACGCCATTGTGGCACAATACAAAATACACGATCTAGATAATTGTAGATGGTGCGACGATCGACTGGTGGCACATACACACAGGGGCCGCCGTGAGGACGAATAGTCAGAGTAGAATGATGAAGCGGCGGCTACCATTGAAGTAGGGCACTAATGTAATGCCAATACGAATGAGCACGATGGACAGCAGCAATGTACGTGTGACTCACCTTGCACTATGGTAGCACATGTCGATAGTTGATGGCAGGCGCATCTCGGCATCATTCGCAGGCCATGTCGACAAAGGGCAGTCGTAGCGCTGTGAGAGGAACAGCGCAGGGCATTCATGGGCGTTAGCACATGCGTCACCGTACGCGAAACGTAGCCCATGATTGTACAGTAAAGCACCATAGGAGTGGGACGGCGTCAGGGAGTATGAACAGCGCAAGAGACGTGCGAAATCATGAGGGTTGAATGTGTAATCAGAAAGGACGTAGTGTTGAATGTAATGGTATGTGAACCAAAGAAGAAAGTAAGAAAGCTGAATAGGGGCGTGTTGCACCGCGGGATCGGTATGAATGATGAAAAAAATGCAATAACGTGCATGTAGTGGAGAACCAGTGTTGTGTTGAGGGGGAAGTTCAAGCCATAACAACAGTGCGCGCAACTTCAATGCCGCACGTGATAGTCGATATGAGAAGTGGCTCGAGTCGTCCTGCATGCCCAGATGAGCTATATTGGCAGATATCGGCAGAGATGGCAACGCACCGCGAGCATATGACCAAGGGGAACAACAACATTGGAAATGCCATCTTTCCAGACAGAATTTATCAAGGAACAAATACGGCGAGAGCCGTAGAGAATCTTCACATGAGCAGTGTCTACAGGGTGACCGTTGTACAACGGCAAATATTAGATGAGTTGATGTACATCACAATGCAGCATAGAATGGCGTACCGCGGACAATGCGTTGGACACCAGAATGATGCCACAGAAATAGAAATACTACAGCGGCATCGTTTGCCATGACGGAAGATAGACACGAGACGGGTTGTCAATAGCTGTGCGGTGAGAGAGAAAGACACACGGCAAGCATATAACTTGAAACAGCTGCAGATCACGATGTGTGAGAGGGATGCAATGAAAGAGATCGGGACGGAGATGAGCATGGCGAGAGATGAGCCGTAGTCAGGAGGGAAGGATGGCAGGCTAACACACAGGGGGCAGCGCCGGCTAAGATAGATAAAGTTTCGTTGTGAGATAGTGGTATTGTCAGGTCAGGAGCGTCGTGTAGCATTGTGACCTGACCATGGCCCACTGGCAGAAACGATGGCATGTGGTATAGCACCACACGTCAATGCAAACCACGATGTCAAACTCAGCGTAGATGACAGACCCATAGCCACGCGACTTGGAGGGCAAGGGGTAACAGAATGTGACGCACACATACCTGTCTCGACTGCACGCAGCCTATTCAAGTTGGACCGCATCCGTGCAGACTGCCTGCAGCCGCGTCACGATGGCGCCGATAGTCAATAGTGGCCGGTAGGTAGCGGGAGGACGACAACAGCTGGTACTGCGTCTGTGATGTCGTCGACATGGACAAAGGTGTGAAGAGGGCAGCGCGGGAGCGGGCAGGAGCGCGAGTTGTAAGGAGTGGCATTGGGCGTAGACGGTGTCCGAACCAGTCAGGAGCAACGAGCGAGCGCAGACAGGGGGGGTCAGCACCTGTCTCCGGGGAGCCAAGGTGAAGCCCCATCTCCGTGTTTTCGCGCAGGCGGGTGTTGCTCCATAGGTGGGAGAGGGGGTCGCGGCAGCACCGGGAGAGGGACTCGAGGTGCGCAGCGGCGGGTAGTTCCCACGGTTATGCTGTTGGCCTATACGCACCCTGCGCAAGGTCCAGCAGGCAATAGCAAGGTCGAACGCGCTCACGCATGAACATAAAAATACATATCGCAATACAGTACATTCAGCACGGCCACAGGTGATATAAGTACAAAGACTGATGCATACTGGCTGTACATTCTGACGTCAGGCGAATAGAACAAAAAAAGGCAATGATCAACGTACGACATGGACGTCAGGCAGCGCGGGCGCGTTTCTTCCCCTTCCGCTGAGAAGGAGAGTCTTCTGCATGCGCGTCGGGCACATTACCATTGATTTCATCCGCAGGGGCGTCCGTGAGAGGAGACATTTCGCGGAGGTCGACCGGGAGAGGTAACTCAAGTGCAGCAGCACTAGAGTTGTCCGCAGTAAGCGAAGAGGTCGAAGGATGGTTTGCCGTGCGAGACGTCGACGATGAACTACAGCATGCAGATCAGAAAACGACGGCAGAGGAAGTACGAAGTGACGCACGCAGATGGTGATACATTGGCGGTCACCCGAGTGGCCTGCGGCGATGTCAACTGAGGGTTGACGTGACGTCTGCGACTGCGCGGAGTTTGGGGAGTGTTAGCAGTCGACGATCGACTGCCTCCGGGTAGAGTGCCACCTCCGACAGCGACAGGAGAGGGACCGACGTTGAAAGAAATGAGCTCAAGGTCGACACCCAACACGCCATCTGAACGCACGCGCGAGCATCGGCCGAGGAAAGATATGGTAGAATTGGGGGAAGGAGCAGGAACGGTAGCCCATCGCGGCGAAGCGTCGTATATGCACCTAAGTGAGAGATTTAATGAAAGCGCGAAGACACTGTGTTGTAATTACACTTACTGAATAGTAGACGTTTTACTTTCGTCGCGCACACGCTCATGGGCGATAACGGCGAATGACTTTGATTGGCCGTCTGCAAGCACATCAGGCCCGGACGCAACCATTCCGATGCCGATGATGGTGGGCGGGAAAGACGGAACACTGTCATCGTATTCGTCCCCGAGAGATGGATCACCATTGAAAGGTGTAAGCTGGATAGCATCAAGCAAAGCCATGCCGGCAGAAGGACAATAGGCACGCGCGATGACATAAGCAATAGTATTGTCAGGTAAGATAGTGTCGTTTGGAGGGCTGTAGACGCGCAGCTCAGCCGGAATGTCGCTGCCATTCGAGCATTCGATCAAGGTGGCGTAGTAGTTGTGGAACGTCGAAGTACCGCGTTGGCGGTTAGCGCTTGATGAACGACGGCCGTTGGTGAGGGATAGAAAGCCGAAGAGAAGAAGGTTGGTCATCGCGGGAGTTGCGGGACAGCAATTCAAAAACGGCGGGCAGGCAGCGGGCAGAAATACAGTCGAACGCATAACAATAAGACATTAGATCTGATTGACACAAAGACAACAGGCAGCCTTACCATTTTGGGAAACAATAACGAAGACAGGCGACGGTGTCATGCGCACAACAGACAGGAGGTACAGACGCAGAGGGGGGAAAGAAATGCGCGTCGTGCAACACTGCATGTGGCCATGCACTGAGCGGGCGGACCAGTGGCCACATCGAGTTTTACTCAGCCACAGACGTAGACAGAAGCGCTGGGCCAAACAGGTGCAAACGAATTCACCGGATCTGCTTTAGTATACGAGTAATCTATACATATCTTGTCGGCTGTTTAATTTGAAGGAAAAGCCCAGCGCAGTCGACAAGCTGCTTCTTTCATCTGCTTTCTTCTCGCGAACGGTATCATGCTCGCTGTTGTATCCAGGTGTGTCGACAGCGGACAGGATTAACAACACTTCATAAGATCATTGAATATGATGTAAATCCAGTGAATCGACTTTGTAGCGGCGAATGATGGACACCCTCGAACACCTCAAATTGATCGTCAGGAGGCCAACATTGCCGGAGCGCCCTCGTCGCGAGGTGAAGCCAAACTGTCCCAATCCATTTTGAGGCCAATGAATGTGCCGCAGGTAAAGGCATCAGGACTGCTACGCTGCTCGATCGACTGTTCCTATCCATATCTCGACAGGATCCCCGCCCGCACCACGTCTTTCGTCCACTTTCTCGAGTTGTACGCCAATCTCTCTCATCGTCTCCCACAGCGTCCGTTCTGCGGGGTCACGCTCCTTATACCCGAGCAGTATCATAGTCTCCAGCGACCCCGATTTCGACGGTGGTACTGCCGAGCGTAGACGGAGAATGTCTGAGACTGTTCGTATCAGCGACGGGAACGCAGAGGTATTGTACGTGACGTCCGCCATGCTAGGTTGCACAACGGTCAATGCGGATGGTATGTTCAGTGAGAACGAACGCACAGTATCACGTCAAACCCGTCTTGCGTAGCGGAAACTTCAGGTGGAAGTGTCTGCTCGTCCCAGTCAAGCGTAAGAGCCCTGGGACGACTGGCATCCGAAGAGAACAGCGATGCATTACTCGAGATGTTGTGTTCGAGGAGAGGCATTGCGGATGCTTTACAAACCTCATGGTAAGATCGGGGCAAGAATATGATTATGAGGAAACGCACATAGATCCGTCGTAATAATGCAGCCACCATCCGTAGCTTTCGTGGACCGCAGCGCTCCGAGAGCCAGGGACACCATGCCTGTGCCCGCACCTGTTCATCGATGCGTTAGGGACAAAATCACTGACGAAGATGCGACTTCACCCAGCTCGATGATATGTCGCCGCTCAGGGCACAAAAGGGCATTTTTCATGCGGGCGACAGCGTGGGAGGTGCTCACGACGCTGTCGTCGTTCGCTAAAGCAGTGATCCAAGAGCTTAGCCCCACACCACTGTCCCATACCTTCTGTAGGGATAGTGAGTGAGACAGGGATGCAGGAAGTCGAGCCGCGCCGAATCAAAACACGAACCTTGTCGAGGTCGAATGACGTTTGTTCCCTCACGCGCATGAAGACCTGCTCAGACATGTCAAGCGGAATCCGGTATATTCGTTCCACACGGTCCTGTTTCTCCGAGAATGATGGAAGTTTCGTCTTCGGTATCTTGGAGCTAAAGAAGATGGGCATAGACATGACCGGAAAAGGTCGCTGACCGACATCTGCCGACCCCAGGTTGATGATGTGCGGATGTCCTTGAGCATGGGTGGTAAGGACAAGGCAGTAGTATTGGCTTTCTCTAATGCCCGGAGGAGCTGGTACTAGCAGCTCTTTGTAAGCGCTACCTTGTCTCCATGTCGTCAGCTTCAGAGGCTGAGTGATCCCTGGCAGTTGACTCGGTTTTGCATGAGGAGCAGAGGGGAGGCACCAAGCGTAGTAGATATCTTGAGCGTCAACAAGCAGCTCTGTGCGCAAGTCGTTTGCAACCTGCGGTGTTATTGAAACAGGAGATGACGGGAGGACATGAGACGGCGGAGGTCGAAGGAATGACAGGTAGAAGAACATCCTGATTCTTTGTTGTCTTCACTGGACGACAGTCGGTGTTGCTATCATATCCGTGTCAGTCTCTCTGTATTCTTGCGAATCCCGCACCACTGCCGTATCTGCATAAACACAGTATGGACTCACCACGACAAGGTGGGATGTAGATCGAAAACGAAAGAACGGGCGGCTACGAGCGATCGCGCATACTTCTGTCACGTGGGCGTGTAGTAGTGCCACGCGTCTGTGCCAGTGCCGAGCCCAAACGCGTCTTCGCTCCGGCTTCCGGTCTATGATACTGTAAGTACTCTCATCTTGACCGTCATTCAGGTATGCTCACGAACGTATATCTCAACCCTGAAACTGACTCGACTTGCGTGTAGTCTCCCTAGGAAAGATTACCTAGTCCAGCGTCACGATGCTGTGGACACTCAGTCTGCGCCCTTGCAGTCTGACTAGATGTCTATCGAGGCCACAATGTCGCTATTTCTCGAGCTCTCCACTGCGTCTGCCGCCAAGACATCTAGCGGCTGAAGAGCGCAGTAACATCCCGTCTGCAAAACTCCAGAGCGGAGACGCCGAGCCCAAGGTCGAAGCAGAGGAGCCATGGTTATTCTACCAACGCGTTGGGCCTCCCACAATCAGAAACCAAGTCCTCGCAAGTATCATGACGTAGACCCATCATGAAATAGTCTCTGTGAAGCTCATCTACCGTTCAGCTCTTCGTGTTTGGTTCGCTCTTGACCTTCGGCGTAGCCGCGAGGCAGACGAACCTCGACACCTACTACTGGACGAACAAGCTGACCGGATCCTCATTCTGGACATCCGGTGGGACGCCGACAGATAGTGACCTCACTTTAGCCAAGCGCCACGACCTGCTCGCTGTATGCAATGTCACCCGTACCTCAGTACCTCCACTCGCTCACGCATATCGCAGAAATCAATGACCTGGCTGCGCAAGCTGCAATCGTCGGGGCTGCCTGACCAGCTCAGGGCCATGGCGGCGTATAGCTATGGCCAGGCGGTACTGAAGTTCGTGGATACGACGGAAGGGAGGCGGGTGTGCTACATGCTGGCTGCAGCGAACGGCGTAGTGTGGGCTGTGTGGCAGATACCACGAATGCAGGGTGTCATGCTGAGGACATTCGCGCATCATCCGCTCTCCGGCCTGTCATACACCATGCTCACATCGACATTCAGGTGATGTTCGTATTCATCGAATGGCGCCTTGTCCGCTGATTTCGATCGCCATATAGCCATAGCGCTTTCTTTCACTTGCTATTCAACATGATGGCGCTGCTGAGCTTTGGTACGCTCTCCGTTTGCGAGCGGACCACAACTAGTAGTACATGATGCTCAATATTCGTGCAGGGTCTAGTGCAGACGTGTACTTGACGTTACAACAGCGAGCAGACCCCTCGAACCTCCGAGAGTCCACGAGCCAGTGGCACTTCCTCTCATTCTTCATATCAGGTATATACCTAGCATTCAGATTCCAGTAGGTCCAGCCACTAATACAGTTGGATCGCTAGCCGGCCTATTTTCCTCGCTCGTCTCCCACGTCGCTACAGCGAGGATCAAGTACCCCCAGCTCATCGCTCAACTCGCCAACCCCGCGAAGACAGCCGCGCCCGCAGCCTCCATAGCGGAGGGCGCCGCGGCCGTCCGATCTACATCCGCGCTCACCGGCAGTGAAGCCCTCACAAGTATCAAGCCCTCGCTGGGCGCGTCCGGCGCGATATACGCTACCCTGACGCTCACGGCGATGGCGTTCCCCGAAACGCACGTCTCGCTCATCTTCCCGCGCGCCGAGATCCCGATCCAGTACGGCGTGTGTGGATTTATGGCACTGGACCTCATGGGCGTCATCCGTGGGTGGAGGTCAGTCCTGCTCGTCACGAATAGGGCACAGTGGATCTGATTCGTATGGCGTGATAGGCGGTTCGACCACTATGCGCACCTGGGCGGAGCGATGTTCGGTTTGTGGTACTACGCGTACGGCCCTAAGGTTTGGGAGTCCTTCCGAGAGATGACGCTGGCGGGCTGCCGCGGTCGCTCCAGAAGGCGTGAGCGAGTTTCGTGTTCGGTGCCCCACTTCGCATGCATATACTGGACCCTCCACTCCACTCAACAGAATATAGTTCATCGCTCCTGCAAAGCGTCCTTCGCAATCTCAACTGAAGGAAAATGCGAATGGGAGTTACAGTGCTTGCTCTCCGGCATATTCAAGTTGAATACTTCAATGTCGAGCCACGTGCCAGTGGGCTGAAGGATTTTTTGACTCAAGGACCACGAGCGGCAGTTACAATTGGCCCATCCAACAAAACAACAAGACACCTCTACTAATTACCTCTCAGGATCAAATAAGGTATGTCTTCCTTCCGGTGCGTGGGGAACGTAATTAAACACTGAAGGTTACACTAAGGATACATCTGATGTCGGACAAAGTTGGGGTAGTATGGGCTATCGTGCGATGATGTCTAGTACGTGGCGACCGGTCTCGCGGTCGCGATGACCCACCTAGGAAGCCCGATCAGCATCGCATCTAACGCGAGAGGTAGGGGAAAACCTACCAGGCATGAAGGATACCTGGGATCCAACCAAGAATCGTTAACAAGACGTTGATCCAGAAGTCTAAGAGGCAGAACCCTTCAGTCGCGCGGAACGGGAAAGACGAAACAAGTACGTACCAGCTCTGAGCCCTTTCTTGAAGAACACGGCAACTGGTGGGAGTAGCCTATACAATCGAGTTTAGATGTTGCCCACCGATCGTCCGTGACACACTTACAAGGCAAGAATGAACAAGAGAAAGTTGGAAGCACCCGTACCCCTCCTGTCGCAGCTCCACCGCCGCGGCGCGAGTGCCAACAGGGCCTGTGGCTGGGCAGCGCCAGTGGTGGTCGCGCCATACGAAGGCACAGCGGCGCCAGGCCAGCGACGCCAGCAGTTGTGCCAGCAGTGTTAGTCGTGGGGTTGATGGCGGCCATTGTTTTCAGTTGTGTTTTTCGTGACTTTCGTGAAGTGATCGGGTCGTGATATGCAGTCGTGAAGAAGTGGGGAACTGGGATGGCGGACGACGAGGCTTATGTAGGCAGCCGGGCGGAGTTGAGGAGAGGATGGAGACGAAGACAGGCGGTGAGCCAATGACTGGAGCACCGTCACGTACGAACTGACGTCATGCGTCCTATGCAGGCGGTAGTGCTATTTTGGGAGTGGGACTCGATCGGCGGGCGCTCGCACCGAGCCACTCAGACTCAGAGATCATGGAGCGTCTCCAGCTCAAATGGTCCGAAGACGATGCGAGCATCGAGCCTCAGCACACCACGGTCGTGCCATGGTGCGAGGACAGCCCGCACGACGGGTGCTAGCTCTCGCATGCTGAGCCGCGCCTCCTCCGAGTCCCTCACTCCGTTACGTCTTCGGCGGCCAACTCCTGGCAACGCAAACTCCACAGTCTTCAGGCTGTCGAAGAACGGCCGGTTCAAGACCGTATGCAGGTCCTTCAATTCTGATTTTCCGAGGAGGTTCGCGAGCTCTTCCTGAGAGATCTGTAGTCTAGCATTGAGCGGTAGTCTGGGCCCAGTTTAATTTGTTCCACTTGGTAGCTTCGGATCGTGGAGAAGAGCTTGTGTAGCTCGCCGACCATGGCCTTCAACGCCTCACGTATGTTGCCTGCCGTCATCCCAGCCGTTGAGCACTCGAGGTAGCGCAAGCTCGTGTTGTCCGCGAGATTTCCATGGTAAACATGGCCTATGGATGCACACATGATGTCGGCCGTTGAATCGTGTGAACAGAAATGCGAGGCCACTTACCCACCGCGTAATGAGTTACTTCACAAAACTGAGTCAGGGACGGCCCTGCTGCCTTGAGAAGTCGGTCGATTGCTTCGGTAGTAACTTCGACAGAGTGATCGTTGGGCCACCAGACCTTGAGATCACGTAGAGACCTGCAAATAGCAGAGGACACGAACCAGTCAACTACCGTCTCAAATGTCTGCATACCGTTTTTCATGTCAACGTCGAGACGGAGGAGGCGGAGATCCGACTGCAACGCCACACTTGGCCGTGAGTCGATGGCATCGGCATCCTGCAGTAGATGAAGGCTGCCGTTGCTCAACGTCAACTCTTCCAGCGATGCGAACGCGCCCACGATCCACCGCAGCTGAGCGAAGTTGTTCAGCCGGAAGTTGCGCAGACTGAGCGACGTAAGAGCCCTGAACTGTGACAGCGCCAGGAAGAACTTCTTGAACGTCGGGTGTGCGGAGGGAGGCAGGTCCCCGCGAATCTCCAGGGCCCGCAGCTGAGGCATGGCGCGGCCAAAGACGAGGGGCAGTGCGTGCACGAAGCGGGTGTTCGGGCGGGTGTTTCCCTGCAAGCGTAGGTTCGCGATCTCCTTGTCCGAGGCGACCAACTTGTGCGTCGTCGCAAGCAATCGCTTGACACGCGCAGAATGGAGCGACTGCTTCACCAGCAAGTCGAAGCTCTTGCGCGTGCGGAGCTCGATCGAGAGGTAGAGGTTGTACGTGGCACGAGGATGCCACGTCGTGCAGACTACCGCCGCACGGCAAAGCATGGGGTTGTCCATCCGGTCGATGACCTCCTCGAAGACTTCCATCGGGATGCGATCCGACAGAGCCTGCGATAGGGATCCCTGCATAACGTATGTTAGAGTATTGAGTTGTCCTCGGACTCGGGCCCGCGAGACTCGACCTGGGACTCCATCCCCGCTTCCGTGCTGCATGTCGAGTAAGATGAGAACTGCAGCGCGATTGTCTCGATACAAGATATGATAGATGGGCCGAGTGCATCGAGTAAGGTGGATCGTAGTACTTACACAAAGCGTAAGTAGTACAGCAGTAAGCACTACTTGGTACAATTTGAACCGCCAACCTATCTGAGTTTCAAATTCACCATCACTGCTATCATTGGCTGCTGACGGCGGCCAATTTGATGCAGCCGCATGATCGCGACCTACACAAGTAGAAGAGTCAAGCTTGGAAGTCAGTTCGAACTTTTAGGCTCAGACCAATAATTCTCGAATGACGCTGAATGATAGACATAGTGGTGGGCTCTAGTAAACGAATGGTACTAGCCGGTACGGTACGGTCCTCGCCCACTCGTCCCAACCTTTGCCAAAGTGCTTCCTCAGCCAGGCATCCTCTTGGCCGCATCTCAAAACGATACACAGCCAGATGTACGTCTGGACACCGACAAACACACACGCCGCCGCCATTCCTGTCGGCCGCTCCAGCAGGCCGGCCTCCCGCGCCCAAGAGCCCGCACAACAGCTCCATAGCGCGATGCCGACGGACTGAATGCACCACCCCGTGTAGCTCGGGTGACGCACGATCGAATACGGCCCTCGCGTGCACAACTGGTGCCCCTCCTTTACCGTCACCTGAAACGTGAAGAACCGGTCCAACGCCCGAAAACACGCCACGCGGATTCCAGCGCCGACTACGGTCAGCACGTACCCCGCAAGGACGACGGGCGTAGGCTGAATCCGTGCGGCTGCGCCGATGCCGGCAGGGAGCAGCTTTTGGAGGACAGCGGTGCTAAGCTCGCTCGGATACTCGCGCGCGAGGAGCACGGCGGCAGTGCATCCGGCGCTCGCCCATGTCATGTACTGTCAGTACTGTCAGACAATTTCGTAAACCGCAGACCACCACGCCGACCTTACCTTAGTAGCACTTCCCATCTGTCCCACAACCTTGCCGCTGACTTGAAAGATTCGCTCCATAGGCTTCGCCTCTCGCACAATCTCGTTGTCCTTCGACGGGGGGGTGGGCGCGGTGCTCGAGCGGTGGGTCATGTACGCCGCTACGCCCATGAGAGCAAGATGGAATGGCGTTTGCGCAAACATATTCGCCGCGTACGCTTCGAGTGCCTTCATGAGCAGATGTGTGCGATGCAACAAGAGTTGTTGTACGAGGAACGACTGGCCTGTGGATGATCGGCGAAAACTGCTGTGAGTAGGTCGAAAACTCGCGTTCTTATACCGAGCTCACCCACTTACGTGACCTGACAGCCTACTACGTATGGAGCTGCGATTTTCACATCCTCTGACACTGTGGAGCGCGGAAATGCAAAGACTTATCCATTTTGCCAACGCTCTGTCTGCCGGTAGCATGCTTCCTTCCATTGAATCCACTCCGAGTCGACGCACTACTAATGGGCGCCCTGAAAGGGTCCTACCAAGTAGTAGCGGTGTTTGTTCCAAGAAGCCCCGTCTAGAAGTGCCGTTGGTCGAATCCATTGCTTCAGAGTTGGGATTAGTGTCTGCCAGTGGCTTCTCGCCAGCGGCATCCGACCTACGAGCGCTGTATGTGTATGATCAATGTATGATCCCAGCCTCGCTCGGTACGAGGCTGAGCCTTCATCAAACAACTTGACCAAATCGCCGCTGTCTTGGAAAACGGTTGTATTGGATCATTCAATTCCATTCGAGATAACAAGGAGTTACCGCAACTCCTCTAGACAGGCAGTAAGTCAATGTATATTTTCCTTTGTCATCGAATCTCACACTGCTTGGAGAAACCGTCGTACCGTTAAGATGATCCCGACTCAATCGAGCCAATATAACCCTAATCGAACCGCTGACCCAGGCGAGTCCGCCGTGTCTTGAATGTAGGTCGGAGAGGGAATGTAAATTTCAAATCTGTCATTTCCTTGCACTTAGACTCGGACTGGCCGCGATCAGGAACTTTGGCCATCGTTGAGTCTAGCGGATGGTCCCGCATTCTCGGTAAGATTCTGGTTACCATCCATCCGGAGTCGCAACGCTCGCCGTGTCTTGGGGTTGGAAATGAGCTGCCCCTGATCACAATTAGGTTAGACTGAACGGCCACAGTGACTGGACACAACGACAGCGGAAGGCTCTTATTGAGCGCCTGATGCGCGCTCGCATGAGACACGACGAAGTCAAGAAACTCCTGAGACCATCGACGCGAAAGTAGAGCGTGATGCTCTTTCAGGATGGAGTTAGATGCTTGGGAGGGGGAGGACGCCCAACGCAATGAAGCGGACGAACCAGACTCGTTCCGGTAATATTCCCGGTCGGGTGACCGACTCGGAGGAAGAGGATCGCGCCCAAGGCAGTCCTCCGAATCGCGTGGACTCACTCGGCGAGTCGGTTGTTGACCGTGTCTCAAAAGATGCTAGCGTGGCGGGAGGAGGTTGGCAAGAAATAGCTTTAACTATCATGACCCAAGACGTGATGCACTCTATCTGCGCATGCCCCCGTCGCCATTCGGCGGGTAAGGGGTACTGTTATGCTCCGCATGTAGATTACGGAGGGTAAACACGGAGAATCAGAACAAAATAAAATAAAATGGGCTGATCAACATTCAGAAATACAGACGAGATGGCACCCCACCTCGAGTTCGTTAAGGCTTTGACGAGAACTGGGGCCGCAACGCATGTCGTACCGAGAGCCTCATGGAAATGGTTGGCAATGTTCCATCAGGTCTAACTCGGCCGGTCAACGCGCTCGAACGCACTACATACATTGATCGGTGCCGGTGAGCGCCAGCACTTGAGTGCTTCGCCATTCAACGCTATATCGGCGCTCGTAGACAGGAAGTAGTCCTTCCTACAGTGCGCTCGGTGGCCGAGTGGACTGAGTTTATACTAGATCCTCTACTATGTCAGATGGATCACAAAAAAGGGTGGTGTGCAGCGTCAGGACACCGCATGCTTCCCATGGCCGAAGAATACCCCGAACAACTGGGGCCAGCTCCCGAATGCTGCGACGCGCTCTGCTCACAGCCTCTTCACCTCGTTGGCTGTACGCGGGCAACACGAACTCCACCGCCTGCAGCCCGTCGAAGAATGGCTGACTCATGACGGCATGTAGATCCTGCAACTCGAGTCGTTCGAGGAGGGGACCAAGCTCGCCGTGAGGGACAGGAAGTCCGACATTGACCGGTAGCCTGGGGCCCAGCTTGATGTGCTCGACCTGGTGGCTTCGGATCGTGGAGAAAACGTTGTGAAGCTCGCCGACCATGGCCTTCAACGCGGCTAGCATGTCGCCTCCCTGCATTCCAGACGTTCCGCATTCGAGGTAGCGCAGATTCCTATTGTGCATAAGGTTCCCGTGCGAGACGCGGCCTGTAATGTGGGTGATCGTCAGCAATGAGATTGCTGAAACGCGACAGAAAACCTGTTTACCAATCGCGTAGTCGGAGACTTCGCAGAACCGCCTCAGAGACGAACCCGCTGCTCTGAGGAGCCCGTCAACCGACCTGGCGGTCACTTCGACGGAGTCGCTTAGGCTGGCATTCGCCGGCCACCACACCTTCAACTCGTGGAGAGAGACGCATGTCGCCGAGTATGCGAGCCAGTCCGCCATGCTCTCAAACCTCTCAATCACGTTGGCCACATCAACTTCTAGTCGCCGCAACAGCATGGGCCCCAGTTGTGGGATAATGACACCTGCCTGAGCCAGAGAAGCTGGATGACGAAGGGAACAGTTATACAGGGTGAGTTCTTTCAGCCCGGTAAAGGAAGAGACAATCCATCGTAGTTGGGCGACACTGCTCAGCGTCAGATTGCGCAGAGAGAGCGATTTTAGAGTCTTGAGTTGAGTCAGTGCGACGAAGAAGGTCGGGGGCGTGGCAGGCAGCAGATCTGTCCGCATCTCTAGTGTCCGCAATCCAGAGAGTGCACGGCCGAAGACAAGAGGCAACGCATGCACGAAATCTCTCCGGGTCTTCCCTTGTCGGCGGAGGTTCACATACTCGTTGTCAGAGGCGAAGAGCTCGCGCGTGGTCGAGAGCCATCGCTTAACGCGGGGAGAGGTGAGTAGCTGCTTTACCAGCAAGTCAAAGGATGCACGGGTGTTGATGTGGATCGAGAAGTAGATATTCCGCGCTGCGCGAGGATACCACGCAGCACAGACCAATGCAGCGCAGGCCAGCGCGCCGGAGCTGTCCATCCAATTGATGGTTTCCTCGTAGACCTCAAGTGGGATGCGATTGGGTACTGCCTGCGACAGGACGAGGCTCTGGCTGTCGCCAGGTCTAGGGGATGGTCCCGCATTGGGCGCGGTGTCCTGGTCAACATGGTCTGAGTCGGTGTCCGACCGGGAGTCACTGGCACAACTTTCGCTGCGTTGTGTAGGAGATGATGACCTGATCAGCGTTTAGCAAATCAGCACTTCGTCCCATCTTAGCCAACATATCCGACCTTAAGGTTTTCATACGAAAATAAGTGAAGCCGTAGTGGGTATGTTGTACTGGGTCAACAGAGGTCAACAGCCTCCTCGCCATCGGCTCCGATGATCTTCCCACGAACCGGATCTGAACCCATCTGAATTAGTCGTTCGCCGCAATTGAGGAGCTTAAACAGTAATAGAACGTACTAGAGGAGTTGGTCAGAATCAAGGAATATGACCAGTCCGAGGCTACTGTCCTTCAGATAGGCTCAGAGCTGCAGTGCCTACAGGTAGATCTCAGCAAGCTCGTACTCGACTAGTACTTGGTATGTTTTATCGACCAAGGGGTGATCTCATATTTGATCCCGCTGTTATATTGGCGCTCCTAGACAATCCTAGACCCAACAGTAAGTACACTGCCTGATGCATTTGCATTTGACAGACCGGCGCCCACACGGGGCAGCCCGGCGACCCTTGTTGGACTAAACCTTCACGTAGTCGGGATCGCGTCGGGCTGTTCCTTCGTTCAACCCGCAGTCAAGCCCCATTCCCATCCACCTATCTACTGCGGTACGTGACGGTTTGATTGTCTTGCCCTACTCCCGTAGACATTGAAGATCGCCTTCCATCAAAGGTTTCAAGTGTGCGACTGAGCCAACGACCGCAATGCTGCGCCGTCTGTCGCGTCTGCTATCGGGACCGCCAGCCTATGCTTGGATTGTCCTGGCCATAAGTGTCGCGTTCAACGCTATCACGTTGTCAAACCTCGCAAGGCAGCGCGTCGAGGAACGGAAGAACTACGGTATGTGGGACAGTGTGGTCGTTCAATACCGCAACTGAAACACCACGGTACTGCCTTTATTCTACAGGTTCTACTGGAGATCATGACTATCCGAGGGAACTTCCCGTGTCGCTGGACCTGGTTGCAATGACGTTTGAGAACTCGGACCATTACAAGATCACGGGCGATATCAATACGTGGACGGAGTGGCAGACCCTCACGCACATGTTTCCTCAGGGCCACCCGAGCGTTCGTCTCGGCCTCGAAGGTAGTGGCCGCTCTACCATCTCTGCGCGACATTGGTCAATTGATACGTCGTTGCTCTATGTAGGACGGGAATTCAACGTGTCGATGTTCACGCAGCTGCAGTGCATCGACACCCTCCGTCAAGCTCTGATTTACGGGCCAAACGCACACAGCGGTCAATGTCTGAACTACCTCCGCCAGGCCGTCCTCTGCTCCTCCGATATCACCATCGATGCTATGGACGCCAAGGACGAAAAGGGCAACCTCATTGGGACAGACGGTGTAGGGTCAACGCACGTCTGCAGAGACTGGTCGCGTGTTTACGAGTACGTGGACGAGAACCAGAAGGGCCCGCTCTGGGATTTGTCTACCCCTACGGTGTAGACAGTTCTTGACGTGTAGTCGACTTCTCTTCGACCGTAGCTCGTCTTGTTCCGCGGCCTTTGACATACAGGTGAAATGTATCGAGTATTATCATCACCACCATATTTTCGGTTAGGCTCAGTGCTATCGGGACAGTCGTTTTGGAGGAGGATGAAATGAGAACGCGATACGTACTACCCAAATGACCAAATGATGTGTGCTCACATTCGTGATGTATGATATAATGTCAGCACACGGTGTATTGGGGATAGTCGGCACAACCGCCGCCAGCGCATGTGTGATATCGCCCAGAGCGAGTCAACGAGTATTGTATGGCCTCAGTAGGTGTCTTGTGCCGTCGACACTTACCCTGCTGAGGCCGGCACTTCAGATTTCTCTCCTTCGCCGTTTACATAGGTATCCGTGAAGAATCCATCAAGAATCACTGGATGAGAAGAGGGGAAGTGCAGTGAGAAACACGCCTGCACACGCGGAAGAACTCGCTCACATCGCTTTGTCCGAGGAATGTCCCAGTCAACGCCTGACGGAGAGGTTAACTACATTGCGGTCACACCACGGCATGAGCAAGGCACGGAACATAGCGAGGAGCTCTTGACGGGCGTCTTCTATGTGGGCCTCGCTCACAGGATGCAGTACCGGATTGTTTGCTATTATCAGCATCTCCACGTCCTTCAATCGTTCGAAGTAGGATCGGCGCATGACGTCGTGCAGGCCCATCAGGTCCAGGTTCTCCAGGACGTTTCGGAGACTGTCGAGTCGAAGCGCGTCGTTGGTAATGATGAATTGGAACTGGAACAACATGGATATGTGCTCCAGCTGACGGCTTCGGACTGTGGCAAGGATACTAGTCAAGTTATCCAATAGCCCAGACCAGCTCTCAGTAGATTTGTTGTCCTCGACGAGGACCAGCCCAAAATCTATGCTCCCTAAGCTGGTGTTATGCACGAGATTTGCATGCTGCTCGCTATCTAGGGCAGACACGGATGTCAGACTGCAACCCAGCGATGAGGAGTAGATCTTGACCTACCCGTATATACGACCAAGTCGGCGTCTTCGAGATATCGAGTCAGAGATGGTCCGGCTGCTCTGAGGATACTGTTGACGTATCCAAGAACCGTCGACCGTGTGGGTCTCTCACCCCAGCAGACTGTCAGGTCATCAAGCGAGGTGCAAGCGCCCAACCTCACGAGCCAGTCGACAACTGCGCCCGGCAAACGAACATCGTCCTCGTCCATGTCGATCTGGAGGCGACGAAGCCGGATATCGCAACCAGGCTCGAAATCACTAGGTCTTGTATCGTCCCAACATGGCGGTATGCCAAAGAAGATGTCGCGGTACAAGTGGAGGTCTGTGAGTTGCGGGAACGAAGAGATGATCCATAGAATCCGCGAGACGCTGTTCAGCGTCGCGATGCGCAGGCTGAGTGACTTGATAGTCTTGAATTGGGACAGGGCGAGGCAGAACTTCGGGAGCATGTGAGGATGCACACCCCCCTCAACGTGTAAGGATCGCAAGCCCGACATCATGCGGCCGAAGACAAGAGGCACGGCGTGGAGGAAGGGACCGGTCTTCAGCCTCCATCCTAGTTCGTGGTCGGTCAAGTTCAGATCTACCGCTCCCAGCTTGCGGGTGGTCGCGAGCCAGCTCCTGACGCGCGGGTACGCGTGCGCTAGCTTCGCAAGTGACATGAACTGCGTGCGATCGCGTAGCCAGACTGTGGAAAAGAGGTTGTGCATAGCGCGGGGGTACCATGCCGCGCACACCAGTGCCGCGCCGAGGAGCGCGGGCCGGTCCATGAAATCGATGGTCTCTTCGAAGAGTTCCAGCGGGATGCGGGCAGAGAGAGTTGGCTGCAGGGGTGTTCGTAGTCCTAGTGGGGAATCGCCCCGTACCTCATCCCGCGTGTATGCCATTTCCTCGACAGGAGGATGGACCTACGCAGACGCATCAGCGGGGGTTGCTCTGGAACAAGAGCGGATACCGACGTTGGACATAGTTGTCGACATCCTCCAGAGAGTTACAGGTCCGAACGCTGTATGTAGATCAGATCAGTAGGTTCGGGACAAGCCGCCTCCTCCGTGTGATATTTCATGCTCCGCAAACGCTGATGTGGCTGAGGGACTTGCGTCGAACCTAAGTACTTGCGTAGACAGGTTGAAGAATAGATGGCATTAAGGTGGTTCGGCCGGAGTCAGCGCTGCAACCTGAGGGACCTCGCTGGTTTGGAGTTTCCCAAGACTACATTAGCCCGTCAGCACTCTGATTTAAAGATTCACCGAAAATCAGTATATGCTGCTCATGTCAAGAGCAAGCTCACCAGGTCACCTGAATCCCTCAACCTCTCAGGCGTCGCTCCGCTCAAACATATTATATGCGCGGATTGCGAGGATATATAGTTCAATCGTTCGGTAGCCGTCGCTACGACGAGCGAGACCAATGGCCTGCACATGAGCAATTTTCAAGTTCGTGGTGGAAGATTGAATCCAATGGTGGTCGAGGTTCAGTCCGAGTCGTTGTTCTGTGAATCTGTCGGATCCAAGTCGGATCGCTCGAAAGGGATGATGTTTGCACTTGTTGCGGTTGTGGCTATGACGGACCGACTCGGAGGAGCCGCAGCTTCGAAGCTCGACGGAACTTACCAGGAACTTACGCAGGTTCTGTACTGAACCTTTGAACAAGTGCTGTGCGAGTTTCCATATTGATTCTGATGCGCTGAGTCTTTTTACATACAGCGAAACCGCGGTCCAGTCGAGGCGATACAAATACAAATTACGCGACCTACTAGTAGTACCCCAGTATCTTCCCAGGACGACTACGGATGGCGAGTTTGTGGATCGCAGATTTAGAAAGCGTGTTTGTCCTCGAGCACATCCCGAGCATGCTCCTTCGCCTCCTCGCTGACATTCGGGTCTGGGGATCGTGAGACGTGAGTCTACACGCATATAGCGGCTCGTACGGCACTGCTCACTCTTCAATGTAGCCTTGAAACCGGCGTTGACGCGTGTCTCGTCCTTACCCTCCTGGTAACTCTGACGAGTTTCCTGGGTCTCGGGAGCCTCGTCGAGCTCGCCGATGACTTGACGGGAGTGCTCCTTAGCGTCGTCAGAGACGTTAGGGTTATTGACGGCAGCCTAATGTGCGTGGTTGTTCATCAGGGCGCACTCGACACTACAAGCGTGAGACTGCGAACCTTGTGACCTCCGATGACACGAGTTGGGAGAGACATGGTGTGCGGTGGTGTGGAAGGGTACGAGCGGTTGTTCGTAAGTTACGTTGGGCGAAGCGGGCAAGTTGTGTCGAGGCAGTGTAGCCCGCATCGTCGACCATCTTATACTCGGCCGCTGGACAGGACATGGACGGGCGGACACGTCATGACTTCACCCATGACGCGGACGAGAGGCTTTGAGTCGTGACGACGCGTTGATTGCTTCCCCCTACGTCACCCGCCGTGCACCGCTGGAAATGGAAGGTCACCTACTATATTCGGTCTGATGCGGACGCGATCGGCGGGCGACTGTGGCTGCGGTGCGTGGCTGCACGCAAACATACCATCTTCGAATTCTCACCTTCCAGCTCTGCGAAGTCTCTCAGAATTCAAGTGTCTTTACAGAGTCTTCGAATTCGAAATACTATTCAATGGAGGGACGACTTGTCTGCTCGTGCCAGGACTGGTCTGAGCTTACGGTGGTGTCGTCTCTGCCCGCGCTCGATGCCAACCCCGCGTCCTCTATGCACCCAGCTCCTTCGCTCTCCATCATCCATAATACCTCTTGGCGAACAGCCCAAACGTCTCAGGTACGATTTCGGGATAGAGCTCCCGTGCATCGAGTGCACCGAGCCTCTTCGCATTCGCGAGCGAGTTCTCGCCCAGAAAGTGGATGCTGATCATGTACTCCGAGTACGTGCACACTTGGCCCGTGTACGGTTCACCTGATGCGATGTATTGCGCCTTTTTCTCAGCGATGCGCTGGAGTAGCGTCTCCTCGTCGAGCTACGGGAAAGGCTCGTGAGCCCCAGCGCACCCGACGACCAAGGCTAAACAAATGAATGCTCACCAAGACACGTCTCGCCCGGATGGCCTCGGCCTCCCCGCTCGCCGATTCTGCAATCTCGCGTGATTGTCTCAACGTGAGTTCGTCTTGCCATATAATGATATACTGGTTCGCTGCCCGCGCATCCCGCACAATCCGTGCGACGTAGGGCCCGATACGGTCGACATCCATAAGAAGCACCGGTTTGTCGTCTTCCGCGTAGTATTCATCCGCGCCTGGACCGATCGGCGAAGGGACCTTGGACGACGTAGGTACCAAGTACTGCATCCACCACCCGATGTCGATGAAGGTGTAGGTAGAGAGGCCACTAGATGTAGCGCAGAGCTCTCTGAGGTACTCTCTGATCTCGAGTTTCTGACCAGAAACATAGGATTGGCTGACAAGCTACGGCGGTTTAGGGCGGTTCGGACGCACCATATCGTTCAGCGCTCGAACACCTTTGGCTCCGGGCGTCCCAAAGTCGCACGGAATGACCCTCTTCACACCAGCCTCTACCGCTGTCTTCAAGATCGGCTTCTGCGATGCAGCCGCTTGGGCTGACACCGTGCTCAGAAGCACGTCCACGCCGTCCAGGTACCCAGACAGTTTTGAAGGCGGGTCGGTGGCGTAGTCGCCGATGCGGATCTCGACGCCTTGCGAACGAAGTATGTCCACTTCCGGTTTGGATGCTGAGGCTGGGCGCGTCAGCGTAGCGATATTGTACGTAGGGCAGATACGATCCCAGTCAGCTGGTGAGTTACGCAAATCCCGAGGGCGGACGTACATATTGACCGGATCTGAGCAGACCGTCAATGACGCTTCGTCCAGTGCGCCCAGTTGCGCCGAGAACGAGGACGAGGGTTTTCTTGTCGGCCATATTAGTCTGACTGTAGAGCACTCACCAACGATGCACCGGTATGTCTGTGAGCATCTACTACGTATTTCGGATTCGTTTTATATTCTGAAGTACGACGACAGACCCGAGAGTCTCGGAGCGCTAAACATGCGAGTATACTCCGAGTCGGGGTTACTCAGCTCAATGTTGAGCGATGTCGCAGCTTGGTCGCAGCTGCTGAATCACTCAGTTGAGGGTGATGATGCAGATGACTAGTTGACCCATTAAGATAAGGGTCGGGGAATATAGGTGCCGGAGGATGTCTTTTGCAACATGACGCTGGACTTCGCTGTGGGGACTTGCATCCTTCAAGCTGGCACTGGCTCAGAGTGGTTGGCTGCCGCGCCAATTGGTTCTTATTTAATGACCTTGTACCCTCAGGGCGTAAGGCGAATCATTCTGATCCTGTTCAGTTCTGATACTTATGTTGTCATGCAGGAAAACATGACGGGCGCGGAGACAAATGAACACATGGTCTGACCACACTCTTCCTCGGGCCTATGGGGCATCATTGAGCATCATGATACAGTCGTATGAACTAGTTATGTTATCCGATATGGTGTAGTGGCTAACATTATCGCCTCTCACGCGATAGCCCGGGGTTCGATTCCCCGTGTCGGAATACCTTTTTGCTACCGTTCTCGTTGCGAACTTCAATCGACAACCATGCATGTATGTATGTGGAGTTTTGCACGCGAGTCGCCGACAACTGCCATACATGTTTGAAGCAGATCACCCTCAATGGTCCCAAACCGCGTTCTGCGTCATCTCTCTGGCCAGGAACTCATCCACGCGGACCTTCGCACCGTCTCTCCAGGTTTCGAAGGTGAGCGCCCAGCAGCTCCAATCCCACCCTTTCCCCGCGTCCGACCTACCGTACTCGCCTACCACTTCCTTTGCGTCGCGCTTCGTGGATTTGTTACCACGCCCCGCCATCGCCGTATACCATCGCAGGCATAACCAAGGCGGCGAGGCACCGCGCTGGACGCGTCGTTGGCCGCAGTGGCTATCCACTCCATCCTGCGGAGCTCGAGACCGCCTTGCGTGCGAGGTGTGAAGCAGTATTTGAGGAGAAGGCACAGCGCGTTCGTCATGACGTGTCTATCCAATGGCTCATTAGTCGTTCACTGTTGGAAGGTCGGTATTTGGTGCTTACGTTCGCTGCGCGCGAGGGAGGACAACCACGTGCCCGCTCTCCCCGACGAAGTCTGGGGCGGACGTAGCGCGCAGGCCTATGATGCCTGCAATCCGACCGCCACATGGCCTGCCCTCGACATACGGACGGCTCAGGTCGAGGATCGCGAACACGTACTGGTCGGACCGCCGACGCCAGGACTCTTCCGCGCGAGTGAGAAGGTCCGTCAGCGTCGCTGGAAAGACTCGACTTTCGTAGCGATATATCGATGTCTGATCTGGGTCATCTTTGAGGAGTGCAGAGCCCTGGCGTGGATGCTTGGCTGCGCGTCGTAACTCGGAGTGAGTACTTCCAGCAGCGTGCGGCGACAGAGTTAACGTACTATGAATGGTTCCAGTCGAACGCCCGAACCTTCCAGAGGTTTGACAGGCCAGCAGAAGTTCAGGCCGTACTCCTCGAGAGGCGTATCTATATGTAAGTCTCCAACGGGAAGGGCAAGAATGTCTGCGCCCTCGGCAGTGTTCAGATAGTTCGCTTCCATTCCCACAAATTGGTCACGACGCTATCTCTGGGGAGTCAGTGCACCTTCCTCAGCCATACAGAAACAGGGAAGCGGCGCACTCTGACAGATCGTGGTGTTGCGCTGCAAGGCAGAACTAGGTACAATCACTGCCAATCACATATATATCAGCGCCTGCACCAGGCTTGCAAGGTCCGTACCATCCAGTCGTTCAACCATCCAAGTACCGTCGACTTGGCTCGCGTCTGAAATTGATCGGAAGATAACTATCGAAGCCCCATCTGGCCCAAAGCGATTCTGATGATTCTTAGTAGTCAAAGGCCGTCCTTGGGGACGAGGCTTAAGTCCCTCAGGAATGCATTCAAGTTCAAAGTACGCGAGCCCATGTAGTCGGTGTCGCCGAACAGGAGGAAACCTGAGGAAGACCGCGGCCTGTCAGGTTGCGACATCCCGAGTTGGATGCAAGACCGTGTCGCGACGCCGTACGCATGATGTTGACTAATTACTCGGTGTGTGGCGTGAGCAAGGCCACGATGGGGATCCGCGCAGAGACAGAGACTCAAGCACAGGACGATACCGAGGAGCGGCCAAGTGCGAAGACACCACTTGCATACCTGTCACTGCCAAGTCTGCACGCTGGCATGACTAGAAGAGGCACGTAAGCCAGGGTGCATCGGCCAGTCTGCAAAACTGCTTGCCTTCCTCGTGCACGTACGCAGAGTTGCTAAGTCAGGACGCAGATATCCAGTGCAGGCGTCGTGAATAGGTGGACAATGCACGATTCCCATTCGAGCCTAGTAGGCCCATGATGTCTTTCAAATGCACATTTTTGTCCTGTCTAGAAAAGATAATATGAGTAAGACGTGCTCTCAGGCTGTTACCGTTCCCGGTTTGCGCGAATCCCTCTAAGCATGTGGTGAGAACACTACAAGCGATCTATCTAGTGTCCAAATAAGGTTCATACCAATCTACCTTCGCATTTCATTCATCACCTAGACGACGACCGCAATTGAAGTTAGCTTCTCTGCCCAGATTAGTGTGTCCGAAGCAAGCACCTGTAATCGTCAAGGCCTGTCAGTGTGATGAAACCGAACAACGGAGCCTGATGTAATCCACAAGCTCAGCTCTCGCGCCGAGTCGCTCCGAGTCGCAGTGACCATCAAGTCACAAAATCTCCTCGTTCCGAACTGACACTCCGGACCTGCGCACGAGCGGCGCGAGTGTCCTTACAGCCGCTGCGAAACGCGGATCGGGGGAGTGGAAGACGAGCATGGATATGCCTTCGGAGTTCGTGGCAGGCCAAACGATCTGTGTCGCACCCCACAGTCCAACGTTAACATAGAAGGCGCATCATGGTACTACGAACCACTGACACTGGTATGGCCGCAGTGAAATACGCCAGCCGGTGAGCGTACGAGCCTATTCCACATGCATGTGAGATTTTGTTCATGCAATTTATGCCCGTAGGTTCCACTTACCAAGGACACTCGGGGAGGCGAGGCGGCGGCCGTACGCCACCATACGGTGGGCGTGGAGAATCGAGGCCATCCAAGAAAGATGCAACCACAGGAAGCACGACCGAATATGTGGCGTCGAATTATGCTGAGTTTACGTTAAACTTAGTCACAACCATACCAGCGTAAATTACGTCGAAGAACGCTGATATTACTTTGACTTATCGACAACATAATCAGTGTTCGATTACTCTGCAGGTTCTTTGATTGTACTCTGAGAAATTGGCCAACATACTATCATCATCATTTTATAATAAAACTACCGTAATGTGTGTCACGTAACGCTGAACCTATCCTGAAACTATCTTGACGAGCTTTCAGCGTATTACGATTGTTCAAACTTGATACTTTCGGTGTAGAATATGTGACGTACGTGACACTCATGTCACAGCGTAGCCACAGAGTATGACCGGTCGACCTACCCTGTCTTTATGGTGTCAGCATTCCATCAAAATATTGCGGTATAACCTACGGTGTTCCTACGCTGTCGCGTAACCGTAATGTGTCATCACAGAGTCGACCCATGTGTCCTCGACGTCGAGCACTATTTGATGAGGCAGGAACCGAGTTTGCCTTCGGTTCCGACTCCCTGACTGACATGGGTTACCTCGGCTGCGAATGCACGAAGCATTGCAATGGATCCGAGACGCTAGCAGAACGGTGGCACTCACCATTGCATTGAACTTCCTTGAGCTGAACCATGTCCACGCCCTGCACGGGCACCGTAATCTTCTGCGACAAGCCGCCGCTAGGGCAGCGTTGCAGACTCGCACGACGTCCTGGACCTGAGCCTTGAGCAGCCTCCTCGACAGCGCTCATGCCGTTCTCGGCGGCCGCAGCGAGCGGGCCGATCGGGACGACCAACGAAGAGCTGAGCTGGGGCACGTTGACGTCAAAATTCGTGTACAGGTTCTTGCCGCAGTGAGGGCTGTGTGCGCTCTCCGCAGTCGACGTCGGCGGCGCAGACTGCGGCGCGATCCGCTTGACCCTCGGGTTGCCGACCTCCTTGAGCGAGATGCTCAAGGGCGACGCGTCGGAGGCCGTTGCGCCCGCGTGGCTGCTGCATCTGGGGCGTAGTCTCGCTCTCGGCCTCCGCGTTCGCGTCGGCATTGAACATCTCGACGTCCTTATCAACACGATGGGGGTGATGGTGGTGGCCGTTGTTGTCCATCGTGCTCGGGCTGTTCTCCACGGAGCTGCTGGGCGTGCCGATGAAGGGCGGCGTCGACGTGGCCGTCTGGCCGATGGAGCCGTTGGCCTCGGCGCCGTCGCTCCGGGAGCTCGACGAGCTTGTGCTGCTGATAGGAGGGTTGTCGCCGACGTTGCAGCATTTCTTAGACTCTGGACTGCTGCTCCGGGACGCCTTGATCGCTGCTATGGTCTCCTCGGCCGTGTACATGCGGCGGGCGATCGCGGTGAAGGAGCGGAGGACACTGTCGGTCTCCCAGTCTGAGGAGCTTTCGGACTTGGGCACTGGGACAAACGAGAGGCCGAGCTCGTAGGCGGGGAGTGGGGCGACGAGATACTGGTAAAAGGGGTGCCCAACGGGCGTATAATGGTCAGTGATGGGTGCCATTGTCGTGGACAGTGAGCAACGAGTACTTGGCGGAGGCGGGAAAGGGGCACTCATTTCAGCTCCAGCCTCTCCGCCTTCATCTCCGCGAGGTGAAATCTCGACAGAGAGACGGCTGCGGCGAGGGGAGTAATGGACGAGAAGAAAGGGTGGTCCCATGCCAGACGCTCGTACGATCGACTTGTGGGTTGCGCTCGGTCAAGCACCGGGACCACCCTCGCACGCTCGGCCAGTCCCGAGCTCTGCCATGATAGAGGGAAGTCTGCAGCATCGTTTCAGCAGGCAGGCGATACCGCTCTAGATGTCGTGGATCTGATAAACATACGGGACGGCGTCACCCCACTTACTCGGATCGCAGGCGCAGGCGGCGCACGTGCTAGAGCTGCCAAGCTCAAGGGGCTGACTGTCTGCCCTCCCGTGGCGTCCCGGGTCGCGTACCAGCCTGAAGTCAATTTGCCCGTGGGGAGGGACTTGTAGTAGCGCGTGAATCTCGGTGATGAGCGCAGACTGCGCGCTGGTCGGTAGGTGCGGTTCCAAACTGCGGAAGTGGACGTCAGCATCACCTCTCCACCGGTACACACCAGGAAAGGGGACGTACAATGATCTCGATGTCATCCTGGTGGCAGATAGAGCCCGAGTCGGTGCACTTGGAGACGTCGGAGTTACTGGGGTACGACGCGCCGACGGTGTACATGCCCACATACGCGGTACCGCCGCTCGACGCCCAGCTGCGCGTGAACGTCTACGTCGAGGCGGGCATCCTGCGTGCTGTCGGCGGACGTCGTCGAGGGGACATACATCGAGTGCTTCAGCAGGCGGCTGCCACTGACAGAGCGAACGTGCCGTCAACACCATCGTCGTAGTACGAGGCGGTCTTGGACTGCGACGGGAAAGCGGCAGTGAGATCGAGAGGGCTGATGATGAAGTCGCCGTCGCAGACTGGGTGGATAGGCTCGGATTGGCCAGCTGCAGGGACAACACCGCAAGCGTTGTTCGGGAGGGAGCCTTGTGCGTTTAGGATACGGTCGAGCGAGAGGGGTCCGGGCACGACGTGTCCGAAGCGCGTGAGCTGCGCACCCATTGAAGTCCTGAAGCGAGCTCTGCATGGTGATATACAGAAAGCCACAGTCCTACAGGCCATTGAGCACGGGCAAACTCGTCGCTATGAACAGATAACATACCCTTGGATCCCATTGCAAGATGGCATACTCAAAAAGATTGGGGTGCAGCGAGCAGCGCCCTGATCATGTTTGCCGTGCCAACGGTCTGCGTTACCGTACTTGACAGTGAACCAGACGACACCAGACGTGTCGGCGGCGCCCTTCACCGTGCCGAGTGGCGTCAAAACTCGGGTGGACGACGACGTCGACAGAGACGTCGAGCAGAGGAGCTTTTGAAGTCAAGGTGGGGAGTGTTCACAACGCGCCCTCCGGGATTGACAAGGACTTGGGATCAGCAATGCTCGTGCGAGACGCATCGACGGAAATCGCTGCCGCCTGGAAGGAGAGGAGAGGAGCGGCGAGTGCTAGGAAGGCGACGATGAGCGATTGAGGACGAGGGGTGGAGATGCCTAGGACGAAGGGGGCTCATGAAGAGGATGCATCGAACAGTAGGCCTTTGAAGCGAGAAGTCTAAGGCCGCACCCAAAGCTACGAGTCCAACGGCAAGGAATGAAGGGGGAGGGACGGGGGAGGAGGAGAAGGTAAGGGACGGTGAGCTGACACATTCATGGGTGTTTGTCGCGCGGTAGCGCGCCGTGCTTCGTCTGAACGCCTCCTTTGTTCCCAATATGGCAACTCCCCAACGCTCAACGCTCAGCGCTCGCTCACGCTTCCGTCACGGTCCCCGGGCTCAAGCTGCAGAACGAGAGACCTTCTACGTACGCCCGCCATTACCCACCGCTAGGCACTCCCGGCGACAAAACGCGCATTCGTTAATCAAGGTCGGCCGGCCAGTCCACCCGCTGACGCCGACGAACGCTGCCCAAATCCGCACAGGAGCGGAAGCACGGATGCCTAGCGTAAAAGCAGGTTTCACCGTCTTAAGATTGCCCCAGTAGATATGATGTACATAATTCTCCAGCCCGAGCAGACATACTGTGTAGTCATCAGATGCTCACTATGTTAGACTAAATTGCAACCATTTGGCGTCGAGTGGTTCAACTACCCAGGGAGACTGCGCGCATCGGGCGCGCAGACCGGCGATATTCGTTCACCATAAACATCGAAGACTCTTCGTCATACGAAGCTATGCACCTCCGACGTCCGCCGATTGAACTGGCATAAACTGCACACGAGGGGGGCACCTCTTTGACCGGTGGCTGATGCGACGTAGACGAGTACGACACTACGTAGATGGGTAGCAGGGAATTGTCGGCGGTGACCCCGCGCCGGCAGGCTTTGCAAGTCCTTGTTTCCGGCGGCGAGCATACCATACGCCGCGTACGCGGACGGCGATCGTCGTTCGCTTGATCTATCCAGCTAACATGTGCAGGTGGCGTGACTTGGATGGGTGCGACGCGACAGACGAGGACGACGCGACGTAGATGAGTAGCGGGAACTTGTCGGCGGAGGCCCCACGCCGGGAGGCTGCGGTACGCCGCGATCGGCTATCCAGCTAACATGCCAATGTAAGTATCGGCGGCGCAACAACTGAGCCGATGTCACGTATGTGCTGCGGCATGTGCGTGGCCCATCTCCGGAACGCACGTTCCGAAGATGGGCATCGTACGGGCAGCAGCTCACGGCGATCTCAGAAACTCGCACAGCAGCCCGGGGGATTGCTCCGTAAGGTCGTCAGTTTGAATCGTCGACCCTGGGCCGGCACGCTTTACGAGCCCATGTTGTGATGGTGATGTTGGCAACGTCAACGTCACCATCCAACATGGGCTCGTAAAGCGTGTGTCCTTCGTGTTGCAGGCAGCGCCGGGGAGCATGCACGTGTTGTGTATGCGATCGTCGTCGGCTCGTGGATGCGATCGACCTCTGCCCGGGCTTAGAATCGTCAACGAGTCGTGCATAGCGTCTTCGACAACTTCGGAATGCAAGCTGGACGCCAGCGAGGGAAAAGAAAGCCGGATGCCAGTGAGTCAGCAACAGGTGCATAGGGGTTGAGGACGCCGGAACATCGGTGATTGAACTTCCATGCGGCCGATCGCTCGCGCTCAGCGGTATCGCCAGCTGCGACTAGGGGTGTCTGGTGTGACATTAATTGTCAGTTCATGTACCCACGGGCAACTCGCAATTAGACACACTGAGGGTACAACCGGGGCCCGGTATGGCAGGTTCGTCGGCCTGAGCACGCAGTGGCATGTGTGCAGGATGAAGGCGGTGGATGAACCGCCTATAAGACGAGGTTTTGGGTCTGTAGCGAAGGCGTGAAGAATGTGATTTCGGCGGGTTCGTCGGCCTGTGTATGCAGTGGCACCTGTGCAGAATGAACGCGAAGGATGTACCGCCTAAAAGACGAGGTTTTGGGTCTGTAGCGAAGGCGTGAGGGATACGGGCTCGGCAGCGAGAGTACATGGTGGCGTGTGGCGGTGCACATGAGTCGTGTTGGGCGGAAACAGTGGGTGGGTGGGAGCTCTTTGGCCGGGACTTGGGCTTACAGCTCTCGAAACACACCGTATTTATACAACTCTGGGACTGGAGCCACTCCGAGCCCGAACGGTACGATGTAAGCCCAGTCAGTAAGACTACAAAGTAAGGATACAAAAGAAGTACGTAGCTGTGGCAGCGGCAATGTGGCACCCCGACGCCACTTCGAGTGCAACAATGGATGCATAGGGATGCATGAGTCGAGATGAACCGAATGACGAAATAATCGAGGGACAAACGAGATGGATGTAGAGAACTAAAGGGGTGGCCTTGTGTTCGGTGCCGGTAGTGGCGCCTGCCTTCGACGAGGCCCACTCGCACTTCTGCTCGCGCTCAGGCGTCACCGCGGTAGCGTGGCGAGCTTGTGACGAGCGAGAAGGTCGATCTCGTATGGCACGGCTTGAGCGCGAGCGCGGTCTACAGATGTCACGGATTGTCGCCTTCGTAGGAGGAGGAGGACGTGCGTACGGTGGCTTGCCGGTGACCGGTGTGCCTGAGGTTAAGGTTGGCGGCGCATACGCCCCGATATTCAATGTTCCGGGCGATGGTGGCAATGAGGGGCACTATAGAGGTGGCAGTAGGACCTGCAGAAGTCCCTGCATAACTGCAGAGGCCACATAGACAGTCGGGGCGCGATCACGTTATGCGCTTCTCGGCAGTCAGCAAGGTCAGTCTAACCAGCCGCAAGAGCCTGTAGATGGCCCGGCCCTCGCCGCGGATGCAGTCAACCATAAAGCGGAAGGATACACAGCGTAGGTCGAAGGTATTAGGTATCCGTTTGAGTACGGGTCTGAGTTTGAGTAAGACGAGAGCGGTAGGGTGCCCTGTGAAGTACGAGGGGATATGCAGACGTCGGATAAGCCGGCGGCGGACTGTATATATGTCCACAGGGGAGATCGACCTGGCCGGGAGCGTAGGCGATTGCGGTCGCTTCAAGATCGAGTGCCCGAATGTACCAGGGGCTTGCATAGCAGACAGCCGGGGGCGAACTGGGCACACTGAGCACCTACCGCGAGGTCGCAGGGCTGATCGTCGCTCTTCGGATTCATGGTGCACCGGCGCTGGACGCAACAGAGAGCCCCGTGTCCGAGGAGGACGAGGGGGAGGATGAGGAGGAGGACGAGGGGGGATACATTTAGAGCTGCGCAGACGCTGCGGCCATCGCACTGTGCGTCGCAATGTGCACGACATTTTCCTGGTCCGTCGCAGACAGGGCCTGAATCGTGACTCCGTCGTCCAAGGCCTGGGGCTCCAGTTGGTCAAGCGTCGTGCGGAAGCCGAGGTCTTCGTAGACTCTCTCTTGCTGGAAACGGACCTCATCGTCCATGTTCCGAGATCGAACCAAGGGTTGATTGCTCTGTATACTCCCAGGTTCTGAAACGTCCTTCGTAGTCCCTGCGACAAACTCCGTGTACCCTAGTATTGAGAGGTCTCGTTCGGTTCCCGGTAGGGTGCATGTAGGCGCCATGTTCGCACAGCCCGAAGCTTGCCGCCGCCGCAGTGCGTAGTACAGGTGCAGAACTTATTCGGTCTATTGCCCTTGCAAGATGGCATGCTTATTTGCGACTATCGAATACACAGGTCGTTTGCTACGAGGGCTGATTCGGGAATAGGAATGTGTAGTCTTTTGTCGGACACTGATTCCGAGTCGCTGAAGCGGGCGTATACACAACCTGGGTGGCCTGCTTTAGACATGCAATCAGCAAGAAAGCAGTGCGTTACATACCGTGAGGCTAGGGATTGTCTTGCCGGCAACGTCTGGCTGTGCGTCTTCGAGGTAGCGGCGGGCAGCACAGGCGTCGACTTGAAGGGGGCGCTCTCCGCAGTCGACGCCGGCGGCGCAGACTGCGGCGCGATCCGCTTGACCCTCGGGTTGCCGACCTCCTTGAGCGAGATGCTCAAGGGCGACGCGTCGGAGGCCGTTGCGCCCGCGTGGCTGCTGCATCTGGGGCGTAGTCTCGCTCTCGGCCTCCGCGTTCGCGTCGGCATTGAACATCTCGACGTCCTTATCAACACGATGGGGGTGATGGTGGTGGCCGTTGTTGTCCATCGTGCTCGGGCTGTTCCCCACGGAGCTGCTGGGCATGCCGATGAAGGGTGGCGACCGTCTGGCTGATGGAGCTGTTGGCCTCGGCGCCATCGCCCCGGGAGCTCGACGACCTCGTGCTGCTGATAGGAGGGTTGTCGCCGACGTTGCAGCGTTTTTTTGGACTCTGGACTGCCGCTCTGGGGCGTCTTGATCGCTGCCGAGGTCTCCTTGGCGGTGTACATGCGGCGGGCGATTGCGGTGAAGGAGCGGAGGATACTGTCAGTCTACCAGTCGGAGGGTCTTTCATACTTGGGCACTGGGACAGATGAGGGGCTGAGCTCGTAGACGGGAAGCGCGGCGACGAGATACTAGAAGAAGGGGTGCCTAACGGGCGTATAATGGCCGGCGATGGGTACCATTGTCGTTGACAGTGAGCAACGAGTACTTGGCGGAGGCAGGAAAGGGGCACTCATTTCAGCTCCAGCCTCTCCGCCTTCATCTCCGCGGGGTGAAGTCTCGACACAGAGACGGCTGCGGCGAGGGGAATGGTGGACGAGAGGAAAGGGTGGACTCGTGCAAGACGCTCGTACGACCGAATTGTGGGCTGCGCTCGGTCGAACGCCGGGACCACACTCGCACGCTCGGTCAGCCCCGAACTCTGCGATGAGAAAGCGAAGTCTTGTTTACTTGCAGCATCGTTTCAGGCAGGCGATACCGCTCTAGATGTCGAGGGGCTGACTGTCAGCCCTTCCGTCGCGTCCCACGTCGCGTACCAGCCTGAAGTCGCGTTGCCCGTGCTGAGGAACTGGTAGTAGTGTATGAATCTCGGCGATTAGCGCAGACTGCGCGCTGGTCCGACGGGCTGGGTGCGGTTCCAAACTGCGGAAGTGGACGTCAGCATCACCTCTCTACCGGTACACACCAGGAAAGGGGACGTACAATGATCTCGATGTCGTCCTGGTGGCAGATAGAGCCCGAGTCGGTGCACTTGGAGACGTCGGAGTTACTGGGGTATGACGCGCCGACGGTGTACATGCCCACATACGCGGTACCGCCGCTCGACGCCCAGCTGCGCGCGAACGTCTACGTCGGGCGGGCATCCTGCGTGCTGTCGGCGGACGTCGTCGAGGAGACATACGTCGAGTGCTTCAGCAGGCGGCTGCCACTGACAGAGCGAACGTGCCGTCAACACCATCGTCGTAGTACGAGGCGGTCTTGGACTGCGACGGGAAGGTGGCGGTGAGATCGAGAGGGCTGGTGATGAGGTCGCCGTCGCAGACCGCGTGGGTAGCTCGGATTGGCCAGCTGCAGGGACAACACTGCAAGTTGGTCGAGAGGGAGCTTTATGCATTCAGGATACCGTCGAGCGAGAGGGTCCGGGCACGACGTGTCCGAAGCGCGTGAGCTGCGCACCCATTGAAGTCCTGAAGCGAGTTCTGCATGGTGATATACAGAAAGCCACAGTCCTAGAGGCTATTGAGCACGGGCAAACTCGTCGCTATGAACATATAACATACCCTTGGATCCGGTTGCAAAATGGGATACTCAAAGAGATGACATAAATCGGGTGCAGCGAGCAGCGCCCTGAGCATGTTTGCCGTACCAACGGGAGTCCGCGTTCCCGTACTTGACAGTGAACCAGACGACACCAGACGTGTCAGCGGCGGCCTCCGTGCCGAGTGGCGTCAAAACTCGGGTGGACGACGACGTCGACAGAGACGTCAAGCAGAGGAGCTTTTGAAGTCAAGGCGGGGAGTGTTCACACCACTACGCGCCCTCCGGGATTGACAAGGACTTGAGATTAGCAATGCTCGTGCGAGACGCATCGACGGACACCGCTGCCGCCTGGAAGGAGAGGAGAGGAGCGGCGAGTGCTAGGAGTCCTACTAGTAGGAGGGCGACCATGAGCGATTGAGGACGATGCTTGGAACGTTCTGAACACCTCCTTTGTTCCCAATATGGCAACTCTCCAGCGCTCAGCGCTCAGCGCTCGCTCATGCTTCCGTCACGGTCCCCGGGCTCCAGCTGCAGACTGACGAATACACGCGCAGGCCGAAGAGCGAGTAGGCGGGCAAGCAGACCAGCGATACGGCCAAATCAGCAGAGGGTCCTTGTACCGAGATACACGACAAGCTCACATCTCGACGTTCCGCACTGGTCGGATGATTCGCCATACCGACGCAGGCGGGTTACTCGCGACAGGACTCGCTCGAGAGTGCGCAGCGGGTGTTGTCCACGTTCAGGGATAAATGGACACGCAGCGCGCCGCCGGTGGATGGAACGGACTATAAATGTCCACGGAATGACGAGGTAAGCAATACAGCATGATGCGAGACGGTGTCACGTACCTGACGGCTAGCTCACCAGGACCCTCTACCCGCTGCGCTTCTGCACGCACGCGATTTCCAAGGACGGCAATGGGATGCCCTGCCAGTGGGCAGCCGTACAGACCGACGCGCATCTCGCGGAGATGAAGTGCGGCGCGAAACCAACGGCGCCCGCTCGGTCCACTGACGCGCTCCCGGAGGTCGTCGGCTGCCAGACAAGGAACCGCTTCGTCGCGCACTGAATTCAATACGACGACCGGCTGCTCTGGTAGCCAGCGGCATCGTCTACTGGTCGGAACACCGACGGCGCTGCGCAGGGCTTGTTGGGTACGCTCTGCCCTGTGCACGTCTGTCAAACGTAGGTAGTCCTGTTGAGCTCGACGTGAAGTTGAGGTTCCTGCGGTGACTGACTTTCAGACCATGACGGCGAACTCCATCGACTCACCTTAGTCCATGCCTATGACCGTTGCACAGGTCGTGACGGAGGCGAGCAACGCTCCAGCCAGGTCAAGGAGTAAGCGTGTCAGTCATAAGCAATCCCGCACCTTAGTCGGGACGCGGCTACAATACGAGGACTCGTGAGCACTACGGATGAACTACGCGAATCAAGGTTGCGACTTACCGTTTTCGAGTCGGCGGCTTGCTCCGTATCCGACGCGAATCCCGTCACAGGAAAGGGAGGTGCAGGTCGTATCTGGACGCTGGACTCGGAGGGATGGTGTAATGAGGAAGAAGAGGGATGCTGAGATGGGCGGCGCTGGCTCTCAATATCGCGTCCTAGTGCCCGTAGCGCCGAGTGAGCAGAGACGCGGGAGAGAGAGCGCGAGGCGAGCACACCATGCAGGAGGATGTACTAAGCTGCATTACCCACAGTTGACAACTTGACTCAACGTGCTTACTTTGCCAAAGACACACGATGTGGCGCGAAATATAGTTGATATAATCGACATTACTCTATCTGACTGCGTGTCCAGCGTGTGCCCGCACGCTGCGAGTTGGTGGATGCGCCCGCCAAAGTCGTTGTGACCGCGGGTGGAGCAGAGCAGAGCAGAGCGCGACAAGGTCGTGACCGCCCGCGAAGAGGGCGGTGGCACATGCCGGGTTTGGTGACCCCGAGTGGTCACGACGAATCCGCCTGAGAACGAGTGACCTTCTACGTACGCCCGCCATTACCCACCGCTAGGCACTCCCGGCGGAAAAACGCGCATTCGTTAGTCAAGGCCGGCCGGCCAGTCCACCCGCTGACGCCGACGAACAACGCTGCGAAAATCCGTACAGGATCGGAAGCACAGATGCCTAGCGTAAAAGTAGGTTTCACCGTCAATATCAACATGGTCTACAGCCAGCTCACTTACGTTGAGTTGCGTGTCCGTATCATCCTTCACTAGCAGAGATGGTGTGACATCCTGTAGAAGCAAACAACAGGAGGCTCAGAAAAGATCGAGGGTGGCCAAAGCAGAGAGAAGAGTGGTGCACCAACGACGGCGACGAGCGAGGCGAGGTGCGCGAAGGCTATACTCGGCACTTCTGGCAGTTAATGACGCAGTATGTGCTGCGACATGCACGGTGCCCATCTCCGGAGTATACAGAATGTATACTCCGGAGATGGGCACCGTGCATGCCACCGCAGATAACGGCAAGCTCACTGGCATAAACTGCACACGAGGGGGGCACCTCTTTGACCGGTGGCCGAGGCGACGCAGACGACTACGACACGACGTAGATGGGTAGCAGGGAATGTCGACGGTGACCCCGCGCCGGCAGGCTTTGCAAGTCCTTGTTTCCGGCGGCGAGCATACCATACGCCGCGTACGCGGACGGCGATCGTCGTTCGCTTGATCTATCCAGCTAACATGCTTTTGTGCAGGTGGCGTGACCTGGATTGCGCAGGTGGCGTGACCTGGATGAGTGCGACGCGACAGACGAGTACGACGCGACGTAGATGAGTAGCGGGAACTTGTCGGCGGAGGCCCCACGCCGGCAGGCTTTGCTAACGACGGTTTCTGCGAGGGTGAAGTGCGCCGCGATCGGCTATTCATCTAATATGCCAACGTAAATATCGGCGGCGCAGCAACTGAGCCGATGTCACGTACCGTTGGACGGCGATGCTACGCGACAACGGACGCGACGAGTACTTAGACCAGACCTTCGCATGTAACGTCTACATAGGGCTTCGCCCTCAGTGACAATAAAGGGAACCAACAACAATAACGTACCGTTGGAGCCACTCTGTCAGTGCGTGAGCGCAATGCGCAGTAGCCGGTCGGGCGACGGTTCACTTCCGTGTCGGTATGTCACTGCGACCATCTTCCGTAGGCCCCTGAGGCATGTAGAATATCAATGAGGGAAAAACGAGAAACTAGGACCAGCTGTATACACACCGTGCCAGACTGTTGAGTGTCGGTGTGGGACTGTGTACGCGCCATACATTGGGTTGCTGAGTGTCGGTGTGGGACTGTGGCCATGTTCCGCGGGCCCTTGTAAGATATTGAATGCGGGAACATTGAGAAATCATGAACTAGATAAATACGCACCGTGCCGAAGCCTTCGACGAAAATGCTTCGGGTCTGTAACGAAGGCAGGAGAAATCGGCGTTCTACGGCGTGCGGCGGCGTGCGGCGGGGGGCGTCAGCGAACATGGAATGCGTTGTTCGGATGGTAGCGGTAACTGGGTGAGACACTCTTGTAGCGAACCTCGGGCCCTCGAACTGCACACTATTTATATTGTTCTGGGTGTGAGCCACTCCTAGTCCATGCAGCATGATGTAAGCCGTACCAGTCAGAGTACAAAGGTCAGAGTACAATCGAAGGGAATGGCAGTGGCAGTGGCACTCCGACGCCACTTCGAGTACAATGGACCGAAAGATGAGTCAGTAAAAGACAAACGAGATAGAAGAGGAGAACTATTAAAGGCTCAGAGGTTGTAAGGCCTCGACCAAGGCGAATGTGGTTGGTGGCGACGAAACTCACGCACCATCGGACCGTCCCCGTCCCATACCCCGTTACGGTTGAGCACGGGTAGTATAGCATGGATATCCCCAGCCCAAACCGTATCCATTCCTGAGCAGATACAGACCCACCACAGCGGCCACAGCGGATACGGATTCTGCGTGGGTGAAGGCAGGTCGGCGAGTTCTAGATCCGCGGCTGGGAGCGCGCGTGGGTAAGTGGCAAGCGGGCGAGCTGGTGAGCGAAAGCGCAGGCGTGAGAGAGAGCGCGGGCGAGAGTGCGAGCTGCAGATGAGGGGAACGGGCAAGCGAGCCAATGAGGAAGTGCGGGGACAAGCGAGTAAGCAGACAGATACCTGATTCAAGTGAGGAAAGGTAAGCACGACGGACAGTACTTGAGTTCGTTGTTTCACTACTAGTACGTCGGCGAATGCCCTTAGTACTGATGTATCCGTCCACATGAAGCAATGCCCCGAACTACTTCGCGTGCATTGAACCAACGCTCACCATATGCAGCGCAGAGGGATGATGGTCAACGTCGAGCACACCTGCGAGCCTAACCGCGTCATGGAGAGCCAGAAGCTCTGAAGAGGTCCTGTGTTTGGATTGTCGGCGAAGATGCATGGCCACCCCTCGACGAACCGACCGTAGGATGTGTGAAGACCATCCGAGAGATCAGCGACGATCGCACCAGCCGGGCCTACGGTTCACAAGGCTCACCACCAGCCTCGTCGTCTCTCCTGCCAGTTCCACAACAATCCTTCCATCTTGAATGAGAGCCCTGAGGTCCGTTACCGACGGCGCATGAGACGGGAATGTACTCGGATCGACGACACTCTGGGCCCTTGCACGCTTCGTCCTCAATTGGTTGATGCCAAACGGACACTGGTAAACGCGCTTCTCGGGCTTGATCATGTAGTCGAGGAGCCGGATTCGTGTCGCCTGCTGTGACTGCTGTCGCGAGAACACATCGCCATGCTCCTGCCAGTGCCCCCACTGCGAACGCGAGTGCTAACCACCGGCAGGCTCAGAGTGGTTAGCGGGTACTTTCAAGGAGCCAAATTGCAGCGTGGAGAAATGCATGGTCAAGAAAGAGGTCGCCGAGTTCCGCCTTTTGGTCCGTGTTCCTTCGACGACTGATGGGCTCAATGGATAGACCGTGGCAGAGGTCGGCATACCGAGAAGGCCGTCTACACCGCGGCCATCTGAATGGGAGTCTGTCGGGGCATCCATGATTCGAACAGGTGAGCCACGACTCGGAGTCACGAACGCCGCTGCTCATACGCGTCTCATTCGAGCGGGTAGTCCCCTGGACATTCCTGATCAAGCTGACAGCTTCGTTGAGACCAGGACAGCAACTCTCGTAGACGCTGAACGATGGCAACTGCAAAACAAATCATTACGGCGCATGTAGTCCGCTAGAGGTGGCGCAAATTCAGAATGTGTCCGTGACGATCGCAACAGCCCGGTCAATCGTGGTAGAGCAGCGGCCTCCGATCCGTCAGGCTTCATAGCGACCTGTTCACCCATCTGGAATGCCTGGGAGAGTCCAAAGTCAACCATGGCATCTCAAATCGCGCACACGAACCGGTCATAGAAAGCTACTAGCAGTTCCTGCGCGCGAGGGCAGATCGCCGCTACATCCTCAGTATCCGCGACGTCGAGCTGGGATCTAGGCGTACTTACGAGAGTGGTGGACCTGTGAGCGAGGACCATCAGGCCGTGTCCAGTGACAGAGTTCTCCTTCTCCCCCTCCGTATCGCCATCGGGGTTCAACCCGTTGACTTGCTTCTCCTTCCTTTTGTGCCGGTGCCTGCCACCGTCTCTTCCTTTGATATATTCCTTCTCGTTGCTCTTGGCCTTGTGCTTCTCCATGTACCTTCCTCGTCCTTGAGCCTCTCGATGTTCTTGTCGTGTCTAGCTGACTACACCTACAATAACATTCTCGTTGATGCATTGAAGGACATAGTATGCCAGCAGTTTTGACCTCGCTCGAGCCTCTCGAGTTGAGTGATAGTCGATGTAGAAGAACCCGGACGGATGCAGCTTGCTCATGAAGTACTACCGGCCCAGAGATGGTTTAGGGCAGTGGCAGACAATTACCGACAGTGAGAACTTAACCATTCAATTCGGTCACGATCAGTCACTGACAAAGCGCTCGAGCACAGATGCATTCGTGAATGGTCCCTTTGACGTTCCTTGAAGCTACACAGATATCAATTACGGGGCATGCTGTACCCTGACATAAGGAAAGTATTGAGGTCCCGAGGTCCCTGAGGTCCCTGCACCAAGGATAAAGCCATCTAGTCGTGGAAGAACACTCCCATCAACACACATGAGCTCTGGCAGACGAACATTCTATCACTCACGATGGTATGGTCGGGCACGTTATTATCGATTAACTCAGGGACGACATCATTATCCACCTGAATCATTGTCTGTGTCATTGCATGTATCTCATGCATGAAAGACGGACAAAGACGGACCTGTGGCGAGAACCCAGTGGCAGGGTCATTGGAATCCAACCGTTCCTCGTTGCCATTCAGGCAATCTCCCTCACGGATCAGCCGCACAGATCACTACCAATATACAATCACATTGACGTACTTGAGTCCCCGATGTTCCTACACACCGACCTTCCAGCGCAAGCGCACCCAGTGTGCAACCCACATGCGATGCAAGGGTGCAGCGTACTAGACGACTGCAACTATGCATATGAAATCCGTTATGTCTGAAAACCCGCAACTAGGTAGAGTTGTAGACTGACCTTGCCTGGGCCGACCGGGGAAACTCCAAGGTCGCCAGGGATCACATTGTTAGGGTCGGCAGAAGCAGCTGGCTGGAGCTTCAGCGCGACCAAGTACACAGCCGGTAGCTCAGAAGACATAAATGGCAAGGGTTGGGTAGATAGATGGACGTAGGTGTTCACAACCGGATGGTGGCGCGCCTTGCGCCGCTAGTGTCGGCGCCTAACACAAGTACTCGAACTGCCGCTAACGAGGGCAGCGGCTTTGGCCAGGAAATGGAGTGTGAAATTTTGGAACTGAGACGAGACCATTACTAGAATTTCTACTAGTAGAATCAGCATTCACAACGGTACAGATCATCAAGATTGTACAAGGATTGAGGACACGCATCAGTACACTAACACTTCAAGCGGCCATATCATATAACGATATATGCATCGACAAAAGAGGACTATGAGGAGTGTAGGGCAGCCTAGCGGTTTAGCATCGATGCAGTGACATGCACATGAGCGAGTCGTGATCGTGAGGCGGCGCAATTAGCAGAGACTAGATTCGTTTCTCCATCGTTGACGAGTGGGATCGTCTGGCTGAGTGTACATGTCTAGATGTACTGAGATTCGTCCCTCCCACAACGCAGCTAAGGAAGAGGTCTAGCTGAGCGCGGTCGGCAAGCCCGAACGGGCTCAATGCCCGTCCGATGACACAATCAACGTAGGAACCACGGTTATGATAGACGGCCTAAAACCGCGGCGAGTAAGCTTGCCAACATGTATCATAATACCGAAGCGTACAAGCCAAGCTCAGTCTCAGAGAGCGGACGAGCCTTACGGCTCTCATCCACATAAGACGATGCACGCACACGACCGCCGTGAGCGTGCGCAAACGTGTCCAGTTTATCCCTCGGTTCGATCGCGGTGATTCCAGTCGCCATCCGTATGCGTCGTCGGGAGAACAGTCAGCGACAAGACATCAAGCCCAGAGAGTATACTGACCGCATGACCCCCATGAAGTGGTAGTTCCGTGTGATGCACTCAGATGATTGTCCAACCGCCGGCAGCCTTCGGCGAAGATGCCATAACTTACTACAGTGCGATTGAACGCGCCGTAAGGACATTGTCACCCGTGCACATCTTGACAATGACGGCAGGCCGTAAACAGTCCGCGACAGCATCCAGAACACCCTCTCTGAAAGCGTCTTCGATACCCGTGATCGCGATGAGAGTCATATCTTGCGCCAAGTCTTCATACTCGACCTAAGGATGAGAAGGTGTGACCACATATGACGAAACCAGACGTAGTGCACTTACCTCGCCCTCCGCAGTGTATGACGCACCTGCAGGTGGCCAGGAGTCGAAGTCGCGATAGCGCATCACTCTCAGCGTCCGGCTCGCATAGGAGAGATCGTCCGGGACACGCTATCTCGTGCCAGGTCGTTCACCTCCCTCGTGTCGACGCCAGTCGACTGCGCGTCTTCCTGTAGTCCGCGCAGCTTGATTCTTTCGCGAACTTGAGCAGCGCTATCTCCGTCCTTCTCCCGACGAACATAAGCTCTTCCGTCGTCGGATCCGTGACCTCGAACGCGTCGTTTTGATCGTGGGCAAGAACGGGCGCGCGGGTATGAGAGGGGGAGGGCGTGTGGGCACAACAGGGTGGGCGTGCGGACACAAGAGATCGGGCACAAGAGGTAAGGCACAAGATGGCGGGCATGTGGGCACGAGAGGGCAAGCAGGCGAGCGAGGGAGCGAGCAAGCCAAATGCACCGACGGACGCGCGGGACGCGTAGACTGGTGCGCAAGTAAAGGCACCACGAGCTGATTGCTCGTCGAGGCACCTATTCGACCATTGTGGCTAGCAACAAAAATCGTCAATAGGTACACAAAGAAAGCTCACCTTCACTTTCTGTCCGTCTGGACTCTGCCTTCCTTTTGTTCAACACTCTCGCCCCTCGTCCCGTTGCATGCTTCTTTCTATGTACTGGGATGCGATGTTCGGCTCTGTTAGCATGACAAATGTGTAAGTACATCGAGTATGTTTGAAGAAAGTACTCCCGTTTGTAAGTAAGAGAGGGATGTGATTAATTATAGTGTGTGGGGCGCAGCTCGTAGGGCTGCCCGACTCGAAACATGTGCCCGGACCTGGGGATAACGGGTGAGCTGCGAGGGCAGGCGGGTAAACCGCAGCCCTGCGATTCCGTTGCCCCTACTGGGCCGCAGGGTAGACGCGTCGAGCCAAGAGATCCAATGTGTTGTTGCGGCGCGTGCTGCATGAAAAGGGAGTGGAGGGTGGGGAAAGCGAGAGAGGATCGAAAGCCGGTAGCCGCAGCTGGGCTTTCGAGACGACCGACGAAGTGAGCGCGAGAGAGGAGAGAGAGGAGAGCGATGCGCGCCTAATCTCCTCCTGCGTGCGTAGACTACTATTACGCAGCGCTCGTGCCTCGCGCTTCTTAGAATAACATCTTTGTCTGTACTGTACTCGTTGCGGTTACGTCATCCGCCGAGAAAATATGTAGCAGAGCAGATCGGGCAAGCCGCAAGCCGCGCGTTCAGAATGTCTCTCCTTGAGGCAGGAGGAGGAGGAGGAGGAGGGGATTACATTTAGTCAGCACGTTCGCGCGCCGTAGAGCTCGCCAAGGAGGTAGGCGTGGGGCTGCAGCGAACGGTCCGGACTGTCACGCGTCACGGTCATGGGCAGCAGTGCGAGTAACTGACAATTGGGTGAGACGACTGGCAGTTGAGCTATTATGTAAGGAGGCTGGGTCTCATCGCGAGGCCTATAACCTTCTCAACTATGGCATGCTGCGGGTACTTTTGCTGATTCGGACCTCCATCAATGAACTCGCCGACATTGGACGAGTCTCGACGTTACTAATCTCCTACGAATACCAGCTGGCCCTTGATTACAAGTTGTATTACCGGACGACTACACCAGTGTTCCCAACCATATGGCCGTGAGGGGGTCAGGGAGCCGCAAAGTCACCACTACTGCCTTCCACAGATTCGTACAGATACATAAGTACGCACCAGGATAAGCATGATAACGGACCACGTACCTCCTATCTCATGGTGCATGCTGAGTGCCGAGCCAGTTCTTGACGATTGGGAAGTCGGCCATTGACGCATCTATGATTCTGGTATATTCCTGGTCACTGAATTTTGCAATCACTATGTCGCCGCGCCATGCCCTAGCGTCCAAGAATCTCTTCCCCTTGATCGCACGAATGAACGTGTTCACGGGGAATGGCGAGCCGTCCCGCGATACGATGGGGTAGAAAGCAATGTATGGAGCGATGAATTTAGCGGTCATGCATTCAAGCTGTTCGATGGCCTGGCGCCCGGGTAAGTGAATGAGAACTTTGTTTTGAACATTACCCACCCACCTGGATTCGCCATGAACGAGGACCCAGACCCTCAGCGATGCAGTCCATGTAGAGCTCTGGGTGAGGTACGCGACCGCATCGGTAGAGCACCTCTGGGACGGAGACAGGGAATGCTGCGAGAGGACTAGTCTTGAGAGACACAAGCTCGGGGAGCCGCCCATCTGCGTGGAGGATAATGGCTTCAAAGGCGAGTATTAGATCCATGGCTGATTGAGGTTGTCGTCTTCCTAGCATAAAGGCACTACTTATCATGTATATGATACGGGATTCGGATGCGGCTCCAACACCGGCTTCGAAAGCCCGAACCACGTATACGAACCCTCCTGACCATCATCGGTGCATGCGGAGACGTAAGCGTACAGGCCGCTATCCTCGATAGAAGCGCGTATTGCACTCGGACTTCCAGATATGCCCTTACAATTCCCATCGCGTGCCCGTGCGTCTACAGCCGCAGTCATCTGGCACATGTTTGCATTATGGCAGCCTGCGCTGGTATCGTATGACAGACGGCAATACATACGTGTAGCGTGGCAATTTGTACAACCAGTCTCATACTACGACTTCTCAGGAGTCTCCGCGCCGAGTATCAATGGGAAGCACCATACGTAAACCCGTACTCACTAGGAGGCTTGACTCGCCGTCGTGGCTTCGGGCGGGGGCGCACCTCTGCTGCTCTCTGTGCCAGTGCATCTGCATCCTCTTCGCCCATACTGTACTGGGGTCCCTTCTGAAACATGGCCAATATCAGCGCCGGGAGCTACGGCTATGCCAATGAATGATCACAGACCTCTAGCTCTGAGTCGCTGACAGAAAGCCCGTCCTCGCCCCAGTCCGAAGGCACTTCTCGATAGGGATACCATTTACCTTGATGGTCACCGGCATCCAAACCCCATTGCTCGTAACCCGCAAGGCCGGCTTCGGTAGAACTCTCGAACAACCGTCGCTCGAATAGACACATACACTCTTGATCAACGTCGTGTGTCTCCGCCTCGATCGTGTTCTGCTGATACTCCCACGCTTGTTGAAGGAGGAAGCGATGCCGGTCGACGTCGTTGTGCAAATTGGTGAAGCTGGGATGCTGCAAGAACAGGCGTTTGTTGCGAGACAGGAGCACTAAGGTGTTGGCATGCCCAGTGGGGACACAACCAAGCCACACATGAACGTTGTCTTTCGCACGAGGGACCTTGCTGTATATCCAATTGATGATCTGGCCATAGTCCATCACGCTGAGGCCACCTCTGTCTGCGATGACACCGGACTTCAGCGCTTCTGTACCCAGGGGTCGACTTCGGGCATCGCGCACAGCGTTAAGAGCTGGGATGTCAAGGTCTACCGCCTTAAGGTCAAGCCCGGGACCGCAGCTCGACACATCTATCAAGTCCGCCAAGACACCGCAATGCGGCGTCAATATGCGGTCGATCTCCGGTGAGAACGGATACGAAGTAGGATTGAGCAAGAGGTCTTCATCGTCTTCGACTCGACATGCCAGCTTCCACCGCCCCAACTTTGAGAAAAGAGTATGTCAGTCGATACCGCGTGTAGGAGATCACTCACTCACTCGGATAGATCTCCGACCTCCCCTGTCACCCCATAGCTCATCCACAAGCTCGGTTTCAGGGACTAGTGCAGTGAAGTCTGGAGGACCTACGGTTTGGACAAAGATACAATGTCGCCACCAGACTACCTGCCAGGCCCGAACCACACCGCTATGGAGCTGGAGTAGGCGGACAGGGTACCAAAACTTCCCGTGGCGTGCAAGTGCACCTTTCCCAGCACTGATAGTACGTGAGTGGGCCTGCTGCAAAGTGGAGAATGGAGGCTACGAGATACTTACACCAATCGGTCGCTCACGGAGACCTGAGAACTCGCGCCTTGTTTCCTGACCGTTGTGCAGTAGTCAAAGTTTTGGCTACTAGTCATGCTGACGAAAGGTCCATTAGCAGGGTGAAAGAGATTCACGCGTGGTGCATATCCTTACCTTAGAGTGATTAAGTCGTTTCCAGAACAGATGTCGCATACGAAGGCCTCCGACGGCTTGATGCTGCTCGCCCGTCCCCTCGCTGGCACGCAACATGAGACCAATAACCGCAACACAGGCACACCACTTTGGACAGGCCGTCAATGATAGTTTCGAAGTCACCGCGCATGCCGCATCTACACCGGAACAGGGTCGGTGTACTGGTTCGACTAGTTTCGGTATCGTTGCCGGGATTATCTTGTACATCCTCGGTCTGCATCCCGGCTTCTCTGCTGGCAGCCGACTTAGCCATTGCCTGTGCTCATAGCATCGATGTCAGCGAGACATAACCACAGCAAATGTTGGATTCTTACTACGCCGGACTGCACTATCTTGTGTTCGGTCAAGACCTGTTTTCCCTCTGCACAGTTTGCACGAATTTGTGGTGTCAGCTCCCTGGGCAATGTTCGAGCTTCGTATTCACACGTCCTACTACGTGAGGGATTAACGAGCCAAACCCGATCGTTGTCCGGCACGGCGAGGAACCCAGAATTCTGCAGTGTGATCTGCGGGGGAAGATCAGGTGTACCCTGTAGAATCTGCAGCGAATGGTGACGCTCAAAGCCTAATTTTTGATGGCAGAGAAGTCTCTCTTGTGCACGTGTTCCTCCTCGTAGATGATACACAGCAGCTTGCGTACGATAGCCATCGGTAGGGTTATCATAGAGGCCCGCAAGATCGCCGACGCCGCCACTGCTTATGCACTGCTTCATACCCTTCGCCACAAGCCCGTCGTACTCCATCACATGCGACTGTCGAGAGTAATCAACGAAGCGGCAGAAGAAGTGGTTTCTCGCCTGATCATACAAGAGTCGTCCCACGAGATCGTACTGCAGCTCTGACAGGTCTTCGTTGTGCGATCCGGGCTCCTCCTTGTGATTCGGTGGGCGTAGAAACGAAGGAAAATACCATGGCATCTCCGTCACCGAGCCTACTTCAATGATAAGCATGATAGGGAGTGTGAGGTGCAGATCTGAAAATTGTGCCTGCCCCTCGCAATAGAGTGTGTCGTTGCGTGTCCTCCAGCAGGAACGCGCGCGTTCGGGTTCGCGCCTGACATCGAGAAGACGGCGAAACCACGACGACACCGAACCCCCATACTTCGTGTAGTCATGAGCTTGGAGCTGAAAGTAGAAGTCCGGATGCGGGGCCCTGATCTGGTAGTGTTGGCAGGCGTCAGATCTACCCGGCACGCCAGAGCATGAGCGCAGTGTAGCGCTGTATCCCTGAAAATACGGTTGTACACGATCTTGCTTCCTATGGGTTTCGGGGAGAAGGAGGGATTCTAACCAACCCTGCGAGTGAATGAGGCGCGGTAGATAAGCCCAGAAGGACAAGACACTCACAAATGCCGTGTCACTTGAGTTCATGGAATGGATTATTCCGCATCCGATGAGCGCCTTTCGTAACGCATCCCTCTGGGCAGAAAGAACGGTGGCGAGGTCACTAGACCGACGACCCGAGCCTATGCTGCGGCGTTGACTGATAGCTTCGTACACCCGGAATTGACGCGTAGTGCACGATACCCCTGCAAAAGAGCGCGAAAACGAGTTCCAGTCGCGCTGTACTGCCTGGAAGATCAGCTCAAGGGATGTGTCGAGCCAGCACGAGTTGTCGCGCCAAGGATAGCCTTGGCGGTGTAGTCGTGCTGCAATCAAGGGGTAAAAGACCTCTTTGGTACCGGGTTGTGGGGTGCCAGCGAAGTTTCCACGGTCTGGTTCCGACGTCTCCGCTGTATGTTCTAGCGATTCTTCGCTGTCGGCTTCATGTGGGTGGCGCATCGGTAGATCCAACGAACTTCTCGCCAACTGAACATTGTCTGATGCCATAGTATATATTTGAGCCTTGGTAATTGACAATAGGCGAACAAACCCACGTTCCCTGATGCCGTTTGACCCCGTAGCAGCTCGGGTTTGCGGCTCTTGCAGGGTCCCGGAGGAAGAATCCATTGACTGAGCATCTACCTGCCAGCGACGGGTCGGTAGCGCGGGCGTATCACCGTGGTTCGACCAGTCAACGGTGGAATGTATGAGCGGGGCGTAGGCTTGAGGAGCCAGTGATGCGGCCATGTCGGTGTCCATTACCATATCAGCAGTCAAATCTTCTGACCAAGCGTGGTGGTCAGGGTACAGCGACGCGGGCTTGTCACTGTCGATCGACGAGCCGACGGCAGGATCCATGAGCTGAGAGTAGGCATGAGGGGTCAGTAACGCCGCCATGCCGGTGTCGACCAGCATTTCAGCAGCCCAGTCCGTCGACTGGGAACCAATCTGAGGTCCTGGCGACGTACTAGAGGTGCCGCCATCGATCGGCGAGCCAATGGCAGGATTCATGAGCTCGGCGTAGGCCCGAGGGGTCAGTAACGCCGCCATGCCGGTGTCGACCAGCATTTCAGCAGCCCAGTCCGTCGACTGGGAACCAATCTGAGGTCCTGGCGACGTACTAGAGGTGCCGCCGTCGATCGGCGAGCCAATGGCAGGATTCATGAGCTCGGCGTAGGCCCGAGGGGTCAGTAACGCCGCCATGCCGGTGTCGACCAGCATTTCAGCAGCCCAGTCCGTCGACTGGGAACCAATCTGAGGTCCTGGCGACGTACTAGAGGTGCCGCCGTCGATCGGCGAGCCAATGGCAGGATTCATGAGCTCGGCGTAGGCCCGAGGGGTCAGTAACGCCGCCATGCCGGTGTCGACCAGCATTTCAGCAGCCCAGTCCGTCGACTGGGAACCAATCTGAGGTCCTGGCGACGTACTAGAGGTGCCGCCGTCGATCGGCGAGCCAATGGCAGGATTCATGAGCTCGGCGTAGGCCCGAGGGGTCAGTAACGCCGCCATGCCGGTGTCGATCAGCATTTCAGCAGCGAAATTCGTCGACTGGGGGCCAATCTGAGGTCCTGGCGACGTAGAGGTGCCGCCGTCGACCGGCGAGCCAATGGCAGGATCCATGAGCTCGGCGTAGGCCCGAGGAGTCAGTAACGCCGCCATGTCGGCGTCGATCAACATTTCAGTGACGGAGTCTGTCGACCGAGTGTCAACCTGAAGATACGGTGACGCGGGCACAATAACATCAGTGAACGAGTCGGCAACTGGACCCATCAGCTGGGCGTAGGCTCCAGGGCCCAACGATACCGCCATGTCCGAGTCGGTGTCGATCAACATTTCAGCAGAGGAGTCCTTCGACTGAGTGCCAGTTGGGAGTGGCGCCAGTGACGCAGCCGAGTCAGTGTTGAGGTCAAGTGTACCAGGCGACAAGTTCGCAGTGTTACCAGAAGCACGGTATACTTCAGGTGCTGGATAGAGGTTGTCGTGTCCGGATTGGTCTACGTGAGATAGCGGGTCGCCGGTGTCCGTTGTGAGGCGTGTTACGTTGGCCAACGGGTCGCCTGAGTCATGCTGGGCATCCAAGAAACCAGAAAACAAATCCAACATGGGCATGAAGCACCCGCCAGGCGAAGACAGCGCATACTTGGGGGCCTTCTTAGCATCATCCGCATATGAAGACCACGGGTCGGAAGTAGCGGCTTGCTCGTTGTCACGGAGCGATTCGACGTCGGAAAACGCGGCTGGCAGAGTATCGTGAACGGCATGGCTGCTAGTGGAGGCCCCATGGCTAACCTCGGGAAATGAGACGGGTAAAAATGCGTCGTAGGGACGCGTCGCCTTGTGTTCCATGTCCCTGTGGGAGGGCGCCAGCCACTGCGAGGACGTCTGGATCTCAGATTGCCCTGCAGCTGGTTCAGCTATGTCGTAGAGGCCGTTGTACTCTGCGTTCATCTTCGGCGAGCTCGAATCGTCAGGCTCGGTATCTTGCTGCAATCCCTCGGTGCCGGTAATCTCCGTGGCTGCAAGCCCCTCTATATCAACCTCCATGCCAATGTGTCGCGGGTCAAGAGGATTGCGATGCGCAGTGGCTTTCGTTCTAAGAGGAGGGTCGACGAACCTTGGATCTCTAGGTCGTCCGCGGGTGTCGCTGCATTGTTGTACTTACATACGTAGTGCGGGCGTCCGAGGCGAAACACGTGATGGATGCTTGAAAGGGCTTCCAAAGTTCCATGGCGCGCCGTTTGTCCATGGCCAGTAATAAATTCTACGTATCAGTACGATAGGTCGGTATAGCAATATCAGATCCTTCCAGCTAGAAGAACGGGTGCGTCAAGTGCATTAGCTTAGTGTATTTCATGGTACTAATTGGAGGAAGGAGGGGCCTTGTTAATGTCATCGGTGTGGAACAATGGCCGGTTGATGCAGGCAAAAATGGCCTAGCACACAGACGTGCAGCCGTCGTCATCCCACAGACGGGCGCGAACGCACAAGACTGCGGTCAGTCACACGAACAGCGCCAGGCACGAGTCTGCCTGTCTGGGCCCCATTGGCGGAGAAGTAGCGGTGGCCGAGGTAGCGGATGTAGCCATATGGGTACTCACCCCGAAGTCTATCCATTTGCGCGAGCGAGGTAGCCATGAGCGACGCATCCGCACTTCTCAACGTCGGACGTCACGGCGGGCAGGGCTTACCAGTGGCCATAGAACCTTGCGTATCCAGTCCCGGTAGTATTAAGTAACACCTTTACATCACCTCACTACGAAGCCGCCAAGTCCTCCCGCATGCACTCAGCGGTACGCCCGCCGGGCTCAAGGCCAAGCGCGATGCGGGCGTAGCCCTTGTCAGGGTCCTCGCCCGTTAGCAGCTGCCCTCTGGCTTTGCCCACGTGAGCCGTGCGCAGGGGAAGGACCTATGGGTGTCCCGTGTCGTACTCCTCTTGCGCGGTCCTCGCGGTCCAGTGACAAACGCCCCCGACGAACGACGAGCAACGGGAGGAATCGTGCGTCTCGAGCCCGTCGAGCATTGAGGACGGTACTAGGTCCTCTCCAGCACGGATAATGCGGCTGCGGGACGCGATCGCAGGTATGCCTGGATGCGTCTTCAAGGAAATGAGCATGTATGCGGGCGGCCCAGCTAATCCGCCTGTGAGTGGAATTTGATGTGGTCGCGGGGTACGAAAGCACAAGTAGTCGTCGACGTATTGTAGCACGGTGTTCAGTGGTGGCGCGGCATCGGTCTGCTCGGGCCTCGAGTCTGTGTTCGGAAGCCAACGATAGATCTCGCCGTCTATACCCCGCACACAAGACCATTGCAAGGTGACTCTAGCTGTTCGAGAGCATCATCCGGTAGGCCTAGGGGATGGTCTCGTCTATGCCGAACGCTATGTCGAAGGCAATGCGTGGTGTTGGAGGACAGCGGGTGACAGTCGCCAGCGAGCGGGCAGGACGCAGGCAGAAGGCGACAGTTGTGCTAGGCTGTGGAAACTAAACGACACGCACAAACCACAGGTGTGACGGGCTGTCAGCAGCGAAGAGCTGGGGTACGACAATATGCATGGGAAAGACGGTCCCTGGGCGTAGCACTGGCATGCATATCTGGCAACACTTTGAAGGCGGGCGGGCCACGGCGGAGTGACGCCATGCGTGCCTGTTCCAAGGCCGAGGTGATGCTGGGCCAGCCACACTACGCTTCGCGGTGTCGGAAGGCATGAGTGAAGGCGAGGCACCCGTCGGTAGATACGCACCGAAAGCTGTCTGTGATCGCCACCGACGACCGTCTCTCCGAGATCTAGAGGCGCTGCAGAGCCTTCTAGATGTCCTTCTCCGTCGCGGCTTCCAGCGCACTACACCAGAAACGTGAGATAAGGTCTACAGCAGCAGCGCAGCCATCCTTACCTAGTAGGTTCGTCAAGCAGCCGGGGGACGGAAGGAGCGTCCCGGCGATCGCCACATGCTGCCTCTCTCCCGCTCAGCCCCACGCCACGCTCGCCCATCCTGCTGTAACCGTCTAGGAAGCTCGTGATCCGCTCGGGCATACGTGCGGCCTTCGTGACCGCACCGGGCTTGCTATAACTATGCCATCATCAGCATCGGCACCTGGAGTAGAGAGCAGCCAAGAAGACCGTACCTGACGTTGTAGGCGATGCTCGCGCTGAAAACGACACTATCCTGGGGGACGACCTTGACAGCCTTGCGCAAGCTCGGCTGAGCCACGTCTCGGGCATCCTAGCCGTCAATTGAGGTGCGTCCGTAACCGCTGTCGGCCGTGCGTTCTTAGAGGTACGTGTCTCGCGAGCGGGTCGCATGAATGCACGGGCGTACTCGCCTGAATGGGTAGTGGGTAGTGGACCGTCCTGGTGCTGATGTCTTTCGTCGTGTTTGCCGACGTACTGGTCCCAGATCGATTGGGCATCAAAGGACACTGGCGTCGGGGTGGTGGCAGGGATCACTCTACCCGAAGCGCATAGGTCAACAATGACTCGTATGTACGGAATACGCACTGACCACGCTCGATAGGCTTTGAAGCGTACGTCCACGACACGGACTTCATACGGAAATGGGTGCGTCCCTCCTTCAGGTCGTAGAGACGGTAGGGCAGAGGGCGCACAGTTGACCGGCGAGCGCGACGATCGAGCCCTTAGCGACATTTAACAGGGTGCTGCCGGGCTCGGTGACCTTGCTTGCCTTTAGCTACGTTTTTCTGTTGGCTGATGAGGTACCTAGACAGTGCGCGTTAGTCGTGGGGCCAACATCATACAAGGCTTTGAACATACACAGCCGACTATTGGCCGAACTCTGGGAGTCTGATGGCGCGCGGTGGGTTCGAGGACGAAGGATAAGGCCTAAGGATGTGGCTTCAGAGGGAGAGAGCGTCCAGTGAATGGAAGCAGGCGAGCTCTGGCTGTCGGTCCCCTGCCGCTTACTGGCACGACGGAAGTCTGAATCCGGGGTTTCGGCGAAGCTCAGTCGCCGACGACGAGGTACGCTACACGCGAGACCAGTAGAAGGATGACAAGGGAGCGAGGCTGGAAGACAAAACAGGGGAAGTCGAAGACCCGGGGTCGCCTTCCTCTGGTTCCGGCCGTCGTACGAGAAGCTGACGTTCTCTGCGTTCGATGTCAGCAAATTGTTCGTGCACAGGCGGGGTTAGCGGGAGCCCACCAGCTTCTGTCCACCAACGGATGGTCGATCTACGGGTAGACGGTGCCGAGCATGTTCAGGGAACCGTAGAGCTACGCACCTAATCAGTTAGTCACTTCACCAGGCGACGATGCGCACAGTCAACTCACTGTGAGTCGATGTTCAAGACGTTGAGTGCTGAGGCTTTGCAGCGCTGAGCGTTGTACTTGACGTCGAACGTTGAACGTTGAACGGCGGATCGACCGCCCACGACCGTCCTTCGACCGTCGCTTTCCGTCTGCTAGCGCCCATCCAAACACTCGCAAGCATGGGGACGCTCATCCACGAATCTGACGCCGACCCGAGGCCTATGAAGCTTTGAGTGCCGGTGCATGTACCCACTTTTGATATAATGGATCTATCCAATGTTCCAATCAGTCTATCACAAGTTCCTCTGCCCGCAAGCGAAGCAGCGGCGCACGGTAATTACGTTGAAGTGTTAGCGCGCGTGGTATGTATGTCTCTTCGAGGAGGAGGAGGAGGAGGGTATTCCATTTAGTCACGACATCTAGACGCCTCGGCGTTTTCGATGTGTGACAGCAGTAGGAGAAAACTCACATGTGTAGGCAGGGAAATATACATCGTCGGGCGAACTAGAGTGGGACATCGACTACTTGGAGACAGCTACTCCCAACAACACGGCGACGGGCACCCTGCAGGTGATGCGCACAATGAACAGTTCGTTGTTTCTAGAAGCTTCGCCTGATACACCTGTCCAGGCCGAACTGCCAGAGAGTGGTCAAGGTGACAACTCTGGCTTAGAGACGCACCAAGTGAGCCACCGTAGCTCGTTTCACGAAGTGATCTGCATGCCCACTCCCCTACACAGCCCAAACGGCCTCCCTGGGATACAGAGCACGCTCGTGCAAAGTCATATGCTGAACACATGCAGAGAAGAGTGGAAAGTATGTCCATGCTGCTGTATCCGTCTAAGACTGACAACTAAGAACCGACGAGGCTGCTTAGCCACAGGAGGATCACACTTTGCGGAGGCACAGGAGATACTCCTTGTTCGTTATATAGATCAGGTGATATGGGCTGTCCTACACGGTGGGCGCACACGCTTAAAGCATACCACAGGATGAATGGCAGGTTCGATTCCTCACACGCAAGACGAATGAAGACGGGACTGTGACCACGACGATCGCACCGCTGCTCGTTCACGCGTCGAGCATTGCGCGATAAACACCAAAAGGTGGTGGAGTCCGCCAATGTTGTGGTGATCGTGATGCATTTACTTCACTTCAAAGTCATGTACATGTAACTTCCTTCCCCCTTCCTTCGCACAATCAGCACGAGGCCCACTCTGTAGCGCGCTGATCGCCATCTGAGTCAGGGAGTTGTCCGCCGTGGTCTGGGTCGACTGCGGCTGCAGGCACGCTACCACCTCGTCGCAGACCGTCGCGGCACTAATGTCTGAGGCATGTATCGTGTCGACGGGAACGTCGCTGCCGACCTTGCGTGCGTGGTTGCTCGCGTTCTTTGCGTGGCTCGTCTTCTTGCTCCAATGCCACCGCAAGTGTCCTCGTCGTCCTACAGACCTTCTACTTCGCTATCGATCGCGAGGTTGTGCTAGAGGGGAGGTACGTGTGGAACGGATGGCTCTTCGGGGTCGTCTGGACCTGATCCTCTGGCGTCGAGCTCGCCGCTGGCAGTGGCGTGAGTGGTCAAAGAGGTTATACGGATCCAGATGCAGTTGGTGTCTTTGAAGCTCGCCCGAGTCGATGGTGTCGGAGGAGCGTCGTAGATCGGTTCTTGATGTTAATGCGCCTTCAAGACGCGTGCGCGGTGCGCTCATCCATGCTTGCTTGGCAAACGACAACGTCCCAGCAGCGATGCAAGGTATATGCGCACCAAAGGACGCAGTCGCGGTCAAGCAGATAACACAAGTGCACCCGCCCCAAAGGCTAGTTCCACCCCCGCAGAGGCCCCGGTCCGACGGACGTACCCGCCCCGGTTCTGCACGTCCGCGTGGTCTTCACCGCCTCCACCACACGTGCGCTCTGCGGCGCGGGCGGCGCGTCTCGCGCGTACGCTCTCAGCGCAGGCTTCGAGCTGGCAAGGCGGGGGCGCGGCGCGGACGCGTGTTATGGGGGCCGTGCTGAAATTTCGGAGGCGGTTGGCAAGCAGGATAGGAGTTGTGCTCTTATCCAGGCCTCCGCTGACTGTGGTGGAGAGGCATTCAGTCACCATCGCGCGCGCAGACCCGTGAAACGCGACACCTACCCTTGGAGCATGCCTATGTGCGCGCCCCCTTGCGCGCGTCACCCGGAACGAGTTGGCATGCTGGCGCCAACGAGTTGTCACCAGCCGAGTGCATGAGCGGAAGCACGGGCGACGTAGGTGTGGAGAGCGAGCAAGGAGGGGCGAGAGGGACGTCGGGAGCTGGCGGACGTGCAGAACGCGAGAGCGGAGTGGAAGACGGCGGGGGCTGATGGGCAGGAAGACTTACCGCGGTCGTTTTGACTCGCGTCTCCTGCCCATCGACCTCCCAACTAGAAGTCCTAGTCCCTGACGTTTCCCTACTCCATCCTTCGGACCTGTCCGCTCTTGAGACATACTGGGGATCCTCTTCGCGAGCTCCTGCGCGCGGTGACACGATCGGGACGGTTGCACCTACGACCTGCAAGGTCGCCTGTGATCGAACGTCGTGCGTATGTCTCCGTACCAACTTCCCGTCGTCTCGCCCCATGCCGACTGGCGGCATCGGGAATCTGCGGTCGAGCAACTACGTCAGTAGAGGTGTACACTACGGTCAGATGCAGCAATGAGGCATAACTGACCACATCCATGCACGTTCCGAAGAGGGGACTTGAGAAGGACTCCGAGTCTATCATGAAGCAACGACATGCCGTGATGGCGAGGCGTTAAGCCCCGGGCCATCGTTAAATAGCTTGGAGGTAGGGTACGCCCGTAGGACTGGAATTGCATCATCTGCGAGACAAACTCCTCCTGGGCCGGACTGTAGGGTTCGCAACTTGGCAACTTGACGATGAGAGCTTGCGCCGATAAGTAGTCGACGGCTGCCGGCAGGAAAGCCGGGCACTGGACTGAAAGATGTCGGACATACGCAGAGAAATTGGCGCCAAAATCAGCCGCATGATAGGGGAATGAGCTACAGGGTCGGCGATCACCTTATATGACCGCCTTCCCACAAAGAATAAGAGGAGGGGGAGGAGGAGGAGGAGGAGGAGGAGGGGTTAGAGTCTGCCTACTAGTAAGTAACTAGGCTTACCTCCCAGGCTCGTGCTCCGTAGACCGATATCACATGTGCAGCGCCAATACATGACTTTCCGACTCCGAGAGCACGATGTACTCCTCTCATTTTCACTAGAACTATACACGTCACAGTACATGGCTGCTAATACACAACGAACAACGCGAGATTGGTGACGAGACACTGGGAAGAAATCGTATCTGAAAGCCCTTGATGTCTGCGAACAGACGCAAATGAGCGCATGGATCAATTACATAGTCGACGCAATAGCTTCCTCCTTACCATGTTGGCGGTTAGTGATCGAGGTCCGACGTCATGGCTTCTAAGCTAGAAGTGAAAGCGATCTCCTCCAGATGCTTCAGTCTAACTTCGAGAGCATCGACTTCGTCCTCAGCAGTGTCCTGGGCAGTGTTGTCGACGGCGGTCTGGCGCGCGTGGTGCACACATCTGATCAGAGTCCACAGAGCATTGCTGCTGTTGAACTTGATAGTGAACGAAAATTTGCCCTGCAGCCATTGCTTGGTGGCGCGGCTCTATTGGAGTGCGCGCATGAACGAGAGCCCAAAATAGTGTGTAGACTCTACGGTGCGCACCTCGGTGAACGTGAAGAAGGTGTTCTCCGTCAAGATCAGCTTGTGGAATCTGCCCTCGGCCTCAGAATCCGGGTTGTGAGCTTTGACCAATAAAACATCTGAAGGGTTGCATTCCAAATGACGTGAGTGATAGTGTGTACATACACCGTGGCACTCACAGCGGCCACTGGGGAGCTGGACGAAAAACAGGCGAGCCTTCTTGCCGTCAAGAAACTCCTCGCCTTCACGTTCGAACTCGTGCTGTAGCCCAACTTGAATGGCTTCATACGTGACACGCTCTTCGTAAGCCATGATGAGATAACGCCTAGAATGAACTATGTCAACAGTTCTACGGATATATGAAAGCAGGCATACCTTCCACTCGGACCTAATTAAAGATATCTAAACCAACCACGAGTGGGGTCGACGATCGATGCGCGGTGCGCCATGGGTGGATTCAAGTCAGTGCGTGTCCACGAACGCGGGGCACTTTATATCGAGTGCGGCGCGTATTCATTTAGTCCAAATGAGGCTTTGTATAGCAAAGAACTCCATAGACAGCCAGGTAGAGCTTGCATTGTCAACATAGGTCGAATTGTTGTCGCAGAGCGCCCGAATTTGGCGATGATGGTTATCGACATGGAGCGCGTACGACCGTACAGGGCAAGTTACAGTAAACCTAGATCGAAGGAGGAGGAGATATGGGCGGACTGTCTGTAGAAGTGTACTCGCCGCGGACGGCATGTATAAGCGATTGTATTGAGGTACTATTTGAGCACGAACTGAGTGAGCGAGGACGACGTGTGCCGGCGCGCTTCCCGGGCACTCCTTTACGAAAGCGCCTGTCGAGCCCCTCGTTCGACCACAACCGGAGACCTGCCGTCCTATCCAAACCCCTGCGCGTTCCCAGCGCCTTCGAGCGTGCACACGGTAAGTGACACAGTCCTTGGTCTCGAGTGCACACTCACCAAAAAGCCCGCAGACGAGCAGGGCTACGGCGCGTAGGCATACGCGATACGCCCCGTCGCTCGCAACTCCCGCCTGCAAAGGCCGTCTTTACCTACCCTTGCACCTACAACCCCGCCCGTTTCACCCGAGTCGGAGTGAGTAGACGTGCCGCCTGGTTACCACCTGCCCTCGCACCCTCAACTGCCAGAGACGTGCACACGGTGAGTAGAGCTCTGCGGCATTCTGAACAAGCACTCACCACTTAATAAGACAGCCCTCGCGCCCGACGCTGCTCGCCGGATCGCGATGCGTCGTTTCTTCGTCGGTAAACCGCGACCGCGTCCCAGACGAGCCAGCAAAGTATGCTGGGCAGACCGGCTGTTGCTCGCTCGCCCGCGTCGCGATGACCGTCGAGAACTCGGTCTGACGACCGACACGCACGATCGCCAATGGAGATTGTGGGTATTGGAAGATAGAAGGCTGCGTGGGAGTGCGCGCAGGTGAGTGGATGCACATTCCGGTTTCACGAGGCCGGTTCGTCGACGCCCTCGTCGAGAGTGCGACCATCCATCTCAAATTCGCGCGGGCGGGAACCTGGCGTGCCCGTTCTGAGACGGACCTGCGGCGTCTGCGGACGCGTACGGTAGGTCGACATTACGAACAGCACGCGGGAAGCTGGGACGTTTCGGCCGAGAGAAGGGCAGCATGAGTGCCGAGCTGACGATCCTTATCGACCATGTACTCACCTTCCCGGCCGCGATCGTGCACATCGACGGCTTGTCGATTTTCAGCCCGTTATCCACGCCGGACGAGCACGGGAAGCCTGCCGCGCGTGACGAGATCATTGTCGTCGTCTGGCGTTGGTAGAGAGCGCCTGGACTCTGGTGAGCAGTGCTGATTTGTCGTGACACGGTACTTGACTCACTTACTCTGTTACTCGCGCTCGCGCCTTCCGACTGCAAATACCTTCAGATCACCTGGCATGCTTGATTCCCGATCGCGCGTGCTCAGGAAACGGGAGCCGTCATCATTGGCCAACGAGCACAGCAAGTTGCGGGTCGGCCTCGCCGCCGGCTTCCACCTATGGCAGTCAACCTGACGCGTCGACGAGCAGGATATCCCCGTCGCTCGACTGTCGGGCAGCTCGGTCACTGCGCGGGGACATCGCCATAGTGAGTGACGAACAGGTGTTGGGAGATCAGATCCTGACCTCGATGGCCCGCACACGCCTTCGTCGACGCCATTGGACGGCCGTTCCGTCGCCGTTTGCCATTGGACGAGGCCTGCTTGTGCAGCGCATGAGCTTCCGGGCGCATCGAGGGACCCCAGCGCTGGCGTGTGATCGAGGACGTCCGGCAAGGCAGATCATAGGCGGCTGTACCAGGCATAGGTCAGCACGGTTAGTCGCAGCAAGGCCATGAAAGTGACGTACTCACTTCGGGACGCATGAAGGCTGTCGTCGTCAGCGATGCGCTCGCGGCGAGTCCGGAGGTGGTGGGCCGCGAGAAGGGTGATGGGGAGAGCCAACAACAGGAGCACTGGCCGGCTTAGCCAGGCGAGTGTCCTCAGCTGCGCTGCTGCACGGTGACGGATCCACCACCTGGAGAGTGGGTAGCTGGCCACCAGGATCCTTTGTTGAGCTTGCTGCGGGCTGGGTACCTGTCCGCGCGAGTCCTTCCAAGACGCCTTTGGCGTGGAAGCTGCGGGAGCCCATCCTCGTCTGCGTCCGTGCAGCGGCGACAGCTGCAGTTGTAGGAGCTTGGCGTAGACGTGGGCGAGGCGTGCTCGGCAGCCGCCCAAGGGACTGCTGGTGCGTCGCCGCATCAACGCCCGCGCTGAGGGCAGCGACGTTGCGAGTAGTGAAGGCAGTCTTGGGTTCTACGAACTAGCCCGAGAACACCCGGTACTGACCTAGCGACCTGCGCGACCGATGATCCGACCCCAGCGTGTTGCGGTTCGAACGGGCTAAGCTCAGGTCCTGAATGCACCACAATCAGGATGGATAGACATCAGAAGACCGACTCTGACTTACCTGCTGAACTTATATTGTCGCTCGATGGAGGAGGTTCCCGAAGCATCGCGGTGTCGTTTGGCGGTGGCACTGCAAACTCACAGGGATACGGCCACGTGATTGAGATTCACTTAAGTACTTAGTGGGTAACGGCATACGGCAGGCCCTGTGTGCATTCCTCTTTGTCCGATGTTCCCTCAGGCACTGCTTACCCATCGACGCGCCGTGCATGGTCAACGACGATAGGTCGGGCCTGGTCGCGACACTGTTGTTCAAGGACCCGGGCCCGATGTCCACCCATGTGCGCAAAGATGTTCTGTCAGGCCGCAGTCCCTCCCCGCATATCATGCCGAGATTGAGCACGCATCCCCCCGCTCACGAGAGCGTTCGCTGCAAATGCCGACAAGCTGGGCCTTGAAAGGACTATCGACCAGTACGCTTCCCCCGTCCTCCCCGAGAATGTAGAGTCTAAAACACGCCATATACAGGATGCTCGCCAGGCTTTTATGACATTGTCGTCTGGGTACTTCGTCCAAGGCGATGATGATACGGTTCTGCTGTCGGTCAAGCAGCTCGTGGACTTCGCAGCGAACATTCTCCGCAGGATGTACTCCGCCATTGACCGGTTGCCATCCCGTATGTCTAATCTGCTCGCGCACTTACCCTCACCATCTCTTACCGCCCGTGTGCTACCTGCCTCACTGGGCACTGGGTACGAGCCTCCTGCGGCTCGCAGTTCATCGATGCGGCAGATTTTAGCAGATAGCAAACGGCGCAGGGGACCTTGCAGGGCGGGCGCAGTTCAATTTTATCGCCTTGACTGTGTAACAGGTACGTGCCCTCCCCAGCCCTCCTCACCTTTTCTCTTTCCTGTCATCACACCCTCACCCAGTGACCCATCCACGCAGTATGCTCCCGCTCACCTCCTGCCTCGCTTCCTCGCCGCGATGGTGCACTCTCTGCCGCCCGGAGACGCGCGCAAGCGGAGCTCGATGGCGTCCTTGTGGGAGTGGGAACCCCCATGCTCGCGGACCACCCCGCACTGCCGTACGTCTGCGCGATCATCCTCGAGCGTGCTTCCACTACGAACACCTGTCCAGCCGTCAAAGAATCGGCAGTGGAACCAGCGGGTACCATCGAACGGCAGTGTGACCGCGCCAGAGGTGTATGTAGCCTATGCAATTTAATCGATTGCAGTGTACTGTACGTTCGTCGGGCGGGCGAGGTATCAATAAACTGTAAATAAATCGCGCGTTATCTTTGCATGAGCATGGATTGTGTGAGAACAAGGACTTTTTCGGAAAACAACAGCAACTGTTCGTAACACACAGTAATAGGTGGTTTAGAACACGACTCGAAGGGAGTGGGCAAAGTATTTATGAGACGGTCAGAGGCCATTGTTGTCGATTACTGTCGCTGGGTGGAACTCTAACGGGTAGCAACAGCTGGTAATCGTGGATAGTCTTTGATTGAGTGCGAACGGCGAACCATAGTCTCGGAGCGAGGTTGGTAACTCGCGAATGGTGTTATATACGATCGCGACCTAGACCCCCGAAGGTGCAGCACTCGTTTCGGCGGCGTCCTACGGTCAGTCCGCATGCCCGCCGAAGCAGTCGCATCGACCCCTAAGTTAGCTCCAAACCGACTATAAGACCGTCTCGATATCAGAGCTCAAGTGTCACCCTGATGGCTCTGAGTCTGACTTGTTTGAGGCGTGTTCGCTTTCTCTTGGTGCACGCGCCGCTAAGGTGTACGGCGCGCAATCCACAGTGATAGGTGACAAAGGAATCCAAACGGCGAACTTGGGCAAAGTCATACATGTTTAGAGGAAGACACGCGTTACAGAGGTTACAAGGAAGCAGCTGGTAGTAGTACAAGGACACGGCTCACTAGGTGCCACGGAGCGGGGTCGGACGTCATTTCTTTCCCATGAGACATCCCAGCATAATTCCGATGGCCGCGCCAAAGAGCACGGGTCCCAAATACGGAAAGAGTATTTGGTCGGAACAGTCGGAGGTGTTCCTCCCATCGGAGCCGTCGTGCACTTCGTCAAGCGTCTGTTTACCATCATGATTACCGTAATCGCGGGGCGTTGTGTTCGTGGGACCCCCTAGAGTTTGGGCAAGCGAACCCTCCAGACGTACGACTTCCTGGGTTGCGCGGTCTTCCTGTGCTTCCTGACGGTCGCTAACCGCCGAGAAGCAAGAGATGCAGGAGAAGAAATCCGCATCCGTCACGAATTGAGCGTAATACCAACTTTCTCCTGTCTTCCACTTGACCGTGCGGAGGACCTGTAAGCAATACTTCATTGCGCGGACTCACAACATAGGTCACAGGTCTTACCTGAAAGGCGACTATCCTCGTGTCATCTCCCAGCACCACGTACTCGAAGAGTTCCCCCACAACACCGTTCTCCCGGCCAGCAATAACGACTCATGGCAGAAGTGATCAGTGCTCGATGAAGATGAGAAAGCGCCATAACAATCTCACATTGTCCCGTGGGCAATTGGGCGAATACGAATCTCGACGGACGCAAATCTCCTTCGCTCTCGAACAGCAATTCTTCGCCAAAGCTGATATCCTCAACCGAAGTGGCGAGCAAGACGCGAATGTGCCTAGACGCCACCACCAGTCAGTTCGACGAGAAGAGGCGTTGTGTGCGTGAAACCTACTGCTCTGGGTCCATGGTGTGTGGCATGCCCTTGAGGGTGAGTCGAGCTGCCGGCGTCGTCTTCAAACCTGGCAATCCCTGGGTCTTTTATACGGTACGGATAAAACAAAGACAAGCGAGAACAAAGACGAAACGGTGCTGTCATGGCTTTCATTGCCACGTGGGATGTGTGGACAATGTAAAGGCGTAAAGGTGTCTGTAAACACTCTCGGGTCGACCAGGCGTGCGCTGAGCAGAAGAGCATAAGCGCACATTTGTACGAACGACGTGATCAAGGTATCAAAATTATACATTTGGACATTCGCAAAAATAAGCATGGGCAGTATGCTTCAGCTCAAACCGCAAAACCTGCATCACTCCAGCTCCAGATCGTCCGCTGTAGGTAAGAAAAACCCGTCCCAAATAGTATTGCCTCCGTGTGTCTCGCGATTAGACTTCGCTGGATTTTCTTCTCCGAGCGCATCAGCGACAGCCCATACGACGCTTCTGAGAGTCACATCTTCGGTCGGCCTCGTCTGGACCGGCTGTCTACAGATCGGACATGTGTACCGCGGAGTAGGATAGGCGGCCAGAACGTTAGCGAGTTCTGCCTTGGCGCGCTCACGATCCGCCCTTGGCACCTCGGGGTTGCGAATGGCGTCGCGGTAAGGCTGCAGGTTCGGCCATTCCAGCTGCGGATTATGGTGGAGGTGTTGCATCAGCGCCTCGCTGAACCACTCTCGTAGGCATGCTTGGCATGCTGTATGGCCACAAGGCAGACTGTGGATAGAGAAGGCGTCAGGCTGTGGACAGACGGCGACATCCTGAGGCAACAGACGTACGCGTACGGCAGCCACAGCCGGCAAGTACATATCGTACAGGTCGAATCGCTTTGCAGAGCATCGACCAACCCCTGAAAACACGTTATGAATTAGAGAACGAAAGGGGCACCATGCGAGCGCTTACCTTAGCGGCCGCAACAGTGCCCTCGCGCCGTCGTGCGTCCCCTTGTAATCGTTGAACTTCCTCCTGTAATCGTTGAACTTCTTCCTGCAACCGTCGGACTTCATCCTGCAATCGCTGAGTTTCCTGGGAGGCTTGATTAGCGACTCAGTAGTACAGACGGTCGTACCGCTTGTGAGATTGCGGTGAAGCAGAGTACGCAGACGCATACCTGTTTTTCCACCCTGTGTTTATGCCCTTCCGCAACGATGAGTTGCAGGCTGTCCCGTTCCTGCAGGCGTACACTGAGCCCAGCCGAGTTGGGAATACAAAGCACATTACCTGAGTCATAGAGGCCAACTGTTGTAACAACTCATCCGACGTTGCGTGAGCTGTGTCAAGCTCGCGCTGCAACGTAGCCCTGGCACCCGACACGGCGACGAGGGCTTCTTGCAGTGCTTCGTTCCTATCGTTTGGCGCATCACGCTCTTCGGGGACGCGCTTCGCTCTGTCCTTGGCCGTCGATGAGCCTGGCCGGGCTTCAACTTGCGCCACGTTGACCCTCAGACGCTTGCCGGGTTTCGAAGGATTTTCAGAAGGGACCTCGCACGGCTTCGCCCGTTGCAAAGGCTCGCGCTTGTTTGCTTGTGGCACAGGTGCGCGCTTGACGCTAGAGCCGTGACGAGCAATAGCGGATGCTTGAGGCGGTTCAGGCACCCCGAGATCGTCGCCCGAAGAGATGCTGATGACGTCTTCCTCAGAAGGGCGGCGGCGGCTGACGCCCGGCTTGTTGCTCGAGGCCATAATCAGCAGACGGAGTGGAGGCGGTCTTTGGAGAAGGCGCACGGCTTCAGCACAACAGGGCGTATTTATCCAGTTGCGACTCGCATGAACAATGCCATCCCTCTGCGCACATGCATTGTTGGGGAGGTCGACGGCGGCTGACGGCGGATCTGGCCCCATTGACCCTCGTGACCGCCGCTGCACCCGACGCGGGGACAGCACGTGACCGAGAAGCTGAGTGCCAGGCAGCGCAACGTAAAGCGACGGTAAACAGAGACAGAAAAGCGCACCGTCTGAGGGTCCTCTGTTTGAACTTGCACGGTGAACGGCCGAAGCGAAAGTAGCTAAAAATTGAACGCGCGCAAACAGCCTCTAGCGAAGCTAGACAAGCCCAGCCATGTCAGCACTACGAAGGCTGAATCAATGAGGCAGGGAGGGCCGACGCGGACGGATGCCAAAGGCAGGAGTGGAGAAGTGCAATGGTCGCTGCGGATCTTCAACAATGATTAATGAGCACGCAGACCAACAGCCCATTCCCACCCTCCTCAACCCGCAGCTGCCCCGCGGCATCACAACGCCGTCCGTGAAGCGTACGTCCACGACACGAACTTCATACGGAAATGGGTGCGTCCCTCCTTCAGGTCGTAGAGACGGTAGGGCAGCGGGCGCACAGTTGACCGGCGAGCGCGACGATCGAGCCCTTAGCGACATTTAACAGGGTGCTGCCGGGCTCGGTGACCTTGCTTGCCTTTAGCTACGTTTTTCTGTTGGCTGATGAGGTACCTAGACAGTGCGCGTTAGTCGTGGGGCCAACATCATACAAGGCTTTGAACATACACAGCCGACTATTGGCCGAACTCTGGGAGTCTGATGGCGCGCGGTGGGTTCGAGGACGAAGGATAAGGCCTAAGGATGTGGCTTCAGAGGGAGAGAGCGTCCAGTGAATGGAAGCAGGCGAGCTCTGGCTGTCGGTCCCCTGCCGCTTACTGGCACGACGGAAGTCTGAATCCGGGGTTTCGGCGAAGCTCAGTCGCCGACGACGAGGTACGCTACACGCGAGACCAGTAGAAGGATGACAAGGGAGCGAGGCTGGAAGACAAAACAGGGGAAGTCGAAGACCCGGGGTCGCCTTCCTCTGGTTCCGGCCGTCGTACGAGAAGCTGACGTTCTCTGCGTTCGATGTCAGCAAATTGTTCGTGCACAGGCGGGGTTAGCGGGAGCCCACCAGCTTCTGTCCACCAACGGATGGTCGATCTACGGGTAGACGGTGCCGAGCATGTTCAGGGAACCGTAGAGCTACGCACCTAATCAGTTAGTCACTTCACCAGGCGACGATGCGCACAGTCAACTCACTGTGAGTCGATGTTCAAGACGTTGAGTGCTGAGGCTTTGCAGCGCTGAGCGTTGTACTTGACGTCGAACGTTGAACGTTGAACGGCGGATCGACCGCCCACGACCGTCCTTCGACCGTCGCTTTCCGTCTGCTAGCGCCCATCCAAACACTCGCAAACCTGGTTCCGCTGCGGTATAGGCAAGGTGCAGGTATACAATATACAATATAATTACAGCCCTTCACCTCATTATTTCTTCCCCTCCGTACCTGCCACAGCGACTCGAGCCCGCGCCTTCGTGCTTCTCGGCATCTCCTCACTCTTCCGGCGGCGAACTAGGTTTTCTTCTCCTCCAAGTCCCTTCGTACCCATGTACGTCCACGCCACTGATATTGCTATGCGACGCCGCCATTTTGTTGCGTCTGAGCTTTGTGCGAGTTGCCAGGAGAAAATGTCGTCCGAATTCACACCCAAGTGGCAGGTGACTGACCTACATAACGATGCCATCAGTGCGTGTGCTACGAAATTATTGGCTCCTTGCTGAGTTGGACCTTCCTCCAGTTACCACCGTCACGAGAAAGGCTTAAACTTTTGCACGTCGAACGTCGAATATTTCGTTGAACGTTTGAACGTTGAACGTTGAACGGTGAACAGTCCACGTCGACTCCACGACTGTCCCCCGACTGTCAGTCTACTAGCGCCCATTCAAACACATGCAAGCATGGTCGAACCGAACTGACGCGTTGGTGCCGACCACAGCGGCTGATGCCTGACCCAAGGGTCGAAGGATTTATATACGCCTACATATGCATTGTAAGTACGTCATGATCAGACTATTTTCCCATAGGTCGTCAGATGCACCGGCAGGTGTCTGCTCACGACCCTCTGTGCGACCTCAGAGCACCGTATACTGTTATCCAATCAGCGTCCTAAAATCGGCGTATTCAGAAGTCGTTCCAGCCTCCCCCGTGATCACTGATAATGCGTTCTCCATTTAGTTCACAATGCGATCCGTTGCCATACAGGGCTTCGCGATCGGTGGATTAGACAAAGGAACAGGTGAGTACGCCGATATAAAAGGCCTATAGTCGCGCATGGGCACAATTCGTGCCGTTCATATCACCGCATCTCAAGCATTGATGGACCAGGTCAGAAGCTCAGTCCGCATCGACATCGCTGAGCCTCCTTGGTGCAAGTGGCGTATATCAAGAGAGCTGACTCGGAGGAAAGAATCTTCAGATGAACAGTGCGCTCCATTTCCGTGATATGCTCAAGAATGACCGAGCTGACTATTGTCAGGTTGTTTCTCATCATGCTATACGTCAAACGCGCAACGTTCGGTGCAATGGCTTTGTACCAGGCAGATCAAGGTAGCGAGCCCGATGACTTCAGCACGAAAGCTAGCATCATGTTTGTTCGCCTGCCAAGTGGGTCGTGTGAGTAGAAGCCATATCTGCACGCAAGTTGACGCAGGTTGTGACGTCCTTTGTTAGTCGTCTTGATGATGAAGGTCAGGGAGCCCGTGTCGGAGACGAGGCATAGATTTTATAGTGTGATATTAACCGCAGACGTCTCGTTCCGATTTGACGAGGTACGTCGTGTATAGCCTGTGTTGCGTTGGTTCCCATCTGCTCAACCGCCCCTCAGGGCCCCCCGTCCATGCAATGGCTTCAGCATGACACCTCGTTCACTATTCAATTCAGCAACTCCGAGGAACTGAGAGCCTTGGTGCAATGCATCCTGGTCGCACGGGCCAACGAGACCACAAACGCAAACGACGTCACAATTGCTCTGCATGAAGTCAATGCCCTCCAGGCACAAATCAAGTGCAAGGGAGAGGCAGCATTTGTGGCTGCCGTGGAAGCCCCAGTGTCTAGCTGAACCCGATCCGAGTACGTCTCTACTGTACCCCGAGGCGACATTGCCAAGCATACTGACTGCCGTCCACTTTCGTATATGCCCTCTGACGGCCAAAGATAGCCATGGTTCCCCTCTGTTACGTCATGATCTGCGTCCTGCATATATGGTAGCAAATAACAGACCGTTTGTACACCACTTAGCTACCCACGCACCTACCAGGTCTCCATGAACATTATAGCATTGCTGCTCCGGCGCCGATGCAGGCCTTTAAGAACGCCTCGAATGAATTGCGCTGCCTGTTCAGGCTGTTGTGAGATGTCTATCTATATCCAACCAAGTAAGGCTCAGACGTGCATGATTTAAAAGGAGTTCAATAACATCTCAGTTTTACACGAGATCTTTAAGTTAAATGGAACTTTCAATGACATCTCGGTCGTGCGATGGGCAAGTACAAGAGACATAGGATATCAAAGGTCGAGTTCTACAGACAAAGACATACTGAGGGGGATCCAGCCGAGAACTATGCACAATTGTGCCCTGGAGGCGCAGTTTCCGGGTGGTCCAGCATGGTATTGCTCGAGGAGCTTGGGCCCAAGAGAAGCAACAGGTAGGCTCGTTACGGAAGACGTCGGTAAAGAGCCCCGATGATGCAGGTAGACTGTACGCCGGAAGCGGCACAGAATAGTCGATCTTGCCGTCCCCGTTCGCCTCGAAAAGCCGCGAGTACGCCGGGAGGGACGGCACATACGGCAGGCTCGCCATCGGGAACAGTGTTTTGGCCAACTGACCCTGCGGCTTCATGCCATCCATCGAGAACGCTTGTGCATGGCCCGAAAGGTAGGCTAGCGCGGTCGGCGAAGGCGCGTGCGCTGGATGCGCGGAGCGCACGGGACGCTGAACTGCAACACCTCCGTTGCGCGCTCCGGCTCTTCTACCCCGCCCTCCGACAAATTGTATGTGCAGGTCATCTTGATGCGCAGCCTGTGGCTCATGACGAAGAGCGGTTTCGTTCCCGTCTCGCGAAGGAAGTGCGTACCGGTCTTGGAGCTCCGGTGCGTGTCATCGAGAGGGATGTGCGTGCGGAGAGAGAACGATGTCGAGGTGTTCTCGGGCGTGGCGTCGTCCTTAAAGACGTAGCCATCGCCCGAGAATGAATTGGTCGAAGGAGCTCCTGGGGAGGTGCGACAGGGTGGTGTCGTGCGACGGAAGAACGACTGCCAAGCTGACGTCGTAGAAGGCATGAGCGGCGCTGGGGCGAGGTCTGCACGGAGGCTGCTCTGAGGATGGAGGAATGGGAAAGAACATCTGGTAGAGTGAAAAGGGCGACGAAATGTGCGCATACAATCAGCTTCTTTTCAGACTCAGGACGAGGGTACGTATCGACACTGTTCCGACTGTTCAACATCATCAGAGATATTTATCAGGTGAACGCGTTTTCATTCTGCGTCCGGGAGATCTTGCATGCGAAGACATATACAAAGAGGCAACGATGAGTCCTCAACGCCGATGTAAGTAGCCTGAGATTCCCGAGCGTACCTTCGACATAAGATGCGGAGGAACCTTGGATGCAAGCAGTCCGAGGCTTGACCTGAACGCTGCAGGCAATGGGAGGACAACTGTCCTCCACGGAGAAGTTGATGTAGTGGTCCACAGTAACGGGGCTCCTGAGCGCGGAGACGACATGAGAACGGGAGCGGAACGACGAACAGCAGACCGAGAATCACGAACGATTGTGTCGTCGTCAAATGTGAGGAACTGAGCAAATGCATAGAGCACATAGCGTTTACCCTTTCCCTCCGGTGGCCACCATAGGTCGCGGAAGCTGAAAGCTAGCCAGGAGCGATGAGATGTATGCGACGTTCCAGACGCAAGGCTTGTTGTCCTCTTCATGCCCTTCGTTGCTCAACTCGATGGCCTGACCGGCGAGAAGCTTATTCAAGAGACTGTAGGCGCGGAACGGGATATAGCCGGTGTCCTCGATTATCAGTTCAAACTGACCCTCACTCACCATAGTGAAAGCCGAACGGATTGGCGACGTTTGAGAAAGATGAATGGGGACGAAACGGAAATGTCAATGTCTCTTGAAAGCGAACACGCGGTGCTACAGCAGAATTTTATGCGTGAGCTACATATCCCGACATGTCTGCACAGAGGACTCACGATTTGTCCGGCTCGCCGTATATGTTCAGCGAGGCCGAGTGTGGCTGAATCTCTATCGATACAGACATGTCGTTAGCGGCGTTAAATTTGAGGCAGAGGCATAGAGGGGGTGTTCGAGCGACGGCCGAGGCGTAGAAGCTCGGGGCATGGAGGGCGAGGCGGACGTGGCATATACGCCTGGGGCTAGTCTCGATCAGATGTTCATGTTAGGGTTGACAGCTGTCGGTGGAGATCGAAACACACATATCGCAGCCAACTAGCGGCCGAGTGCTAAGTTAGCAATATGGAGAGTGACTTGGACGGCGGATGGCAGACGTCTCGCTGCCTCTCGCGCGCCGCGTCGCGACATGCCCGTCCTCGGATTAGCGGGCCGGGCAACCGTAGAGACTTTCATTCACAAAGTGACAAACTAGCTACTACTAGTACTTACTGCTAGGTTGCACGTTCGGCGAGGGGCACCAGAACACCACGATGGAAAGCACATGAACCTGCACAAATAGTTGCAGTCCGCGTGCTGAGCGCTGACCTCCCCCTACGCCCGGGTCCCAGTCCCTTTAGATTAGGACTATTTCAAAGGCCTCTGACAGAGCTCCTCGGCGACCTAGTCCGTTAAGATGCTGATATTCAGGCTTCAAGCTTCAATAATTCATTCTTCACGAACCCTGATTCGATTTCTTGTTTATAAGATCGTTCTCTACGAGCGACTCGACAGCGTTCATTCGGTGTGACGCTCTTCTCCGTGTGACTGGCCAGACTGCCTAATAGGCCCTAAGGCTCTGCATTAGACGCTGAAAGTCAAAGGCCTTATCGACACCTCCAGCCAGCACGACGTCGACCAGCGTTGTCGCAATATGCAATACACAATGCCAGTGGACAAAAGAAAGGTCCTTCTGTATGTACTATTGACAGGCTGTGCTGCTACAAGGGGCTTAACAACACTGATACAGACAGGCTATTATTGACGCAGCACTAGCGTACGAGACAGTGACTTGCGCACCAGACGACAACAACAGTGGTGTCTTACATGGAGCTTCTGCGACGCAACAGAACAGTGGGTTTATGTCTTGGTACACAAGCAGAATCAAACTCACAGCGTATCAAGCACTGTTGGTGAACATTGATGATCTGAGTGTAGAAGAGCTCCGCTCGAGGCTCATGCAAACAGAGGGAGAGAAGGAAGATTATCGGAAGGTTGTCCTCATCCTGCTCCGTAATACTTGTGCTCTCTACCAACTCTCTCAGGAGGGATGTCGCCAGCCGTCCTAGTTGTTGTCGATGAGTCAATAATGCTTGCCCCATTCCCATATCCCCAACTCTGCCGCTTTCGTCATCGCTTCCGTCTACACAATGCTACGAGCTGAATCATTTGCTATTTGATATATTTCCACTTGAGTCTCGCATTTGGCCACCCCCAGTTCGTAGCCTCGAACCCTCACCAATGACTCATAATTCGTGGCAATGTTTGCTCCTCTGCAGAGTGTGTTTTGTTGCCGTGGTGTTGTAGGCCCGTTTCTATATACCTCTTTGTAGCTGACTAGGGCCATACAGTGCTCTGTAGTGCAGGAGTCCTACTGTAGGTACGTTCTCCGGCACTCGGATGTGCCTGCACCGTTAAACCGTTCAACGAGCACACAGCATACATACTAGTACAGCATCGTCACCTCGCGCAGCTCGTGACGTTAACGCTCAACGTGAACTCTAGCCGCCGCACCTGTTCCTCGAATTGGTCTCGCAACTCGCAGGCCAACTATGCAATATGGGACTTGCACGACGCGCGACGCGCGTGTCAGTCCAGAAAATTAGAAACTACCTCACCGCAACTGCCTCGCCGCCGTGCACCCGTGTCGCCCGCCTACGTCCCTGCCGCGTCCGCCACGCCTGCCCGCCTACGTCCCACCCTCGTCTAAGTTGTCTTCCTCATGGTCATGACCCAGCAAACTCCAGCGATAGCCGCCGGAAGGTGCTGCTTTACACGAAGCCCACCTCGTCTTCGTCGTCGTCGTGTCCGTGGCCTTCCGAGCCCTCCTCCGTGTCGCTCATGAGTTCCTCAGCCAGGCGCGCCTAATGGTCTCCCGGATGGTCGTTCCGCACCTCCATCCTCGCCGTCCGAGTAGTCGAGCCCGTCGTGCTTTCGTGTCTCATTCGTGAAGACGTTGGCAAGAACGCGCTGAGATGTGCAGTGGGTGGGTGCAGCACCGGGGCAGACTACTACTAGTAGACCTCTCGGTACACCATCATTTACGTAGATATCTAGCCTCCCTTTAATGTTACATTGCTAGCCTGCCGTTCATAGACGTGATACACCAAGTTCTAGAGCCCAGACCATCGTCGCCGGCCGGTTGCGTCGGGGCGCCACTATGATTCACCCTCGCCGAACGGGCGGGTTTTCGATCGTGGCGACCTGATAGTGATGCCAAACCGGTAGAGGAGATGCTGGCTAAGGCTTTTGGACACACGGCGTAGACGGCGGGAGAGGTTCACACAATTGCTGTAAGGCTGGTGTAGACAGCCACTCTCGATGCGTGTTGCGTACAGGTTGCGTACAGGTCGTATCTATGCCTAGCCTACGTGACAGTCTCAATTACACCACTGTCGATCGATATCGGTGATACACTATTGCACATAGAGCGCCACGACGACTATTAAGATCACCCCACTCATACATATGACCGCGTTGAACGCGATCCAGCCATCGTTAAACGCACCATAGTCCATGATCGCGTCAAAATGGTGCTCAATAGTCGCGAGCTCATCCATGACTCCGGGATCGAAGTCCTGGCCGGCTTCTTCTTCTTCCGCTCGTTGCTGGAAGCACCGGATCACCGCCCAGAAATCGACGCGATCGCGCAACTTTACCTGGCACCACCGCAACTGGCCTTGAACGACATGGCTCCAGGCAACAATAAGAAGTTGCTATTGAGCCCGGCCTCGTGAACACACAACAAGTCAAGGTCAGAGGCGAAATCCTCACCTCGCTCGCTGCCACTGCAGTTGCGTCACTGAGGAGCATGCTTGGACTGCCTACCTCCGGGTGAATGACAATCGCAACTACAAGATCAATGAGCAGACGTGTTCTGAACTACCCAACACCTACTCACAGTTCTCATCAGAGAGCTGCACGAACAGCATCGAAGTTGGTGTCTCGCGATCGACTAGTGGGAGGGTACGAGGCGGGTGAATTTGCTTGAAGTCCAATACGTCTCCGGCAAAGCAGACAGCTGTCCCTCTATGTCGAGAATACTGATCAGTGGCGAGAGCAGGCAGGAGAAACCAAATGCTGACAGTGGGATGGGCCGCGGAGCGCCGAATAGGTACCAGCTCATGTACAACACGTAGCCTATGATGACTCTAGTCGCGTCGCCTTCCATGGGAAGCAGAGACTGTACAGCGGGGTAAGAGACGTATGAGGTCTCGATGCGAGGCATGGCACCCCAATATATACGCACCGTCACTCGTTACTGGAACAAAGCAACAGCAGGAACAATGCTTGACAACTTTACCTTTCATTATCCACTCGTCGCCACCTAAGCACCCAAAAGCCTGTGTCGGAGGGGTATAGGAACCAACAAAACGCGTGAAACTCCTGCTGCGGGACGGTCGACGAGTAGGAGGTGGACGTAGGGCCGGTGCGATAGACGGCGATGGTTCTAGTAGTGTTTAGGCCGCCAAATACAAAGGGAAGCTTAGTATGCTCGATACGCGACCCTGATGCGCTCCTCTCGACTCGCTGCCCGGCGTAGTACCATGCGCACGAAACCGTCTTGCGGTAAGGGCACGAGAGTGATATGAATTTAGAGAGGACAGAGAGATGCCGGAGGGAGGTAAAAGTCCGAAAGGAAGTGTGGCACAGCCGTATGACATCGGATCGGGAAGGCATGATGCTGGAATAAGAAAGTTTTGTGCAACAAGCATGAGCGCTGAGCGTTGCAACGTTGAACGTTGACGTTGAGCGCTTGAGCACCCATCCGGGCGACGGACGATCCTTGAGTCCCCCTACGGCTTTGAACGGTTTTCAGTGGACCATACATAGCCTCGGCGCGAGGCTGGTAGCCCACAGACGCGCTCGTCTTGTCCTACGGTCGGTCCGCGTCTCCGCTTTCCAGGTCGTCGCGAGCGCGCTAGTAGAGTTGATGTCGCAGTAGTGGTTCGTGTCGTGAGGCAGATAGCCGCAGGATAGAGTTCGAAAACGCGAAGAGGGGCCAAGTCTGACGTGCGACAGTCCTCTCCACAACAGCAGAGACTGTAGAGTTAGCGTAATGAGCCCGACAGGCATGAATTTACGTTCTCCTACATTCGATGACACGACTTCAACGACACGGCGTCAACGATGTCAACCCCAAATCTCCAAGGGCACGCAGGTGACTCGCTGCCGACTGAGAACTCAAGGCACGAGCTTGAGGCCGCATAGGCTGAGATCTGAGAGGTGAGTGAGACTTCAAACGAGCAACCGAGCCAGTGTCGAGCCGGAACTCACAGCAGAACTTCTGTATCAGAGTCACTCGCACGGATGATCGTTTGTCGCATATGCGCAACACTGTTGCTCCGACTCATGCTCTTGAACTCGAACTATCTGTCGGGTACATATGGGGATCAGTCCGCCGTTGAGCTGACCGATTGCGTCGCGCGCCAAGGACGCCGACCGCTTCCTAAGTAGCTCGAAATCTGTGTCAGCCTCTCGCACGTGGCCAGGCTCGCCGTAGGACGCTCCAGTTCCGGTCTTGCAGTCGTATCTCGCCTTCACTGGCAGGCGCGTGCGCTTGTGATAGACGGTCGTTGATATAGACGCTCGCCGCGTTTATCTGCACTGAGATTCGGTTGTTGAGTCGTGCTCGGTCGATCTCAAGAAATATTGCTCGTAACGTTCACAACAAGCGGACTTACTGTATATCACTTGATCAAACTCAAGGTTTGATCTTATCGGTGTGCGGGATGGACGAGCAGGACGGCAGGCGAGCGAGACGGCGGACGAGCAGACCAGCGGGCGAGGGACAACGGAGTCGGAGTAGGGCAGAGCTCGGGTCTACCCGCGGATGTCCCGGCGTGTACCCGTACTCGTACCCGCCCGATTACAGACCCGCCGCAGCGGGTATGGTCACGTGCAGTGGGTAGACGTGGGTTGGCGGGTCCGCGAGCACCTCCGCGGGTTGGCGCGCAGACGGGCGGGAATGCAGTAGCAGAGGGCGGCCTGCACTGCAGCAGAGAGGTGCAGCACCACGGTGTGAACCAGAGGGCTCGAGGATACTGGTGTCAACGGGGACGGCGGGCCCGTGCTCGGCGAGCGGGGCCTGCTGAACGGCAGGGCCATCTCGCGGACAGCAAGGCGGAGAGTGTACTGCGATCCATGGAACTCAACCAGCGGTAGGCTCCCGCGTACCGCGTCGGTGTACCATGCGTCGGATGGTGGTTGGCGAACGGCGGGGATGGCTCACCAAGGGCGAGTGTGGCTGATGGACCTGGGCGGGCTTGTGAGTGTCGCGCGCGTACTTGGGCGTGTTTGTACGCGATGCGCCCGCGCTCGTGCAAGGCGGGGGCAGTGGACTGTGGTCCGTCGGGCTCGCGAGGTGCGGACTCTCGCTTGCCGCGTTCGTGCTCGGCGCGTCCAGTCGCGACAGGCCCGTGCGCGGAACGCCCAGGCTCGTGGATGGCGGGGAGGGGCTCGTGGGAGGCATGGCCGCGCCCGCAGATATTGGGGGCACTCACCTGTTAAGTAGCCCTACTGGCCGCACTCTCGTGCCCTCGTTGTTCCTCTAGCTTCCCGTTAACTCCAGCAACAGGCTTCCCGCGTCGCTGTAGCTCATTGTGGTCAATGTTCGGGCACGCCCCGGACAACACGGACGTGCTGCTGTGTCGCGCGTGGCACTTCACGGGCCCGCACGGTGTGCTGTCAAGATGCTGGGAGCATCGCCAACTCGGAGCGGCCGAGACACTCGGTACCCAGTACTCAGACTTCCCTCCCCGCCCGGTGCTCTCCCAGCTCGAGATCCTCGTTGGTCACTTCTTCACCAGGCGCAAGGTTAGTACTGCAGTCGTGCAGCTGCCAGTGGGCGCCCGTCGCAGATGACGTCGCCGCCGTTGTACCTGTGGGACCGCCGCTCTCGTCGGGGAGGGCACATGAGCCCCTGGAGCGCGCCTGTGCCGTGCTTGGGGGTGGGCGTCGTTGCCGGACGGTGGGTTGGACACGAGACGGCGCCAGGACAGCGAGCACGAAGAGGCAAGAGGCGCGAGACGGAAGAGCTTGCATGCGTAGATTGAGGGCCAGACTGCAGGCGAGCGACCTTGGCTATATCACGCAGAGGGCGAACGGTCTTCGTAGAGCAGGACAGGTACAGCCGTGAGCACGCCTCAATAGCGTGGAGTCGGAATGTATGTCGCAAAAGGACATCGCGAGGCTGAGATGGACCAGACAAGCCTCAGGCTCGCGGTTACTAACGAGGCGTGTCGCTCGTCCTGGCAGAAAACGAAGTACTGGTGCTAGACGGTGATGTCTTCCTTGGATAAGCGCAGCGTCGCGCTTCCGAGGCGCGGTAGGTCCGGCTTGCGCATGATGCGGCGCAAGGTCAGGCTACCGATACCGACACCTTCAGCGAGGCACCTTGTGAATAGGATTGAGCACACGTACCGAGACGAGCTTTGTGGCGTTACTCCAGACGTTGTCCCCATTAGTGCACCGAAAGCCGCGGATGTCCACGAGAATGTAACCTATGTCCTGTGCTGTTTCAGTGTTCCTGCGGAGCTGCTCAACCAGGAGCGCGCACTTAGCTGGGTTCAGCTTCAGCGTCTTGCTGCGGCGTATCCAGTTGAGGTCGTCCGGCGTCGCGCGGGACTCCTCTCGCACCCTCTCCTCTGGGTACTCTCTGCCCGTCAGCCCAGCATTAACAGGCCGTACGTCTCGTGGATATCCAGGTGGGGGGAGGCCATTGATGAGGATGCAGAGACACTAGAGCTTCACGAGGACAGGTTGTAGAGGATGATCGTAGCGAAGGGGACAGATCTGCCTGACAGCTGTGCGTAGTACTAGTATTGCAGACTCGGGTACGAGTATGCGTGTACGAGGGGTGGTAGATGCGATGTTGTCGTCCGCATCGGGAGAACAGGAGAACAGTGCCCCCCCCGACAATGAAGAGCCCGAGTCGGTCGTGCTACGTCGCTTGTGCGACGGCGGTAAGCATCCAAGGTTCTAAATAGGAGCCCGTCGATCGATGTGTGAGCGCCCGATTGGATCGGCCGGGCGTTACCCACGGCGCGCCTCCTCGGGGTCAGCGAACCGTTCGTCTCGGTCGATGGCCGTGTCGTTCAACGAGTGAAGGTGATTCAGAGTACCTGCGCTCGTAGACAGGGCGACGCCCACGTATGGTATCCTCGAAGATAGCAGGCCGGGCGGAATGGCTCCGGTTTCGTCGCGGCAATTGGGCGGAAAAGGCGGAGGACGTCCGACGGTGAATTCGAGGCTACCCGAAAGCTGGGGAGAGGGTGAAAGGAGCACCCAATCTGCGCAGTACATTGCCGAGATGACCGCTGGCTCGAGGGAGATGGTGTCACGCGACAGGAGCTCGCAGCAGGTTCATCAAGCGCATGGCGGGAGGAAGAGACGACACCGAGCCTGCGCAAATCGTCGGTGGGAGGGGTGAATAAAACGGGCGGGCAGTCGACATAGCGTGCGCGCGTCCTGTGTTAACAAAAGAACACGGCGGGGGCGACAATGTGAACAGAATCCACCAATGCACTCTGCATGCGACCATCAGGCCCGCAGTCTACGCAATCATCGAAAACGCTTGAGTCAAACGTCGTCGTCGCACTGCCGCCAATAGATCGAGTGGTTCTGAATGGCGACATGTGTGAGCCAAGCGTTGCTCGTACCCAGTTCAGTTTCGGCGACGATTATTCACCTCATCCAAGGTCTCGCATGGCCCATCTTGTGATCGCGTCGCTCGCTCGCCTGTCCTACGCACTGCTCTCGACGGAGCGGGATGGCCAGGGTGCGGACTCGCGTGGATATAGGTACAGCCACGGATATTTGGCGTGGATGGAGCGGGTATGCAAAAGGAAGAGCGTGAGCGCGTCTATGTGACGGCTGGAGGAGGCGAGGGCGCGTGAGCAGTCGGGCGCACCAGTAACTGAATGACGCGCCCTCCGACCATCTTACATACCTTCAGACTTTGTCTTAACTCCGGTTCCCTCTGTTTACTTAGGCTTCGCGCGTGCCCGTCTGGAAGGTTAATACAGCTATCTTCGATGGCCAACGAGAGCGGTCAGGTGGAGATACCCGACCAGAGCGTCGACGACGGCTTGCTGGAGGACAGCCAGACGACACAGAGTATACTGTCCCGCGTAACCCCTAACCATCCCCCGATGAACTGCGCGGCTCACGACATGCCAAGAACTAGACCGAGACGGCCACAGATAGCGTCGATGCAGTAGGCATCGCATGAGTGTGGATCGCAGCTGAGCGGTGAACGGTCTGCGAAACGATAGGCTTAGTCTTTACGGGAGAGCAACCAGAGTCACCTAAAATGGGTCTCACCTTTACAGTGACAAGGAGCGCTCATACATGGACGACCGTGTGCATAAGGCAACGGGGAAGGGCTGGGATTGTGCCTCGTCAGACCATCCTTTGGCCTTCCACCGGACACGGACACCTAGCCAGAGGCTATCATCTGCGCGGACATGGGTGGACAGCTGAAATGTCCAGGAGTAATCCAGTCATTTGGCAGACAGCTGAGAAGGGAGACTCGCAGTGGTTAAGAGAGGCGAGGGAGGACCATGCGCGGTGCGGCGATCTGGCCAGGATCTGGCGGCGCTTGGGCTTGGTCGACCCGCTATATCTTATCACGTCATAATTTCCCTCCTCCTCCTCATGCTGCTCCGATCTCAGATCATCGACCTCAGTCAATCCTCCGACGGTGCCTGTGGCTGTCGGTCGACGACTAAATGGATCCCCCTCCTCCTCCTCCTCCTCCTCCTCCTCCTCCTCCTCAGGCCTCAAGGCTTCACAAAGAAACGGCGAAGCCACGAGGGCTTTGGGCGGCACTAGTTCGTCCAATCTCACAGAAACCAATGCGGAACTCTATATCACAGGAGGGGCCCGGTAGTGCCTAGTATCGGACGAGCTCGATGCGCTATACACTACTGAGCTACTATAACACGCATTTCGTAACTTGCAATGCCACAAACTCGCACCACAGCTAGTGCCAAAGATATTGAGTGAAGTAGGACCACAATATCACCGCGCAAATACCCAAAATGACGTAGCACGCTATGATCGCCGAACCATGGACGCCACGGGGACAAGCAGGGTGTATCAACTGCTGGTCCATGCTCTGCCGTAAAAAGTCGTGCAAAGCGACCAACTCCCCTTCCAGCAACGCGGCTTGATGAGTCGTGGTCACGTTGTTGTATTCGAAGCATCTGTTCAGCCTCCAGAAATCCGGGATACTGGTCAGCTTGACTTCGAACCATCTATCGTCTGCGACGATCCATCGGAGGCACAAATTACGCTGGAATCGGGTATCAGCGCATCAATGGAGGTGTTGCAAGATTATAATAGCACCTCGTACGCGACAACCTTCGTCTGCTCCGACAGCATCACAGGGATAGAGTCGCCGAAATCGCCAGTAGCGACTACGATAGCATCTACATCTCTCTTTGTAGACCATATCAAGAGTAAATGACGATGATGACTCACAACGACCACACGGAAGTCGCCCAAACATCAACAGCCCGGGCGTGTTGCCATCAATGTGCATATCGTTGTCGAGGCTTTGGCCCGCTTCTGTGGTCACATTGAAGTCTGTGACCGTGCCGCAGAACATGACAGTGGCACCTCTACGAAATCGCAACTGTCCGTCAGCACCTGAGACAGACGCAAGGCAGGATACGAACCGAGGGATGCCCGCCCCAGTGGCAGGAGCTAATGCGGAGAAGGCCGCCCGCATGTATGAAGGTACCGGCTTGCAAATCTTCGACAGCGACATGTGAGGTAGCGATGAAAGTTCGACGGTGGAGGCCCGACACACCCTACCTATATACATCAACAGTAGGACAGTTAAAGACTGCTTTGTGCATTGCAAGTGAGACTCGGCATACATTGTCAACAATAAGTAGACTTTTTCCAACCACGCCATGTACACGTTGTCCACGGTGAACAATGACCGCGAATGCTACTTGCCACGAAATAGAAGCCGCCATAGCGAGCATACGCCGCTGCCGCAGAGTTTGAAGAGACGACGGACGAGAGAGATCAACCCCGGACGCAGAGCCAGGGACAGGACCACAGTACATACTGTCGACGTTTGTCGAGGAGGAGGAGGAGCGAGTTCCATTTAGTCCCGACATCTAGGCGCCTCGGCGCTTTCGATGTGTGACAGCGTTACTAGATATCACTGAGAGATCACAAGAAATACGTACTTTGTCGACCAGACAACGTCCTCCGCATGTCGGTTTCGGTCATTGTCGATGCACATCCAGTTAGTCTCCCGTGGGCAGAGTAGACAATTCCTTCAACCTCCGCTGGCTCCGGATATCCTTGTCTAACGTCTGCTTTTGATACCCCCCTATTGTCTGGAGGTCGGTTTCACTCGCCATCAGCCGCTCGGCACGTCACGAGTTTGTGCAAACACGTCGGCACAACGCGCTCTGACGCGTCCGGGGCGCGTCTCTGTCATTACATTCTGATATTACATGTCTACTATGCAGTCCGCGGTGTAGCTATATCCACACTCTCTACATCTTTACAGCAACCTCTAATTATGTGACATCAGATAGCACCGAGCAGGTACATTGGATGTAGCAAAAATAGACAAGATATATTGCTGCACATACAGACTGCAAGGAAATGGACGTACGGAGCTCGACCTGGGACATGTTCAGCGGGAGATAGCCGTAGTTATCGCGCAATGGGTCCTGGTATAATTAGTTAGTACAAGACACCCCAGCACGTCGGGGCACACCTCATCATGCAAGCGTTTTCTGTGTTCCTTGCGCTGCCTCTCCTCCTGCTCGTCGTGCTTCTCGCGTTCCTGCACTCGATTAACCTTCTCCTCGGTGAACGACAGTCTCCTGCTCCCTTCCGATGGGGGCCGTTTCAACCAATGTGTTTCCGGAACCTCCGATTGATCTTGCTGACGTTGCGCAGGTGTCTTGCCTTCTGTACTAGTGTCATCGACCTCTGGGGTCATAGGCGCACCATTTGCTTTTCTGTTGCCAAATGAGGAGAGGATGCGTATGACCGTTGGTCGTCGGGCCGGACACACCTGACGAGTTGGGGGACTTGGCGCTTCGAGGGTATGGATTCACGGGCGCGGCTTTCTTGATGCTCGACATGGGTATCGACGGGGCGAGTGCAGCAGGGAGTGGGTGTAGCTGAGCAGGCGTAGAGGTAGTTCGTAGCAGGTCATAGCAGTGCGTAGTGCACTGGCAGCAAGGACGGGGGTTGAGAGTGCAGACGGAGTGCAGACGCGGTCGTGCGAGGCGACATAGTATTCCACTGCCAGTGTGAGTGTCCTTGGCGGACGTCATCGTCTCCAGCCCCATGGGTGAGAGCGCAGGCGGGCACGCGGACACGCGAATATGCGGGTACACATACGACCAAGTTGGCAGACAACGGAGTTTAGTGATGATCAGACAGGCGGGCAGTCGAGCAGACGGGTGGCACAGTAGGCGGGCTGCCAGACGGGCGAGCGCGCAGGCGAACGAGCCGGGGGATACATTTGCAGCTGGATGAGCGAGTGCACGGCAGATGAGCGGGCGTACGCGCGAGTAAGCGAACGCACGAACACACGGGCAACCAAGCGCACACGCGAGTGGGCCTCCAAGCCGTTGAGCACAAGAATAGGTAAGAGAGGGTATGGGAGAACGTGTGGGAGAGCATGTGGATTGTCGGGCGGGCATTTGAGCGGACGAGTGGACGCGCGGGCGGGCACTGGCAGACAGACGAGATTGCGGGTTAACGGTCACTAGCGTCAGTACTGAGTGGGTCCAGTAGGGGCAGACTTCGACTTTGAGACTTCGATCTCGGGGTGAGTTAGCTGACAGGTGTGCCAGAGGGCATACACATACCGAGGCAAGCGAGAAACTGGAAGAGGGCGCGCCGAGTAGGTGCAGGCGAGAAAGTGCGGGTGGGAAGGACCAGAGGCTCGGGGGATCGGACAAATCGGATGGCGAACCCAAATGCGCCATTCCAGTTAGGCCGCTACACCCCAAACTGGCTTGATGAACTATCCAGGCTGTGAAGTGCACTAGGTCGCAGGCGGGCGGCGAGGGACAAACCTTGGAACCGCTACTTGTCGCGCACACCACGCTTACTTGAATGCGTGTGTCGCCTTCTTGAGCATGCCGCACTCGATGGACGAGCTCGAGGACCTCTACGTGTCCTTATCTGTGTGCTCGTGTCCGGAGTCGTCGCGCAACGGGACGTCAAGAACACTGTTAGCACGCGCAAGGGGTGAACATTCGAACCGTTAGCTGAAAGACATCTTCCCGTGAAAGACCCCAGTAGATAGCGGTGTAAGTCGCCATCGTCGAGCTGAGGAGGAACAGTAGTGCGCGACGCGTACGAGAGCAATGCATTGTTGCTTGAAGATGCTTCCGAGTCCGCCGCAGACGGACCCGCCACAAGCTCAGCCATACACTTGAGGCTCCGCCTGCGATCCACAGCGCACATTCAGACTGCGATTGAAAATACCGACCTGTCGACAAGGGAGCGCGTCGAAAAGTAGACTAATCCAGTGGGCTCCCGCGTACTCACGAGTGTTGTCTGGACCCTCCTGCGGACGTTACCGACTCCTTCAAACCATGAGTAAACCTCTATGGGACTTCGAATTCCGCACTCACAAACATTCATGACGGTGAAGTGCGCGCCGCACTTCACAATGGCTTGTGTCACTACATAGAGAAAATGACATCTCACGTTGCCAGACGAAAGACGGGCACAGCAGCGTACCTCGCCCTTCCCTCTCGCCCTCCCCCGTCTCTCCCCCTCGCCGTCTTATCAGCTCATACGTTCAACAGTTCTTACTCCCTGCCCGTGCTCGCCGTCTTGTTAGCTAGCCCGCCGGTCTGCCGGCTTGCCCACTCACCCGCCTGCCATCGGCTTCTCGCCAGCCCGCTCTCGGCTCATCACCCACTCACTTGGTCTTTCCCGCTCGCTCGCGTTCACCCTCTTGCTGGCTCTCCTGCCTCCTCGTCTACGCAACCTCTCGTCCGCTCGCCTCGGCTCGCTTGCTCGCGGCTCCTCGCCCACCTGTTCTTATCTGCTCACCCATACTCGCATTTTCGCCCGCTCACCCACGGGTGCGAGTGAGACCGGGCAGGTGGAATCGGCGGGCGCGAGAGAGACTGGCAATGGCGACGATAGAGTTAGTTCAAAATAGTTAAAGAGGATGGCGATGACGAGGTACTTCGGAAAGAGTGCAATGTGGGAGTGTGCAAGTGAGAGGATGCAGCGTCCCAAGACTGGCTGTATGCGCACACGTGACCGCGTGCAGTCGAGCGCTGCTGTCGAATCGTTCTCGTTCTGAAGCCTTCTCGGTGGCTCGTGGGACGCGGACTTCGCTTTTTTTGCTGAGTTATAGCGGGCCCGTAAGTGCCTGCAACTTCCCGTAGGTCGGCAGATGCCTCAGGGCCTGCGTCGTTCAAACGTTCATGACTGGTACATGCCGCGCTGCCTCCTAATTGAATTTAGCCCGAAGATCGCGCTGACATGCTGAGAGTCTCAGTTCACGCCGTCTCGCCCAACTCTGTACGAACAGATCATGACGGCCTCTAGGCAGATCATGCTGTGAAGTCTGCTCTCGCTGTCCGTGCTCATCTTCAAAGCGGCGCCAAGAAGGCCAATTTTCTGCGCATGTCTTCTCATTCTCTCCAGTAATCTCCGGGGCGAATACCAAATCTTACGAGTTGAGCGATACAGCTAACTGCTTGTGAGATCATTATCCGGCGCTTTTGCTGATGCGGACTCGTACCCCTGGCCGAGTTCGGCGCAAGGGAGGAGCCTCCAGCAGTGCGTGGGCTTTTCCTTGCGATACTCTTGAGACGCGTCTCGCGCCGCTCGTCGTTTCGACGCTCACGCGCTCACGTCTCGCTTTGACCCGAATACGCGTCACCAAGCCTGTTCTATATCTGACATTGGCTCATACACGTTATTGGCACACGTGTTCATCGTAGTTACCCCATGCATGTACATACATCGTGTTCGTTTTTATGGCTCGCCGTGACTAGTGGAGACAGATGTAAGAACTGAACAGCATGATTGGAATTCTGTACAGGAGGGAATCATGTCATCAGGCAGCACATACATCGGATTTCATGACCTTGAGTAATATCGGCGGCAAATCAACCCAACGATCAGCGATGTAACGCATCTCGTCACGCCCTCGTCTGCCAAGTTGAGTGATAGCGAAGTGAGGGCAGATCAGCAACTTGAAGGGAACAGTAATTAGTTGTTACACACTTATCGCGACTTTGCCACTCAGCTCGCAGCTCTCCACCGCGCTCCCAGCCAGTCGACAGACCAGCTCCCTTGCCGTGATTTCCCCCGTTGGCTGACCCGTCCTGCGGATACTGGGAGCCGCTGCGTCAGGATTTTCAAGCTCGGGGCCTTGCAAGACATCGAGCAATTCGACAATCCTCTCATCTGCCAGACGAGCTGGAGTGAAAGGGAGTTTGTACATAGCACGTGGAACGGTGTTGTAAATAGATGGCAGTAGTTGCCGGCACAGGGGGCACTGAAGGGTGTTGCACCAACCGCCACAATCATCGCACAAATTGCTGAGCCACCACTTCAAGAGGCAGAGCGCGCAAAATGTGTGCCCGCAGCGCACAGGGCTCAGACTGTATGGGCAAGCCCTGCACCTGCTATTAGCCATATACTTGTGCGTGAACGTAGAACAGGCGAGCATACATGATATTGAAGCAGCTGCAGATTCATTAGCAGTGTAACAAAATGATCATGAGATGGCGTACAGTGCACATTCCCACCGTTCCGTAAGTTCCGCTAAAGCCACCTCATCCCGCTTCTTGGAAATGATAGAATTGTCCATTGCTTCCTGTTCCCGCTTTTCCAGCCCCAACCTTCGTGCCTCCAGCTGAGCTTCCTGCGCCTGACACATGAGCTCGCGCTCTCGGACAGCACGTTCCCTTTCTTCGATGGCAGCATTCTTCTTCATTCGAGCCTTCAAGATCTCCTCCTTCTCCTGTTGCACGGCGGTCTTGCGCTTTTCCAGCGCAGAACGTGTCCGTTGAGTTTCATTCTCGAGCACCTTCCTGTCGCGCCTAAGATCACTTACTTGCTTTAGGACCGGCACTTCTATGAAATGTATGTCATACTCGTGGATAGTAGTAGAGGTTTGTGTCTCCAACACTTACCGCCAAGTTCGGAGACAAGGGTTGCGCCACGGTGAGAAAGGTGCGAATTATCGGTGGCTTCGGCGAGTCGCAATGACCTACGAAGGGGTGCCGATGGAGGAGCCGTTGCAGCAGTTTTCGTAGCGAGAACGAGACTGATCTGAGAGATGTCGCCAAATATTCTGCGTCTTTTCGAAGCACTGGCAGATGATGGCAAGTCTTCGTCAGCAGGCTCCGCAGCATCGGACACTTCTCTTGCTATCGGATGTAATGAGCGTGTGTTCAAAGGGTGATTGAAGCATACCACTTGCCTTGCTCAATGTTTTGTGCGGGATGGCTTTTGCCAGGAGGTGATCGGTGCGCCCCCACGACTCGCGACGCGACGGTCCGTGGCCCTCGTCGGTGCATGGATCGAGTCTGCATCGCAGAGGGAAAGCAAAGGCGTGTTCGAAGTCGTTATGATACTGACTGACGAGGAGGAGGACGACGTTCACAGAGCCGTTCAGCACCGTGAGGCCTAATCGATCAGGTGCCTGTCCGAGGATGAACGTCTGATGTGACCGATGCCGTAACGTTCGCAACATGGTCGACGGTGATGCACATCAATTGTAGCAATGATTTGCAGTCTGGCATAGCCCTAGTAGGGAACGCTACTGAGTCTCCACGTTAGGGAGATGTCATTTCTAATCGCAGATGTTCGAGTAAAGGAGGAGCTTATGTCCGTCGCTGTGTCCCATTGTGTACCTGGTGATAGCAATACAATCTGAATCATAGACACGGCGCTCGAACAGTAATTGTAGGGCATATGGGGCGAGGCCTGTACAGGGTCGCACAGCATATCTACGGTATGCACGTCCATTACATATGTACTCCGTGGGCTACGTATGCACACTGTCAACGTGTACCCTAGACGATCACTGTGGTGTGTGGAACACGACGAACAACTGCGAGACGAATGGTGGAAGTCAATTGTTCGAATGTTTAGACCATCAGTTAGTCATGACGTACGTAATCCGTGAGTGGTGACGAAGGCAAGAGGAGGGGTTGTTAGGTAGGCGCTTATACCGGCGTTGGCATCCTTCAAGCGGACGAAGAAGCGGATGGTTATGCAGCCTGCGACCTGAAGGACGATGAGCATAGCTCAAATACTAATACCGGTGCCTTACTCGGTATGGCACTCGTACAACGTATACTTCATTCGCTCCTTCAAACTGCTCGGGGTGGTTGGTCAAGTGAGCTGATTGAACCGTTAAGCGTGATTGAATGCGAATGGATGGACTACGCACAGAAAATGGCCGGGGAAAGCAGCTCCCACAGTGCGAAATCATGCTTGCGATTGTTTGGGTCCATCGGGGCCGTGGTCTCGTCTGCTTCAGTATCGGAGTGTTGGTTCCCTCCACCCTCATTGGCTTCAACTGCCGTACTGCTACTCCCATCATCCCTGGTTTCTTGCACCTCATTGCTCGTGTCGCCACTGGCCCCCGCGCTGGGACCTTGAAATATCTGCACGCTAAACTCCTTTGTTGAATCTGTTGGCGTGATGATGTCTGTGACCTCGTTGTCTACTTCGATGCGACGACGCTACGCTCTTCATGAGGCCAGCCTGTTCAGAAGACAAAATGGTGCCACTCACAATGTGAGCCATGACTTCGAGGTGGAAGCCATCGTCTCCGGGTACGTCGGTAGGATTCAGTATGGCATGAGTGAGGATCACCTTGTTGTTTGTCAAGTCCATCTGCGCCTGAACAGAGAGCGTGGTGGGATCGGAGTAGTGATATCAGAGTGTAGCTATAGTGAAAGAACCGACGTGCGATATCCCGACGAACCCTTACGTTCTGTTTGTCATTGTTCGTCAGTGTTGCGACTGTCGGACTTGGTTCTGATCGTGATGCTCATGCACATGACGCAGACAATCGATGCTCGTTGGGTGTTGACGAAGATGATTAGCGCAAACACCACATCACCGTTGGGATCTGGTACTCACGGCAGCGTAAATACACTAGGCCACTCCATACGTATACCACCTCCTTTCGCTCAATGGCGGAGTGTACCTATGCGCGTTTGAGACCCGCGAAGCGTTAGCATAAGACGCGTACATACTCGGTAGCGCTCTGCGTTGTTGCCATATATATGTCCAGGCGTTTCGGAGTAATAGTTGACCGGGGTCACCGACAAGTTGTACGCAGTGACGATGCCAGGCCCCCCTCCCGATGACTGCTACAAGGGATACAACTACGAGATGTTGGATGCTAATAATGCCACCATCAACCTAGGCCCATCGGTAGTCTGCGTGCCGACGCAGTTTCGGACGTCAACAAATATCGCAGAACCCGACAGACAAAGCCATCAGTTGTAAAGAAGCCCTGTGTCCCTCAGGATGACAGTCGAGGCGGCGATCGATTACCTTGAGCTCCGCCGAGTCAATCTTGGAGTGCTGAAGGATCGTGATCTCGATGTAGATGACGATGAAGCCTATCATGAGGGGGATGATTTGCGTCGCCCGGTTGGAGGAGCGCGATCGTAGTGGGCATCAAGAAGAACGTGACTGCGCGCGAGAAAGGGAGACATGCCAGTACGAGCACGCAGTGATCCGCCGGGAGGGCGGCAAGGTCGGACGTACATATCATGTATGTAGTATGTTGGTGTGACTGCTTGGTGCGGTCAGCATCTAGGAAGGGGCCAAAAGGTTCGGGAAGAAAGAACTCACTTGTGGCTGCGAAAGACAGTGTAGCACCATACGCTTCCAGTCGGACGCGGAGCGGCGCTGGATCGGCAAGAGGCGCACCTGCGTTGAAACGCGCCTTACTGAGTTATGTTACTTCAGTGATTGTACACCGCGTCAGAGAAGAGCAGGATAAACGACTATCTACGCACCGACGGTGATGAGGAAGTACGCGAACCAGTACTCGAACTGCGCGGCGACCTAGCCGGGACACAAAATTCATTGCACCTGGTTTTAGCCTTAGACGCTGGGGACGATCGCCGCGCCGAGCCTGGCCGTGGACCACAGCATATTCTTCGTTTCACCCTTGCAGTCTCGGCATCAGGACACGTTGCATCGAAGCACCGACATGAAGGGAGAACGCACCGAAGACCTAAGACAATATGACGACAAGGGGTTTGACTATGAGCGTCGAGGCGTACGTGAGGAAGCCAGGTGCGAGGGCATCTTTTGCGACATCTGGCCTGGAGTGTCCCCCTGTGGGCTTATACCCTGTGGGCATGCGCAATGCAAATGGCGTGTCGGCACGGAGGTGCCGAACGGACAGGGAGAGATCCGAGAGCCTACCGTTGAGCGGTTGAGCGGTATGATGACGTAACCCTTTGTCAGGCGCAGTCGGTGAGATCGTGGTCCGACGATCAGCGCAGAGGGCGAGCGGGGGAGCACTCACGATACAACTACGACTGTCCAGCCAACCGAAGAAGCCCAGCTTCTCTGCGGGGATACGTCCATGGGGGTCTAGGGCAATTGTTGGGGTGGGCAGGCAGCGGAGGCATGAACAGATAAGTGGGACGCCGGAGGGTGACGGTACGAGACGAGGTTGAAGATCTCGCCGAGGATCGTCGCTGTGAAGGCATAGTTTCAGTGTGCGGCGATAATGAGGGCAGCCACGCACAGGTCATGTCGTCCACAATAGCCGCTAGGCGGGTAGGAGACTCAGCAGATATCTAGTGCAACATAGGTCGGCTGAACGCACCGACTTGAGGCAGGCAGCGCCCTTGCCTGCAACCTGACCCGTCTGCGAGCACAGAAGGTGCTTCTTGCCGAAGGCGAAGCTGGAGGCCGGTAGACATAGCCAACAAAATACGAGCGATCTGCGAATGCGTGTAAGCCTGGCTCGGCATTGTCTGCATGCGAGCGAATGAGCGGCTGCAAACCCGGCTGAAAGCATCGTGCTTCGCCGTTTAGGTCTTCATATATCCCGATCGAACGTCCTTTGCGCTCGAAGCCGTTCTTCGTCGTGCAGGACACGCGGTACCGAAGGTATCTATGAGTCGCCTGGCAGGGTTCGGAAGTGGGACTAAGGGCCCCTTCAAGTTGGCGCGTACGATCCATCGTGTCAGCGGGCCCATGCGAGCGATGATAAGAACGAAGGGCTATTCAGGACGGGCGAAGAGGGGATGAGGACAGAGTACAGTCACGGTACCGCATCGTACCGCGATTACACGCGCGTCAGATCACATGATGCTTGGCCGCGTCGACGCGTCGACTCCGTCGACTCGCGCCGCATCATCGTATGAAGCGCGCCACGGTGTTCCTCCGCCATCCGCACACCAACCCTTTCAACAGCCGGTGTTTGTAGTGCCATTAATGACACGATGAAAGCCGACGGTGAGTACTTGAGTCCCCATACCCCTATTGCCGTCCTTCGGGGTGCATGCTGCGGGGCGCGCCTACGCGGAGCCACGCCTGGCACTGGGAGGCCGCGCCCGTGTAGCTGGGCTCTTTGGTTCGGTCAACGTTGCCATAACCTGAGGCTGCCACGATGCTTACTAGGCCACCCACAGGTTGGCTGATGATTGCGGCAGCCCACTCCTATTTCCAGTCTGCCCCTCTTCCCGTGGCAGCGGTGACGTGCGAAGCGGTCGTCCCAGAGTGCGAGGAGTACGACCTAGGCGATGTCGCTCTTCCGCCTGCGGAACCGTACGCGCCGACTCTAGGTTCAATCGATATGGGCGCGGCAGGCTGCCCCCATGGATTGGTCCTCCTAGGTGGTGATGCGAGCGCAGAAGGGGCGGGACGGGCTCCAGCATCACGTAGAGATGCAGCGGCGGAATTCGTGTACAGAGTCGCGAGAAGCGGAGGCGCCAGCGGGCGGAGCACGCTCCTCCGTATAGCGCAGCGCAACGGCCGCGTGTACCCCAAACCTAACCCCCTCATCATCATCAGAATCCTAACGTCGACGTCAACTATCGGCGGCGTATGCGGATCTCCCACTTCAGCATTCAGATGGCGGTACACGTATCCAGTATGGATTACCTCCTTTGGTCTCTCCCGTTCTAAGGCTAATGCGCGCAGTCCCCCGCTTGAGGCCTGCCCCAGCGAAGAGACGGTCTCCCGGAAGCTTCTCAACGCACTAATATTTCCGCAAACGCGGCCATCACGAAGACCATTGTATCTTTCCCCAACGCAACTGCACCGTCTCTCCCATTCATTGTCTATCTCCCTCTCAATGGGAACTCGCCCGTGGACATCGTGCTCGAGACTACGCTGCTACCCGACGCCCGTGTATCAAAGAAGTTCCTTGCGCCGCACCCGCCGCCGCCGATCCTGCACAACGTCAGAATCAAGGACGTGAAGATCAAGCCCGTGGGTCAGGTCATGGTCGTGAGCGGGACGGTGCTCGCGCACGTCGTGCTCCCGTCCGGTATCGAGGTCGTGCGCGTGTTCTCGTCTACGACGGCGAGGTGCCCGACTGGGCCCGCGCCGAGCACGGCCCCATACTTCAAGCTGCTGAACTACCCCATGGACGACGGCTACTGAGACGTCTCGCTGCAGCCCCCACTGCCAGGCCCCCTGTCCTAGCGTACGCCCGCGTATATCCGCCGGGACGACTGACTGCCCGCATTGAGCGTGCCGGGCGAGCAGGGGCCCGGGGAGGATGTGGTCGTGAGCGCGGGAATGCGAGCCCAGCAACTACGTGTTGAAGGTATGCCGCTCTCTCTCTTACGGTGTCCGCTGTATAAACATCTAGTGGCCCGCGTGTAGGTTCTGTTGGGGACGCAGGGCGCGCTCATGGGCCTCTAGGGCGAGGCCGCCGTCGCGGTGCACATGAACGGGTTGCCCTTCGAGAACGGCGTGATGGTAAGATGCAGTTGATGGGGCTCCCCTTCAAGGGCAATATGCGGATCGACAAGCGGAGCATGCTCGACGGGTCGCTCGGGGACTGAATCTCTACGGAACTGTGCGTGTGCAGCCTGCTATTATCTGTACAGAGTTTTGTGCATATCGATGTGCAGTCAGCGCGTATTCCTAGGATGTGCTATTACGGATTTGGACTGGATCCCGGCGGCCGCGAAGGCCTTTCCCTTCGGCAGTGAACCAGCGAGTGGCGTACTTGATCCAGCTCTAATCTCCTCCTCTTCCATCGTAGAGAGGCGGGGAACGGAGACAACAGTATCTCAGGAACAGCACATGCAATATACGCTTGCAGAGAACGTTCTAGTGTAATGCAGTAGTAGACCACTTTCAGGCATAACGACACAATACAAGCCAGCCCGGAAACCAGACGTATCCGCAACATCTGTCATCACTTTCGTCTTCGCAATGTTACGTATGTAACTAAACCGTTTGCTATCTGATGTCTCCCATTCCACTGGAGTCTAGCATCCTGCCACCGGTACCCCCAAATCGTAGCTTTGAACCCCCACCATCATGGTAAAATTTGTGGCAATTTGCGTGGACGCTTTGCGGTAACCGGACCTATCCAACTGGGGTCCCCGGTAGGCGTGAACGATAGCGTGAGTTCTGGTGACATAGGGTGATGAGGAAGGCTGGACCCATCGATACTTCGCCAACCAGTTGAACCGTCGTCAAACTGATCCCACATCCACACCTGCACGGCGTCCGTCACCCTGCCATCCGCGCTGATACGATGTAGGAATAGCGTTCCAAGATCATCCACGTTGAGATTGGACGGAGGCTTCGCAATTACAGTTGACCCTGCATTCGCATGCCATGTGTAGTCTAGCTTGGCTTTCCGAATTTTGCGCTTCACATGTTTCACATTCTATGAGGTTCAGAGTCAGTATCTGCACGCAACAAGACAATCTGCCTCCGTACCGGTTTAGTAACAGGAGATTCCGACGTTGAAGGGATAGGCTCAGGCTCCCGAATCATACCATTGCCGTGCCTGTTGCCTTCGGTGTTGCCCTGATTGGGGGATTTCGAACCAATTTGCGATCGACGCTCGGCGGGCCATCGTTGGAGAACATCGCGGCGTTCTGGCTGTTTGCCCTTGCGGCCCCGCCTCCTTTCGCTATCGAGTAAGTTTCGGACGTCGACGTCGTCATCACTCGGCCGAAGTGGTGATTTCGCCTCGATTGCTGCAGAGCCTGTTGCACCTTCATCCTCCTCCTCCTCCTCACCTTCCGGGTAGAAGGGCCTATCCTAGATATCTAAGTATGAACAATAGTGTGACCGCGAACCCAGGAAGGACATACGTACCTCATTCAAATAAAGCGGTGCAGGTGACGTGTTACCGGGAGACTCTTCAACTTCACTAAACGTAACACGCACTTTGTGCATTCAATAGGCGTCGCGAACAAAATGAGTGACACATGCTCATTGATGTCGCGAATGCTCTTACGTGCATGTTGGCTAGGTGACCCCGCCTCTTCACTCTTAGCCTTTGAGCGCGGAGCACTTGTAGCGGACGGCTGCAGTCTTTGTGTCACTCGGCTCATTTCGATTGAGGCGAGCTCCGGACTTACCACCATTGGTGTGTTTGCTGCATACCGGCGACGTAGTGTAAAAGTATGATCACTATGTTGATCCTTGACCCCGAACGATGGTAGTTCAAAGTGGGTCGGATAATCGCCAGTCGACACTGGGAACGTGACCGTCCATCTAGTAGAACTCGGATCCCTATCCAACGTATCGGACATGTCGTGCTGCGAAAGACTCGTATGGCAGGAAACAAAAATTCCCAAAGCCGAGTGCGAAGTGGTTGGTTCAAGGTTCCCCACGCAAGTGCCCGGCGCTGAGACCCATGAGTGGCGGCTTTGTCTTGCGCGTGTACCTTTGTCTCGCGGGGTGGGCCCGGGGGTGGCACATTCACCGTTTTTTAACCTGCTGTTACACTACGCTGTCTCTAACCCGGAGATGCATGCTGAATCCCAGGCAGCACTTATAGACCGCCTGGTATTACTGGTTCTCTACAACACTATCGCTCGTGGCTCATTGGTGGCCGAACCGATCTTTGAAGGCGTTGCATACGAAAGCCTACCCGCTTCGGAACGGAAAGGCGCATTGGCAGGAGTCCTCTCAAGCACCCTCGGAGACTCAATCAACACTTTGCTCGATGAGCTTATTGATCCTGAAAGCGAAGGCGGCATCGGAGACATATTCGATCGCATAAACGGCAAAGTCCATACAGCGGCTATCCCAGGCGTTCCCGATTTACTCAACGATGGTGGCGCAAATGAGACTCTTCAGCTTTTAAATATGGTACGTTGATTATGATTTGCTGCCTGGCACCGGCAACGCAGTTCATCAGGATGTGCAGTGGTTAGCCCAAACGCGATCGGTCATGAATATGACAAAGGGCGAGACGGATTGCGATCACGCCCAGAGTGCGGGGGTGCACACAGAGGAGGTACATCCAGATGTAGAACGGTCAGGGTACGTCGTATGTCCACGCACCGGCGGTTGATGAAGTAGTGGGACTGAAGTGCTGTCGACGGGTTCTTGCCAGACTCGGAATCCAGGCTTCCAGGATCGCCTTTATTGGCCAGCTGCTGCGATGCCCTGAACAATCACATACGACTACCTCCCTTCCCGGAAGACGCAGCATAGAAGGCTCACTTATGACGTCGGGTATGAGTGATATCCTCTGTGGCCCAGCACATAGCATGAGCTGACGATGTCGTACTAGAGGATCCCGGCCATCTACAAACTGAAGTATGCAGTAAACTACAAGCCTTCAAACTAATCCTGGAAGAGGTTCTCTCGTACCTCTCGAAGGCGTTGTGTCCGACACATGGAGCCTGTCTCCCTCGCGAGGAACCTCACGCGCTTCTGTCCCTTCAGTGGGCCTTCTATGCTTTGACAGACTCGATTCGCCGAACTATTAATTGGGCTTTCCAGCAATGGGGTGCTACGCCTGAATCAAATGTCCCCGTTCCACTCTCGGGGATACCGATCCAGGCGAAGGAAACCGCAGGTAGGCAGTCTGCGGTCGCGCGTGACGATCAAGTCACCCGACCCTGGAGCCGTGCTAAGACCGCATTCGTCGAACTCAGCAACAAGCTCATCGACTACTGCGGACCGAGTCAGGTTGGCTCCATCGAACCCGGCCCGAGTGATAGCCTATCCGATGGGTTAGGCAACGAAGACACATGTTCGGGCGGCAGTACGGTCGATGAAGATGCAGGTGAACGAAACGCAACCGGCGACAAGGTCGCGGGCGTGAACAGAGACTCGACCGACTGTGACCAAGGCGACCAACACACGTCTGTACCTCAGGACGATGCAAGACGCTCTGGTTCTCTTAACTCGGCAGAACATCTACGAAGCCTCGTCTTTTTGGGTCACAGAGTGCTAGTGTTCGTCCGACAAGAAACCCAGCTGCTCCTCGTCGAGGGCCATGCATATTTGGTTCGTCTGAAGCGAAGCATTGGTACTGCCCGTGTCAGTGCGCATGCTTGGTTCAAGGGCCACCTTGTCATCCCAAGGCGAGTGTATTTTCCGTCGCAACTCCTGTCATCTCACCTGTTGGGTCATAGTTTGATGTCCGTATTCTTGGCAATGACGGTACTCGCCATTGTATCGCGCACCTTCAGACACATCCTTGCTGTCTGGATGGAGGAGGAAGACTTCTTCAACGACGACGACTACTTTTAATTGTAGCTACAATACAACTTCTTCGGAGATCGATAGGAAGAGATGAGAATGTATTAGCAGGCGAAAATAGGCAGGTGATGTCAATGCGTAACACTGAGAGCAAATTTTGAGATGTTGATAGCAATGTAAAGCAAGACTAGTAAGACGAGAGCGCGCCAGGAACGCTTGATGCTCTGCATGCTTCCGCTGTCCCTCGTCTCGAAGCAGCAACTGACGAGAGACCGGAAGCTCTCCGGGGTACACAGCCTCACTTGATACACCTTCCCTGCTGCTGCGTCGACCCAGCAGACCGTCAAATCGGGCTGTACTACATGGCTTAGTTAAGATCCGAGGTAGACAGCTGGGTACTCGCCTCACAGACTATAACCTTGACCGCCCACGAAAAAAATCGGGTCGCCTTCTGACCCTGCCTCATCGGTACTGTGGTGCCGAAGCAAGTATCTGTCGAGATGGCCGTCAGTCCCCGAGCACAAGAGCAGATGACAAGGTTAACTTACAATGTCCATGGAGGAGCGGAACAAAGAACAGTACTCCGGGCGTCGCATCAGCACCTGTAATAGCGACAACGGCATGGCGGATGCTAATCACTCGATAATCGGCTGCGAAGTAAAAATCCGTCCCGCTGCCCAACAATGTTGAGCAGTCATACTAGGAGTTAGGAACACGGTACATACGCGATGATCGGGGGTGCTTGTGAGATGAGCGTAAGAGTGTACTGAAAGGCAGTGGCTAAGGAGGAAAGAAAGGCCATGGTGATCGTTTGCCTGCAGGTCGATCGGCTCTGACTTCGCCTTATATATTGCATGTGGCACAGGCGTGCATTGTCAGTATTATCTCGTAACATACCCAGCGACGGCTCGAGGTAAAAGCACGTGAGGATAGACTGCTGAACGGGATTGGCGGTCACGGCACGGTCCGTCCATTTTCAGACATTCCGATTTCTCCAAGTGACCCAGGTGAGCGTTTGAAGCTTGATGTTGAAGTTGAACGGTCGACGTTGAGCATGGAACGTTTTCACCATCGCTGAGGGCTGTCTCTTTGAGGTCGGGCCCGGGATCCTTCAGAACGCTGGTCGGGGGCCTCCGGATTACTCCGGCGCGGTGTCTGCAATTTCGTAACACCGTGAATATTCTTAGAGGAGACTGCGTAGACGTTACCGCTGTGCGTCGGCAGCAAAGCGAATTGCATAAAGTCCCAGGCGGTGCAGCCTGGTGCGTCTCCTACTGATCGAATTGTCGCTGTATGAGGGTCGCAATCCCGCACGGGGTGCCACGCCTGTTAGGGGGCCCCGTCTCGCCTACGTAGCTCTGCCCTCGCTGAATCGCGCTTACGAGAAACAGCAATGTGGTTGCGTGGTCGTTTGAGGGTGGCTTGCGACTTGGCGAACATGTCGAGAGGTGGCAGCGCGGCCTCCGAGTCTGTCATTATCCCTGCTATCGCTCTCGCGATCGCCTTGACCCCGAGTCCGAACGTCGTCAGACATACTGTAGTTGTCGTTGTAAGCGCCCACTCTGAGGAGTTGCTGCACCGCATCGGCGACTTGTGCGAACGCGCACCTTTGTGGTCGGCTCCATACCCATCGCTTCCCCGAGCTTCGGTTTGATCGCGCTTCGGATGGGAAAGTTAGCTCACGACAATAGGAGGTTGTGCTCAGCATGCGTCATCAACTCGTACTCGATGGAGCGTTGCAGGTACTGGTAGTACACATTGAGGTTGCGGATCTCCTTCGTCCTCCCGCGACTCCTGCGCTAGCCTAGCTTGTCCGGTTCAGGTTCCCGTGGCAGAACAGCATCATCCTCTTCGCCTTCTCCCAATCGCTGTCTATGAACTCGCCTTTGCATCTTAGTACCTTACGTACCTCGTATGTGCAGTACTGCAGCGCCCTACGACACTTCTCCGCCTAGTGGACGCTGGGCAACTGCGATGGGCGGCGAGGTATCTGGTAGAGTAGTTAGGTCGCCAAATCTCATGGAAAACTGACTACGCTCAATGCGCGCGACGACCTTCTCTACTTGCTGCCCTTTGCACACACAAACCATCTCGTCGCGTAAAACGTGCCGGTCGAAGGCGAGAGAATTGGGGGAGAGGCATCGATACAGAGACGGCGACATAGCCCAGTATAACTACACGCAGAGCAGTAGGGATGTTCTGGAAAGCGGGAGCGCGAAGAAGACTAGGACGAGACGGTGAGAGGAGGAGGAGGAGGAGGAGGAGGAGGAGGAGGAAATTCCATTTAGTACCCCTGAGAGGATTTCAAAAGGAAGCGTACGACAGATCGGGAAGGTACGGCACCGAAAAGGAAACCGACCTAACCGGGGCAATGAGACCATACACATATAGCTCGGATGTGTGGAGGAAAGGATTCGCATGCTACATCGCTACGAGAAACTTAGGACCGCGATCATATAGTGTGCGGCTACGGAGAAAGCGAAGACCCTCCAGTAGGCTTCGCGAACGTGAGCCCAGGTCGTGTCGTCCTCGAAAGAACCCCACATACAACAATCTTCAAATCGGTTGTAGATCTGCGTGATCTCATACGCGTCGGTTCCATCATCGCCGCCAGTGTCGCGCGGGGCAAATTCGTAGTTCATTAGGAAGCAGCCGGCGAACTCCTCAAATGGTTCAATCCAGGGGCCCGGGATCCTTGCTTCAAACCAATTCAAGGTATCGCCAGTGGAGTGGGCCCAGCGGACCGTTAACGCAAGCTATACAATCGAGGTGTAAATCAATGCCCAGTTACGAGATGTCCTCGAGGAATAAATCATACCTCTGAGACGATGTACACCGTACTACCTGACAGCACCATAATGCGTGGAACGGGAAGGATCGCATCCGGCGAGACGAAAACAACATCTAGATGATGAGAGGCATGACTTCTCTGGCAGTTCAGCAGCAAGTGAAGACTTACATCTCCCACTTGTGAGCCGGACAATGACCACGTAGGGGAGCTCAACGTTGCTGAGCACGCGGTGGCCGCGATCGGAACGACTCAGCTGCCTGATGTCCGCTGTTCCGGCAAAGCGGATCTTCACGCCCCTGTCACAAAGAAAAGCAATCCTGAGTTTCGGTTCGAAGAGCCCAAGTTTGAAACTTACGCTGGCACAGGAGGGCCTTCAGGGAGAGTATCTACGGCGGCTTTGACGAGCATATAAATGCAGAGGAGGAACAACATTATTGAGGCTAGCCAGCGCAGGTGAAGTGGCATCGCCAGAGGTACGACACCGCCGTCTTATATGTATATGTTCCTTCGGCTGTTCCGATGTACTTGCATTGTGCATAGTGGCAACCCAAACGGGATAGTAGTGCCTGGCATGGTATGGCTGATAATGCATTGAGTCACTGCTAACGCAACAAATTGGAAAAGTCGAAATGGGAGCACCAAGATACAATCCGCGCAAGGAAGTAGATTGCACGCGGGACATACACCCAGATCGTGACCGGCCTAGGAGGCAGGGAATGCCATGGTAGGATACCCGGACGATGCGCGCGGAACACGACGAGCCACTGGCCAAGAGTACATGCATATTCTGATCACCGTGCGTGCCATAAGAGAACGAGCACTCGCATCGATATCGCGCTGCATTGAAGCCTCAGGTCCAGATCCAGACTTGGCGCGCCTCGGCTCGGAATGGCCTTCCTCACGGGTACGAACCGCCGCAACGCTGAATTCCTAATCCTACGGCGTCAAGGATAGCTGCACTGACCGGGCCCCGATGAACTAGATCGCTGGACCGACCATCCGAGCCCGTAACTGTCCCTCAGATGACGCGCTCATTGCGAGCATCAACCCATTCGACTCGCTCGACGTCGAGCGTTGCGAGCCCCTGTCGACGGTGGGTGCTCCGAGCGCGAGCGCCCAGCGTGTTGCTCTCGACCGCCACCGCTGACCTTTGACGCTCTCGACCGCCACCGCTGACCTTTGACGCTCACGGCCTCAACGTCCTCAACGTTCAACGTTCAACGTCAACATTCAACATCTACCTGGGAGCCCCTAACTCGACCGTTGTGCGCCACCTCTCGACTGTGGCGACTTCTAAGGCGAACTGTCGCGGTTCTGACGGTACGCAAGTCAACTATGCGCCCCAGGATTTTTCAGAATGTGGTCAGGTCCAGCGCTGGCGCCGCTGGGCAAGAGGGTCGCGCAGAACGCAGGGAACGCGGAGCGAGGACTCGGAGGAGATGGCAAGGAGACCGCCGGCTCGCGCGCCTACGACGCCGGTCTCTACGCCTCGTCGATCGCGCCTCGAGGCTCTCAACCACCTCCGTTCACCTCCCGCGGCCTACAGTCACCAACCACACGGTCCGAGCCAGTGGGGAAGTCCGTGGGTGTTACATCGCCGAGCGAGTGCCCGAGCGCGTCAAGCGCCGGGCGACTTGCTCTCGTCGACCACCTCGCTCCGTGTCTCCTCTCGCGCCCCGGCCTTCCCGCAACTCACGACACCACTCTTGCGGGCGATCATCAAGAGACATGCCGGGCCATGCACTGCTACTGCGCGCCCGGTTGTCCACCCGCTGTCACCAGCTCGAGGCCCGAGGTCAAGCAACTGTGCGCCCGTCCCCTGCGCACCACCGAGTTCGACACGTCGACTCGCGCGTCAAGACCCCGACTGGAGGTCTTGCCTCAGCGCGGACGATTCACGAGCAACTCGTCTGCAAGCCTGACGAGCGAGTCGCCCCCACGCGTGCAAGAGCAAGCACGGACGACGCCCCGCAGGCTGTGCAGACGAACAGCGCATCTCGCGCCTGCAAGACCGCTCCACAAGACGCGTCGACGCGCGCACCAAAGTCCCCGGAGGATGCCTCGGCCAACTCGAAGACGAGCCACCGCGAAGAGAGGAGCAGAGAGGCCGATAGAGAGGAGAAGCAAGGGCCGACCGCGGTGAGTACCCCTGCCTGCCGCCCTCCTCCATCCTTCCATCCACACCCACGCTACGCGCCCTCGACCTCCCCCTCTCCCCTTCCTCGTCCAGCACACTCGCCGCTGCTCGACGACCTCCTGCGCTACTCTCGTCCGTCGGCCTCCACTCGTCTGTCACCCGCTCCTTTGCCCGCAATTTCGCCGCTTATCTCTCGCCCCGACCTCTCAGCAGCCCATGGAAGAGCACGCGCGGGCGAACCTCAAGAATCCCGAGCAGTGCGTAGCCACCGCGCGCCCGGTATCCACCCCGCCGCTACGAGCCTGCCACGCGAAGACTTGCAAGCCCTAGTCCGCGCGCATCCCGCTAGTGAGACGGCTGCTGCCGAACGGGCGGTGCTCGCGCGCGCACGTAGGCCCCGACAGGAGGTCCTACCCATAGCGCAAACGATTCACGCGCAGTCCATCTGCAAGTCCGACGAACGAGTCGTCCCGTGCGTGCGAGGACAAGCAAGGACGAGGCCCCGCCTATCGCAAGGACAAGTCGGCGAGAAGGCTCAACTGGGGGGACAGCCCTGCAAGCAGACTAGGCCAAGAGATTGGAAGAGGAGGCACGAGTCATGAAGACTCTGGTGAGTACCAGAGTCCCTAGCCCTCCACCTCCCTTCCCTCCGTCCTCGCTCGACGCACTTGCCTCTCCGTGGTGCTCTCGTCCGCCTGCCTCCGCCCGTCTGTTGCCTGCTCCTTCACCCGCATATCCGCCATCCCTCTCGCGTCTCGATCATTCGGAGGATGGCCAAGCCCATGGCGCAAGCGACCCACAGGATGAAAGCCGGGCAGTGCGAGGACACCCCGTCCATCGCAAGACCGAGCAGGAGTGAGGAATCGCGCGGGAAGGAGTCAGGCACGAGGGTGTTGGGCTTGACAGTCGACAGAGAAGAGACACGAGCAGGGACGACCGCGGTAAGTACAACCGTCAGTCTCCCTCCCCTGTATGCTCCCCCATGCCGTCGCTTAGCACCTCCGCCCTCGCTCGACGTACCAACGCCGCATGCACACTGCATCCACCTCCCGCCAGGCCCTCCGCGCGCGAGCGGGACCCGCTGCTCGACCCCTCTTCCGCGTCCCCGTCTCAAGGTCCTCCCGGCTGGTGTGCGCCCTCGCACCGCCCTCGTTCGTTCGCATCGCAGCCTGTGGGCGGCTGGAGTTTCTCCACGCTCCCATCCGACCCGTCCATGCCTCCTCTCCACGCTCTCTCGCTTGCGCCTCCGTCTTCTACGTCGTGCCCCCGTCTCTCGACGACTCATGGCACTCCCGGCACTAACGACTTGCTAGAAGAGCACCGGGCCGTGCGCTGCTACCGCGCGCCCGGCAGCCCTTCAGTTTCAAGCCTAGCTGTAGCCGCAAGCTCGCCACCCGTCGAAGACGAGCAAGCCGTGCCGGCTCGCACAATGGGACTCAAGAACGAGGCCCCGCCCATCGCTAGGACAAGGCAACGAGCAGGTTCGACTGAGGGGCAGCCCTGCACGAGCAGGCTAGGCCAGGAGACTGGGAGAAGGGAACTATGAGTACTCCGGTGAGTGCTCCCGTCCATCAGCGCTTCAGTACCCACCATCCATCCGACCTCCTCGCCTGCGTACCGTACTCCCGTCCTCGCTCGACGAGCCTGCGCCTCCACGCCATACTCGTTCGCCCGTTTCCGCTCCCCCTCTTCGGAGGCACTTGTCTCCCTCATCGTTTGACGTGTCCCGTCCTCCACACTCTCACATTGCGCCCCCGCCTTTGTCAGACGTACCCACACTTCCGTCGCCGCCCTTCTGCCTCAACAACTCAACCTGCCTCGAATCCACTCCCACGCTACGGACGGTCGGCGCAAGAGGTCGAGCCAGGCCAATCCGTCGCACCAAGCCGCAATGAGACAGCGACGTCGAAGCTCGGAACAAGTCCCTCAAAGGACGTCCCTCTCGTCGCAAGAACGTGAACGAGCCAGCGGAAACGGTCGAGTGGGGGTCCGCCAAGCGCGATAGATGGGGATGTAGACATAGGGTGTAGGGGATGGGAAATGGCTCTACCCACGGACTCCCCACCATCCTCGCGCCTTCGCCACCTGGCGGCCATCGAAGACTCTCGCGGACGGCCTGCAGGGCTCAAGCTGGGCTGTGTGAGACCACCGCATACACGGTAGCAACCCCACCACCGCCAACCCAGTATGCGAAGTCGGGCATTTACGAGCACTCACCAAGGACGGGGACGAAGCCCCGGTGGTGGCGCAGACAAGCTGCGCACCACATTTCCGTAAGGCAACCGTCCCGATCGTGTCACCGCGCGCAGGAGCTCGCAAAGAGGATCCCCAGTATGTCTCAAGAGCGGACAGGTCCGAAGGATGGAGTAGGGAAACGTCAGGGACTAGGACTTCTAGTTGGGAGGTCGATGGGCAGGAGACGCGAGTCAAAACGACCGCGGTAAGTCTTCCTGCCCATCAGCCCCCGCCGTCTTCCACTCCGCTCTCGCGTTCTGCACGTCCGCCAGCTCCCGACGTCCCTCTCGCCCCTCCTTGCTCGCTCTCCACACCTACGTCGCCCGTGCTTCCGCTCATGCACTCGGCTGGTGACAACTCGTTGGCGCCAGCATGCCAAGTCGTTCCGGGTGACGCGCGCAAGGGGGCGCGCACATAGGCATGCTCCAAGGGTAGGTGTCGCGTTTCACGGGTCTGCGCGCGCGATGGTGACTGAATGCCTCTCCACCACAGTCAGCGGAGGCCTGGATAAGAGCACAACTCCTATCCTGCTTGCCAACCGCCTCCGAAATTTCAGCACGGCCCCCATAACACGCGTCCGCGCCGCGCCCCCGCCTTGCCAGCTCGAAGCCTGCGCTGAGAGCGTACGCGCGAGACGCGCCGCCCGCGCCGCAGAGCGCACGTGTGGTGGAGGCGGTGAAGACCACGCGGACGTGCAGAACCGGGGCGGGTACGTCCGTCGGACCGGGGCCTCTGCGGGGGTGGAACTAGCCTTTGGGGCGGGTGCACTTGTGTTATCTGCTTGACCGCGACTGCGTCCTTTGGTGCGCATATACCTTGCATCGCTGCTGGGACGTTGTCGTTTGCCAAGCAAGCATGGATGAGCGCACCGCGCACGCGTCTTGAAGGCGCATTAACATCAAGAACCGATCTACGACGCTCCTCCGACACCATCGACTCGGGCGAGCTTCAAAGACACCAACTGCATCTGGATCCGTATAACCTCTTTGACCACTCACGCCACTGCCAGCGGCGAGCTCGACGCCAGAGGATCAGGTCCAGACGACCCCGAAGAGCCATCCGTTCCACACGTACCTCCCCTCTAGCACAACCTCGCGATCGATAGCGAAGTAGAAGGTCTGTAGGACGACGAGGACACTTGCGGTGGCATTGGAGCAAGAAGACGAGCCACGCAAAGAACGCGAGCAACCACGCACGCAAGGTCGGCAGCAACGTTCCCGTCGACACGATACATGCCTCAGACATTAGTGCCGCGACGGTCTGCGACGAGGTGGTAGCGTGCCTGCAGCCGCAGTCGACCCAGACCACGGCGGACAACTCCCTGACTCAGATGGCGATCAGCGCGCTACAGAGTGGGCCTCGTGCTGATTGTGCGAAGGAAGGGGGAAGGAAGTTACATGTACATGACTTTGAAGTGAAGTAAATGCATCACGATCACCACAACATTGGCGGACTCCACCACCTTTTGGTGTTTATCGCGCAATGCTCGACGCGTGAACGAGCAGCGGTGCGATCGTCGTGGTCACAGTCCCGTCTTCATTCGTCTTGCGTGTGAGGAATCGAACCTGCCATTCATCCTGTGGTATGCTTTAAGTGTGTGCGCCCACCGTGTAGGACAGCCCATATCACCTGATCTATATAACGAACAAGGAGTATCTCCTGTGCCTCCGCAAAGTGTGATCCTCCTGTGGCTAAGCAGCCTCGTCGGTTCTTAGTTGTCAGTCTTAGACGGATACAGCAGCATGGACATACTTTCCACTCTTCTCTGCATGTGTTCAGCATATGACTTTGCACGAGCGTGCTCTGTATCCCAGGGAGGCCGTTTGGGCTGTGTAGGGGAGTGGGCATGCAGATCACTTCGTGAAACGAGCTACGGTGGCTCACTTGGTGCGTCTCTAAGCCAGAGTTGTCACCTTGACCACTCTCTGGCAGTTCGGCCTGGACAGGTGTATCAGGCGAAGCTTCTAGAAACAACGAACTGTTCATTGTGCGCATCACCTGCAGGGTGCCCGTCGCCGTGTTGTTGGGAGTAGCTGTCTCCAAGTAGTCGATGTCCCACTCTAGTTCGCCCGACGATGTATATTTCCCTGCCTACACATGTGAGTTTTCTCCTACTTCGAAGAGACATACATACCACGCGCGCTAACACTTCAACGTAATTACCGTGCGCCGCTGCTTCGCTTGCGGGCAGAGGAACTTGTGATAGACTGATTGGAACATTGGATAGATCCATTATATCAAAAGTGGGTACATGCACCGGCACTCAAAGCTTCATAGGCCTCGGGTCGGCGTCAGATTCGTGGATGAGCGTCCCCATGCTTGCGAGTGTTTGGATGGGCGCTAGCAGACGGAAAGCGACGGTCGAAGGACGGTCGTGGGCGGTCGATCCGCCGTTCAACGTTCAACGTTCGACGTCAAGTACAACGCTCAGCGCTGCAAAGCCTCAGCACTCAACGTCTTGAACATCGACTCACAGTGAGTTGACTGTGCGCATCGTCGCCTGGTGAAGTGACTAACTGATTAGGTGCGTAGCTCTACGGTTCCCTGAACATGCTCGGCACCGTCTACCCGTAGATCGACCATCCGTTGGTGGACAGAAGCTGGTGGGCTCCCGCTAACCCCGCCTGTGCACGAACAATTTGCTGACATCGAACGCAGAGAACGTCAGCTTCTCGTACGACGGCCGGAACCAGAGGAAGGCGACCCCGGGTCTTCGACTTCCCCTGTTTTGTCTTCCAGCCTCGCTCCCTTGTCATCCTTCTACTGGTCTCGCGTGTAGCGTACCTCGTCGTCGGCGACTGAGCTTCGCCGAAACCCCGGATTCAGACTTCCGTCGTGCCAGTAAGCGGCAGGGGACCGACAGCCAGAGCTCGCCTGCTTCCATTCACTGGACGCTCTCTCCCTCTGAAGCCACATCCTTAGGCCTTATCCTTCGTCCTCGAACCCACCGCGCGCCATCAGACTCCCAGAGTTCGGCCAATAGTCGGCTGTGTATGTTCAAAGCCTTGTATGATGTTGGCCCCACGACTAACGCGCACTGTCTAGGTACCTCATCAGCCAACAGAAAAACGTAGCTAAAGGCAAGCAAGGTCACCGAGCCCGGCAGCACCCTGTTAAATGTCGCTAAGGGCTCGATCGTCGCGCTCGCCGGTCAACTGTGCGCCCTCTGCCCTACCGTCTCTACGACCTGAAGGAGGGACGCACCCATTTCCGTATGAAGTCCGTGTCGTGGACGTACGCTTCAAAGCCTATCGAGCGTGGTCAGTGCGTATTCCGTACATACGAGTCATTGTTGACCTATGCGCTTCGGGTAGAGTGATCCCTGCCACCACCCCGACGCCAGTGTCCTTTGATGCCCAATCGATCTGGGACCAGTACGTCGGCAAACACGACGAAAGACATCAGCACCAGGACGGTCCACTACCCACTACCCATTCAGGCGAGTACGCCCGTGCATTCATGCGACCCGCTCGCGAGACACGTACCTCTAAGAACGCACGGCCGACAGCGGTTACGGACGCACCTCAATTGACGGCTAGGATGCCCGAGACGTGGCTCAGCCGAGCTTGCGCAAGGCTGTCAAGGTCGTCCCCCAGGATAGTGTCGTTTTCAGCGCGAGCATCGCCTACAACGTCAGGTACGGTCTTCTTGGCTGCTCTCTACTCCAGGTGCCGATGCTGATGATGGCATAGTTATAGCAAGCCCGGTGCGGTCACGAAGGCCGCACGTATGCCCGAGCGGATCACGAGCTTCCTAGACGGTTACAGCAGGATGGGCGAGCGTGGCGTGGGGCTGAGCGGGAGAGAGGCAGCATGTGGCGATCGCCGGGACGCTCCTTCCGTCCCCCGGCTGCTTGACGAACCTACTAGGTAAGGATGGCTGCGCTGCTGCTGTAGACCTTATCTCACGTTTCTGGTGTAGTGCGCTGGAAGCCGCGACGGAGAAGGACATCTAGAAGGCTCTGCAGCGCCTCTAGATCTCGGAGAGACGGTCGTCGGTGGCGATCACAGACAGCTTTCGGTGCGTATCTACCGACGGGTGCCTCGCCTTCACTCATGCCTTCCGACACCGCGAAGCGTAGTGTGGCTGGCCCAGCATCACCTCGGCCTTGGAACAGGCACGCATGGCGTCACTCCGCCGTGGCCCGCCCGCCTTCAAAGTGTTGCCAGATATGCATGCCAGTGCTACGCCCAGGGACCGTCTTTCCCATGCATATTGTCGTACCCCAGCTCTTCGCTGCTGACAGCCCGTCACACCTGTGGTTTGTGCGTGTCGTTTAGTTTCCACAGCCTAGCACAACTGTCGCCTTCT